TTTAGCTTTTTTCAGGGAGTCTTTCACGTGCTCGAACGTTTTATTGGACTTGAGCCTTGAGATTTACTTCCCTTGACAATAAAATGCTATAGAAATTTCTTACAAAATTACAAAGGAACTATTTTTGGTGTCGCTTGGACTGAGAAATACAGATTTGAAATAATTGATGCTGTCACAGATGAGTCAAAGAGCACAATCTTTGATAATCTCTACAGACCAACGTTATTGGACCGAACGATCTCCTTTTTCTTTCTGGTGAGACCTTTGACTTCCTCTCTTGTAAATCACTGAGAGATTGTGTTCTATTTATTTTCTTTAAGCTTGAAAAAGATATCCAGGAGAAGAGTATGGAAAATAACGGTGATAAAATCGCTGTTCTTTTATGATTATGATTTGATTAAATCTTTTATTTCGAACTTTGTTTTGAGTTTTTCTTTATCAATCTTCTTTAGGCGATGAGGTCGACTGGTCAAGTGATCTTATAAAGTATAGGTCAAAGAGGCAATTCATATAAGACTTTACCCTAACAATATCAACAGGGATAGTGTAATAGAAATTCCAGAAGTGTCAATGTCCACGATCAGAAAATACAACCACAGGAGAGCCGTGCACAGCGGACCGCCGAGAGAGCAAATCACTGAGTGAACAGCAAGGATCGAAATCTACCAATTAGAGTTGTTAAAAAAACAACTAATCACAGCAGAGCATCATGCTTTATAAGATCACGCATGACCGGTCGATCTCATCGCCTAAAGAAGACTAGCAGTATGCAGTCGAAACCTCGCAATCTACATCACACGTGACTACATCGTGGGACAAACGCAAAAATCTTAGCTTTTATTGTTATTCACCACGATGAATAACCACAAACTTTTCCACGAAATTGCGAGTTGTATCTTGATTCGTTTAGGGAGTTCAACTTGTCAAACTAGCTTCAGTGGGCTAACTGCTCGGGATGCAAAACCAGCTTAATAGGGTCAATTTAAAGGTCTCCACAACGTAGCTAAATAGGTTCAAGTCTAACCAGCTTAACTTCAAAACTTGCAAAATCTATCTTCATTGTTTGAAGTCGTTCAAACTGTCAAACTAGCTTAATTGCATGAATTGTACAAGCTGCACAATTTAGCTGAATTGCCTCAAGTAGTCAAAATTGTCAAAGTAGCTTTATTGATACGACTGGTTAAAAGGTCACACCAGCAGGGATAGTTAAACTGTACAATTGCACAGTTTATATCAATTGGTTGAAGTGATTTAAATGGTCATACTTACTACTATGGTTCAATCAGACGAGTTAAATAACTAGTTGAAGCACTTTAACTGATTGAATAATCAAACTAGCGAGGACAGTTATACTCCACAAATAGCGCACTTCATCTCAATTGGTTCACGTGGTTGAGATGGTCGAACTAGTTTAATTGGTTCAACTGCACAAACTGCACAATTTAACTGAATTTTTCAAGTCAAACTAGCTTCAAGTAGTTAAATGGTCAAGGTAGCGAAAACTACGTCCTTGTGCGCCAATAGGATCCGTGTGATGTGCTACACACCTCAGTCATGCCCAGTGCCGACCGCAACATAAACCACAAGCTGGTTTCGGACCAAAGTCCGACTCATTATCAAGGCTATTGTGGGGGAAAGAGGAGCTCAATTCAAGAAGCTTCACACCAATAAACTCCTAGCGGGAAAATTGGGTTTGAAGAGGAGCTTCAGGCCAGACAAGAAAAGGAGGAACTGCCAGTCTGCAAAACAGATCTTAAGCACTTGTGCAGCAGCTGAAAACTATTTTCCATGAAACTGCCGGGAAAGTAGGCGGCCTCTGCACGAGAAACTAAAAAGTATTGTTTGACGAGAAAGCTCCTCTCCAGGTTGGATGACCATGCAACTAAGACCGCATAAAGGAATGCGTGCGGTTATGTACAACCAAGATTCAGGACAAATGGTGGCTTAACCTGCCTGAAAACACGCAGTCCTACGCCACCATAGATAACTCCAAAGCCTTCAAGTAAGATTTTCGCCCAATGCACCAGGTCCAGGCACCTCTGCACTTGTCTGATGGCTCCACGCTACTGACTGGGAGAGTCTTCATCCCTCATCGCCGGACACAGCAATAATTCACTCTCTTTGGAGACAGATTCTCCGTCCAGGAGGCTTCCATTGGGAAGATTCCTTAGAAGGGCCTTTAGCTAGAACTAGACAACTTATTAACTTTCGCAGAAATCGACACAGCCATCGTCAAGCTGCAGCAAAGGTCCTTGCATTGCTTGAATCCCGGCAGAGGTGTATGTAGTTGGCCGAGTCACTGTCATTGAAAGACTCATTACACTTTTCACTTCCCGATGTCAGTGTGCAGAGGTACCACAGGACCTCAGAGATGCAGTGCAACTTGTCAATTCAGCTGAAAGGATTCTACTCTTTAAAATGCATAGCTTGCTTAATATGTTCGATCGCGAAATATTCACAACGTAGCTCAATTGTCCAAGAAGTCAAAATAGGGTCACATAATTGAGATGGTCAAACTAAACTAATTGGTTGAACTAGTTAGGTATTCAAGGTAGCCAAAACACTAAAACTGCACAAGCTGCACAATCTATCTTACTTGGTTGAACACATTCAAATGGTTGCACCGGCTAAATGACATAATGCGTAACTTTGTAAAATGGTTAACCGCCGAATAACTAGCACAAACTTCAGAAGCTAGCTTAAGTGGTTGGACCGGTCCATTCACGGAGATAAGCAAGAAAACTGCACAAATCGCACTATCTATCTTAACTGGTTGAAGTAGTTGACATGCTAAAACAAGCTAAGATGGTTTAACCGGATGAAATCCATAACTTCCTTGATTGCTTCCACTGCACAAAGTGCACAATCTTCCTTAAATTGTTCCTTTGCTTAAAATGGTTAAGGTAGCGAAAATTGTTAAACTGCACAAATTGCACAATCTATCTTACTTGGTTGACTTTGTTCAAATGGCCAAACAAACTCAAATGGTTCAATCGGACAATATGCACAACTAGTTTAATAGGTTGAATTTCACAGATTGCACAATCTTGCTTAAATGGATTAACTGCGTCAATAATCACAGTACTAAAGATAGTTGAACGAAGAAAAGGAGTACAGTCTACCTTAATTAGTAAAGCTATTTCAAATGGTTTGACTAGCTTCAGTTATTCAACTTCACAGCTTGCACAATTTAACTTTTTTGTTTCAAGAAGTTAAAATATTTAGACTAGTTGAAGTGATGAACTGTTCTAATAGTCAAACGAGCGAAAACAGCGGTCAAACTTGTATAATAGTTTTGATCGCAAAAAAATGCGCAATTCAGCCTTAATGACTCTATCGGATAAATAGTCAAATTAGCAACAGGAAGGCCTGCCTTGTTTTAAGTGCGGGTAAATAACCCTTCCTCCATCTTTTCCGAAATGAATTTGCACCCGTGAAGTTGGTGCCATTGTTGCTGTACATCTTTTTGCATCTTCCCTCTGCCACTGACAAAACACTGATATGCATAGATAAACGAGTCTGCTTCCAAAGTGTGCAGAACTTCAATGTGCACTTCCCTCATGGTTAGACATGTAAACAAACATCCATAACATTTTACTTGACTGTGACCTTGCTTAGCAAAGAGAGGGCCAAAGTGGTCCACGCCCACATGGGTAAATGGTGGATCTGCCGGAGGAACTCTTGCTGACGGGAGTGGGGCCATAATCTGTTCACTAGGACGAGGATTTTGCTTGCGGAAATCCATACTGCCGAAAGATCTCGTACAATCCAAAATCTCCGTCTGATGAAGACCAGAACTTGAGAAGGACCACAATGTCCATGTTGGTGATGACAATTCTAGATGACCAAATATGTCACGCGATGTTTACGAATAATGGGGTGCTTCCTTTGGAACGAAACAGAAACATTGTGGAGGTGACCCCCTACCCCTAATATTCCTTCAGAGACGGAAGGGTTCAAGTTGCACATTGGACTCCTCTGTGGGACGCACTTCCTCTGGTTCCCTTACGCTCTTTTGCCTACCCAGGTGTCATGTGTGTCGTGCTGGACAGCTTTGATAATGACTCTCTGCAGCAACAACCTCGGTGACAGTCAAGGGTCCCCGGGGAATGCTGTCTAGATCCTTGCCAAGGAGGCCAACCAAATACCTCTTGAAACATAACAACCAAGCTATGGCTTTTTCAAAGACTATGCCAGGATGAATAGCAGGACAATAGTGGTTCCAACATTGACAGTATCCCTCAACTTCTTTAAGTGGAGAAAGTTGTGCTGGAATCTTTTCTTTAAGTAGCACAATCTTCTTATCTCAAATTTATGATTGTTCGGGAGGTTTACTAACTTGTGCCACCATGGCAAGCCCAACAGATGGTGGCCTTCACAGAATTTTTCATTTGCAAGCTCTTCGATCTTCAGCTTATATTGCAACCTTTGGGAAGATCATAGGCTTGTGAAAGTCACTCTTAAACATACTTTCCATCTGCTGGTGGAGCGTTTCATCGTCAAAGCAAACAAAATTCACACTGTAGCAGTCTCTGATACATGAGTGTAATTGTCCCATCAGAGTCCATTGAAATAGAGTACACTTAGCGTAAGGTTTACTACGCCTGCCATGCGTCTGATTGCACACCTAATGAGCTTCAGGAATGTCTTTGCCAATTAGCACTGACACTATCAGATTGTGTTCTCGAGAAGTTTCTTCCTTTCTGATGGGGGCACTTTGCAGTATCTTTTTTAGTTAGTGGACTGTCTTGACATAAACACAACGTTCCTACTGTCCAGACCTTATCTAACACGATTTCTTCTTCCATTTGTAATCCTTGAACAGACAAAGATAACTCAAATCCCTTTTGAGCGGGTTCCCCATTTACGGTTGGTAGTGAGAATTCCTTTGGACAACCATCTACTTGGAGTTTCTCCATTAAATTCACGTTGCGTAACGTAACATCCGAACCAGGATTCAGAGGCGTATTGCCACAATAGTGTTGTGCCACCTTTTCCTTTCATGACGACTGTAACATTTCTTGAACAAAAATTGTGTTTTTGTCCAATTCTGTGGTACAAGATCTCTTTGGCTTTCCTGTAATCTTGTTCTGGTACAGAAATAATAGTACAGTTCTTAATGGCTTCCTAACCTTCCCAGCGCAGTGTTGAATAAGGTAAGTTAAGCTCATCTTGGTGTCCGGCACCCTCTTAGCGATGTTGACCTCGAAGTTGTTTCTGAACAACCAGTATTTGTATGGATTTCCATTTAAGTTCAAAAGCTTTCTTTTGGGTATTTCAAATCCTTGTTGAGTCATGTACGCCATAAGCTGCAAGGCCTCTTTGTTGCAAAAGTTGGGAACCAGTCAGGTCTCCATCACCAGTAGAGATCCGTGGAGGTCCTGGGTCCCAAGGTTGTGCACTTGGATTCAGCATTGATTTTGAATAGTTTCTTCCAACCTGCCTGAAGTCGCCATTTTTAAAGCTCGGTCCAGCTTGAGGCTTGTTCGCCCGTGGAAAGGAGCCACGAGCTTCCTCTGAGTAAACCGGTTTCAATTCTGCCTCGATAGCACGTTTTGAATATTTCGAGGTTTCATAAAGCTCATCAACAGCTCAATCTTTCTCTATTTCCCCTTTTGCAGCTAATAAAGCAATCTGACATTTTAATTCATCTTAGGTTTTCATCTCGGCTATTTTAAGTTCATCTTGACGTTCCATCTCCTAGTACTTTAACAGATTTTTTAACGCGACTTCACGACAAAGAAGTTCGGCTTTAGCCTTTCATGATCTATCACTTGTGCGCGAGCTGGACTTGGAGGTCTTCGATTTTCTGCTTCTTGAGCCGGCTTGGGAACATGTGCCAACCTGTGACTCGAGATTATCACTATCTTCTTAGCAAGGAAACATCAAAGTTTCATCTGCAGTACGTTGAATGGATCACGAACATTCTTCAAAACGTTCGTTGAATTTCTTTTTACCTATAATGCTACGACAAGCATTAAGCGCATCTGATGTAACCTTTTGGAGGTCGACAACTTGATAATATTCGTGGTAGGTTTGAAAACATTTTGCAAACATGATTTGACACCTTTCTTCTTCGTGCAAACCTCCTGATAATTTTCAGCGTTCCTCATTAATAACTAGACGTCTTTGTACAATTTGTTTAAGTATTCAAGGTGACCAGCACGACTTTTCTTTAAGGACAGTATTTTTTCTCGTCCACTTGTTTATTCAATGAATATTCCATCGATATAATTTCACAATCGTCAGAAACTGGAACCAACACACCGTTATTGCCGGCGGTTTCTGAGTAAAGTATTAGGAACATAATACATCAAGAACAGAACGACTCATTAAAAAATTGAAAGTAACATAGGAAATACAAATAGCTGGAAATATGTATAACATAGATGATACTTATAACATAAGGAGCATGGGACACTCAACAAAAGAGCAATTAACCTGACAATTTTAAAATACAGCTGCATACGAATGTACTTGCGAATACCTTTGAACTAAGCTCAAAACTTTCTTATTTGCGTGATCCACGCGAAAGTCAAACCTATATGGATGACTGCGCGGACTGGGGCTAGGAGGGGAATTGATTTCTACAGGTTAACCACCAAACGTGCAGCTCAGCAGCTCAAGGACTCCGGAATGAGCACTGCTGAGGAGAAATGCAAGTGTCAAAAGGAGTCAGCTAATCAAGCAACGTATGGCAGCGATCAGACCTTCCCCTGCTTTACCTACTGAAAACTATGTAAATTCAGAATTGGACTCACTAGTCATCAGAGGGCATGCCGCCCTCAGTAAGTACTTTCCTCCAGCTGATCTCTGAAGAAGAATATGAGGAATCTGCAATCATCATTTCACTGGTTAAAAAACAGACCAGCAAAGCCAGTTGAACCGACCGCACAAATCGCAAAACCTATTTAAGTTATTTAAAGCAGTGCAACTTGTCAATTTAGCTAATGGGCTAAGGAAGGTCTGATCACCCAAAGATGTTGCTTAACTGACCGACTCGTTTCGATGCTTTCATTTTTCCATAGCAGTGTTCACGTTGGAGTCCTCGAGCTGCTGGGCTGCATGTTTGGTGGTTAACCTCCATTCGACTCTGTCTGATGAGAACGTCTGCCAGTCTTTGTGGTCAACACCAGCCTGTGCTAGCCGTGGCTTCAGCTCGTCCTTGTAGTGCCTGCATGGAGGAGGCACTTGCCTTTACTGTGTTTGCCAAAGACCACAAGTTTGGGCATCCTGGTGTCACTCCATTACGACGACATGGTCAGCCCAGCGGAGATGTCGATGTAGCAGCATAGCCTTGATGCGTGGCATTCTAGCCCTCTCTGGAACTTTGATGTTGGTGTCGTAGTCGTGCCAGTGTATTCCCATGATGGATTGCAGGCACCTCTGGTGGAAGCGTCCCAGCAGCTGTATGTGCTTTCGGTACAGCACCCAAGTTTCCGCAGCATACATAAGAGTGCTGATGATGATTGCCACATAAACTCCAACCTTGTTCAATGGGAGAAGAGAGTGGTTCTGCCACACTCTGCTGTGCTGAAGGCAACCAAAGGAGTTGGCTTTGGCGAGATGGTGGTCATGTCTTTGATCATCGTGGCATTATTGGAGAGTACACTGCCAAGGTAGGTAAACTGTTTCACCAAGTTGAATAGGTGGCTGTTGATGGTGATCTGGGGTAGGCTGTGCATTGCATGTGAATGATCTTCATGAAGGAGCTCTATCTTCTTCAGGCTGATGGTCTGTCCGAATGATGGTGCAGCCTTTGCAAAGTGGTCAAACACTGTTTGGAGAGCCTCTTCTGTGTTTGCCAGAAGCGCACATTCGTCGGCGAAGAGTTGCTCAAGGATCAGCTCATCGACTATCGTGGTTTGGGGTGAGGAGGTGACAGAGATTGAAGACACTTCCATCAGTTTGGAACTTGATGTAGATGCATTTGGTTTATCCTTAGTGTCTCTCAGCATGGCGCCGAAGAAGGTGGCAAAGAGTGTAGGGGTCAACACGCAGCCTTATTTCACGCTCTTTCCAATGGGGTCCAATACTCTACATTTACATTATTTTACAACATATTACACTACTTTCAATATGTTACAGTAAATTATTTACAGTATCTTATTAATAGTATATCGCGAAATCGTATGCTTTACAATAAAATTTGACTTCTTATGCTACCCAGCTTTACTTGGACGACACTCATCCTACAAACCGATATGTGGCAAAAGCTTATCCCATTTCTGAAAATGTTTAGCTAATTTATTCCGTTTTGCTGCTATCTTCATTTCTACCTGGTATATCTCCCCGATCTTTGTCTTATAAACTCGTATGGACGGATTCTTAGAATTCAATTGTATATATAAAATTTGGCTGTCAGTATGAGATGATTTTGAATGATTAAGTCCTCTTCCGTATTGAAACCTCCAAAAAATATATCCATTATTGTAAAAAGTTAACTTGACATTCACCAAGCCAAAAAGAGAAAGTTTCCTAGCCTTTGTAACATTGCAGTAGAAAAATATATGTTCGAAGGATTCAATCTCTTGTTTACAAAAAGTACGTAAAGGCGAATCCGACAATCCCCACCTAAACAATCTTTCGTTTGTAAATTCTATATTATTTAATACTTTATATTGGACTTCTCTAATTTTAATTTCAATTGTGACGGTAAAAGGCAAGAAGTATATTCTCTTCTAGTCAAAAGGAGACTGTGGATATTCCTTCTTGAACTTTTTTTGCGCAGTTGGAGGGATTTGCTTTTTGCTTTTTAACGCGTTATAGAGCCATTTGGACGTGATTTTTGCTAACATTACCTAGAATTTTCCAACTTCAAATAAATTGTCATCTGTATGAGAAGGGAGATGTTAAACGCTTTGTCTAATAATACGCCTCCAGTCACGAAGAATGGCGTCTATAATTTGTTAGATTCAAAAAATATTTATTGCTTTGCTCTCCGTGTTTGTGCCAATTTATTCTTGATCGGATTATTGCCCCTTGAGTTATATATTCATATTGTCTATTCCAGTTCGCTCACGTTTTCTGGGTTAGGCTGTTCATCACATTTTGCCATGCATTTTTTATTTTTTGTTCCAACACCGATAGTTTCTCCCTTCGATTTTTAGCCTTCTGTTTAACCCCGTCCTGTTTCTTCGATTTATCTGTTCTTATTGCCGGAATACTACCTACATTCTCTACCTCTTCCTCAATACCTCTGGTGATTAACCACAAGTTCAAACGCCGCTGTTCGGCTGAGTTCTCTTGTCTCCACGTAAAACGTTTGACATCTGGATTTCTGACTCTCCATACATAAATCAAATCAAACGACGAACACAGATCCTCGATCTTTCTGCAAGATTCTTTCATTTGAGGCTTGCCCCCGGAACCATCCAAACTGGCATCAAGAATGACACTAAAGTCGCCTCCAATTATTACTTTGCAATTTTCTACTGAGTGAGGAGCTCTGGTGGGCATGCTAGCTTGCCAAGGATTTTCCAGAGGCTACAGGTTTATAAGAAATCTGCATGTGCGTTTGTGTTTTCATACCATCAAAAACTTTTCAGCTCATTTAATATGGTCAATAACAACATCAACTCGACTTTAAAACTAAAGGGAAAACTTGCTTGGTGTATGGAATTGATTGCTGTGATGTAAAAATGAAATCCAGCTTTTATCTCAAGTTTTCTACAGATGTCTACATGATTGAATCCTAAGTCTTTCTTCGTCATCAAGTTTTAATCATTACATTTTTGCTCTAGCTTGTCTTCTTTTAAAGCAAACTTCTGCTGCGCAAGAAACATGTTAGACAAACATGTTAGTCAGTTTCCTATTTTTAATGGCCTAGAGTTTATTGCTTCCACTTTCTTAATTCTGAACTTCTTCCGTTGTAGAAACAGATGGAATATTTAAGTACAAATCATTTAACTTCAATGTGACTTTTTTCCGCTCTTTTGTTTCCTTATTCAAATATTGTAAATTTAGCGAACAATAGAACCTCACACCCATTCATACTTAAAACGTTATGCCGATGATGTTATTTTTGCAGTATCCGGAAATGAAGTGGAGCGTCTCCTATTGCATTTGAATTCAGTAGAACCGTCCATCCAATTCACCCTTGAGCGTGAAAAGTATAGACATTTGCCCTCTCTTGATTTAAATGTGTCCAGAGGGGTTCAGGGCAATTTAGAGACAAGTGTCTATCGTAAACCTAACCACACCGACAAATACCTCGCTTTCGATTCTCACCACCTTATTTGCTATAAAAAGTCTAGCCAAAACTTTACTCAGGAGGACTGACTGTCTACCATCTTCACTCGATTCTAAGGCTGAGGAGAGGAAATATGTTTCTTATGTCTTAAAGGCGAATGGCTATACAAAAACTTTTCTCCGTAACTGCCAAAAACCAGTTACAACTAGTAACACTCCTCATGAAAGGGAAACAGCAACTGGTTTTGCTGTTATTCCCTACATTCGGGGTGTTACGGAACCCATCAAGAGACTTTTTTAACGAAAGAACAACGAACCGACGCCATTTATTCTGTTCCTTGCAACGACTGTGACAACGAATACATCGGACAGACCAAACGTCCGTTTGGTACATGTTTGAAAGAGCATCAAAAAGCGGTTTTCTTTTTCAAAAAAGAAAACTCAGCTTTATCGGAGCACACATGCCTAACTGACCATAAAACTGGGTGGAATAGGTCTAAAATTATCGTCATTGATCGGTGTTACTACCATCGCCTTTGTTTGGAGCTTGGCATATTAACTCCGCCCACGCTCCTTGAAATCGTGATGATGGCGGCTGACTTTTGACGCCTATTTACACCTCGTCAGAAAAAAGGCAGCTGATTAGTGATCCTATAAAAGGACCTCTTGTCGCAGCGTTCAGATCACCCCTAATGAAGGCACTGGACAGGAGTGTCGAAATGTTCGGTCTATGAATTGTAACTTCTCGGTCACATTCATTAAATCTGTAAATTAGAGAAGCGTCAAACCGCTGATTGTCCACCTGGTTGCCATGTGAAATTTAATATATTTTACATATATGTTTTAAAACTTATCTAAACATGCATGTAGCCACATCTCCGAAAGAACAATGGAAGTCCATACAAGGAACATAATCATATACAATTGTACATGTATGTACGTTGTAGTTGAAAATGAATTTCGAGACAAAATTATTTTCCAGGTGTGTTACCATAGTTTTTCAATGAAAGAGAAAACAAATCAGACAAGTTTGCAGTTATTTTAGCTTAAATCAGTCTAAACTACAACATACAAGTGAGTAAGAACAGTCTTATTTAGAATTTAGAAGACTCTAGAATAACATGTTTCCTTCTTCCTACACAGGAATCATACAGTATTTCTTCCAGCACTGTGACCATTCGATCCCCAAGTGGTGAAACTGTAGACCTCTCATACACGCTGGCTTGTGTTCATTGGTATAAAATCCACCCACATTCAATTTTGGCTTGCCCATTCAAGTATGTTTGCCGTCATTTGAAGTTGAGTCTGTTGGAACATTCATGCCAGTGTCAAAGATTGACAGCATTGTGTTGTGGCTGATCTGTACTATGATCTCAAAACTCCAAATGATAAAGAAAGAGTCACTGTTGCTGTTCCACTTGATGTTAAGCTGCATCTTTAAAGATATTATTTTCTATTTTTGGAACTTCCCACTTGATATCCTGGTCTAAACAAAAATTTGCACATATATGTAGGGCACTGGCTCAAATAATCCAACCAGCATGAATAGCACAAATAGCCCAACCGATACAAAGTACTTGAATGGTCTAAATAAACCAATGACCCCATTAACAAAGATAACCCAAATGGCTGAAATGAATGAAGTGGTCAGACCGAATCAAGTGACCAAACAACCATAATTTGCATGAAATTTTCTTATTCTTTTTGTACTGGAACGTGTAACCAACAATATACAGAAGAAAAAACAGACGATGGCGGAGATTATGGCCATTTTGCAACATATGCTGCCCAAAGTAATGCTATGGATTTTAAGATCCTATATCATACCAAATATATCCTGTTAAGGGCTTCTTTCTAAATTTGTGAACTTACTTACACAAGAAACTTTATACGTTGTGTATGGTCAAGTTAATTTTCATTACAAACAAGGATAAGGACAAGTATATCAAGTATATCCTTAACCATGAACTTTATAGGTTACAAATTTAAAATAATAGAGTTATTCAGACCAAATAACATGGTCACTATCAGTCTCCTCACTCTCACTGTCCAGTGAGCTTGCGGAAAGATGATAACCTCAGTATTTTTTTTTAAATGAAGAAAGGAAAGCCCTCTTACCACGGATAGATATTTTGTGCATGAGCAAATTGCTATTTTAAAAGCATTCTCTTAAGTTTAAAATTAATGGCAGACCCAGGGCTGAGGTTTTCTACCAATTCTCGACCATTATCTTGTAAAACAGTGATTTTTCCTATTATCAGCCCAAACCTGGTCTAATGTGCACGTGAAGGCTAACCATATAAATTAGCCGTGAAAATTTCTTGAACCTGACGTCGTATGAAAGTTTGACTTAATTTTACTTGACCAAACTAAACTGAATAAATAGAAACTTGAAATCTATTTGTTTTCCTTTTGAGGTGTGCAACAAAATTTTGAATTCATGGCAGGCTTGACTTACAGATTTATTAGAAATCTGCATGTGCGTGTGTTTCGAAAATAAAAACTGGTATTATGATTACTTCAAATAATTTTACTGCGTGCGGTACGAGTACAGGCAGGTGTTGTGAAAAGTTTGCTTAGTTTTTTCATTTGTACACATTTCTTTTCCTAAGAACCTTGTTTATCCGGCCAATGTTGAATTCTAATTGTTCAACCAAATTTTCTATTCTTTTGAATATTCTTAGATCTAGTGTCAATTAATATTCATTTAGTTGAAATTACTACATAAAATCTTGCAGATGTATGGCACATTAACTTTTCCTCTGACCTTACTAACATTTTATTATGTGTAGGAATTTTTATTGGCTATAAAAGTATAGTCAAATAAAATTTTGTGCATTGCCTATGCATCAGCTGAGGTTACCAAATTAAATAACAGAAAAAATCACGCTGTGTATTTCCAGTCAGAGGACAATCATGAAACGAGAATAGCCAAAAGAGAAAATAAAATAACAAGTTCAAACACGAGTTGAAAATGACTTCTTTTAATTTCCGCGTATATTAGAGGAGTTTGAAACGTTAAGGAAAAAGGGTGGGGGAAGCTATTATACCTGGCAGCTTTATGAGAAGATATAAGAAACGCTTCATGGTCAGCTTTGTGACCTCCACATCGCATTGCGCTTGGACTCGAACAAAACGGCTGCCAACAACAAAGATGTGTAGCACATCTCCCCGGCGTGTGCCATAGATAACCAGGCTCTCGAGGCCATCGAAAATCTTAACAATAATGATATCGAAAATGTGGCAGCGTTGACGGCTACCAACGGAGCTCCGACTTCCTCTGTCCCATCAACAAGCCGTTCCATTTCAGCAGAGCTCTAACGCTGATTTTCAACTTTCAACGCACATGGGGCAACCGCAACTAGAAAATGAACTTCGACGAGTACTTTTACAAGTTTCATGTCCCGAGGAAACAGGAGTGGGCGTCCCAGTAAAATAATCTTCCACAAAGACTTGGTGATAATTCCAAACCCTAATATAAAGGAAGTACCAAGCCACGTCAAAAAAGTGAAGTTAAAGGAGAGGGGCCAGATTATCTACCAGTTTCCCATCAATAAAGAGTGGACTTAACTAGACTTAAAAAGAAACGTTGAAAGTCAACTTCTAAGAGAGGATATTATGTGTGAATATCTCAAGTTAACTTATTTATGGTTCCTCCTGCTCGATAAGAGGAATAACTAATAGTAAAAATTACATTAATTTTGAAAGTTCATGTACATTCCGTAGTGTAAGGCAAAAACTCCAAAAGAACTCGTAGATAAAGTCTAGTTTTTGTAACTAACTAAGTGGTGCATTCTTTGGGAGTTGTTGATGAGACCTGCTTCATTTTTGTGATTGTAACTTTATTCTTTATAAGCTTGTTATGGAATTTTAGTAGCTCCTAAACCAGCAAAAGGAGTTAGAATGGATGGCAGAATAATAAAGCTCTCAGGTCAAGCGAGTGTGTACATTAGATGTCTAGAGCCCTTTGAAGAGGAAGATAGGGATGAAGATGATGAAGAGCTTATGATACCATCCTTTGGTCAATACACTGGTGACCTCTCAGAGACCCCTGGTAATGCAATTTCCTCGTCATTGCAGTATCAAAACAGTGAGGCTGTATCCACAGACCCAGGGGAGCTATTTATCTTTGGAGATCCAATGCCCTTCTTGTCAGGAATTGGGAACAATCGGTCAATTAACAATTTGGAAGCTGTAGTTAATATTAATGAAATATCTCCACCAACTTCATTATCAAATAATGGTGAAGCGCTTTCTAAAGTCATTAGAATTCACAGGTCACTTGTGAGGGCTGATATGCTTGAGATTTTCCTGATCCTTCCATTTTGAAGTCTAGTTTAAATGCCATCATTATACATCAGCTCGGCCATGAAGAGGCTGGACAGGGAAATGGGGTCTCGAGAGAAGTTTTTTCCTTGTTCTGAAAAAAATTCAATGAATCACACATGTTGGGGGACAGTGAAGAGACTCTTATATTAGAAATAACTTTGACTGCAATGTGTGGGAAGCAGTGGGGAGGATACTTGTGAAGGGATACACAGGGAGTCTGTATTTTCCTCTTAAAATAAGCCTTTTTTGTTGGTTGTCTTTTTGGGGAGGGAAGCATTACCCGTAAAATGTTGCAAGATTCCTTCAAGGGTTATGTTTTTCCATCCGAAGCTAGTATTATAGAAGGCTGCTTGGCTGACCGTATTACATGCGACAATGACGAGATGCTTGACTTTTTGTTAGCATTTGACTGTAAGAGAAAAGTCACACAGCAATTTAGTAGAAGTCATAGGACAAATTGCTTACAAAGAGATAGTATAAAAAACCCCAATATGAGAGTGACTGCTGGCAGCCAATTCTTGCTCACCTTAAGATTTCTTTCCCAGATGTAGAATCATTACATCAATTATATTCTTTCACACCAGGTAATGTTAAAGTTTTTGGCCAACTTCAAAGCAGTCCGGCTACAGCAGCTGAGACGGAAACACTGGCCCACCTGAAGAGACTTATTAGGGGGCTTGACGAAGCTAAGCTTACTCAATTCTTGTGATTCGCAACTGCATCTAACTTTCTTGTCACTGACAGGTTGACAATATCATTCACAAACAGTGAAGGTCTACCAAGAAGACCTATTGCCCACACCTGTAGCTACACTTTAGAGGTGCCCAGCACATATGCTAGCTTATGTGAGGTCAGAGAAGAATTCATGGCTATTTTGAATTCAGATAGTTGGGAGATGAATATTGTATGAACAAATAGCATAAATGTGTACCACAAAGTGGTCTCATCAGGGTATATGTGCGTCTTTCCAAGCTTCATTTGCCCTCAGACTGTTCAGTTATGATGTAGTTTCATGTTGAGTTACATCATTACAACAATGGTGTGCTCATTTTAACTCGTGGATACGCGTTAGCGTAGAAAGGAGTTGTTTTGAGCACTCTGGCATTTGCAAATTGGCGGGGACTCTTCGTAATTAGTCGTAATTAGTCGGCTCCGAACGCGAGATCTATCCTTCCGAGGAAGTCCGAGGTCCTGGCGCCATTGTGATTGCATCTATCGTTGCGATGTTAGTTGTCTTTACACGGCTGTTTTGAAATTTACTAAATTGAATTGGACTTCAGATTAGTATTATGATCAACCTAAAGACCAAATTAGAAGGGTCTTCGAATCTTCCATGCGCTAGCAGCGAAAATCACGAAGAGTTTGTGAGTGACAGAGCAAGCTGTTGACATGGAAGTTCCACGGATACACATACCCATGATATAAGAAAAGTGTTCATTTACAGCATTATTTCTTTCGTTTCAGGGTTTTTTTCGGACGTTTCGGCAGCTACGCCAATTTCGGTCTTTTCGTTATAATTGTTTCGTTTTGTTGGTTTTCTTTGCAAACGTGACTCTTTTGATGATGAGAATGAAATATGATCGGTTTCTACAAGTCGTTGCCGAGCACGTGACCATAATCTGGCCGGTGTTGTTTGATCACTTGACGATCTTTTTCGCTCGAAACACACGACGACTTCCTATTCCAAGGATAGGGCCGCATTGACTATTGTGGCGTTGCACTCTTAGCTATTTTCAATGGGGTTACACATTTTTAAGATTTAAGGCGTAAGAAAATGTATGGCAAGTAAGGATTCAAAAACAGGAAGATTCATGGTCAAAAAGTTGTCACTATATTTCAATATTTAATAAACGGCTCCCATTCCATTCCGGTCTTGCTCAAAAGCAGACAAAGAGGGGGTTTATAATTTGCCACAACATAGGCTAAACAAATACGTCTCGTATTTCTCCCTACTTCTTGAGTGCTCTGGCCGTTTCCTAAATGCTTTACTGAAGAAATGTAAAATGGTTTCCGTGTTTACATAGCCTGATGTAAACACGCGGGAGGTTGGGAGAACAAGAGATAGGCGTAGGAACCAAGACACGAAGCGGAGTGGTTTCCAGCTTATCGAGTGTTCTCCCAACCTCCCAAGTGTTTACATCAGGCTATGTAAACATGGAAACCATTTTACATTTGTTTTATAAAAAAACTAACGAAAGAGCCTCTTCTTGCAACGAAGGAAAGCGCCGTGCTTGTTGTTGTTGTTCATTTGGCTTTTCGGCCGTTTCTTGAATACTGGGAAAATTGAACTCCAAAGAAAAATTAGGAAAATCTTCTTCTTCCATTACTGTACTCAACACAAACTTAAAGAAACTGAGTTACTACTAAATAAATAGCAGGGAGAACTCCGCGACAAGATTCAGTATGGAAACCGTGTTTACATACGCTCATGTAAAATGGTTTTATGGCCAATCAGAGCGCGTGTACTATTTGAATTATTTTATAAAACAGAACAGAGCGCAGTCAAGGCTTCTCTATTTGTTTTATAATTAAGAATTACTTTCAATTTTCAAAACAAACTTTATTTCCAAAGGGAACAACAGAGTCGGCAGCATACTCTATACTCTCATAAAGCACGCTACAATAAGCCAATCAGAATCCCTGCTAGAATGGTTCAAATAATCTGATTGGCTGTACAAGACTAAAGCTGTCAAAAATGTTAAACCATCAAATTTCAAAAACCATGAAAGTTCACATTCTGCAATAGTTTACAAACTAAAATAGTTCGGCATGTCGAATTTAACACTTTTGCCTGAAGTTTTTTAGTTTCTAATACAGAATCTGAAAGTGAAATGTTCAGTGAAATTCGGCTGAATTGTAGCTCACAAAAACACGTAAGTTATTTCACATGACAAGTAGAAAACAAACTGTTCAAGGCGAGTGTTTTATGAATGAACAACAGCCGAATTCACAAGGACATGAAGATCGCTCGGAATGACAGCGCCGTAACACTCGGCTGCAGTGACTGATGTGGCCTTCCACTCAACGTATCGGAAAGCTCTTATTTTTCCACTTGAACAGTAGTCGATGTAATTCCTGAGGCTTGCTGCACTGCGATGACGAAGATCGCCATGATGAGCTAGCCGCGATGGACCTCAGCATGATCGCTGTCGCTCTGACACCGTCATGATTAGTATGAATTTTTAACAGTTATGCCAGTTTGGTTATATTTTTTATCATTCCCGTTTTTTCTCTGTTTTGTTTTTGAACACGAAACTTATACACTATACGAGTGTTAGCTGTGTTTGATTGTATTACCGTAGGTAAGCTTGCAATCTAACTGAGCGTGAAAACTTTAAAACTCGGACTGTCCATTTTGTTTTCTCTTTGGGGATTTCCGTCTCTGCTCACGTTACAATAACGTAAATAACTGCATCTGGTATTTTTCCAAACCTTTGCTCGCTTGTTCCGAAATTTCACTTTCAATTAAAGAAAGAAAAGCTAGAAAGAAGTCCCGGAAAAGGTCGGATATAGTACAATTTGGCAGATGGCGTGACAGCTGTAGTTCAGTTCTATACGCTTTACTCTGATAGAGCACGCTCTTTTAACCAATGACAGCACGCGTGATATCCGAACTTTATTATAATTAACAAACAGAGGAGCCTTGACTGTGCTCTGTTCTGTTATTAAGCACGCAGGAAGCGGCTAGAACACGAAAGAAGTGCAGGGAGAAACACGAGACGTAGCCAAAGTTCACATTCTGCGATAGTTTACAAACTGAAATAGTTCGGCAGGTCGAACTTAACACTTTTTCCTGAAGTTTTTAAGTCTCTAATACGGAATCTTGGACTGAAATGTGCAGTGAAATTCAGCCGAATTATGGCTCATAAAAACACGCGAGTTTTTTCATATGACAATGTAGAAAACAAACTGTGCAAGTCGAGTGTTTTTTGAATGAACGACAGCCGAATTCATCGGAACATGAAGATCGCTCGGGATGACAGCGCCGAAAAACTGCAGTGACTGATGTGACTTTCTACTCAACGCATCGGAAAGGATATCAGAGCAAGCTCTTATTTTTTTCACTCGAAGGGCGGCCGATGTAGTTTCTGAGGCTTGCTGTACTGTGATGACCGGAGATCACCATGATGAGCGAGTCGCGATGGACTTCAGCATGATCATTTTCGCTCAGACACCGTCATGATTAGTATGAATTTTAACAGTTATGCCAGTTTGGTTATATTTTTCATCATTTCTTTTTTGTTCTGTTTTGTTTTTGAACACTGAACTCTATATACTATATGAGTGTTAGCTGTGTTTGATTTTTATTGCCGTACGTGAGCTTGCAATCTAACTGAGCGTGAAAATCTTTAAAACCCGGAATGTCTATTTTGTTTTTCCTTTAAGGATTTTTGTATCTGCTCACGTTGTAATAAAGTAAATCACGGCGCCTGGTATGTTTACAAACGTTTGTTTGGTTCTTTTGTTGCTACTTGCCGACTCGCTTGTTCCGAAATTTCACTTCAATTTCAATTAGCGGGAAAAAGCTAAAAAGAAGTCCCGGAAAAGGTCGAATATAGTACAATTTGGCAGATGACGTGACAGCTTTAGCTCAGCTCTATGCTCTATTTAACAAATAGATTCCAAGTTGCCGTGGGTCTGTTTAGTAATAGATCACAGAGGACGTCAAAATGTGATAACAACAAAAAAGTGGCAGATGAAGCGCAGCCGAGTGTGTCACTGATATCTTTGTTAGTGATTGAGCGCAATGCATTCTGAAACGATTCGAAAGTACAGTACTTGACCATATAAAAAGTAGAAAGTTGACCACATAAAAAGTCGAGTTGACCATATAAAAAGTCGAGTTAGCCATTTAAAAAGTAAAATTTGATCTTATTAAAAGTATAAAGTTGACTACATAAAAACTAGATTTGACCATATAAAAAGTAAAAAAACTGAACGTATAAAAAGTCGAATTGACCACGTAATTGAAAGGGAAATACAGGGGGAATATTGACTGGTTTGGCACCCCACATATTACTGTATGTATGTAAAGTATAGGACATGATATGTAATTAGAAGATGATAATTCCCCATATGTGACATACGAAGGTAGCTGCATGAAGATACCGCTGACCAGCATGCGTGTTGATCGCTTTGCAAGCTCCCTAAATCCACATGGAGGAACTCTTCTACAGCCAGTGCTAAAGAGTTTTCTTACAGTTTTTTGATAATGACGGGCTGGAAAATAAACTAACTAGAGCTGCGCCTTTTAGGGTTGGTTAAATCTATATATTATACACTGTTTTGTCAAGGACTTCGCCTTGTAAGCAGGGTTTTTATTAGAAGCCGGGTCCCGGGTACCGGCACCCGTCTACTTTAAACAGAGTTCCCGGCTACTTGAAGCACCAAATTAAAAAAAGAAAATAGTTATGAAAAAAAATATCAACTTCAACTTAATTTAACTCTTCCCTGTAAGTTTAAAGCATTTTTTCTGCACTTATTTATCAATTACTTGCGATCAGATTGTGGAAATAAAATTTACTCTGATGAGAAAGGCGCTGCGCGATAATAGGGACCTTAAGCAAACCACGCGACGGCAACGAGGACATGGAAAAACAAAAGATATAATAGGCAGAACAATAGCTCAGCACGTGCGTTTGTACATTTCTGAGCCGTACAATGCAAAACAACAATGTGAAATCCCCACAATTTGCGTCGTCTGCGAACCGAAACCGCGACGGCAAATGATTTTAACTTCTAGTTGGACCTCAACACTTCTTTGATACGCTATGCTGAAGTTGAGGTGTGGCACCGTATGAGACGGTAAACACATGCAGCCATTTTTGAAATTCAAATTATAGGCAGTAATTCATTTTTTAAACGAAGTCTTCCTTGGCGTTGCCGTCCTGACTGCTTAAGGTCCCTAATAGCGTTCTTAGAACTGTCTCTTTCTAAAGTGCCGAATTAACTGTTAAATAACTCTTAAACGTGACGTGCCATAAAATCGAGTGCGTTCTGCGGAGTGATCGTGGCAAGCAAAAGTAAAACTCACGCAAGCACTCGTTTGCACATGAAAAGTCAAGAGCGATGACCTAAAAATTAAATTTATGTTTTAGTTGGATTACAGCCGTGAAAAGGCTTTTCAAAAAATTACGTACGCTATCTATGCTTTTCCATCATTTAAACTCTTCATAAAACACTTTTTATTTTTCTGAAATAAAATTCAGAATATAAAATAAACATCAAGAGACGAATGTCGCCGTAAAAGATGCTTATCAGCTGACACGGCCTCTTAGTAAGCCAACATTTAGCTGACTTTTAAGCTCAAATATTCCGTACAATTGAAAGAAACTTTGATCCAATTTAATTTCATTGAAGATAAAGCCCATCGCAGGTTTTGAAAAAATTGTTTTCTGCGAGGGCTGATTGTGTATCAGACTCTTGTGTTCCATCAACATTTGTTTTAAATTTTTAACTGCTGGGTGATATATGGTGACAAAAGGAATTAATGTAAATGATTACGGCTCTGACTTTGAGTTTTTATAAACTACAAAGAGTGTTGTCAGTTTCACTCTTTAGAAGAAGAAGAAAGGAAGCTCTGACAACAAAAGCAGTGTTTTGATGAAGCTATAGCTGTGTAGAGAAACAAACAAATTCTCTTAGATTACCATTACTTTTACTATAATCAGACTAAGTATGCTTCATTCCAGAAAGATTTCTTCACCAGATTGCAGAAAAGTGCGTTTCTGGGAGACTTAAGTTTGAAAAGTTTCCGGGGGGAGCATCCCCTAGACTCCCTAGAGGTTCAGGCCTTCGGCCCTCGATTATACAGTGTACCGGCCTACTCACAAGGCAGTGCCCTTTTACTTCAAAAGTAAATGAAAACCCTGTTTATAACGTACTTACACTATTTCTGCCTGGTGTCCACCAAGTTTTCTCAGCCTGGACGCTCAAAATGCTGGATCCAACCTAAGGGTACTCCACGTACGTTATGCATTGAGCCTGAAGGAAACCATTCGGTCAGACCGTAGAATTATTGAAAAAAATTGACCTTCTAACGAGAGGTTTATAATTAGTGAACGAAAATGTGAGACATTATCAAGTTCATATGATACTGTAGGAAAATGAAAGAAGAACAAGGAATTAGTTTACCATAAACTTCAAAAAGCGAAAAAAATGTATTTTATTAAATTACCTTTTCAGATTAGAAATATATATTATTACTGATACTTAGCGTTTTTTTTTTGTGAACGAAAACATCTGCCACAGTTCCCATCATCTTCTTCTCCAATGTGGAAACCCCCCCCACACCCATCCGAAAAAAGAAATAAATCTATTCATGCTCTGATTCCCGATATATTTCAGGGAAACAAATATGCAATGGTAATTGATCTTGTTTGAATGAAGCAATGGCATGCTAATTCTCACGCACTGTTTCAGATTGTTTATCTTGCGTGACATCGATGTAAAAAGCAAAATACTGACCAACTTATTCATTCTGATCTTCCAGGCGTCTTGCAACAGTATCTTAAATTGGGGGCTTTTTTTTCGGTATCCAAATTTTACCTGTTACTCGTGTGGTAACGCAAAGAAACCTTCTCCGCATGCCTGGCCCCTCTCGCCTTTCGCTTGCCGCAGGCTAAGTGTGTTTACAGTTTGTCATGCAGTTTCATGCAAGACCGGCTAACGTTGTTAAACTAGATTCAGTGGTGAAGATAACCGCAGGTGCTTTCCAAGTTGAAAATTTATCATTGAAATTTCATATAAAAAAAAATAATTTTAGATAGAGTAACCTAAAAACGTAGATCGTGCTTCCTCGCACGAAGCTAAAGCGCGTTTGTCCATGACGTCATACTTTGGCAGTGACGTAGTCTAGACATCCTTCCTAAACTTATTCACTTTTGTCTCCCGAGCTTGCGGAACGAAGTTATAAGGTCCACTCTTCTAACCTACGTATACCGAGGTCTTTTGGTGGTAAGTAGAGCTTCGCTCGAAAATTAAATAAACTAATTAAATTTCATGAATCTTAAATCAGAATTTCAGCGGTGAACATTGACTGCAAACCATGGCTTATGGCAACGTTCGATTTAGTTCGAATCAGAGACCTGTAACAGTTCAGTCCATCGTAGAAAGTTTGATGATAATTCGAAGAAATGTGGCGAATATACGGTTTTAATGATATAAAATTGCTCAGCCTTTATAGTGACTGATGGCATTTCATTTAACACGCGGTAAGGTGAATAGAAGTAGTTTGAATAATGTTCCAGGGATATGTTTTCAGAGTGTACTTGATAACAAAAGATAATCAATCTGCTCTGTGAGAAAACTCGTGAATTGACAGATGACTTACATGAATTTTTGGATTATGTTTAATGTTATCTGGTTTAGGGAATTTTGTGGTTGATTGTCATTTTTAGAGTACGAGCAGTAGTTCAGTGTTCGCTAATGTAGCAAAGAAACAAAGTAACCTTGGGATAAGAAGGCATTACAATTGAAATGATCATGCTATTACATTTGAGAAGGGTGGATGATGTCATGTATTTTATAAACATATCATTTTTGTTTCTGGTTTAAAAGAAAGGGTTGGAAGTAAATGAGGGTGAAAAGTGAAATTTAGTGTCTATCATTGTAAATATTAGAAAATTAAGGCAAGACTGTCTTAATGAAAACATTAATGATTCCCTCTTTAATAAATGAGACAAACGGGAACGTGTTTTGAGTGATATAACTAAGCCTAGACTGCCACCGTCATTTTGGATTTCTGCTTGGGTACATTTTGGTCACGTGCTAGGCAACGTATGATCAAGAACAAGATAGTATTTCATTTCAGGCCTATTTATCAATTTTGTGGTGTATGAATTTCGCATTTTAGTACGTAATATTTATTTTAAATCTTTAAATTGTCTTGAAACTTAAAAGAAAATTATTCTTTAAAAATTCACTGAAAATCGGTAGCCAAAATTATTTGTTTAGGTGTTATTTGATTTTCGTGTTAACCTGTAATTTCGTCAGTTTCCGGCATCTTCTGTTGCTTCACATAGAAAAAACACACGATACGAAATGTAATGATCGATTTTGTCCTCAATCTCACGCCATAACAGAAAAAGCTTTTCAACACCTGTAAACTCAGAGCGCTTCGGAGTAAGTGATATTTTTAATGAATCTTTAGATTGTTTTCAAGTTCAAGGATTGTAAATTACAATTTTATGAAAAACGAAGGTTGTTCTCTTATTTCAGTATGAATCCTCGCACGCCTGCCAGTTGCTGGCAGGCGTGTTGAAATTCCTGCGCCGCTTGTTGAAACTAAAACGAAAAAAATAAACTCTTTTAAGATTATCATTGGCTTTTTTTTTCACCCCATCACTATTCCTAGCAACAAAGGTCACCATTTCGTTTGTTTATTGCTCGCCAAAAATTATCAAATGCACTCAAAAGCCTAAAATCGAAAAAAGTTTACAGGAATCGACCAATCGAGCGAGCGAGTGCCATTCTCCACATCATATCTACAACTCGCTCTTGCGCATGCGCGCAATTCACGAGTTAAAAATTTTATATCACAGTGATTTTATTCGATGAACTTACGATTGCCTCTCTTAGTGAGTTATACTACTGTTATCAGTACATTTTGGATGTTTCTGAGAGTCCGTTGCAGTCGGACTTTTCAACCACAAACTGCATAACAGAGTGAGTAAGTAAAAAATCGGGAACCCCGCTCAGCAACCCCCGCTCCACTCCCTCGCTTCTCGGGACCGGACTTGAGAAACGGCGGAAATCGACTCTACAATCAATCCTTTATTTAAACACGTGACACCTAGGAGTACAGAAGTTCTCGTTAAAACGTGTACGTGTATGTACAATTAGAAATAAAGCATAATTTCTGTAAGAATACAAATAGTAAGTAAATCTATTAAAAAGCTAAAAACAGGATCGAGAATCATGGACAAGAGCTATCAATTAGAAGTTACAATATTAACAATATTAACAACAATAACGATATTTACAATTACTACCATTAAGCCATGTGGGCTTTAAGAGAACGCTTAAATGAAGCAATATCTTGAGATTCTCTGAGTCTAGGGGTAGCGCATTCCAAAGTTTACTAGCTAAAAATGAAAAAGACCGATGTAAAAACTCAAGATTAAAAGGAGGTAAATCTAGCCTTGTACTGAGCCCGCGTAAACTATACGGTACATTTCTAAAATGAAAAAAATCACTTATATAAGGAGCCCCTTATCATACAAGCACTTATATAACATAACCAACGATTGGAATTGCCTACGATTCTCCAAAGACTTAATGTCGGCCAACTTGAGGAGGAAGTCGTATGACACAGACTTCGAGAAGCCTAATATAGTTCTTAATATAAAGTAATTAGTTGTCTCTATTTTTGTAGTCTCCGCGTTACCTATTCCCAGTAAAAGGGGACTGCAGTACTCAAGATGAGGGAGGACATAGGCCTTATATAAACGAACTAACACGTCCTTTGAAATAAACTTACGTATTCGCCGCAAAGCCGAAGCCTTTGCGCATCCCTTATTCAGCTGTTGCTTTATGTGCGCTTTAAATGTTAATTTGCTATCTAGGACCACCCCAAGGATTTTGAGTGTGTCCTTTGTATGGACATTAGCATCATTAAGATGGAAATCATATTGGTATGAAGACGGGCCAATAGCGATAGCTTGCGTTTTGGCGGCATTAATCTGTAAAAAATTCATTGAGAACCATCTCGATAGAACGCTCAGATCAGAGTTAATTATATACTGCAATACTGTTGGTGAGACATCAGAGGCGTAATGAGTAGTGTCGTCAGCATATAGCCTCAAGGACGTACTAGTAATAAAATAATTAAGATCATTAACATACAAATTAAATAGGAGAGGACCCAACAGGGACCCCTGTGGTACACCAGTTTTAACGGTTCTCCATGAAGAATATACACCGTCAAGTTTGACTCTCTGTCTTCGTCCAGTAAGGTAAGCGGTCATAGTTTCCAGCGCATCATGCGTAAAACCATATGCCTTTAATTTAGCTAGGAGAAGCGGGTGACAAACAGAGTCAAAAGCTTTACTTAGGTCGATAGCCACCGCTGCAACAGCTTCTCTTCTGTCAAGACAGGCTCTCCAATCTTCAGTCAATTTCAATAAGGCCGTGCAACACGAGTGACCCTTGAGAAAGCCAGACAGGTTCGGTGAGAGTCGCCAATGAAAGGCTTCATAGATTTGATCGAACAATACCTTCTCATATAATTTCGATAAGGAAGTCAGAACAGAGACTGGACGATAGCAGGTCTTATCTGTCATACTTTCCTTCTTGAAAACAGGAACAACGTCGCTGCTTTTCCAAACTATTGGCCATTGACGGTTGGTGATAAAATAATTGATTAATCGGGTAACCGGCTCGGCCATAACAGGTGAGGATAAACGAAGTAGCCTCTGAGATATCTTATCGCACCCAGCAGCCTTGCGAGGGTCAAGAGAATCCAAAATTTTCCTTATGTAGCCAACATCAACTGGGACGAGGTCAAAAACATCATCACAAGTTTTCTCAGCAATGACATTAACGCTAGGATGATCAACAAACTCAACCATTTCCTTACTGTCACCATCACTCCTAGACACCTCGCAAAAGTAGTTGTTAAACATTTCAGCCACCATTAATGAATCGGTAATTACACGCTCATTCTCAATCAGAATTATCTTTGATTGCTTCTTTTCTTTGCTTGGCAACAAAGGTCTTAACTTATTCCAAAACTCACCATGATGTTTAGTGTTTGACGATGCCTCCATGCAGAACGCCTTCAACCCTTTTCGTTTCAGGGATGTGACCTTGTTTCTCTGTTTCTTGAATTCCTCCCAAGAGGTTGTTGTTGGGCTCTTTGCATGTTTCTTAAACAGTCGATTACGACGCGAGATTTCGCGTTGAATTAATGGAGTTATCCATGGCAACTGATCACCTCTGACCCGTTTTTTCTTTATTGGTGCGTGTTTGTCCAACACTTCAGTGTACAATTGAGCCCAATGGTGCCATAGATCATCAACGTCGTCATAAATGTAAGCGGAACTCCAGGGAATAGTTTTTAGGTCATTTAAAAATTTTTCTAAGTCGAATTGTCGCATACTTCTGTATTCAATTTCACGTGCCTTAGCCCTAGGTAATTTATTCTTTCGCACCGCATAGATAAGATCGTCCTAACGGTAAACGAACAAACAAATCCTCGCAACTTTAGTACACTCACCCAACAATATATTCCACTGCCGTTCAAAAGTGAACAGTGAAAGGAGATAAATCTGCATAGATTAATCATCGACAGGAGTTTGGCGAAGGGTTAGAGAAGACAAAGGATTGACTGCTTAGACATTCATAAAACTGAAGAGAATAAGAAGACGATTCGGAGAAGCGTTGCCTCTGGGTGGTGATAGAAATACTGCCCGCCTAAAGAACAAAATATATATCGCTATGATAACAATTATAATGATAATAATTAACAATTATTCATCAAAGTGGGGGTGAACTGTATTTGCTTTTCAGCTCCAATTTAGCCAATCAGCGCGCGTGAAAGGTACTATTCACTTGCATGAGATATAAACTAATAATCTTTATTTAAAAAGGGTAATTAACAGTAACAGTATAAAAACTGATTAGTCAGTGGCTGTCTTCAAAGATTAATTCGAAAAAAAAAAGATGAATAGGTTCACAAGAATTAAATGCCTGGGTGGTAAACAATCCCGGTGCACTTTCACTATTACTAAGAGAGCCAAACTGAAATAACATCGATCAGTTTCTCTTTGTTGTCATTCGGACCTGATGAGGTAACCGCCCTAGGTAAACTTGTGGGACAATGACTTGTACGTTGTTTTACATACCTTGATTTTATGTGCCAATAATGCATAAAGAACAGTAATAGAAAGCCATTTATTGTAAGATTGCTCCTCTCGTGAAGTACTTTTCTTAATCTGTTACTTCTAACAGAAGATACTCTTTCTAGGAGATGGGTTCAGAGGACATCAAGCTGTTGATATGTGGCAGCGGTAATGGAGCGCACGCATTTGCCGGCATAGCGTCCTCTTTGCAGGGAACTGAAGTTCGTGTGCTTAGCCTGTATCAAGATGAAGCAGAACGTTGGAATACTAACATGCAAATCAAGGATCTTGAAGTTGTCTTGCATCGGAAGGGACAAGATACAACATCTGTTACATCGAAACCTTCGATGGTAACTAAAAGCGCTCGGGATGCTATGCGGGATGTGGATATTGTCGTTTTCGTACTTCCAGCGTTTGCGCATCAAGTCTTCCTGGATGCCTTAAAACCCTATATAAAACCTGGCACAGTACTTGTTGGTATGCCGGGAGAGCCAGGTTTTGAATTCCAAGTTCGTCACGTGCTGGGCGAGACAGGACGGCGATGCACTGTAATGAATTTTGAATCTTTACCATGGGCGTGCCGCATTACTGAGTTTGGCGCTAAATGCGAGGTTCTTGGTACCAAGGAGACTCTTCTAGGAGCCGTGAAGGTACGTTTACTTCGCATCATTTGATGATTTCGAGGGGGTCCTCGCGCTTGAAAAGGGAATTGGAAATGTCCCAGTCGTACAATGCTTTTCTGCCTTCATCAGTTTTCTCCGTGATGAAACCTTCGCACTCGTTTTTGAAATAGTACATCACATTTGTGCGTACTCATCGTCGCAGAAGAGAAAATTCACTTTTTAACCGATTACTAATGCTGGTCCGTTCTCATTGATCACAATAAGAAAGCAATACAGGTGTTAAATAACTTTAGTGTAGAACGATAATATTTAATGCTCAAGCACACCATTTCAATCTCCTGCGGCCTCGAGGCGCTCTTTTGAATTACCAAGCCACGAAAAAAGCTAGCAATAGACAAAATACGTCAAAATAACTAGAAAAGCTTTGTTAAGTCATTTCTTGCTAATATTACTGAACTGCGATACCATTACGCGATTTCAATTTTACAATAAACCTTGCGCACGGACAAAAGTTTACAGTCGGTAGATTTTACTATATATTTCATGGTTGTTCAAACAAAAACTCACACTTCCCTTGTATCAACATTACCCAAATCTATTTCTGATAAACAACACGAAATAAGTGATAATCTTCAGAATGGTTTTTTTCGGACGTCGAAACAACCTTTCGCCATACATTTCTTTAGAGCGTTTTGCAATGTTTGCCTAGTGGCGATCCCAGAAATCTTTGCACAAACACAAAGATCCGATCGATCACTGGCAACTCATTCATTATTCTCTACATTCTTGAATCATCTTCTCTTGTGGAACAAGGTACTCCTAAATTTGTGGGATGTAGCGTATTTTGTTTTGCAAGTGAGACAAATCTTTTGCAATACCTCCTTCTGGCATCATTATACAACCCCTAGTTCTTTTCAGTGCTATAAAGATTGTGTTTTATCAGGAGCCATATGCAGTCTTAAGCTGCCTATTTTTTTTATTGTGATATACATTCTCAACAGACTGGAGTATCTTTCAGCCCGCGTGCCTTTCATCTGAAGCTCGAAAATCTTAATCTCAGTTGAGAAAGAGCGTAGAAAACTTTTTTTACTTTGTTTCTTTGACTAGCATGCGTATTTAAATATTTCAAGTAAAATATTCACACGGACGGATGTACAAGTAAAATATTCACACGGACGGATGTACAAGTAAAATATTCACACGGACGGATGTACAAGTAAAATATTCACACGGACGGATGTACATGTAAAGTCACGCTGTCATTGCGAAATTTCCACGGTGTCGTTAGTTAACACATTTTCCTACCTGCAGTGCTAGGCTTCGTGGACTGCAAGCCCACTTTTAACTTTTGGTTTGGTGTTTTGTTTTTAAAGGAAGGAGAGGGTTTGACAGCCAAGAAGGATCCGGTATCAACATTGCAATATCTCCTGGGACCTCTCCCTAAACTGATCGTTTCGGGTCACCTTTTGGGTGTTCAGTTAATGAGTGTTAATGCCTATTTGCACACTTCAATAACTTATGGTCAGTGGGAGGGGTGGGACGGAAAGCCACTGGCTGAAGCACCTTTGTTCTACAATGGCTTGACCAAGTCAGCAGCAAGTATTATCTCCAGTGTCTCTGATGAGGTTGTGAATATTGCTAAGGGTTTTGGAGAGAAAACAGGAGCAGATATGTCTAACGTAAGGCGTTCCACTTTATTTTTTGATTTACATTTTATGTTACATTCGAGTGGGGGATTTCTCCCCTGACAAGAAACTAAACTGTACCCACGAATTCTCAAACTTTGAGTCCCAATGAAAGACTGAGACAATCGTTCACACGACGCAAACTTACTTCGAATAACTTACGAAAGGTCGTAATTATGTACATGAAATTTACTTATTTCTCTTCCACATCACATAAGACACACATAACTTTGTTCTCTCACTTTCACGTGACTGCATTACATTAAGATATGACATCTCACGATATGACATGTCACTCTTATTTGTTCTCATCAACGCTCTATACTGTCCACTGCAAAGAACTTCCCAACAAAAGTCTCTCACGGCGCTAAACAGAAACTTGGAAGATAAAGACACACAAATTAACAAATGTAGCAACTGCGAGTGGCATCAGCATTAAATGTCAATAGCTTTAATAACCAACTATTTAATTCCCTGCGTATTTCATCACAAATACTTTTGCAGTGTATTTTTTAATAGGCCTTTTCGCAAACTGCTACTTCTTTTTTGTCAATGTAGTTAACAATTTATCTGCGAGTTTCGCATTAAGATTCGTTAAATCTTTGTCACGGGTATAGATCTGCACTCCATTTTTTTGGGTAATAAAGCATATCTTCGTAATATCATAAGGAAGTTTCAGTTTGTACTTTGAAGTTAATTTGCATGACACTTTTATGAGGGCTTCCTTTAATGTGAAGCTTTCTAAGGCCAGAACTTAACCACTAACGTCCCCCTTCTGGTTAGCAGCTATCTCTTGCTCGATTAATAGCTCTGTCATAATGTCAACTATTTTAATGCGATCTTGTACAGGTGGAGCACATTTACAATTGGTACATGAGATGTTATCCACAAGACATCTCTGACAAGACCAATCTCTACACAGCAATACAAACTAATGCTGCCTACCAAGGGTTGAAACATCCCGTAAAGAAAACTGAGGATGGAAAATTCCTTCCAGATTTCTCCCACCGTTACATGACGGAGGATATACCGTTTGGCTTGGTTGTCATCCGAGGTATTGCTGAAATCATGGGTATCGAGACACCGAATATCGACAAGGTACTTACATGGAGTCAGCAGCAAATGGGAAAGGAATATCTGGTGGACAAAAAGTTGCAAGGGAAAGATATCAGCACTTCAAGGGCACCACAGAGCTATGGGTTCACTACCATTGAATCCATCCTGTAAACCTGCTTCTTGATATTGTTACCTTAGATTTTAATGTCGAGGTTAAACAACGATATTTGTATTTTTCATTGTTCAAAAGCCATCACAAGAAATGTTTTTCAGGAAAGATAAGAAGAACTGAGGCAGTGATCTGTTTCGATGAAAATGATGTAATTTCCAATTAATGCTTCTTCTAAGGTGCATTTTGCGTAAAGAGGGTATGGCTTGTTGAGTTGCAAAAACCTACTTTAAAAGACATGTTAACCTTTCCTCGATTTTGTCCCACTATTCGTTTTGATCATCGCCGTTGTATTAAGTCTATTACCACTGAAGATGTTCAGTATTAAACCTTATTGTAGTGTTAAACTTTGTAACTTATTTTTGGTCATTTATGGCTCAGTGTCATAAATCATTGCAGAGGTCTACTTTCCCTGATTGTTTCAGGGTAATCAGTACAATAACAAATGTTAGTTTACCAGAGATCAATGGCTTCAGAACTTTGTTAATACTGTTAGAAATAATTTCCTAACACTCGTCGTTCAGTTGACTATTTCTTTTATTCTCTCTTTTATTATGCAAGTTATTACAACGGGGACTAGCTCTGATCTCTCTAGGAAAGTGTGGATCACCGCCTATAAAGGTGACACTTACTGAGCCGTCAATCTCTAACCTTCGTCATTTTTTTGCACTTAACCATCGAATCACGCTAAACTACGCAGAGAGGAGTTCGCATGCTAAGTAGATACCTTTGCGATGTTTACGCTTTACGAAATGTCTTTCTAACTTAAATCTCTTGGTCTTACGGTCAAGTTCGGACAAAACAAAAACAAGATTGACAAAAGAAAAATTATAATGAACTTAACAACAGAATTAAAATCATACTTGAAAAGATATCTTAAGAGAAAATAGTCCTTGAAGGCTGTTGCATAACAGCAGAATAAACACAAAATTCGAAGAAGAAAGGGCGTAAAGAAGAGCTACGTGTTAGCCGTAAAAGTTATCTGATTACAAGTTCAGTGCGGAAGATGAAAAGTACTACATGCTTACGCCTAAAGTCACCTCTAAGTAAAAGAGGTGTTGAGCATGCTAAATTATACCTGTAAGAAAAGACCGCCAAAGGAATAAGAAATGATCAACTAGCTTATTATAATTTTTTCTGAGTGGTTTGTGCTAACATATTATTTTCATTTACTTTCACGTTCAAAGAAGTCAAAAACCACATGATGAAAATTTTTGCTAGTTGCCAATTTTTTGTCTTTTAATATTGTATTTAAAATTCTTTTTGCAACATCTTTTTAAACGTTTAAACGGCCCACGTTCAATTCAAGACAATCAGTGTGGTGAATATATCAAACATTCTAACAATTATGTGTATTATTGAAGAAAAAATAGAACACGGCATTAGGTACGGTGAGAATCAAATCGATAATGCACAGGATGAAAGCTCTCTTTCAGTCAAAGAGTTTCATTTTCGACTCTCCAAGAGTTCACCGGCTACTCCCAACTGTTGAATATCACACATTCTGTAATCACATGCTTTTCTAGGGGCCTTACCAGCGTCATGTTTGATAATTTGCCATCTGTCAGCTTAAAAAGTTTTTTCGGAAATGACTGAGGGTGTTCTTACTCGCCTTTTCAAAAATTTAGTGATAATGTGACCCGACGCAGACGCCACAAAGCTCTTCCTAAACGAATCCGACTATTTTTAGTTTTCTGACCTTGTCACGTTCAAAGAAATGCGAAAAGAAGCCAATAAGAAAGAGAGTTCAAAAGAAAATCATTATTAAAAAATTTTATACCTCCTCATAAGGTATAAAACGGATAATGAAAAGAACTTCTTAATCAGACGTTTGTTGAAGGCATTCTGGCTCAAAAGAGTTTCTTTCCTGCAGTTTTTATTGATGTATAATTGCCTTTTCCTCTCTTGGTGGGTTCACGAAAGGTCGAACACAAACTATCAGGCAAAGGTTATAAATTACAACATGATGGACATGACAAGATGGTATTCAAGGGACGGACCACATAAGGAAGGATCCAGTTCATGGTTAACTTGATATCCAATTGTATATTTAGGTTTTCCTTTATTAGCTATATTTCTTTTGTAGAAGAAAATGCCGGAGCACACGTTATGCTATTTCTAAAACCGATAGGAACAATAATAATTTCGGAATCTTTTCACAACGTACAAAGAACAAACGTTTCGGGGCCTGGGGCGGATCCAGGGGTGGTTCGGGTGGTTCGGTCGAACCCCCTAAACCGAAAGAGAAAACATTCTAACTTGTGCGGTTTCTGAGGAAAAAACACAAGCGAACGAAAAAAAATGCTAGTCTAACATTCGTTTTATGTAAGTGCTTCCTTTTTAATTTGTCTACTTGGAAAAATAACAGGCTTGTTATCCACTCTACTTGCACCCAAAGTGGTCATTTTCGGAAATTATTAAATTACGGTCCCGCTCTCAATGAGCTTATCAGCGTACAGTAATCTGTGATTAGTTAATAATTATATATCTATAATTAGTTGTAGCGTCAAGATACACAAGCCCTATTGCGTAAATTACTGTACAACATCATTTGTTCAAGTTATTTATGTACCGAACAACATTATATTTGTACGAGTTATTATACGTAAATAGTGTTACGCAAGATTTACTGTTTAAATGAGAGAATTAAAGAGTGTTATAAATCTTTCTTGAAACTGGAAGAGTTACAGTATTCAAGTGTACTATCTCGTCAAGAAGTGGTTGTACGACTGTCAGCAGCGCTCAATTAAGAATTACTTTTCCCAAAGGAGTCAGTGTTCTATTTGAATTCGGTCGAGTTATGTCCAAAAGGGGGGAAGCAACAGGAAATTAATCGTTTTTTCAGTCCACCGCCTTCTTATACGTCTTTAGGAAGGTAAGCATGCTAGTCGTGAATTTAGTGTGGTTCAGTTCAGTTCAAAGCTGGGAAAGGAACCAAGCGCTCCAAGAACGGCGTTAAGACAACAGCATGGGGTAAATGCACCCCATGACACACCTGAGGAATATCTATGGCAGGTCGGGTGATATTGAAACGCGTGGAAAATGCATTTTACATTTAAAAAAACTTTATACTTGGAGGATTTCAACTGCTTTTTTTTTTTTCTGGTAGTCCTTGCATAAACCTTGTACCCTGTTTCATCCACATTAATTCTTCGTAGTTGTACATTCACTGCGAACAAAGCTTTCCGGTTAATTTTTATCGTTTTATCGCGTTGAGATAGGCCGCTGTCCACTAGAATTTTCTACAACATTATATCAGTATGGAAACGCGGGCACAAACTCAGCCACAGGGAATCGAGTACCGAAGACGATCGCCAACAAAAAGCGCGCGCTTGGCGCGTGCTTGGCAAAGTAATCATGCCACGACGATCTCGGGAAAGTACAATCGAAGAAAAACGCAGCATACGAAATCAAAGGAGGAAACGTAAACGATTGTCAAGGACAGCTAGGGAAAGGGAGAACAGAGAAATGAGAACACAAAAGGAAAGAGATGCATATTCTTGGCGCGAATGTATTATGGCAAATGGAAAGCATTAGTCGAACAGAATAAAAAGACCCTGGACAAAACCAAGGTAGGTACTCGGTTAGCGTCAAAATAGAATAAAATAGATATCAGAAAATGAGCAGTTGGTTATAAAAAACGATATCACCGAACTGAAGCTGAACGTAATCAAACTAGCATTGTCTTGCATTGTACAAAACGTCCTGGGGTTGACTTCAACATAAACTCATAGGGGGAGGGGAGAGTGTAGCCCTCAAAATTCTTCTCCTTTTTATGATGAAATGAAAAAAAAACTACAATCATTTTCGTAAAATAAGGCAAGGAATCCCCATTTGAAATTGCCTCATTCTGAAATGATTTGGCGGGAATTCATTCATTTCTGTTTGCCAAGCAGACAGGCTAAACTTTCGTCTGAAAAGGACAGTCATTGAGCTTTGAGCATTTTCCCTTCCATCTTGCCATGTAGTGTTGATCTTGCCCTACCAAGGTTACCACACATAAAAAAATGGCCAGGGATAGAAATTTCAAGGTCAGGGAAAAGTCAGGGAAATTAAAGTTTTTACATCACTGAGTTTCATACCATGCTGGAAGAAATATTTCAGATGATCTCAGCAATGTTTTAATGAAGAGGAGACTGGACATTTTGTATCCATTTCATCAGGGAAATTTTATTTTTATCATGGATAGGTCAGTACCTTAATAGTCAGGGAATTTTGGAAAGTTCTGTTTGTATTATATGAAAGGGATAAAGTTTATCAATAAATCTATTAACACGGGAATTACAATTTCCTCGATTGTGATTAGTTTTAAAAACTCCTATTTTCCACTAATTCACTTGCCAAGTTGTTGTTGGACAGTTCCATAAGCCAAATACATTCAAAGTTGTAGTTTAAGTCAACCAATCACATTCAAAGTTGTGGTTTAAATCAATCAATCACAACCTTGGTTTCAATCACCATAGAAACAGTGTACAGATTCCTAAATTGGGGCTTTCTTCAAAACAGAGAATTGGTTTCCCTTGAGCAAAGACAATATTTAAGTGTTCTTTTTAATTTGGAAATTGTAATTTTTATGATTAATTGGTAAAAGGACTTTGTGTCATTCGTTTCGGTCTGTAATCACACTCGTGATAAACAAATTGTACTCCCACTATGCAGTTGTCTGATTTTTTTTATCGCTCATATGATTACAGACCAAAGACTACTCAGTCCTATTACCACTTATTACACAATCTAGCATGTGAATCTTATTAAGCTGACCAGCTTCACTTTTCTTCTGTTTATTACTTTATTCCAGATTAGAGACAGGAATACAAAATCAGGACCACCCAGTAGCAAATTTGCCACTGTTAATTTTAATTGACCCATCTGAGTTTCAACCAATCAGTGAAAAGGAACTAATACTAGGACAGGGTTCATATGGCCGGTGCATTTTAAAATCTCTCAAAAGATTAAACGTTCTTGTGGTAGAAAAACAATGTCTGATGCAAAGCACTAAAGAGATGGTAAAGGAGGCACAAATCATGTAGACTCTCACACACAAAAACATTCCTGCAATAATAGGAATCCAGCTTGAAAGAGAGCCTATATCTCTAGTGATGGAGTTCAAAGGGGAAGAAAATACATCCGCAACAGTCAGTAAACTATTGTATTGCATTGGATTAGGGAAAGTCACACCACAGTAAATTAAAAACAAAAAAAATTTATCACAAAAACAGTTCCAGCAGCACAGAAAGGCCACAATGTTGGATGGATGGCCAGGTATACAATTGGAAAATGAATTGCAAAATGTGTACCAGCATGTTTGTGTTAATCCCATATTATGAAGTATGAGTTGTTTTCAGTAACTCAGTGTCAAATTTTATGGTATAGTTTTCTGTAATAATAACTAATTATCATCATATTGGCTTTCCATTGTTAGACATTAATGCCAATTTCTTGACCAATTGGAAGTAAAACCAAGTATAACTTGTTTGCATATCTAAAAGTAAATAAACAAAGTTAAAACTGGGTGGGTTGCCTTGAGAACCCATCTGTTTTGGTGTGTTGTTTTCTGAGTTCTTAGAAATAAGTGCACACTATCTTAACTCTGGTGTAATTTTGAATATCAGAACCCTGAAGAATAGCCCTTACTAACAGACCTGGTGCATGACACAGTAGTTTGGGTGTGTTTCTATCTGACCAAATGATAGGCTTTGACCTGTTTTGAGAAATATCCATGTCAATGGTACTGTCCATCTAGTGTGTAAACATAGTACTTTTAAATGAATTCAGTAGACTTATTCATTTGATCATTATCATCTGCCACACAACTGTGTTCCCTATTACATTAGTGTTCACTGTGAGATCTAGAATGACATAAATGTAGGCAAAAATGGTATAATAAATTATTTGAGCCTAAGCCTTCTTGTAGTTGAAATATTGGGAAAGAAAGGAAGAAGAAAATAATCAAGAATAGAAGAATTAGGCATATGCAAGATAACATTCTGTTTCCATTGTTACTTTAGCAAATCAGTATTCCTGTTGTGAAGATGTCACATCTTTTATCAACAGGACTGCCAAGATGACTCATCTTTTCGCCAGTTTCTGTTTTCTATTGTAACAATAACTCTTGCAGTCCACTGGCAAAGGCCAAAAATTAACTTAGGAATAAAACAAGGATGCTGTGGCTCAAAAAACTTTGTATTAGGACACTGCCAGCTTGAACCTAAGAGTCAGCATTTAGGCTTTGAGTTTAAGCAGAGACTTTTCCCTTTTTCTAAAATTTATGATCTATTTGCAAGCATTTTCACAAGTCAAAGCCAAAGCCTTCTCTTAAAATTAATGATTGAAAAACCAAGGTATATTAAGTTAACATTTTCTTTCAATTATTAAATTTCATTGTGGCAACTTCACCTTCACCTAACTTCTTCGCGCCAAGTGGCACAGAAGGCCTCATCCCTGAAACATTTTTGTATATTCATCTCTCATCTCGTACCTATCCTGTGTATCCGTGTATGTAAGCTATGTTCGCGCTAAAAATCTAAAGGTGGGAGGATAACCATAACTCCACTGACTCACCTCTACAAGTTAACATTTCTCTCAGTTCCTCTCATATTAAATAAGTCGTGCTGATTAGACATGCTCGAAATGTAAAGGGTATTTTTGACAGAATAATTGAAGACAAGTACGCATGCGTTAAGGGTGTCTGGCTCGATATTTCGATACGCCCACGAAATCAATTGACCGTGAAGATCTGGGAGAAAGCCGTTTACCAACAGGCTACTGGAAAGCGCTTTTAGTTATTCACCATACGGGATAGCTGCATACCCACAAATATGTCGTAGAAAGAACATGCCATCCTACCACTAACAAACAACTTGTGGTTGAAAGCCGGTTAAGACAACAGGACAACAGGCAAAAGAATGGAGTCTTTTATTAAGATTAAAGAATCATATTACGACATTCATAACATTAACCAGGACTCCATTCACGAACGATGACACATTGATCTCTATAGTTTGAAAGGTTATGGAGTCGCATTACAACACTAACCAGGACCCCAATAACTAGCGATGATAAGTTGATCCCCTACTGTTTGACATGCTTTCACACATTCCCAACAGACCCGGGGAAATAACGGTGCGGGAGATGATACTTGCAGTAAAAGCCATATCCTTCCTCTCATGACCTTAAATATTTACAGATATAATGAACGATTGAACAAATAGGCTTATTCATTACAGGGATTTTTTTTACAGATTTGGGTCCACTCAGAAGACCTTCGTGCAATTGCTTGGTCTTGTGCTAATCGCCATTGTAGGGGGCACAAATGTAGACATAGCTGAGGTTTCCAAGATGTATATGTCAGATCTCCCAAGCCCACAACCTCTCGACATTGAATATGATCGTTGGAAGAGAAAATGGCAAATCCGAGACGGACAAACCAGACGCGCTTCAACCTGTCTTGCAGGTTTGAAGTAACTCAATATGTTTTTGTTCAAATTTCCCTTAGCTTAACAAATGAAGACTTTATTGATTACACTTTCTGTCTATCAACAGGCTTGTAATTCCGACATCTTTCCGAATATCCACCTGTTGTTGCGAATTTTATGTACAATTCCAGTAACATCAGCTAATAACGAGCGCTCAAACGGCACTTTAAAACTAGTCCAGGGCTACCTACGGACCGCGATGACAATCGAGAGACTCTCTGGGCCGGTTCTAATGAGTATTCATTGTGAAAAGCCAGTCGATTACAATGCCGTGGTTCAGAAAAATGCCGAACAACAACCTTGTAGAATACTACTCGTTGATCCCATTTTTGAGGAATCTTAGGCGTGACACTTTTTAGAACACATTAAGTAGCGAAGACAAATGTATTACAGTGATTTTAGTTTCATTTTTAAGGAGTCAGTTGATCTCAGTTATTGTAAAGACTTAAACGTAGTCCTAGTTTAATAAAACAGCTTTAAAAAGAGATGATTTTTTGAGTATTAAACCGTGCACCATCATCCCTCAAAACGCTGGAAGTCGCATTTCTGAGGACTTAAATTTCAAAATTTTGGGGGAGCATGCCCCCGGACCCCCCCAGATGGGTCCGTTTGTTCGAACCCCCCCAGAACCTAGATCCGCCCCTAGGAGCGTCTATGCTGGTTATTGCTTCGATGAAGTTATTTAAAGAGCTGCTGTAATTTCGTTGTAACTTACACCAATGTAGAGAGATCCCACAGATAATAAGCTTGATGTTGCGTAAGATAGAAAGGCAGCCGTATTAATTTTCGTAGAATATGAATTTATTGCAAGAGACTTTGATGCGGTTATGGTTTATGTGATTTCTAAGTATTTTTCATCTAAACATTTTTTAACCTTCCAATATTACCTGAACACTTTTTAATTTACTGGAGCTGTTGCTTTGTGTTTAGTCATGTGAAATTTCTCCGAGCTGGAATCAATAGGACACCTTTTTCAAGTTCGAATTTTAAGTTTAGTGCAATAAGTATTGAAAAATATAACCCTGCATAGCCAATTTTTCCACAGACGGTTTTGTTTCAGTGAGAAAACTTGTAACCACTCTGGAAATTCAAGTTCGAATTTCAAATTTAGTGCAATAAGTATTGAAAAATATAACCCTGCGTAGCCAATTTTTCCACAGACGGTTTTGTTCAGTGAGAAAACTTGCAACCACTCTGGAAATTCATTAGAACAATAAGCACAAAAACATAACAACTAGAAGAAGGTGAATAGCTTATCATGTTCGAGCAGAGTGAGATGACTTTTCCTCGGTGTAAAGTTTCCTTAAAAGAAATAGGTTTTGAGAAGAGTACATTTGGTATGCTTAGCAAATATCAGCCACATCCAACACGGCGGATAATTTTCGGTGCATAGTCGTAAATCTTTTTTCCAAGTTTTTAACAAAAGTTTAAAACTATTTATAAAAGATAATGGAGCAACTTTTTTTTAACGGAATGCTAACCATGTTTTAAAAAAAGTTATTTAAATTAGAATTTTTCTTTGGTCATTTGACTCTCTGATTCACGTTCCGTTCGAAGCCAGGGTCCCTGATGACGCCAGGATTAACTCCTTACCTAGTTTGTTCTCGGTAAAACAGAGAATTAAAGTGGTTTTTAATTGTGAAAGTTACATTTTTAAATTTTGGAGTTCTCCTGGTCTCTTGTTCGTTCCGAGACAATCCAAATGTGAAACTGACTTGTGCAGCCATGGCTAAATTAAGTTTAAGAAATGTGGGTAGTGCCTCGGCATAGGAGCCTTTTTTAGCGACTGAAGTGAACGTGAATCGGATAGACAAAGAGATAAGGTGGTCTTCTTGGAAACAGACTTGAAGAAAAACATACTTCATAGTTAGCTAAGATAAATAAGGAGCTTTTCGCTGAGATGAGAGACAATTTCTGCTTGAATTAACTTCAATCGAAATATCTTTGGAAAGAAAATCTGAAATTGTCATAACACCTGAAAAAATGTTTGACGTTATGCATGGGGCCCAGCGACACAAAATTTCTCGGATGCCTAACGTCTATCAATAGAGAAAGATGTTTTTTCTTCTTGTCTTGCGTGGGACAAAGAGTCCGCATGACGAATCGAGCTTCAGACCTTCGGATCCCGCGCTTCGATGCTCTACAACTCTAGCCGTTTTCAGAGCAGGGTGGTTCTGACCTGGTGGGACGAAAAAATTGGGCGTGTGGGTGTGTTATGAAATGTGAAAGCTTAAATTCAGGGATCTAGCCGGATTAGAAAATTTCAAATTTATAGGCGATGGTGTATAAATATTTATATGTTTAAAGGCCTTCAGCTCTCCTAACATTACTGAAAAAAAAAATGGAAAGCGAACATAACCATTTCGTCAAGCAGGTGGCCATTTCTTCTGTGGATGTAACCTGAAGCAAACAATATTAGCGCAGGGTGCGATGAGTAATGGGGCTCTTAAAATCTCAGGGAGGTATGGTGGTGTTTTGTTCCGAAATATATCAAACACGTGTACTTCCTATTTTAGCATCGGCCTGCCACCAATTTAAGTCAGCGAGAAAATCAGTTCTCAAGTAAAGTGGGCTCGTGCAATCGTTTGAGTTGAGACAGGTTTTTAAGGCAGGGGTACAAAGGGACTGTAAATGAGACTTTAATCTATAACTTACAATCCTCGGGTAAGTCATGGCTGACGGCTTAGGTACCAACTTCTGCTTACACGAGAAGAAAAGGCGTGGAAATATGTTTCAAAGCCTTCTGGTAATCCATTGTTGCTTCAGCTGATACGAGCCGTTCGGTGTATTAATTCATAACTGAGTTTTTCATACCTTTCACTCAAAATGACTCTATTCACTTGAAAAATAAATACAGGAAACGCATCAAGCGGCAAAAAAAACCCATTCAAGCTGAAAAAGAATTTAACCAATCAGACCTTGAAGCTGTAAATAGGGATGTAAGTCATACGTTACAACACATTCTTCTAACGGTTCAGCACAAGTGGAATTATAAGAACTGGAATAAGTAAAGAGGTATGTTAAGATAGCCTCATTATCTCAGTCAACATTCTTCAACAATTTTTAGGAAAGATTCTTAGCGCTTCCATTACGTTTTTTCTTCCTTTAAAATTCAGGCTAATGGTGCGTTTGTGGTACCGTGTGATCCTCGATTTGCTGATCATAGGAGCCACTCATGGCCAGTGTAGAACAGGTTCTATATTTTTCCAACCTTAAACAAAATTTGTATTCTAGAATGCTTATTGTAGAAAACCCAAATCATTTATTTGGCACCCAAGCCTTTTGTGACCTGGCTACTTCTTTCTAAATATCTTATTACTCGTCGTACTCGCCTTATGTAATATAAATAGATAAGATCTTTTATCAGCACAGTATACTTCTTTGAAATATAATTTTGTTACTGAGGCAACTTATGCAAAAACGAAACCTTAAGGGTGGGAATAATGTGCAACTGCTTGATTTAGAAATATAATTCTCCGTATTCAATCTACAATAAAAAATCCTGGACTGAATAAGGAACAGGAAATAGAAAAAATGTATTTCTCAGACCATTCAGTTGAGGTTTAAGGGTGTGTTAAATAACATTAAGCACTGAGTTTTTGAACAAGAACGAAGTAACTACTTCTACTTCAAGTCGTTCGTAAAGCCTATGATAAGTAAAGATGTTTCTATTCTGAACTTTTGGAACTCTCAGCTTATTTTCAGATGCAAATCAACATTAATGTCTACGTCTCAACAAAAGTGGAGATTATTATATCGAACTCAATCTTATTTTCTAATTTTAAGGATTATTAACTGTTGAGGGATGCGATATAACACCTTAACAATTACGAAGACGTCTAGAGTGTGGCGGTCTGCAGACAATGCGTAGCCACTCGCCCTCCGGGACAGTCATAACTGAATCCCTCGCAGCTCATGTGTAACCATTCCTCGCAAAACTCGCAGTGTATCTTGTCGTCCCAACACATGGAGTCATTTTGAGTGAAAGGCATCGAACAATAACAAAATAAATTAGTGTCACAAGTTTGTCTCTTATTGAATCTAGCGGTGTTCGACTATCGCGGAAAAGGTTCAAAAACGACCTTTCTCAAAACGTTAAACTAAATGCTTGCGCATTTTCCCTCCGTCAAAAGAAACATCTGACGGGTCATTTCCAGCTGCCAGTTCGTATGGATTGGCGATACGCATGTTTTGAATTAAAAACATACTTTAGTTCGCACTGGAACGTAAAGTTCTATCGATTTCTATAAGAACGTTAAGGATGATGTTTTCACTCAGTTTTGTTGGGGGGGTCCAAATCCGCTAGGACACCGGTGCAGGTTTTACGTGTGTAGCATTTCTTCTCAGAAACGAGTTACGACTAGCGGGAAAATTATCCGAATACATTACTACTATGAAATGGTACAACGATTTCGGGAAAATTTGTCAACATGCTTTTGAATACATTGGTACTACTGCTGATTGCATGCGAACCATTTCACTTTGGAGGAAGGTTATCGCGAATATTTTGTACTTTTTAATTGTTGGTTGGTCTTTCTTTTTGTAGCAACTGAACGCAAAGAAAACGTGGATGCCACCATGTTTTCAATTACATAAAATTCTGATGATAAGAACCGAATTAATCAGTCGGATTTACAGTCAGTGTCATTTAAACACGAGAAAAATTGTCGCATTACTTCTCTGATTTTCAACGGCTATTTTCAAGATGGAACTATTTTAATAGGTTATAAGCCAGAATACGGGACATGAAGGCTGTTGGTCGTTGGTATGCTAACGCCTTGTCACCAAATGAAGCCTTTGGAGGATATTACACTTCTGCTTATATATCACACGCTCTTCAAAAGGGTGCACTGATCTAATATCTGCTTAGTTAAACATCATTTAAATTCAGCAAGCATTCTATAATAACTTTTTGAAGGACAATTGGGTACTTCTACAATTTTTCTCTCAACTTTATCGACCTGATGATAGCCGGGCGTATCTTTGAAATATAACTGACGAAAGGTTATATATATTCGAGGTACTGATACAGAGAAACAGATAAAGGATGGACTGCGAACATTGAGAGCTGTTGCTGTCAAGTATTCCTCTCCAAGGAGGGAGGAGGTCGTTGTTGGAGGTCGATTTCCAGGATTTATCCGTGGAACATTGGCGAATAACCACGCTACCTACGCTTATGCCAGTGCTACAGCACCGTCCTTACAAATCGATGGTAATCTGAGTAGAATTGCCTCTCTGAACAACGCTTTTGTTCAAATGTTTTGCGGCTGTACGATATAACTGAAAATGTGATAACAAATTACTTGGCAGTAAACAGCGGAGGGTCTCTTCAAAAGCACAATATCGACAACAGATGGGACTGGACACGACATCCTGGTGTCTCCAATATCAATTGAACCTTGATCAACTGATAGCGAAGATCGCACGTTTGATCCGTTATTTACCGTGGAGAGAGTCAATTTTCTATGACCGCAACGTACGTCTATCATCAGATGAGTTGGCGGGTAGTATCACTGAGCATTCTAACGAACTCGGGCACTGTATACATGTATATGCTTCAGCGAAACAAGCAGCGGTACTTGACGCGAAAACCGTCGTCTAATAACAGATTATTTAATATTAGCAACTGAATCAGAGCTTTGACGACGACGGCTTACGCTCGAACGTCAATCTTTAAACTCTTTACGGTGGCCAATTTACGTTTTCAACGCAGTTGTTAACACTAAACTACCTGTTATTCTCTCCCACCGACGCAGCACCACAGTTTCTTTAGAAACTTTCACCCTTTATTAATAGCAGATTAATCAAACAGCTTGTCTTAGCAAATTAATTTCATATGAAGACTCGTACGCTTCCAGGAGAATAAAAAATCCAACATCATTTCAATAATTAACGCTGTTTAGCATGAGTTACTGACAAAAATTATATTTTATGATATCTCAACAGATATTTCCAACTCGAGAAACTGGCTGGCTGTAAAATTGGTCGGCGGCGGTGATTATGCAACTAGGGTTTGGGGGATGCTGTTTTCTCAGCCTCCGTATATGTATTCAGCTGGATCTCTTCAATAAAATTTAGCTTCACTTTTAAGTAGAGTGTGTTTTCTATCGACTACGTGATGATTTGCCTGGGCTCTGGCGTTACAGCTGCAGACAGTACCCCTTCTGTAACTCAGGCAGGAAAAAGTCTCCTCGTAGATTAATCTTCATAATTATCATGTACACCAGGAAAATCCTTACCTGTCTCCGTTTCAGTGTACCTGTGTAATAAACCACTTTCGTGCTGCCACTTGCTGCATAATACGTGCAACAGACTGTTACGGTAAAATTTAATCGACAGATAGAACATTATACCCTTATAAACTCAACTACTTTATCAAAAAAACATGCATCATTTTTCCAATAAGGAGCGACTCCTAAAGGTAGTACAGTAATTATCTTCAGTAACTGTTACTTAAGCCTACTGCAAACTATATCTTAGCTCACCACCGAGACAAACTCACAGTTCCTCCAAAGTTCCTTGAAATTAACAACCTTCCACCGTAGCTCTCTCCGGCTCGGTATCAATCCCGACAACAACAACTACTACTATACTACACTACTACTGTACTACTACACGACCGAGTCCTTAAATACATTCGCAACTCTTTTCGTAGTATTAAATCATGACTACGTGACATAATAGAATGCTCCAGAAGGTTCCAGGGCATGTGCATCAGCATGACCAGGCTAGAAATTTCTAGGTATTTATTTTACAGTTTATAGGTATTTACCTCACAGTTAATACTCTGTTGTGAACACTTCCTTTCGGTCCATGGGACCAGCTTATCACAGATCAGACCAATGTGTTTCTGGCACCTTTTAGCACCTTTCTGTGAGCACCAAGATGAAATAGATGAGCGTGATACGTGCTTTCTACTTGTGACATTGGTTCATTACTTTGAAGTAACAGTACCGGGTGAAGGAAGTCTAACCAAAATCATCAAAATCATACATCACTCAAGAAAAGGGAAGAAACACGAGACGTAGTCGAGTGTTTCTCCCTACACTTCTTTCGTGCTTTAACCGCTTACCTCGCGCTTTACAAAAGAAAAGAGCACAATCAAGGCTTCTCTATTTGTTCAAGAGTAAGGCTACACTATCATGAAATGTTTCGAAAGGGGGGGAAGGAGTACCGCCATCTCTTAGTAGTTACATTGTGATTTATTGCTGTCGTAAGCGCAATGCATCTTGGTCTATTCTTAGTCTTTAGCCACTCGGCAAGCAAGCGATAACAAAGTGTATGAAGTGCTTCACAAAGACATCAAAGCCCACGTCAAGATTCTCAACAGCTTCAGGGCAGCCAGGCGAGACGCAATATGGATACATTTTCTTTCACACTAGGTACACTAGGTCCTGTTAGGCGCGTTGCAAAGGTAACCGAATCATTGACGATGTTGTTAAATGTTGTGAACAATTTTTTAAACGCAGTTTACCATTTCTGTCTAGTAACTAAAAGATTAAGAGACCCCTGGTTGTGGAAGGCCAAGAATTTCTCCCAAATCACCCCAATTGTTTCTAGCATGGGGTGTTCTCAGTTGCTTGCAATATTGAGGAAGGGAGACGTTAATAGATATCGTTCTCATCAGGTTCCTCAGTAAGTTTATCATTACTAGTTAAATACGGTACAAGTACGAACAAGTCTACAATTGTTATTTTCATAATGCTGATTGAATCTCAAAAGGTTCTTTTTAAATTTGAATACATTTCTATTTCGCAACACTAACTTACCTCAAACTACATTATTTTCAGGTACCCAGCGTTATCACGGTAGAAGAGGTGGATAGCACCAACTTATACATTGCTATCTCAACTCCAGATCTGAACTTCAACAGTGACGGTGCATTAACTATCGGCAGCCGAGTAAATGACGACGAAAGGTTCTATGCTGTTAGACAGCCAGTAAAAGCGGAGGTATTATGCCTTACCTTTATGCCTTTATGCCTTTCATAAAGATGTAAATCCATCAAAAATGCTCGAAATACTATTCCAACACTCACAATAAAGTAATCGTAAAAATAGTTCATGGAAAAACTCTGTTTTGTTATAAGTTCCTAATATTCATTGCATCACTGAAAACTTTTGTCAGAGAGTCAAGGTCTTGAGACAATAATGAATAACAAGTTGACACCCTCACGATCGTCACTGGTGGCAGGAGGAAGTCCTGAGGGTTAACTGGTGATATTTTCTCCCAAAAAGGTTTTCTCAAGAAGGGTTTTTCTCCCAAAGCCTTTAATTACCATAGGACACGTTTTGATAACTATTACTCATTTGTACAACCTAGAGCTCATGAGGTAAGATGGCTGGATTCAATGTTTTATATGCTTTCCTGTGACCCCTTGAATCATGCTTACAATATACTTTAATATAATTTCAAGGAATCATGATCAAATTGAAAATCGTTCGTAAAATTGTTTAAAAGCTAGCTGAAAACTGAAGTCCATATAGTAAAAGTGCTACGTATTATTTTAGGTGTTTTCAAAAAACCAGTTAATGTTGCTGTTGGAGACGTGAGGGAAAATGGGATCATGGTCGACGATTCACAGAAGTCGACATGTGTGACAGCGACGCCACAGGCAGGAAGTAAAGGAAAACGCGTCAGGTTCTAACTACTGCTGAAGTATTGTTCATCTTTCATATTCACGTCTTTATCTGCAGTTCAAATACATGACTTTCATATATTCACAACCGTTTATTCACCACTTCACGGGTTTATTTGGAACCAACACAGTGACCAGCTCCCAGTTGGCTTGTTAGCTCAGTTGGTAGAGCACTGCACCGGTATCGCAGAGGTCATGGGTTCAAATCCCGTTCAGGCCTGAATTTTTTTAAGGCCTTCTTTTCACTACTGCTTAAGTAGTGTTCATAACTACGAAGATGGCTTTCATATTCACAGCCTGATACTGTAAACGTAACTTGAAATGAGACAAGAAATGTACATCAAGGTAATAGATACTGTCATTGATGTGTAATAGGAATGTACATGCAACACATAACAAATTTAACTCCAAGAGTATTGTGATTTAATGTTCTGCTATACATTAATGATTTTCATCACTGTTTAACGAAATTAGACTGCCACCTTTTTCCGATGATAATAATGTCTTTTATTCTGGAAAGAGTCTGACCGTATTAGATTTTGTGATAAATGCTTAACTCCTTAATGTTGAAACTTGGCTCTCTGCTTGTAACTGAGCTTTCTCTAAAGATTATCAAGTCTATTTTCGTCATCTTCCCCATCCAAAGACGAAAAAATATAAACCTAGATTATCCATATATGGAAAAATCTTAAATGAAGAAACTTTATTCGATATCTTGGAGTAATTATTGACGCTCATCTTTGTTGAAAAATGAGATTTTGCTAATAGCAATGCGCTCGTCAATCTACATTACGCTCTAATTCATCTTTTTCCATTTTTTTTCCTTCATAGCGTGGGGTAATTCCTAGATGTCGAATCTCAATCCCATATTTTTTCATCAAAATCATGTTATTCGTTTTGTCACTTTCTCCTCATTCCTAGAACGTACTGGCCTTATCTTTAAGTCCTTAAAAATCCTGAGATTTTTTATGTTTCCAATTTATTCAATAGTTATTTTTACGGGTATAGCAGTTGTGCATCTTCTTAGCCGACTGACTTCTGCTTCCTCTAAAACCGCGAGCATTAGGTAGAGAGAATTAAAATCTTGGATTCTCTCCTTTGTCAGGATATTATGAACTTCAGGGAGAGCACAGTTTAGATTGTCATCAAACATAAGGCTTTTGTATAAAGTGAAGTAGTAACATATTAAATCAAAACTTAGTTAAGAACACTCCCATATCTTGACTTCCATCCATTTTGAATTGCCTCCAAGACTCTTAGGGCCGCAGGATTGTGATAGCAGAGCGAATGGCTTGTATCACAACAGATATCTGCTTTTGAACTCTCTGTCAGTCTTTCTTCTTTCCTTGTTCATTCGCAACATAAAATGAGTCCATAATACCAGGGAACTTAGTGTATGCTTCGGACTTAAAATAAGTTGGAGAAAACACCACGTGTCTGTAAGGAAAGAAAAAGACTGACCGATAAGATTTGAAATAAAAATGGCTTACCTTGCCTTAGTGTTATTTCTTCAATTGTTTATTTGCTTTTGAAACCATTTCAAAGCCACAATTTACAATCTGTTATCTATCGCTGAACAGACGCGCGGCAACATGAATTTTTTTATTAAACAGTTTTCGAGAAGTATTGGGAAATTAAAAATCATTTAAAGGTTCAGAGCATTACCTGAATACCACGAGGGTTTCTAAGAGGACGGAAACAGATTGTTTGTTCCAGTAGAGCCATCAGCAAAATGCGAGCAACCCATATTCTACAGATCTTATGGGGCTAGCTTTTCTTTTGGTTATGTTGTGTTTCAAATTTGCTTTAGCAACACCTTTTGTATTCATTTTTCCGGTGAGGAGTTAAGAGGAGTATGTGCAACCATGACGACGACCGCGGTGAAAACATGCTTGTCGATTGGCTCGTAAAATTACCGGCCTTGAGATGATTTTTTATTTGTAGTATAACTCGAACTCTAAAACTTATTAGAACGGCTTTGAAATGACTTCAGAAGTGGACAATCAAAAACGATATGATAGAAATGCAACGCGAGTAAGTTACATTTAAAAATTCAAACATACGAATTTTGAGTCTTACTCTGTTGATCCCCAGACCTTCTCTCATAAAGTGCTATTTTAACACGGCTGTCACTGACTTTAGGCTGCCTGAGGTTAAAGTGCTGGTACTGCTCTTTTCTTGTGATGTCAAGAATTCTCTTGAACACAGTGTATCTCCGTCTCAATTACTTTTATATTTCAATTCTCTCTTTAAGTTTTATTTATTGAGGGAAAGATGTCTTAAAACATTAATAAAAAAACTCCATTAATAAAAAATGGCCAGGTTCCAAGCATGACATCTTCTCAACTTATGCAAATATGTGTGTGATTTAAGTGAAGTGGACTTTGAAAATGATATGAAAAATTGGTCACTTTACATGTGCCCAGACGCTATCGACTTCTTTGCTATTATCTTAAATCGCTCTATTTCAATAACCAATATCAAGTTGTTGTGGTACAATGGGAAGAAGGATCTTCCGCCCACCTCAAGAAAGGCCTATATGAAAGCCCATTGTTGTTAATGAAGGCTCTGTTAAGCTGTTGTAAGCGATCGTTGATTATTCGAACCTGCAATGCACTAACATGGAAAAGAGACAAAATCATAAAGGTGTCGAGGACGTTATTCTGTTGAACATTGAAAAAAACATTTTTACAATAGAAAAAGAGGAACCTCCCACCATTTCACAGACCTCTGCTCAGTGATTGTTGCATGATTTGCGAAACATTTTCTGCCCGCTTGTAAAGAGTTGAATATTCTCAGAGGACTGCACTGGTTTACAAACTGTTGTTTTTGTTGTCTCTTAGATCACGATAGTCTCTGTGCCTCAGTGGTAGACCTTTAGCGCAGAATTCAAAGTTTTAGGGTTTGATTCCTTATGTAAAATCAATTTATTTCTTTTCCTACACTTATGACGAGAAGAAAAAAAAAATTCAAGTTACTGTCGTTGTTTGTTGTTTGTGCTGTTTTTACACACTTGTAGCAGCCTATACTCACTCTTCATTGTCTTGGGTTTTCAAATTTCTTTGAAACTCATTTGCAACTGCTTGTAACTCTTGTGTGGCGTTTATCAAAAACTCTGTTGGATACCAATAATTGAGAAAATCAGTGCATGAAAAAAGATCACGTTGTGTCCACTTGTACAAGTTAAGATCGAGAAAAAGATCCATTATTTTTGCACATAACCTTAAACAATAAACCATTTCCGTTGAAATTACTTAGTTTAGCTGGTTAATTCAACACACCTAAGGTAATATTATTTGTCCTCAGTAAGCTGCTGTATTTGACCGATAGATCATCTACAAGGCGACAAATGGCCTCAGCTTGACGAACCACATTAAAAGGTATGAATACCGAGCCTGCGATATCAAAGCCCATTTGTAGCCAAAGCTGCGCAAATGTCAGGTAGTATTTGATGGTTTCCGATGAGTGGCGGCGTGGTATATGAGCTGGATAATTTCCAGACGTCTAATCAAATAGAGAAAAAACTAAGTAAAAAGTTTGTCTTTTTTTTTTGTTAAATTGAATTGCAAACAACATTGATAATGATAATAATGGTAATAGCAACGATAATGAAATGTTTCTGTGTTTGAAGTGTTGGGTGCCTCTTTAAATTTGGAATAAATCGTTGGCATTTGAGGCTTAAGTCGTTTAAACATCATTTTAAAGTAATAAATTTTTCTTGGACTAAACCAAACTAGGAATTTTTATGGTCAAGTAAAGTAAAGACTTTGGGGATTTATGATATAGCTCTGCCCAAACTTAAATAACAGAAGGAAGGGAAAAGAAGAGTCTTGAGATCAGGATTATCTTCAAGCTATTCATTTTACTTGATCAGGTTGAAAGGCCGCTATATCCACACATGGCACACCAATCCTGTACTCAAAAGCAAAGCACCCTCTTCCTGCTCTATCAAACAACGAGAGGCTGGAGTGGAAATAATAAAATTATTCCAGGGTTAAATTTCAAGAAAAAAAAGGATTTTGAAATGAATATGCGGTTCTCAGTGAAACCTTCAAGGAAATGTTTTTAAAGGGCATGTAAACCCAAAAAACGTTCATTTTCTTTTCACATAGATGTTTAGTAAATATATCAAGTACACCAAAGGTGCCATTCGTTTTTTCTTAAAAGTCCATTTTCACTTTGTAAAAGCTCTTCCAAATTCGAAACATTCGCCATTTTGAATGGCGCCATCTTTCCTGTGACGTCACGGGACACGAGTCTTTTCCACAGCCGTTGTTTGCCGGTCTCGTCATGATTTTTTTACTTACAGTTTGCTTCAATATATTCATTTTTTTCATAATGGTAAAGCGTTGTGTCGTCCAGTTTTGTACTGATTCAAACAAAACTGGGCATACAACGCAAATATTTCCAAATGACACAAATTTGAAGCCACAATTTGTGAAACTTGTTCAAATGAAAATAGCCGATTTCGTCGAGCCGTTCGAACATTCTGTTGTTTATAGCAGTCATTTTTCTTCCTGGTGTTGTACCGACAATTCAGGCCCTACCAGAAGCAAATTATTCGGAACTATAAACAACTAGCTGTAGTACTGTATTATTAAATCAATGACAGAAACAACTCAAGCAAATCGATCTCAAAATGTAACAAAACAGATGAAACGGAAAACATTTAGCTTACTCGTTGATTCTCTGTGCCTTACTGCTGCCTGTACGCGTAATAGGCCGTCTCAAGCACCCAGAAATCGAGGCAAATTGACTAAAAACCTGGATACTCAGTGATACAACTTATCTGGGTTTCAGACCCTCGCTCTTCTACTTTTTGCCTCAATTGCCCGATTTCCGTACAACAAACACTTTCACGCCGAGTTGTCGGCATTGGTCGATAAGTTCCACACTCGCACCTTTGACAATTTTATATAAAACACCCTCGGAAGCTCAGCGGGTTTAAAAAATTTCTGTTGCATTCTTTTAGATTGTGCCCTTGCTTTATTGGATTTTCATATCAAATACAAATAAATCACGCAGTAAATTAGATACCAGTCTGAGTTTCCGAGGAGGTCGCATCGCTGTCACATGTTCTGCACTGTGTTCGTGCGGATCGCTTCTGTGAACCCTACGCAGCTCATATTGTTAAGGACGTGGCCCAGACTCTCCTAAAGATTCTAGATCATCCCCATCGCCTTCATATACTAAGCTTAGGGCATTCGAGTCGCCAAAGCTTTTCTGTTGTCATTGTTTTAATCATGCTCAGTCTTGTTCAAAAGCTGAAAAGTGAACACCAACTTATTCTTAGAATAAATCCACTTTTTTTTCAATGGCTATGGCTGATTTCATAGTAGGTGTTAAGCCTTTTGACACAGACCCTCGGGGAGCTATTTTCGGACAATACAAGCAATTATTTAAATGCATCCAAGACAAGTAGTGTTTGAGGCATATCAAAAGTAAGTTGTTTATTTTGTTGCTGACATGAGGTTCATGCATCAATGACTAAACACTTATTCACATAAAAAGCAGATATACAACCTTTTTTGCTGTCTGAAGGGCTCTTTGTTCCAACAACGGACTTAATGTCATCACTATTTCACCTATAACAAAACATACACCATTTGTTCAAATGTGTCTCAGAATTGGAAGGATTTTTATACCCCTCGAAGATTCAGAGATCTTCCAATTGGCGGCCGAATACTGTACCACTAGTCACTATCAAGTGACTGTCTGGGTTATGGTAAGTAAATCATGAAAGATAGAGAGAGGATTTGTTTGAAAATTTTATGGAAAACAATATTCGTCTTGTAGTTGACGTGAAAGCTTGGAAAAACAACCCAAAATTTCCGATGGAGGATGTTTGACAACTAATAAACAATAAGAAAACAAAACACAAAAAATTAATAAGCAATAACTGTCTTACATCTGATACGTGTGAAGGGTCTATATAGTAGGCTGAAGAGTTAGGTATGAAGTATTTCGAAGATAAGGCTGATTCATGCAAAACATTTTGGTCAGTTTTACTGCTCTGTTTTGGGTATAAGACTTAAATATCGTCCTTCAATGCTCATTTGTTATTGGTCAGATGATTTACCTTCTCCAGCCCTATCTACATTGATGTAGGCTACGGCACGTGCATCGAGGATTTTCTGATACTCCTTTGGTAGATGTGAAGGACAACTGATTAAAATGTACACTTCATTCATGTAACAATACGACTCACGTAAACTAAAGAATGTTCTAATAGAATTGTATCATTTGATTATCTGTGTCAATAACAGAACGAGGATTGCAAGAACTCAACATTAGGTATCTAATCGCAATCTGATCGGTAAGTTCTCGTTAGATTTGTGTTATTTACAACTCCTAAAAGAATTAATCGTAAAATGTTCTCTGAAGTCGCTTTTGTTGCATTCAATGCCCTTCTCAACGTCAGCAATCATTATAATGCATTACGGATGATATTTGCTATTTTCAATTCCAATGCATCTCAAACTGATTTTGCGGCCTATTTAGGTCGTTCTGATAACTCGAGATGTCAATTCTCCTTTAAAAAGTACATTAAAAGTAATACATACTTGATTCTTCCTTTGAATGCTTCTCTGAACCCTACCGGAGCTAAATAAATGTCAATTAGGAAGTACCATACCTCGATCCATTCTATAGATCCCATGTTTCCGTATTCACCTGCTCCCCAGCTGCAAATTTTCATGCTTCGCCGGGAAATCCAACCTGAATGAAATTGTCGAGTCAACTCAACTTAAGTTCGACATAATACTTCACCTACAAGGTAATAAAGCTCACCAGCAGCCATACAAATGCACTATACGGCGAAGAAAATTCTTTATTTACCGTGTACGAGTCGATTTAACTGATGGAGATCGTCTCTACCTAATTAAAATTTTCATGACACAAAAGACTTGATCAGACATGATGACGAAAAGAATAGTACTGAAGTACCTCTCTTTCGAACAGAAAGAAGGATCCTTGTGATCTCCATGAGAATCGCTGTGCCGCTTGATGGACGGTGGCTACCGAGTAGTACATAACGATCTGCAATAACATTTTTTTCTATGTGCACATTTAAATTCAATCGCTGACTTTTAATTTCAAATCTATTTTCTTAACTAATAACAGTGGATTTATGTCTTAAAAGAAAAATCGACTTCCAATAACTCGAACCGTGAAGGAATATAACTTAACTTCAAATTGGCGGAATTTCGTCATATCCAAGTGAGACTCCAAGGGAACAGGTATCATTCACTTGAAGGGGATCAATAAGTATAATCTAATTTCGAACGATTCTATGCGTGATGCACTTTTACTCCGGCAGTGTTTGTAAAGTTGGCTTTTGAAACCTTCAAGCTGGATGTTTATTGGAAAAAAAAACAAAAAAACAAAACAAAACAAAAACAAACAAACCAAAAAACAAAACAGGCCCACATTGTTAACATCCAGGGAAAAAAAGAAGAAGAACCACTCTTTGGCTTTACTGGTATTATTTTCAAATGCTGTGTGATGGTCAACAATCATATCCAGAGAACTGCTTCCCTCACCTGGTTCTATTTTCCCTTTGATGGTTCCAACTGTATCACAAACGTATTTTTCAACGAAGGAAAGACTCACGTTCAAAGTGACCTTTCTGTTTTGGAGAAATTAAAGCATAGCCCCATATCTACTTGTTAAATTCATTTTTTTTAGAAGTACATTATCAATTTTCTTGTGGCTTAACATTCCAAGGTAAACGCTTGATAACTCTAAGAGGTTCTCTCTAAAGATATGACTATTACACAGCTTCCATGGTATCATTATTTACAGTTGCAACTCGGCCTAGGCCCACGATCTCAATCCCCTCAGTGCGCTTACGTTATAGCTGATTTCACTTCATGATTTGTTGGATTCTTAACTCGTAAAATTTGTTCAGATCTTCATATATTTTCGCAAACTATGAAAATATGGCTTTAATAGTGAGCAAGACAGCAATGAAACACAGGAGTGAACTTTCTCGCTTTAGGACATACCTTGTGTCATTTGGCTTCATCTGTATTCTATAGTCAAAGTTTAGTCCACCCTGCCAGTCCTGGGGGGGGGTTGTATGGTTAAGCATCCTATTAAATTGATTAAAATGGGACAAAATTCAATTGACGAATGGCAGGAAGATAAACAATTTCCTTTCTTTTAGTTGTGATCCCATTTTAGGTGCTTGTATCTTAACAATTTTTTTCGCTGAAAGCTTCAAGTCCATCGCAGTTCGCCTTTTTTCCCATCTCAATCCTTCTCTTCAGTATTTAGTCTGGTTCCCTTATTAACTCATTTATCCTCGTTTTACTCCTGTGTGAAAAGGGAAAATGTGAGAAACCTCCAGAAACCTTCAGTTTACCTTAATAAAATTTCCGCTTCTCTTTGGTGAATTGGCTGCGCAGGGATCTTGGGGAATGGAATATCATCTATTGTCTCTCTGTAAATTCCAGCTTTATGTAAAAAAATAATAAACAAATAAACGTTCAAGGTTCGATGAGTTCCGATAAAAACCGGGTGCGATAAAACTATTGTACTTTGCAGAGTGATAATATTTATTGTACTCATCTACGTTTAAATTGAGCCTAAACCAAACACAAGAAGCTTGATGACTGACATGTGGCTGGGTAACCAGGCGTTACTGGGTCTCCTCTGTTGACCCATAGGCCCATACTCGGTCCTTCATTACTTGGGTACCATAGAAGTGTTGTGTTACCAGAATAGTCAGAAGGATCAACATATAACAAGACTCCGGCTGCCGACCATTTTTGTGCATTGGTAACCTGCTCATCAAGTAGGAAAAGGATTGATCATTAAAAATTAAGTGGTTCTTTCACCGTTTCCTTATTTCTTTCTCCTTTTTAATATTTTTGAAGCCTTTATAAGTATCTTAGGTAATGGAAGGGCAAGTAAAAATCACTTTGACTGAGCAAAATTACCCACTGAATTGGAATACACCGTGTAGAACGTTTATAAATGAATTAATTACTTTTAAAATAAAGTTCTAAACATGATGCTAAAAAACCGCATTATCTGGTTTAAGGCTTGATTCCACTCATCTTCATTTCTACCTTAGAATAGAAGTTCTGTTAAAAGTCCGTTATCTTTCCAAACTCAAAGTTGATGTGCGCTTTTAAGGCACATTCAAATCAAAGATTGATTTTGCCTCCCTTACTTTTTTTATACTTCCACTATATATTATAAATAGTATCTGCTGTGGTCCAAAACATTTGCTCTAGGAAACCTATGATTTAGACTTCCTCCTTTAAATCAGCTAACGGCGAAACGATTTTTCAGTATCAAATTGAGAAGCAGTGTTGTACATGAAGCTTAAACTCTCGTCTCGCATTTTATACTTAACAACATAACGCAGCAATAACGTTATTTTTTTAACCTATAACGCCAATATTCAAGAGTCGACCCTATATTTGACCTACCTCTCACAGTAAAGTGACTGATCGCTGCGAAAGTACTCTCTGAACTTTCCCATTCTCTAACAAATAACATTGACTTCTAAATAATACATAAAATAAATGAAAACTCAACGGACACCTTATTGGCCTCAGATATCCTTCCATATCTTAGCATCACAATTTTTCCCTTACACGATATGTTTGTATAGTCTAAGTAGTTGAAGTCACTCTCTCTTCCATAGTTGACATACACCAGTTTACCAGACACTGCACCAGAAGCTGAATTGGTGCTAAAAGGAATAGCGTGCTTTGGACCATTATCTTTGTTAGTTGAATCTTCTTTCAGAATTGAAGAATAAACTTCGGTTCCGTTCTGAGTATTCACTGACAGCACGCTAGGCCTCTCGGGATACAACAGTAGAACGTCATAACGCTTCAACTGCACAGCATCGAAGCCGAATGAATTCCATTCGTTTTTGATGAACAGCGCTTGCGCACAACTGTCGTTTGTTCCATCAAGATGTGCAATATTTGCGAAATACCTAGAAAGAGGGATGCTAAACCATTATTATTGGTTCACAATGTTAAATTTTTTCCTTCATTTTTTTTTGTAAATTATTTTTGTAATCTAAAGAACCCTTGCTCTAACAACTGAATTGACTCAAATTTTGTAAGTACATAAAATAGGAAAGTGAGTAAGGTTCTAGTAGGTTTTTTTCTCGTTTGAAATTTCTTTACAACCCGATTTGGACAGGACAGGAAAGGAAATAATCACATTGCAATTGAAAATAAGACCACTGATAACGTGAGAGAACGGGAACCCCAAATTAAAATTAAGTACGTTTCTATTTAGAACCAAAAAAAAAAAACGTCATGTCTAGGTTGAGGTCTGACTCTCTTAAGGACGGCATAGAATTCCAGCCATAGTAGAAATTGGAAGAAAATTATAAATTCGTTTTTTTAATCGACATTTCCCTCGGCGTTGCCGTCCTGACTGCTGAAGATCCATCTTGGAAACTCATGCATGATGTAATTGTATTTCCATGTTGAGAGATATAAAGAGATAAAAGCATGGCATACTTGAGAAATGAACTGAAAGAAGTATTAATATTTAGTGCTTCTTTAAAAGGAATATACTTGAGATACTTGCGAGCCATTTTACGCGGCCTTTGGAAAATGATAAGTTAGAATTGTCTATTTTGCTTGTCTCATGAAAATTCAATTTAGCAAGCATCAGAGTAAACTAGTAAATTTGAATTCTGATCATTCAACACGGATCTGGAAATTCCGCGTTATTCTTCAAAGTTACTGAAAACCAAATTCCACTCAGCCACGCAACATTTCAAATATTTGATTTTCAGCTCAGTCTAAATTAGCCTGGTAAATTTTTATTTTTCTTCTTGATTGGCTGTCCACTTGTCAAGTTAACCATGTCAAAATTAACCTTTAGTTTCATCCTTCTCTTCAATTTGCTGAAAGCCTAAGATGACGATCCGAATGAATTCACCTATTTTTAGTATTCATCTTGGTCCTACATTACAGGAGCCTTTAAAATTGATTGAAAAGATTCAATCTCATGCGCTGGTGGCTCTTATATCTTCTCTATCTTTCAAGCTAGTAGGCTTAATTGTAACGAAAACCAATGTACATGACGACTTGTACAGTTTTTGGAGAGATTTTGTTACTAACACAGCATTTAAACAATAGAATGTCTTCACTGCTAAAAATTATTGATTCCTCAGCTGGCATTGAAATGTGCTCTAATTTTGCTCTGTTGGGCACAAAAATTTAAACGTGGAGATTATCTTTTCAATTAGTAATCATCTGATAGTTGCGTTTAATAAATGTCGGTTGAAGAGGGACAAAGCTCATAATTATAGAAACCTCCTTGTAGCATCATGGAAAGAACGAGAAAAGAAAGTTGATGAGCGTCTTAATATTTGATGTATTCAATGTTAGATCCAGAAGATTTGAAAACTTGAATGTTTAGCTCTCACAAGGACTCGTTATTCACAAAACGCCTGTGCTAATTATCATTCTTTGGCAGCATTATCAGGATTGATGCTCGTGTTTAAATTGCTTAAACGTAAATAAAGTGGTGCATAAGTTCATGCCTCTACGTATTATGGTTATGTAAAATGGTACTCACTTTAGATAATAGGCGATCTTCCGTCCTGAAATTAGTTCGAAAGCTTCTTGCTCAAGTAATTTTCTTGATGTGTCATCATTTTCATTTTTCGCGCCACAGCAGTTTGAGTACTCAGCACCCGGGCAGGAAAAATAACCGGTGATAAACCCGACGATGAAGATAAAAAAAATGAATGAAAAGAAACCTAACACAAACTTCTTTTGCACTGACATTCCCGTTAGAATCCTGGTGGAAAACCACCGATTTTCACGCGGCTAGCTACTTGCCTCTCATTACAGTGTGTTCACGTTCATATGGAAATTTTGTTTGAAGTAAGTCCAGTGTCAACATGATCGTTAGACATCTGTAAACACACTGACTGACAATCAATTTTCCAGCTGTTGCTTAGTTCTTGAATTCTACTGGTGGATTTAAAGGTGCCTAATTATTTAGTCCCCCTCAGTTTGCGAAAACAGCCTTCTCTTGAAAATATTAACCAATGTGGGAAGGCTTTCAAAACTAGGCTTCCAGGAATGCGTTATTTCGATCAACTCGTATGGTTTGCCAATTAGAATAATCGCTGAATAATCTTTTAATTACAGGGGCATGAATCGATCGAGAGAAAAAAGCCGCACGGCCCAACGCTAATTAGAAGGATAGTGGATACAAGACACGCAACAAAAGATTTGTACTTGTGGGTGAACTGGAGAAGCTTTGAATCTCTGTTGCTGTCTGTCTGGTGATGTGGGAAGGTAAGATAAGAAAACTCTTTGAAAACAAACATTAGTGTACATAAGCTTCTTGCAAAGAAGAGTTTGTTATAAAGGAAGTTCGGAACAATTGGACATTAAGAATTTATATGAAGGATTCTTATCATCTTGAAATATGTAAATCTCTCGTGATCAAAATCAGAAATGTCAAGGGCAATGATGACAGGAAATTTGCCTTGTTTTTGCATTTGCTATATACTTATAGCAATTTTCTTTAGTATCGACAGTGAAATATTCCGTCTGGCGTCAGACAGCCAGTCGACCAGAATTATGGTGAATGACGCGTATCATTAACTAGCATTAGAATTCAGCGTTACCATCAGGATCTAACACTAAGTCAACACTGCTTTAGTCTTTATAAAGACGCGTTTCCCTGTCGAAAAACGTCATTGCTAAATGAAAAAAGAGATAAATATATTAATGAATAATGAGAACGAAAACATTCCCAGTACAGAAACCCTAAGAATTCAGTACTCAGCTTGGGAAATAATGCCATTTGCAGAGGGAAGAGAAATTACAAGGAGCACTGTGACAGTCTTTCAGCTGCTTCCAACACGTATATTCGGAAGAGTGCCTCTTTTTAGATGCAGGTGTTTTAGACCCACTCGGACACAAGCGAATTTTCTCTCACTTTTCTATATACCACGGTATACGTTACCGCAGAACTTGATTGGACGTCAGTTTTGATCAATTTTGATGAGATGTGTATTTGTCTGTCTGCAGTTGATGTTAGGGGCGGAGAAGTCAAACAAACCAAAGGCCAATAAATTGGCTTTTGTGGCTGTTTGCATCTCGATTGGCTAAAACAAAGAAACCCCACCCACAACCGTCGCAGCTTAACTTTTCAGTCAGGCGTCCCTTCGACACAATAAATGGAGGCCATCATGTTTAGGTTGTTTTAAAGTTTTATTGTTCAGATTAAAAACAAACTGTACTTCGCTGGTCATTTTAAAGTGATATTTCCCGGTTGACTAATCTCAAAACTTTGTCACGAAAACATTGTGCAATATTCCGTGATTGATGTAGGAATTATCGTTTGACAGTCAATTGTAATAGTACTCTATTTTTCGAGTTTAAAGCAGAATATAATGTAACAGCTATAACTTCAAAATGGGACATGTAAAAATATCAAATTGAGGGTGTTAAGCTAAGATCATTTAAGACTATTATGTTCAAATTGCGTATACTGAGCATCCTCTGGGCAGGTTTGTAAAGATGATCATATTACCGATCATGGCGTAAGTGCAACAGTCACGAAGAAATACAGTTCCGAAGCTATCCTTATCAATGATTTAGCAATTCGGTCGGATTTCGCTTTGTCTCGTTTTTGCATCCTTCAAGAAATGCCTTTTCCTCTTAACTAAGAATATCTTTATAAAATGTCATCTTAAAGAGACTATTCGAACTCATGTAGTGGAGTTTCTCTCGTCTTGATTTCTTTCTTAATGTACATTTAAAGGTGAATGGTTACGAGAGTGTTTTGGGTTGTAAAAAGCAATATTCTTTAATATATCAGATCCTACTATTTTATATCTTAGGTGACTCAACCCGACTTCATTGTTGTATTGTTACGAAGAGGTACTAATTTTTCATGATTAGATTCCAAGTGAGCTTTAAAAGCGTGGGTACATGTAGTGATTACAATATACAGTGGATTCACATTTGTGACTAATTTACAACTTGTGGTTTATTTCTCTCTACAATGGCCTACAATTACTTCTTGAAATTTTCAGATTTTAGGGTTGGCTCATAACTCCTTTCACTTTGTTCCCATGAAATGAAATTGACCTTAATTTAATCGAAAATGTGAGTACGGTGTGAGCAGAGCTTCAAACGCAAAACTGACATTTTACACACCCATCAGTACAATCTGAGATAAAATTGAAGAAAAATACATATTAGAAGCAAGGAAAGATGTACAGCAAAAGAGGACTGATAAATGTGTATTTGAGTCCTTGTAATTGAGGACGTTTTAGTCAGTTTTACAGTGGCTTTGGTAAATAGGCCTTCTCTGGGACCTTAAATCGCCGTAACTTTAGGTGACTTTGGGCGATTTAAGGCGACTTTAGGTGACTTTAGCAAAATTGGCAGAAAAAATATTGCGACTTTAGGCGATTTAAGGCGACTTAAAGCGATTTTATTTGACTGAAGCGATAAAACCAAAGTTAGCAACTGTCTTTCCACAAACTTAAAATAATGTCTACAAAATCCCTTGCAATAAACACAACAGTCGTTTCGGTTACTTTGGTATGCTTATAAGTCACCATAGTCTAAAATATCCAGATTTCAAATCAGCATACTAATATAATTACAGAGCACATGTGTTACAAAATGGGAAACATCTCTTCTCTCTGAATAGAATAAGAATGATGATCTCTATCTTAATACCCTAATTGCGGCACTGTGCGTTCCAAACTTCATGATGTGAAACACTTTTCATACTTGAAAAATCTACGCTACCTATGGTACAATCTGCACATAAACCAATCATAACTAGATCTCCTCTGTTAATTGGAGACTAGCACAGTTGTAGCCTTTTCCGCTTCACTCTTCGACTGAGAGAGCCAAATATCCTAAAATGATTCATATTTTTTACATGTATGACTGGGTAACCCTTTAAACCATTAGTATAAAGCATTCAAACAAAGACGAACAAAATGTTTATGAAAGCATAAAATTCAAAAACTTGAATTTTCTCAAACTAATTCTAAACTTTGCACAATTAATTACAGCTGGCAGTAAGATTTTTTTGAAGTAAGCAGTACATCAAGAAAGTATTTTTTTCCATCGGTTAAATAGATTTCAGAGTCATGACGTTAGTGGCAGATTGGATATAAAATACTGCAACAGACAACTCCTTTTCCACTAGTTCCCAGTCTTTGCTGTTAAGCTGCTGCACGGAGTACAAGGCATCCACCAATCCAGGGAAGCTGCTGCCAGCGTAAGCGTTGTGGGCACTGGGAGCGAACACCACGTGACTAAAAAGATATGAGGTGGCATAAAAAAACTGAACGAAAAAACGAATTTCTTAAAGATATTTGTCACATGAAAGATTTAAGGTATTACGAGGTGTCTCTGGTAGTAGGGTATATTGTGTTTAACCTTAATAAAGAAGAATTTTGTTGGATATCTACCGCGCCGCCAAGTAGGAGGTTATTACGCACCATTTTTACTGTCACTGGGGTGAATCAAAAAGAATGTAACTCTTTGTGCCAAATTGCACATGAGAAGCGTGTTGTTTGGGTAGTTTATATAACTTTACTTAATAAACACTTCACGAACTTTTTCCGAAACTCAACCCCATCGTTTTAAATAGGAAATTGAAGATTAATTCCCCGTTGAATTATAATATTACCGCATGTAAGGCCTTCCCGGCAGTCCTTGAGGGTTGATAAAGGCTCTCTCGAGCTGCATCAGGCGATCATTGGCTATTCGAAGTTTCAAGGAACTATTGTTGGAAACATAAAGTTAAAACAAATAAATATCAGGTGGTATCGACAAACCGATTTCACACTAATGAAAACTTGCTCTACAATGTATTTTACTCACTCCTTTTGGTCAACAGAATTCAACCATTCTTCGAATTCGGAGGTTGCGTCACTGAAGTTAGTAACAGTAGACATAAGATTATCTAAGAGAGAGAAAAAGAATTAAGTTATTTTCTGTTGGCTCGGGGGAAATCTGTCTTTCTGACATGTCACGATCTGAAATTTCAAAATTCGCAAAAAATGACCGAGTCCAAGTAGGCCACTTACCAAGGACTATATTGTGCTGATTGAGAATTTTCTCGTACTTAGTTTGGATGTCTTTGGCATAATAAGTTAATCTGCTAGCATATTGTGAGCAGTTGAAGGGCAGCAATGGCTGATCAGTCAAAGTCAAAGCAATCTGAAGCCACAACTGAGTCAATGTCTTGTGATATTCAAAGTCACGATCAACAAAGGTCTTCATCCAGTAAAATGTGTCATGTACACTGTGGTAAACTGGATAGTTAGAAACAGGCCACTTAACCTGTAAGATATAAGAAACGATTTAACAAATCGATAGTGGTTTAGCGTGGTCTTTACTCTCATCGACTACGATATTCAACATCATAGTGATCAAAATGTTGTAAACTAACGAGGCACAGCCGAGTGAGTCCGCAGCAAGTTAACCACAAATAACCAAGCTAAATCGCTGTTGGTTTGTTTGTTTTTTTAACATAATGTAGACGTCAAAATTCCGAGTCATCCATGTTTGAGAGCTGATAAAGGCATCGCGTGACAATTTGACGTGAGCAGCGTTGTTTGTATCCTTGTCGACAATTACTGCCAATTGGGTTAGAATCTATGTTTTAGTTTTGTGTAAGGATGTCATGACCAATGTATTAAACATAAATCTTTGTAAGGAGTTTGTTAAGACAACCATCGTAGCATAATCTTTAACGATCTTGTTTTCTAGAATTGAACCCGAAAGGGAATTGTTAATCAAGGTGTTTGGTGAATGAGAATTTTATGGCGCAGACAGCTTGGAAGCACAGATTATTTTACTATTTTCCATTGCAGGTTAAAGGTCATGTGATGATCTCACCTTGTCATAAGTGAACTCGAAGTAAATTGATGGCACCCCCAGCCGAAAGTACACGGTCTGGTGGTCACTTCCAGAACCAACCTTTGAAACACTGAAATTCAATAGAATTAAAATTCATAGAATGCATCCCTCACAAGGATATTGATTGACTGCATGCAAATTAATGAGCTACACTTTAAGTGATGCTTCTCTATAAATCTTTCGAAAACATAACCGACTGAAAAATACTCACGTTGGCAGCTTTGGATTGTCTTTATTCGGGACTTTCTTCTTCCAGTCGTCAAATAACATTTCAGTGGATTCTCTTACACCAGGAGGTTTGATCTACAGAAATAATGATATTGTTTTGTATGTTTTATTGCCCATGAACTCGACTTAGACCAGAGAGTGTATTGATCATTACACCGGGAAATGAATGGCCCGAATGCCTTTAGCGTGGGGGCGTGCTAAAGTTATATTAAGTGTTCCCAACTTACCTTTTTAGTTGCCTCCATAAAAGCAAATTCTAAGAGGGGACTGGACTGAACCATTAAACTGTAATTCCCTAAATTTGAAAAAAAAAATATATATTGATTCACAGCGAAGGTGAGAAGACAACTTAGATGAACACTTTCATCTGGTGAACAATGTTCCAGCGAGGAATTAAAGAGATGAATTCCACTTGTTGAACAACTTAAAAAATATCACGCCCAGATCTTTGAAAATTGCGACGATTTTTTATATTTCCTTCGTCTTAATTATAAAATAGATTCCCCTTGTGCCTGTTTAAATAGATTACAGATAATACACCGACCTGCGCAAAATAAGGCACTTCTCTGATAAAGAAGTAAGGGTTACCCACCTACCTTTCACAGCAACGTCAACATTGAGATAAGCAACAGCTCGATTGGAAAGAAGATTGGCAAAATCCTTTAATAAAGAAGAAAAATGACGAATTATTACAATATGCGATTATCAAAGCGACCAAATTGTGCGAGTTTAAGTTCTATTTTGGTGATTTTTTCAGTGTATTTATTTCAAGCATGATCCATGCCTCTTACCACGGAGTAACGCGCATGCACCAGATTAAACCTCAACATTCCTATAATCAGGTTCAGATCAGTTTGGGATATTTACAAACAAGCAGATACCACCCATATTTCAAAAATTGTATGTTTGTTACGTTTCTTCGTACTGTTTAACTTACCTCAGCCCATTCAGTTGAACCAAGCATCCCATGCTCCTCTGCTCCCCAACTACAAAGCACCATGGTCCTTCGTGGTTTCCACCCTATGAAATATACGCATATAAGATACGACCAACCGAAACCTGCCAAATCCACCAAACCATAAGCTGATTACGTTACCTTTTTTTCGCATTTCTCCTAGTCGCATGGAAAGTTCCATCAAAGCCGCTGTACCGCTGGACGCATCTGCAGCACCAAAGATCCAGGAGTCTCTGTGGTTGCCAAGTAATACCAATCGATCTGTTTGAAAAACAAACCGTACAACGTAAAGAAATGGAATAATCATGGGTGACGAAGAAGTGTGATTTTCAATTGACTCACCTGGTTCTTCTTGTCCATTTATATTGCCGATAACGTTATACACGGCCGTTTTCTCCAGCTTCATTTTTATGTCTAAGTTGACTTTCCTGAAAGAGACGTTAAAGCGACGGGGAAAGAAGAACATGTAAGCGTAAGCTCAAAAAAGAATGAATGAATTAGAAGCTAAAATAAGCTTAACGATCATCCCTGACTTTGCTAATAAGATTTCTTTACCTTTTGTCTTGAGTTGCCATAGTAATGTTGTACTTGATTTGTAGTTCTCCCTGCCAGTCCTCAGGGGCTTCATTTCCAGTCAGTAGTCTAAAGATTTCATACAAAATGCTATATTCACAAAATTTCGGCTGATTATAGAAATAGTTTTAAGCTATAAAATTTACGAAATTTCTGTATAGTGTACGTTTTAGCACCCAAGTTAATACAAAAAAAGGAATGGCTCATAAAACTACTCAGTTAAGAATGCAAATTAACTTAACTGAAGTTAATGAAGCATAATAAGTAGTCGTCGACTACATGGGGTTGGGGATTCAGGATTTTTCTTCATCCCCAGCTGTAGTGTTTGTTCTCTGCCTCGCTTATTAAAATCATTCTAAACGGTTTGATTATATATGTTCAATATTTCCAAGTGTGCCCGGGAGTGCTTGCCTGGTTTTCCTTGCAAAAAAAGTTTTGACAACATCATTTGCGTACATTTTAGGAAGGAATCATTTCAGAAGTCAACACCTACTTTAAAAAATGCGCAGCGTCCTCGTACGAGATGGGGTAAACTGGAATACTGGGGAGAGCAGCTTTGTTTTCTGCAATTCTGTAGATTCCGTCTTAAAAACAATATCGAAAATTCATTGATATTAGGACAGCGTAAAAACTATTCCATTAAACGCTAAATCGTTAATTTAAAGCCGATTTGTAACACTCAGTCAAGCAATAAATGCAACCCACCTCTTGCAGGATATCCTGGGGTGAGAGGATCTCCCTGTTCGAAATTAAGTAGAGTTCCTCTTTGTATTCCCGAAGGAGGAAGCCACCAACTGTTTGGGAAAGTGTTGCCAGCTCCCTCAAGACTGACGTCAGATGGGTCTGTGTACAAGATCAGTCCAATGGCGCCTGCTTCTGCTGCGATTCTCGCCTGAAAATAGATTGATCCAAAATCCACCTCACGACAAGTTGCGACACACATTCAGTTTATCTAGTTTTCTTTTTTTTTTTCTAGTATACTTTGGCTTAATTTATTTTATATAGCAGGTCCCGGTTTATAATCTACTCGACAGCCTGTTTGAAAGAGGTCTTCAAGCGCCTTATTCAAATGGTTATATGTATACACTACCTGCCCAATCTGTCCGATGATACTCACTTTGTCTCCCCTGTAAATTTTTCCGTACTTCGCAATCACAATCTGACCCTTAACGCTGATGTTCATTTCGCAGAGTTCCTGAAAATCCTCCACCATTGCATAGTTGACGTAAACCAAACGTGCCTGTCAAAAATTAATACAAAACAGGTTTCTGTTGCATCGTGAGGAACACTGCCGAAAGTTCTGTTCTGTATGATATTTCCTAATGTGTCCCAACATGTAAATGAATCTTCCCCGAGTTTCATAGTTTATCACAATAAACTTAGTCTCAGTTTAAAGCTTCATTAATTTAGAACCACAATTACCTCTTAATATGTCTTTACATGTCTTGTCTCCTTCATTTTATACAGAGAGACCTCTGAGTGAATCGATGTGAATAGGCCTGGTCTCCATGTAATTGCCTTGACCAGGTTGTCTCAAAATTTGGAGGCCGGATCAAGGCCAATCGGAAGACAGCCGTTCAGACACGACAATCGTGAAAGAATTTTTCGAGACTAAACTTAGTACTTCTGGATAGTTTGACTTCGGGACGTAGATAAAAATTATCATATGTTCAATTGTTGATGGCAATTTTCTGATTTGTTACGCTAACCTACATTTTTCAATGTGCAGGTTGTGTGTGAGTGTTTGTTGGTTGGTTGGTTCCGTGTTTTATTCTCAAACTAGAGAGAAACTCCTATGCTTTAAAGAGAAAATTAATATGAAGACGATATATGTGAGTTGATTTGATTTCAGGGTGGAACCACTCTTAACGATAGACGCAATCGAAATGTATCTTGGTGGAACCAATTTTTCCGGGATCCGTTGCATCTGCCGAATAACAGTAATTAGTGTCGACAACGGCGTTTCTCAAATGCTCGAGGCTATTGCTTGAAAGCCATTGCGTTGCTCAAGTCATCTTGATCGTACATTAAGTTTATTTCTCATGACTAAAGAGATAATCGTAACAACCCAGGCGATCATGGATAAACAAGAAGGTTTAGAAATATATTTGTCAACTCAACTATTACAAGAGAGAACTGTATGAGTGTTCATGTGTAATGGGGTCACCATATCACCTTCGTTCATTTCACGCCAAGTGTAAGGATATAAGACAAATCTCGAAATGTGCCAGCTTCAAAGGGGTAACTGTAAGGGTTATGCATCTAAAACTATTTAGCATTGGCATTTGTGTTTTGAAATCCGCTGGTTTTTCAATCTTGTGTGTCATTAACCACCTTTTTATCTTTTGGTGCATTCTTGTCGGGTTATTGTTTTTCTTCCCTGCTAAACTTCCTTGTCTAAAGCATTTCCTCAAATCAACTAGCTTAATTTTCAACGAACTCATAGAAAGACCACTCAGAAGATAGCTTCTCCTCACTTTGTTTATGCAGGGTACCCATCCTCAGCATTTTTATCATTCCTCACTTACCGTGACATTTCCACTACTGGAGTAAGCATTAAAAGGTGTAAGTACATCTGGAGAATCCTCAGAACGCTCGAGTACTTTCTCCTCTCTCTGAGCAGTAAAGACAGTTGAGCCGTTGGCGGATTTTATCGACGCTATGCCGGGTCTGTCCGGATAGGAAAGCAGTACATCGTACTTTTTCAGTTCGACTTTGTCCAGTCCATACTGTTCCCATTTCTCTTTGATGAATTTCGCTTGCTCATAGCTGACGTTGGACCCACTTGGATGAGGCGCTTTGGAAAAATACCTAAAGAATCGCGGAAAAATACAATGCAGTTATCGAGATGAAAAATATTAAGTTTGTCAACAGTAAGGTTGTCAACTTAAGTACCCACTTTCTCCCCCGTCCATCAAAGTAAGCATGCTACGTCAATCCTATTTTAAGCAAAATATACCACTATAATATTTATACAAAATGAAATCTCTGCCTGTAGATAGGAGAACTAAATATATGAACGACTGTCAAGGAGGAGATGTCTGTGATGATATTCACTAAGTATTAAAAGAAAGAAAAGAAAGGAATACGAATTAAATTTCTGAAGTTCGTAGGTACTGAGCGGTGATTACAGCAAGTCATATAGAGCTCGTTTAGCTAAACGATGCTAAAGATTGAGATGTAAGTAGATACTTCGGTGAGCAATCTTCGTGTCTGACGATTCTCTGTACTGAACTAGTCAAAAGCTCTTATAATAATCACAAAAAAACATTTTAAAACACTCTGTAAAAAGCAAGTACCTCCTCTGTCAATTTGTTAAATTGTTTTTAAAGAACCGCTTTTAGCGTGACTGCCTGCAAAACTTCGTGACAGAAACTTGTCGCCTTATTTTAATAATGCATGGTAATTTCAACACTGACTTACCTTGAAGACTCTTTTATGTTTCTACTCGATATTCTATTGATAAATGGCCCGTGGAGACTGTCTAAGTCTTCACGGGACGAGACTGTTGCTTTACATTCACGAATATTTTGTGTCGATATGAAATAACCGCACACAGTTCCTAGTCCACATAGAACAAAAACGATGAGTGTTCTCATTACACAACGCCTCGATCTCCATTTGATTGGAATAATTGTGTTTGTCTCCTCTTCGTCGGGATTAAGACGCGAGTATCTTCTTCCTCGAAATTGTCGTGAAAGTTCAAAATCTGTGTGAGAGTTGAGAAGCGGTTCCGAGTCATAATCGTCGTAGATATATTCATCTTCTACTGGAAAATCCCCTCTTAAAAATCCATCGTCGAAATTAAATTCACTTTGTGTACCACGTGGAGAGATAGAGTCTGACAAAGCCATCGACTACTTGGCAACACGTTGATTATTTCCGTTTTGTCGCTTGTTTTTTTCCTTCCGGGAACCAATTTCAACTACAGATGATACCTTCTATCTAGATTTCATACAAGAAGACTTTGTAAGTGCATAATTATTATTCACTTCCAAAAAGAGTGCCGTATACAATAATTTGCCACCAGTAGCTTTGTCTGTTGTTATCATCGTAGGTAAGGGGTTGGTAATGAAAAAAACTTCTTTTTAAAAAAAGGTCCAGTCTCTCTCGTTTCAAAATTCGCAACCCTGCGTGTATCAACCCGGGAATCGAGTTTCCAAATCTAGCTTGAAAGGAAACATTTACACTGTAACGTTATGAGCTTTAACACATAGTTGGTTTGAAAACGCTAGCTTGAATTAAAAGGGAGGAAGGTGAAAAAAAACACAAAAAACAACAAAGACTATTTAGCACAAGAGATTTTCGGAGGGCTTAGGCCGAATGTTAATTCCGGAAGTGAAAAAATTGATGGTTAAGCCCTTCAACGAATTCTATGTTGTTCAGTCATGGAGCATTGACAGTTTCTTTGTGAGGGAATCAGGTTAAGCCCTTCAACGAATTCTATGTTGTTCAGTCATGGAGCATTAACAAATTCTTTATGGGGGAATCAGATTTGTTTTTCTCGTTATTCTACGCTTGTAACAAAAGAATTGCGTCTTTAATTACTGTTATCATTTTCAATGCTTGAAAATTTTAAAATAAATATGTTAAGTACGTCGTCCTTTCCCCATTTCTTCTTAAGTTTACCAATGTCCTGAAATAAGACTATTATTATTGGCGAAACCAGAGCAAAACAGTTGTAGGCCCAACATACTTGTAAAGAACTAAACACCCGTTTATTAGTATCTTTTGTTTTTGCCCTTTGGGATTTTTGAATGGTAGTTTGTCGTGCGTGCGGAATGTATTTTAGCGTGTTAGTCGAGTAATTTACTGTAATATATTAGTATCTAAAGGATGTGTAAGCCTCTTCGGGTCAGTTTTTACGCTTGCCATTTCCAAGCGGTCATTTTCGCCCTACGGCAGCTAGATTTCACGTTACAGTTCGTCGCCGCTCCAGAGCAGTTTTTTCCCAGCTCCTAACAAATGTAAGTGTTACTTTGGTCCAACTTTCCGTTGCATTTTAGTTCACTTTGTAACGTTCTTTTCTTTGTTTGTATTTTAGTTTTAACCGCTTTGAACAACCGCAACTACAACATCGTTTCTTAATTGAAGCGCGTTAATACAATGCTAGAGTGTTTGGAGTGTTTAGTCCACTGTTGGAAGTTCTAATTCTCCTGTTAGGCTAAATACCATTCAAATTATTCATACTAGAACTCAAATGTTCTAAATGAATTCTGGGGCAAGGACCGTTTCTCTGGTGGCCTACTGGATGATATGATATCAGTTCTTTACTCTATCAGTAACTGTACTTTTCTCAGTCACTACCACTAAAATTTTAACAAGAATGGATACATTTCAAGTGCATGTAATTCACGTAGGTGCATCTTGGTCCCACCACGCAGCCGCAGAAACAGAGAAAAATCATCAAGGCACAATTTATATTTGTTATTTGTATACCTCCACTGGGCGGCCGGAGTCACGAATCAAGAAGAGATTAATATTCGAACTGATCTTTAATAGCTTAAACGCCAGAAAATTTATTTTGTAGTCTAACTAAACACTTTAATATCAGAATTCAACCAGGTTATTCTCAGATCAATTGTCACCTTTAGGTCGTCTCCATGCAGGAACTGATAATCGTCGTTTGACTTTGGTAGCTTGGTGGATGTTTTTCGGAAGATTAAAGTGCAATTTTATGTAGATGACACATCAATGGACGGTTCTGATAATCTGAAGTTAATAAATCCTTTAAAAGTGCAAAAGGAAATGGTTGAAGGCCAATCGTAATGAAACAATCTTGTTAGTCAAAATAAAACGACTGCTGCGCCAAGACAGAGCAGGTAATAATTGATATGCAAGAAGAATTGAAATAAGCTTCACCCTGGACAGCTGGAAGCCTCCACTTCCCAAATTATTTCTCGTTTCAATTTGTTTAAAATTATTCCTTAGCCTTAGTTTAGTTTCGTAACATCAATTTTTTTCATCACTAGTTCTTTTATTGTGAAGACGAAGATACGATTCACGATACGTCCTTGGCTAAAGTCACCATGCCTGAATGTGATGATCATGGAAGTCAGATGGAAGGCTTGATCTAAATTATCAGAACTTACGAACTATAAAATGGCATGTCTCGTTTTTAAATAATGTTGTAAGGTCTCTGCTAGAATTAAAAAGAATGCGAAAAGGTCCCGCCAACCATTATGTCAAACACTGTTTTCCTTGAGTTTCTCACTGCTTATGTACACACTGCAACCTCACGCAGCCTGATTTCGAAGCAGGATATATTAAAGAGGTATAGAAGTGTTTTGGTACAAGGGCTTGTAAAAACCAATGTTTGGTTAGTCCAATGCCTTGCCTGAACTGGGATTATATTTTTCTCGACATGATTCACTGACTTTGGCCTGGCAAGCATGTGTACCTACGTTTTAATGATATAACCAAAACAAGATTTTATGCCGTGACCCCCAATAAAATATAAACGTGAGAGCGCCCTGATTTCCCTTGAAGCGGTTTAAGTCGAAAAAAAAAAAACAATAATAGAAGAACATCATAGGCGTATTTTGTTAGGAAAACGCTTTAAATGGTGTCTCAAGTGGATTTCTATGAGTATCCACGACTAGTTGAAGCAAAATGTGTACGAGGGTCAAACAGATGTAGCATTTGCACCCTTCCTCACAAACATTTAGCTCGTATTAAAAATACTATTTTTTTTCTGAGTGATTTTCCCTTACTTTACATAAATGATACCTTCCTGCTATTTCTTTTTTAGACAAAATATCGAGCAACTAATTCGATATACTCAATTTATGTATCCACACCGTTTAGATGCCCCCATCTCGATATGCACTTAATAAGGCGGTGGTAGACTCACCCCAAATGTTCTTCTATCTTCTCTGTAGAGATTGCTTTTACAGCTTCCTCGTGCAATGAATCTGAATTTCCACCTTTCTGTTTCTCTTGTTCTTTGTCTTTATCTCCGCATCCTGGTGTGATAGCTCGTGTTACCAAGTAGCCACCTATAAAAGCAGCTATAAATAATACTACAACTATTACTGCAGTTATAGCTATGCGTTTCTTGCCACTTCGACGACTTTTTCGTTCGTCTTGCGGGCTAAGGGCTGCATCCTCGTCTCCTTTAATGGGGCTAAACTCTACCCTTTCGGCCATATCTTGCAGGGATACTCGTGCTTGCAAGCTTCAGTGTTTCGGGACGGTGCCCCATTAAGCGGACGCTAACTAAGCGAAGGCGATTTAGAAGGTGTTTACGAGTCTTGATCCATCAACTGGTCTCGTACCCAAGCCTTCCACGGCCAAGCGGTCGCCTGCAGTTAAATAGTGCTTCATCTTGCTATACTCGTACTCATTCCGACTATGCCCCCCCTTTGTCTTGGTATCAAGGTTAATTGATTGTTCCAGGGCCATATCCGGCCAAACTTGCGCAAACGGTTGGTTAGAGCGGCTTACACTGTGGTTTCCAGCAATGAACTCTTGGTGAACTGCGGGGTGAGTTAACTGCAACATGTGCATGTCAGAGAGATAGACTGGAAGCCATCTGGAATAGTTGACCCTGTCCATAGAGAAAAAATGGGGAACCATTTCTGTTGTGGCGGAGAGGTGGAGTTTCCAGTTTCCGGTTCGTTCAGCTTTAACGAACTGCAGAAGCAGCAGCACCATATTGATGTATCCTTCCCAGAAACTAAAAACTTTGGACTTCTCTCTGCCTTCAGATTTGAACCGCTCAAACAGTGTCATGAGAGGATTGACACAACCTTGAAATGCTTTCCAGGCATCGTTAACGAAGCAATCCTGTCTCACTGTATTCCGACACTCCCTGCTTTGGTCAGCAACACTCTGTCTGACTCGGTCATCCATACCAACTGCTTGTCTTGACAGCCAGTCTAGGAAGGCTTTCCACAACAACCTGAAGAGCGCCTCCATGTTTAACTTGTGGGCATGAATACCTCTGTTATATGACTTGCCAAGCATCAAAACTGAGGTAGTACCAGCTGCATAAACCCCCGACTCAATCAGTAAGTCTTCCAAGCCTGACTGTGCATACTTCTTTCCAAGCAGATAGAGAAAGTTAAGGGCAATGTGGAACCCTCCCATTCTGATCACAGTGTTTTTAAACTCCTCTGGGTATTTCATTTGTAGCTGCTTGGCTTTTGCGTAGAGGGCAAGATCAAAGGTAATTACAGAATCGTGCTGTCTCATTGTGTCGCATATCTTTTGGGCCAGTTTCATCAGAGTGTAAAGAGTGCTAAAGTTGCTAGACTCTGCATGGATCATTGGGTGATAGCCGATGTTGGTCTTCACAGGAATGGTGGGGCGTGTGATGGCATTGAACCCACTCCAACCAGGTATCGTCTGTTCCTCTGGAGACTGTTGATTAGATGCCATGAGAGGATCAGAAAGACGAAGTAACATCCAGCAAAGGTCATCCATTCGGACAGATAGAAACTGTTGGTCGCACTGAAACCAGGTAATAACATCGTTCCCAACAAAATTAGTTAGAGTAGGACGTCTGCCTCCGAAACTAACTTCCTCCATGGCAACTACATTTTGAGCAGAATCCAGTGATCGCTTCTTCTTGGAGTGGTCAGCAAGCACAATCCGTTCTGGCAGAGGACCGTACTGCTTTGGCTGATATATAGCAAGTGTTGTTACATGCGTTGTGTTCTTGCCGTCGATGGTTTCTTCATTAATATCGTTGTTATCAGCCGCCAACTGAATGAATGCACCAGGTCTTATGTTACTAGGGATCACAACACCACTGGCACGTGCTCTCGCTAAGCTTTCATTTGCCAAGCTGGTCTCCACTTGTTCGATCTCTTCATAGGAAGAACAGTAACCCATTCTGTTTAAAAGTGTTATCAGTTGTTTGGAACCGGTTAAGTGCTTGACGGTCATAACGAGACCTACGTGCTTGGGCAGCTTTACTCTGGCATGTGATGCACAATGAATAAGATCCTGCCCAGCCATTACAATCTTCCGCTCATCGATTGTACTCCTTGCACTAGAAGGTGAGTCGTCGCTGTACTGTTCTCCAGTAACAATCCACCTGATAAGCCAATAAAGGCTCTTGGGAAGAAGAGATTTTGCAGTATCCAAGTGTAAATCTCGGATGTCAAGTGGGTTGATGTTAATGCCCTCACATCTCAGCATCTCCCGCCTGATAATGGAAGCTATAGTGTAGACGTCTAGGAAACTGAAAGTTTCTGACTCTGGCTTATCCATGCTGATAGAGTTTGTTTCGTCACGTAATGGACAAGTGCTCGCTGCATTTATGATATCAATTAAGGAGATGGAGCTGCTTAAAACAATTTCCGGTCTGGATTGTTGAGGTGACTGATGGAAAACAAGACGTTCCTTAAAATGAGCCATCAATCGTGCTTTCAGCTTCTGCTTTGTGTAGCTACCTGCATCAATTCCTATCTTTTCCAGCTCCTTCTTGAACATTGCCAGTAAAACATTCATGTCGTAGGCTTTTCCTTCCTCAATTTCGGGGGTTATAACCTCCAGTAACTGATTGAAGGCTTGATCAAAGTGCTTTCCTCTCTTGTGGATGTAACGACGTTCTGTTTCCGCTTGATATTAACCTTGCTGATATAGCAGGCATGACACGCTTTGTGGTATTTTCCCTCCGCTGCAATAAGATCATAGCTAACCGACCGACGTATGGCTAACAGTTTATGGTCTCCTCTTGCCTCTGCAGATTCCTTTATACTGTTGCATGCTTCAAAGGTGGCGATGTTTATTAGCTGTCGGTCCTTTTTTTTTGTTGCATTTTTGCAGAAAAGACACTTTGACCAATCAAACACCATGCGTCGCTCTTTAGATTCTGCTTGAACATCACTTGAGGATTGTACTCCATAATACCGTAAATTCTGTTTGCTGATATATGTTTCGTAACACGATGAATGCCACAAAATGTCTTTCCCGGCTACATTACGGAGATCGTCAGCTGACAAACGATGCGAGATTTCATCTTGCCGAACTTCAAGAGCAGATATGACTTTCTGTATTGAAGACAGTCTTCCAGAGCGAAGGACGTCCCTGCTAAAAATGCACTCATCGAAAGAAGTTTTCTTTGCTCTCTTTGCTGGCATGGGAAAAAGCTACCAACCATCCTTTTCCTCCGTGTCGTCTACAGCATTTGTGAGACTTATTACCTGTGCAGATAATTTATTTCCAGACGTTTTCACTTTTAAATCGGCTTTTACAAAAAATACATCAGAATTACGTATCTGACAGAGTTTTAAAATAAAAAAGAGCTCTGTCTAAAAATCCTGCTGATAACCTCAACACATTGCTAAAACATGTTTTTTAAAGGAAGGAATATGATCAAGCAGGAAAGGAAATACAAATGATAATATTACTAGCAGGTGCAATAGCGATGTTCTAGAGTCTCAGCGCATGAATTTTGAGAAAAACGAGAGCAAAAAAGTCGCCGTAATGCAGTTAAGATATCAAACCTTATCTATCTTGAACTCTTTCATGGCCGTTTACATCCACAGTCGGATACAAAACTCCGTTTACAAATCTGATTCTGAGGATCCAAAATGGCGGTCTGAAAATAAGGCCTGGATACTAATTTGCCATGGCTTGAACCATTCCTTATCTTTCAGAGAAGACAAGGCATTCATTGTTCCTAAAGCAACCATAACCACTAAAGCTCAATACTTTAAACCACACCAGACAGAGCTCAAGGATATTTAAGGCTGTATATAGCCTTTATAGAACGTTTTGTTGAAAAAAATATTAAATATTTCAAAGAACTTTGAAATAACACTGCAGTCTACTGATATTCATAAAATCTGAATATATATAAGAAAAATGTTAATTAAAATTATATTCTTGTGATATTACTTTTTTAAATACGAGAGAGCCTATCATAATTAAGCATAAGCCAAGAGCGTGTATCAAGTGCAAAAGTAATTTATTCAAACCGTGCGTTCAGTCAAAACAATAATATGCAATGATATCTTCACATCTTTAAGACGCAAAAATGTTCAAAGTCTGGCTAAACAGTTCAAGGAGTTGTTCAGTCTGTGTCCGAATCACTTTCGATGAAATGGAATCGTCGTTTCCTAAGTTTAACCATGTTTGTTTTTAATTTCAGCGTTGGATCACTCGAACAAAGTGTTAAGCTGGGTCGGTTCGTAATTTTCGATTTCCTTGGCAATTCCCTTCTCTAAACACCACTTTTTCCAAACCGACAACCAAAAAGAAGTGATTTTTACAGTGTTTTTGTTATTTGAGCTGTTTTTCAGCCGCGGTGGCGAAAGAAAACCTACCTAAAACGCCAGCCATCGTTTCACTCGCAAATTTACAAATTTTCAAATTTTGTCGCGGCATCCAAGGCTCGCATTTGATTGGCTGTCAATGAGTTTCTTTGATTGTTGACCAATCAAAATGTCTGATTTGTTACTTTCTTTGCACTGAATTAACCCTCTTCTGCACTGAATTAACTCTCTTCTGCACTGAATAACCTGAAAACTGCATTGATCTTAACCAATCAGAACTGAACGACAGGTCTAAACCCCAATCTAACGAAGATCGCGGGCTCACTTATACAATAATAATAACAATAACATGAAACGCTTTCAGACATAATTTAAAATTGCACTTAGCTTTAAGTCAACTTTTTAGTTGAGAAATTGTTAATCTAGTACTATGAGATTACAATAGAAATGTCTTCCTTTTACTTAAGACCTCTAAATGGCGAAAAGGACATTGCGGTTCCCTTTGGCAAAACCACGATCGGAAGAGGTCCTTTACTTGGGGTAGGATTTGCAAAAGCATAGCAACATTTTGAGTTGGTTCTTTAGAAATTCGCTTCGTGTTCTCTTCAAGCTATACTTACCATATCTATTTATTCTTTTCCAACAGGTGACAGACAAACGAGTGTCTAGATCGCATGCGGTACTGGAGGTGAAAGATGAAAATCTTACTATTCTGCCCGTAAGTGATTAAGCTAAGTGATGACTGTTGCCTAATCATTTAGTGGAGACACTCACTCTTTAATTGCTTTCTGAAATCTATCTTTATTCATGGATCAAGTATCTAATAAGCTGGTTCAATTATGTTACTTGATCACAGTACTTTTACATCATTCAGTAGTCCTAGAGTAATATATCACTAACATTGGAAAAAATACTTTTACTATGTTCTCATTATAATACAAATGACAAGACAATGCGCATCCCGGCGATTTTACCCCATGCCCACCCCTATCGCACATTATTTCACCCTTCACCTTTCTGTTAGCCATCATAGTTTTTTCCTCACACACTTTAAGAATTTTTTAAAGTAATTATTTTTTATTCGCTAAATATGATGATAGGGGATTAGAGCAGGTGTGACTCCATGTTAAATTTTTTCCCTTCATCTTAACTTTATCTTACTCTGTTATCTGGCTGAATACCTAAATGGGAAAAGCAACAAATCTAAAGTACTGAATTGCTTCCCGCATGCATATACATGTACACCATGTCTCCTTCTGGTGTGCAGAACCAATCACCTGGTCTCTTTTACAGTTCTGTAAATCTCATGGATATATCATTGTTTTTCCATTAAAGTAAGGAAGTTATGTAGATTGTATCCTGGCCTATTCATAAAATTTTTTGGTTTCTGGTTAAGGATGGTTGTATGGTTATTTTTTTCCAATCTTTGGGGTTATTTGTTAGGTGTACTTGAGAGGCTTCAGTTCATGAGAAGAGACTGGGAAAAGATTCAGAGGTTTGGGGGAGGAGGTGATCCTAAACCAAACAGCTCCAGATTTTAGATTCCCAAAGTTTGGCACCTCTGTAAATGGGCATTAACGAGTTATTATTTGAGATTCTCAGTTTGCTACCAAATGTCATACCAGTAAACAATATTCAGACAGCAATCTTCTTAGACCAACTCCAGGCAAGGTGTGGATGGCAGTTGTAAAGGTTGACTGGTTATTTATTGGTGATGATTCATTATGATTGAAGTTATTCCTTACCTTTTAGCTTCACATCAATCCAACCTTTTTGAAATCTTCTGATGGAAAGAAGTTTGTAAGTTTGAAGAAAGGCAAAACCAGAGTCCTGATTGATGGTGATGTTATTGCATTGCTTCCAGACAGCTTGTGCTTTATGGTTGTTTGTCAGGGAGACTCACTTGAGAATGGTGTAACAGAAGAACAAGTGGGAATCTCCAAGAATAAGATGTTAGATAAGCTTCTTACTAAGTCAAACAAGGCTCACGATAAGGAAAAACCTACAAAATCATCAGACACACCCACAGGTGCTGTATTGCTAATGAGTAATGCATTGGGTATTTTGTATTTCAAGAACTTGAAGGGAGTTGAGAAGTGGGGGATCAGTTTATAGTTGATTAAAATTTTAGGTATTTGACATGGGAAAAAATAAGTGATAAAAGTGGTTTGAAGAATTAAAAACAGGAAAAAGTGAAGAAAAATGTTTTTGTCCTTATTATGTGTGAAACAATGAGATATCAGACAACAGGCCTTTGGATTATATATTCTGACCCTCTACCACAGAGCTTCAGAGACTCTGGTGAGCTAGGCCAATTTCACTAGATTTGGTTTTTGTGACCCACAAAAAAATGATATCACTACAGATGAAAGAGGGTCCCCTATAAATTTTTCAGGATCCTGGACTTCTTTTGAATGAACTATAACATTAAATGACATTTTTATTTTTAAAACAATTATATTCTTGTAGAAATCATGTCTATAAACTTTTATAATTGTAGCTTTAAGACTGAGGTATAACATTACTTTTAATTATTCTGATATTGTTTGCAGATATGTTGCTGGATGAATTCATGAATACTGAGCCTTCCTTAGGAACATTTTCTGCTGATGCATTTACTAAACATGTCAATGTGAACTTTACAAGCAGTAAACCATCCACTCAAGACACAATTACAGCTAATTCCTCCTTCTCTGTGGTAGGTATCAGTAGATTATCATTAAATTAAATCGATGAATCTTTAAAGCAATCAGCCCCTATGAAAGTGCAAAGTGTAATTTTGTTACTTTGATTGAGTTATCTGTTGTGGTGAATCAAATATTTCAAAATGTGTATTAAGTCTTGTTATCTAATTATAATTTGCAATAATATGTGTGAAACCAGATTCAACACACATGTACATAACTTTTCTAAGAGGCCTAGAACTCTGTTCTTTAGATAGAAAAAGATGTGATACCACCATACAGACCATTGGTAGAGCCTGCACCTTTGCTGCAAAAGACACGCAAACTACCCTCATGGTTAATAGAGTCAACAAGTCAAATAAAATCTCCTGCTAAGAATTCAGTTAACAGGAGAGGGAGAACTTTGGTTAGCCAAAATGTAGAGAAGAAAACAGCCACAGGTAATAGTTGTAGAGTGAATTTACCCCCTAGAAGTCTATTATTCAGGCTGGTGCTGTCTTCTTTAAGTTGTTGGATTCAAATTATTGCATGTAACATTTCAATGAATAATTTCTTATGTTTAACAAAATAAGTTGCTTAATCATAAAAATTACAATTTCCTTGATTGTGATTAGTTTAAAAAACTCCTATTTTCCATGTAGTAATTCACTTGCCAAGTTGTTATCAGACAGTTTGTTATCAGGCAGTTTGTTATCGAACAGTTTGTTATCAGAGCAGTTCAATATGCCAAACGCATTCAAAGTTGTAGTTTAAATCTACCAATTACATTAATTTTAAATTTTTAGTTCAAATTAGCTGATTACAACCTTGGTTTCAATCACCATAGAAACAGTGTACAGATTCATAAATTGGGGCTTCCTACAAAATTGAGCAATTTTTTCCCTTGAACAATGACAATAGTTTAGAAGATATTTTGATTTGTGTCAATTTCAGAGAGGCATTTGTCAGTCTTTAATGCAATTTTCCCTTTCTTTCTTAGATTGGCTATTCTTCTTTTCCTAGAAATTCTATTTTTTATGATTAATTGGTACAAAGACTTTGTGTTGTCCAATTTGGTCTGTAATCATACTCATGACAAACAAATCACACTCCTGCTGTGTGGAGGTCTGATTTTGTTATCACTTAATTGTATGGTTACAGACCAAATTGGACTCCACTCAGTCCTTTTACAATTACTTCTTGCCTATTGTTACCTTACTGTATGGTGGCTTGTAATGTTACTACATACCTACATGAACTGTAGTTAAAAAAAAACAGCACCTGACATTATGATTTTGCAATAGGCAAAATTGTTCAATCTGTAATATTGTATGCCAAAAAAAATAGATAAGCAAATAATTAATAGAGTTAGAAATTTAAAACCATGCCCAGTGACCTCCTAGTGCATTGAATCTGTAAATATTTAATAAGAGCTTATTATGGTCTATTCATACTGTCATCTCTTAATTTCCCAAATTTCATTGTTCACTCTCTTACTTTGAAGATAACAAAGAAAGAAACAAAATCACTAGGAGGGAAAAATTGTCAGTGAAGGAGGAACAGAAGGTTTCAGGCATAGATGAGGATTTTACCATGGGGGATGATGATGAATCTGAGCATTTGAAGGATAGAGGAAAGAACAAATTTGCAAAGAAAAGATCATCTACAAACACTGAAGACAATGAGGAAGATGTCAAACCCACAGAAAGCAAGAAAACAAGAACAAGCAGAATACTAGGGAATGAAAATGATGTTGACAATGAGCCTTCAGGACCAAAAAGCAAGAAGGATATTCGTAAAACATTTTCAGGAGATACTGATACTGGTGGAAGTGATGATGAGATGTCTGCATCCAAAGTAGAAAGAACCCAAATGAAGGTAAAAATTGGTACTTCCTCTTTAATCAGCAGCCCTTTTGAATAAGTTGCCAACCTGTTTGACAAAGTTTAAAACAAGTGCCCTTCCCTCCCTGAATAGGCACCCTTTTTCCTTCCCTTCCCCAGTTTTATGGGCCAACACTGAAATATGAACAGGTGTTTATTATTGTTTATGCTAAGTGATCTCATCTAATCATTTTATGATCAGAGGTGGTAATTCATTTTTGCAGCATCATTACAATACAAGAAACTGTCCTCTACTTTCAGGGGGACATTGGGGTGTGCTGTATTGTGGTATCACAAAATTTCTCATGGTATTTGGGTAAAATTAATCTTGAATTGTGGTATTCTGGAAACTTGTGTGATACAGTTTTTTAACATTTTGGATAGTATTAAAAATTATCCTTCAAGTCCTCCACAGTTTTCCAAGCCTTTTCCAGTTTGTTTTGGAAACAGGCTGAAACAGTAGCTGAAGATTTAAGGTTCTCTAATCCTTCATGGGAGTTATTATATGAAGCATGATCACAACTGATTTTGAACAGTCCTGTTTGATCAATGACTGTAGTGGCCAAGTACAAGTCACAGCTTTGTGGTCCTGTACTGAAGTGACATTTTTTTGTTATTAAAAAAAAAAAACTATGTTAGTTTGTAGAGTGGTATGTTGTTCAAACCAATGAGATCACTGCATTTGGGTATGTATCTTGTACCACTATAAGGGTATGTATGATCTGGCACCAATCAGATTGCCCCATTAAGGTATATATCTCTCACCAATCATATCACAGCTTTCTTTTGGAATCAGGGGGCTGAGCATAAAGAATGATGTAAACCATAAATTTTGGGCTAATTTTGATAAGTGTAATGGTTTGTGGCCTTCATGGGAGCCTCGTTGCTTAAGGTCAAGATTTATCTGGATATGAAAGGTTCAGATTTAACCTTTTTGTATCATTATTAAGTTAAAAGGTGTTTTTTCCACTCCTTTACTCACAACTCGCATGCCAAACAACTTACATTCCATCATGTACCATGAAAACAACATCTAAAGTCCAATCAGAACATACCAAATAATATCACTACATGAACATTTGACAATTTTTCAGGTGCTTGAATTGTTTACTACAAATCAAATTCTATTTTGCCAAGTAAGACTTTGCTCCATTACGTGTCATTTCCTTGTAAACAACCCGCATTTAATTGCGTATTCTTACCACTTTGTCCGACCCCACTGAAAAAAATTCACATGGAACTAAATGCTACTGATAGTAAATTTTATTCGCAGTTCTCCCACATTTTGACTATTTTGATGAATATAATTGGCTTTTAGCTACCTTGGACTTAATTCAATCACATGTTAATTTCTTGTGAACAACCTGCATTTTATCATGTATTTCACACATGGAGGGCAAAGTCCAGGTAGGCAATAAGCAATCAAGAAGCACTATTTAAAATATTATCCTTTTCTTTTGATCAATGTATCTTCTTTTATTCAAGATCGCAGTATATCTTTGGATAGGGTCTATTGGAGATACAACAGAGTTTCAGTTTGCTTTTCATAGTAAAATTATGCAGAATTATATTTTTGAGGCAACTAATTGTAGATGAATAATTTTGATTTTCTCTCTGTTAAAGGTATTTTTCCAACTGTATCACACTATTACTAGTCCATGTATTTGTTTAAGTATAGTCCTTGGGAGGTTGGGAGAACACTCGATAAGCTGGAAACCACTCAGCTTCGCATCGTGGTTTTCCACGCTTATCTCGTGTTCTCCCAACCTCCTGCGTGTTTACATCAGGCTATGTAAACACGAAAACCATTTTACATTTCTTCAATAGTGACTACATACATCATACATGTATTGTTAGACAAACTATTAAACATTTTTTGCTCTGTAGACGGCATGAAAAATTATGCTACCAGTTGAGCCTCTCCAAAATGGCTATGGGGCAGGGAAAAGGTGCTGTTGTATGGGACCTGTATTTTTTGAAGAGGAAACAATATTTTTAAAAAAAAATTATTTATTATAGTAGAATCCTAATTAACTGATGCTAAGGTTTTTAAATTAAGCCGTTACCAACAGTTCTACGGTTGTAATGTTTTTCCCTCTTCTTTTGCAGGAAAATGAAAAAGAATCAGACAAAATGAAACTTCCACCCTGTCCTTATGGAAAGAAATGCTACAGGTATATCTACCAAGCTACTGAAACCAATTGAAGCTGCTATCTTAATTTAGGGATTGAAAATTATTAGTTTTACAATGCATTTGACTTTCTTGATCATTAATGGTCTCATTTTTACAATACCAGATTTCCAGCTGAGCACTCCTTAAGGTGCTTTGTTTATACACTTATTCTACTGTGAATTATTTTTAAGTGAATAAGAATTTGATGGTGTTTTCATGATTAAAGTAATAGTTTATTTCAGGAGAGCATGTGCATGAGTAAATCAATTCTAACAATAGAAACAGTGTTGCTATATAGCTTACACATTGCATTTCTTCACTTGTACAGAAATAAATTTACCTTGAATTATTTCCTTAAATCTTGTGAAGAAGGAAACCCTCTGTTATCAATTTGATTATTCATCTTGTTTAGCAGAGATAAAAATAGAATGCTTGTTCCATTTTTTACTTTTCTGCCCTATTATTTTATACACTAAGTGTTAGTCTGCTGACTATAGGTTAAGATTGCTGATTTCAATTGGTGGCCTAACTTTTTGAAAATAGCATTAAAGTTTATAGACTTTCTTTTCATTAGGTGATTTGGAAAAGCAACTGTTTCAATAAGATTTTCAGTTGACACTTGTAAACCCACATGAAAAATCCTGTGTGAAAAAAAAAACTGTGAATGTCATTATGCTAACTGTAAAGTTTTCCTTTAGTTCAGATAATCATGATAGTGATAGGCAGCACTATTTTGACCCATATTGAATTACAGTGTAGTTAATACTTTAATAAATCAATTCTCTTTCCTTTTCATTTGTTCCTGGCTTTGATGATGTTAAGGAACTTGGTGATCTCCATTTCTTTATCACTGAATTGTTATCAGTATAGATTGTTAAATTCATCTTTCTGCCACGCTTGGAAAAATGTGAATACTGTTCAGAGCCAGCTCAATAATTAAAATATGTATGGTGGCTGAAAATTTGCAGAAAGATATAAATATATCTTGAAGTGCTCATTGCACTTCAGTCACAAAAAACAGGGTAATCAACTTGTTCAGGAGTTTCAGGCACATGAAGCTAAAAAGTAAGGGTGCATGACTATTAGAGACTGTTTTGCTGCAATGGGAAACTTAGATGATCACATGTTGAGAAATAATTAGGTATTATTGAGCATGTTTTTACCACCTGTCTCAAGAAGAATTACAAACTGAAAAAAGAAAGCTACCTTTCAACAAATAATTTTTCAAAAAAAGAAAAGAAAACCATTTTGAGCTCCCTTCTGTTACTGACCCTGCCTGTCCAGACTGCACCTGTAACCATTATGGGATGTGAAAGAACCCACATTACTCCTCAAATAGAGGCAGGAATGTACTTGTAGACCTTCGAGTGCTGGTGTGGCCAGCTTTACTTCATGTATCCATGCTTTAGTGATGGACAGGTGTAATCATGAACAGATACAATGAAATTTTGTAATTGTTAGGAAACTCATTTGATGCATGGTAGGAAAATGTTTGGTATGAGTTCACTACATCTAAAACAATACACAGTAATGATATTGTTTCCTCAAAACAGGAAAAATCCTTTGCATTTCAAAGAGTATTTGCACCCTGACAAGGATAGTAGTGATGATGATGATGATGATGATGATGATGATAAAGTGGCTGGAGATGATAGTGATGATTACAGACCTGTTTGTCCTTATGGCTCCAGTTGTTACAGGCAGAACCCTCAACACAGAAAAGATTTCGAACACACTGATGCTGTAGGTAGGCTGGGAAGTGTCATGATATGCCATGCTGCATTGATTAGGTTTGGTATGTCCTCAGCAGCTACATGTAGGTGTAATAATCCAAATAGAAACAGCCCAAAATTAGTTTGATTCAATTATGATGCCAACCAATTCTAGTAGAAATGATAAAGATTAGCTGAGAAATTTGGTCTGGGATTAGTTTTAATCTTGCTAAAGGAAAATAAGTTTGATTGAGTTTGGATTGCATATATTAATACTGTAACAGTTTTCCACTAAAATTTTTCTCATTTATCTAAAAAGGTCCCAAACATAAAACAACAAAGAAAAGGAAAAACCTTGATGGCACAAGTGATGATGATGGCCACAATAGAAATGATTACAATGACAGCTTCTTAGCTGATGATGCCAGTGATGTTGAGGAGGATGGTAGTAGCTACTCAGGGTCTGATGACCCTGATTGGCAGCCAGTACAAGGTGATGATAATGGCAAGGAGGATGTCAACCAGTTGTTACATGAGGCTAAAGGGTTTCTATGCAATAAGAAAATGACAAAACCAGTTTGAAAAACTTTTACAGTGTCCAATTGTTAGGTAACCAAAATGTAAGTTTTTATTGATACACAATTGTAGCAAGTAGAAACCTTTTTTGTAATTTGAGTTCATTCTTTTAACATGTGTATGTGGAGTTCAGAAAAATTAGGAAGAGAGGTGCTTTTTGTGTTCTTTCCTGTATTTACTGGTGGTTAACCTGTACATACAAAGTAATGTACATGAACTAGAACTAAACAAGTAGTGTGAGACACTTCATAGATGAATTTTTGAATGAGTAGCTTCAGTGTTGTCATTGCACAAGAAGATAAGCACACAATAATATAAGTTATAAGGCTAATATAGGCCCACATGAAGGGTTGCAAATGTTACTTTTCACCTATTTTGTCACAAGTTCTCAGCCCCATAATAGAGGAAAGTGTAAACTCTAGTAATCAAGTTGTATCTTTGAAACTATACAAGACAACAGTGGTCATGCATTTGATATCCATAACTTTGTTCATTGTAATACCATAGTAATGATGGTAACAGAGATGTGAAAAGCTGATTTCTCATAACTGATGCTTTTTCAAATCACTATTTCACAAATTCAGCTTCAAAGAATGATAGAATTGGTAACTTGCACACAGTGTAGCAGCTTGAAATGTTGTATTGCCTTTATTAATAACTTTTGTAAAATTAATACTTTTGGGAAATGTTAACAGTGAAGTGTTATGATTTGAGAATTTCCATTTAATTACGTCTTCCATAATAATGATTAAATAATACATATTTGGTTTTATTTTTGGTTCAAAGATGTTCATATTTAACAATTATTCCATGAGCCCACATTGGATATGACGTGGTAAATAGTCAATAAGGTTTGTAGTGCTGAGTTGGCTATAACTAAACTCATATCCAACAAGCATGAATAGAATAATTGTTTTATTTAGTTTTGTTAAATCCTGAAATTTGGATATTTAGAGCCTTTTTAACTCGTGAATTGCGCGCATGCGCAAGGGCTAGTTGTATATACGATGTGGGGAATGACAGTCGCTCGCTCGCTCGCTCGATTGGTCGATTCCTGTAAACTTTTTTTCGATTTTAGGATTTTGAGTGCATTTGATAGTTTTTGGCGAGCAATAAACAAACGAAATGGCGACCTTTGTTGCTAAGAATAGTGGTGGGGTGAAAAAGAAGCCAATGATAATCTTAAAAGAGTTTTTTTTTTCGTTTTAGTTTCAACAAGCGGCGCCAGCGACTGGCAGGCATGCAAGGATTCACACTGAAATAACAGAACAACCTTCGTTTTTCATAAAATTGTAATTTACAATCCTTGAACTTGAAAACAATCCGAAGATTCATTGAAAATATCACTTACTGCGAAGCGCTCGGAGTATACAGATGTTCACAAGCTTTTTCTGTTATGGAGTGAGATTGAGGACAAAATCGGGGCTGTCCTGGTGTACCGGTACATGGGGGAATTCCTATTGTTTTCACATCCATACATGGAGTTGTGACGCATTCGTTAATGTTTCGTTCCTTTGTATACCGGTACACGAGGACACAACCACAAAATCGATCATTACGTTTCGTATCGTGTTTTTTTCCTGTGTGAAGCAACAGAAGATGCCGGCGACTGACGAAATTATAAGTTAACACGAAAATCAAATAACACCTAAACAAACAATTTTAGCTACCGATTTTCAGTGAATTTTTAAAGAACAATTTTCTTTTAAGTTTCAAGACAATTTTAAGGTTCAAAATACATATTACGTACTAATACGCGAAAGTTATACACCGCAAAATTGATAAATAGGCCTCAAATGAAATTCTATCTTGTTATTGATTACGTTGCCTAGCACGTGACTAAAATCTACCCAGGCGGAGTCCAAAATGACGGTGTCAGTCTCGGTTTAGTTATATCACTCAAAACTCGTTCCCGTTTGTCTCATTTGATAAAGAGGGAATCGTAATGTTTTCATTAAGACAGTATTGCCTTGATTTTCTAATAATTATAATGATAGACAGTAAATTTCACTTTTCACCCACATTTACTTCAAACCTTTTCTTTTGAACCAGAAACAAAAATGATATACGTTTAAAACACATTACATCATCCACCCTTGTCAAATGTGATAGCATGATCATTTCAATTGTAGTGCCTTCTTATCCCAACGTTACTTTGTTTCTTTGCTACATTAGCGAACACTGAACTACTGCACTAGATATGACAATCAACCACAAAATTCCCTAAACCAGATAACATTAAACATAATCCAAAAAATCATGTGTCAATTCACGAGTTTACTCACAGAGCACTTTGATTTCAACCCTGCAACAGTTGGTGCAATGCATTTCCATATAAAGTTAATTGGAATTTGAGCTGATAACCGTTGTTGTGCAAAATCAATTGGAACACTGGAAATGCAATATTTTGGAGCTGAAAATTCAATAATTTTGATTACCCTGACTCTTAATTATCTGGATAATTTATCCCATTGCCCACAAGTCCTGTTAATCTAGATTTGACCCTACTCTGATGCTAATATAGGCACAACGTAATGTTGCAGCACAAGAAAGAAAACAGCATGCTGTTCTAAATTCTGGAAGATACCTATATCCAAGCAACACAGGTATCGAGTGATGACTAGGAACAAAAATAGTGTTGTGTACATTAACCTTTTGGTAGATGTGCAGCATTACACTCTTCACCATGTAAACATTGTGTGAAAGTCATTGCACTAAATAAAAATACATATGCATTGAAATGTCATAAAAGAATTGTTTCAATAAAGTAAGACACTTGATGATTCACAACAGACTGAGACTTGTTCTGGGACCAGGCAGTTTATTAAATATGTATCCTACGTACATAAAAGTATTCATCAGATACACTAAAGAAGGGTGGCTGGTAATCTGTGATAAATTATAAACAGACAATGAAAAATGAAAACAATCAAAATTGCCTAAGGTGTGGGGTAGGAGGAAAACTTACAGAAAACTGTAGATCTAACTTCAGAAGCTAGAACAATTTTGCAATTAGAAAATGTGCTTAATGTGTGTTATCTAACCATTGGTTCAGCCCAAGTTTTTGACTTGCATGTCAAACAAATTGCTCAGTCTAGGAAAAGACAAATGTAACCTGCCTGTACTAATTTCAGACCTCTTCATTTTTGATGTCCAGATTCATATTAATGAGATTAATATTAATGTTAAGTTACAGAACATGTATTCTTGGTTTTTACTCCATTCACTATTTGTGAGGAGTGCAGCCTCCTGATTGTGGAAATTGTGTTTTTAAAAATGATATGTAAATCAAATAGGATTTCTAAAACAGGACAGCTTCAAACTCTTATAAGTGAAAAGAGAAAAGTAAGTACGTTACATTTTAGGTCATTAATGTAATTGATAAATAGTTAAAACCCAGAGCTTCTAACTGTACAACAAAGAACATACTGTTCCACAAAACTTACAACACTTCAATTATGAATTTCCAGTAGTTTACCCTTTTACCTTGCTGTAAGCTACAATTAGTGGCTAACTGCTATTGAATGTTTTTGAGTGAGGTCACACAAGTTCGTTGCTCTGCTTTTTGGCCCTTATTAACAAAATCCATGTTCTTTTCTACATGTATGTTTACTACTAAAAGGAACAGTTGTGGTGATCTGCAAAAATCTTGTAGTTATTTTTTTTCTGTTAAAATTAGCCATGCTTCTTGCTCTCTTGATCTTTTAATTGTTTCACCACACACCCCTTGAAAGATGTCAGCCGCACATCTATCTCACCTTGCTCAAGCTTGAGGCAAAAACAATAAAATTGTTTTTTAATGGCTATGACAAAATCTTTGAACAATAAAAAAAAAAGAAGCAGAAGAAGAGCTTTATAGTGATGTAATATCAATTCCACAATTTCTACAGGAACGGCTATACTGAATTCGGTCATAAATCGACTAAAACCAAGAAATCTGCAGACTTTGACCAGGGCCAGTGCTCCCCAAAAAATTTAAGCTCAGCTTATCAAGAAATGGTGACCAGATCTCACCAAGCCAAATCTGATATAAATAAATTTATATTATAAGCTGAATTATGCACACATTTGGATCTACTGGAGTACAGACGTTGAGATGTCAAAATTAACAGCATTTATAGGTAACAGAAGACGTCTACATGTGGTGAAAACATTGGTGACATCGGGTACGTTGTACCTCGTGTGCCACTTTTTTGTTCTTACCACATATTGCGATCATCTGCGATCTATTATTGAATAGCTGCACAGAAAAATTTTCTTTAGCTGCTCTTTGAAAGCTCTAAAAGATAGCGCTGCTCTAATTTTGTCCGAAATTGTGTTTCATAATTTAGTACAATGTACTTGGGCCTCCACGATCTTAAGATATTCCAGGAAAAATTCAATACAATAACATTCAGGCATAAATCCATGTGAAGTAGCCTTACATCTCATTAACACTGGTACTTAATAACAGGATTACATAACTGAAAATATTAAACAAATATACTCGCCTCATCCCAGGCATACAGCTCATTGTAGCAGAATTGTGATATACACTGCCGTGTACATTTAGTAAGTTCAAACCCAACAAACCCTTGACAGGTTATAGTTTCACAATCTTTTTCCAATGGCGAATACCTCTTGGCCTGAAAAAATATGACAGACGGAGGAGTTCTTGTGACAAACAAGGAATTTTATTATTAACGTAATTAGTTTTATTTTGTTTTCATCAAAACAAGAAAATCTTGGTCTACAAGTTTAGAGTACTTCTAAAATTTACCTCAAATTTACTTTCGAACTAATTTCAACACAGTTTTACTTACTTCCCGAAAATATACTTCCACACTCGAACATAATTCAACTTAACGAAATAGGTGCAACCAAACTCAAGAGTTATTGGGTTTCAAGTAAGTGTTCAAAGAAATTTTGAATTAGTTTCACCTGTTATTCCAACCTCACGAATTTCTTCGCAAATGTAATCAATACTCACTAGCCTCTGTTTTTTCCTGAAAGTGTAATGCTTGTATCGAAAATCTTTTGCATCAGAGAACCTTATTAGCAATGCACTACAAAGTAGCAAAACCAAAACATTCTGAAGCTTTTTAAAAACCATTTTCATGGCTAACGCCTCCTGTGCTTGTTATGGACTGGCGACCATAAATACAAGAATGGCTCCGACCTGTGATTGGATGATAAAAATAGTAAAAGTTAATAAGTTATATCTTAACTCCTTGCTCATGGATATTGTTAACCGCGTGTCTTGAAGCGGAACAATGAAATATCAATGTAAAAACACCGATGAGTCAAATAAGAAATGGCTACTTACATAACGAAGAGAAGGCAGAGTCTATCTTGTTCAGCGAGGTCGTTAAGCGATATTCCGGCGATGAAAAAGTCATCCGCTGACAAGCTCCACTGACAAGCTCCGCTGACAAGCTCCGCTGACAAGCTCCGCTGACAAGCTCCGCTGACAAGCTCCGCTGACAAAACTCATTTAGTCAGTTTAGGCGGACGACCAGAGACTGGAGCCATGCGTGTATTTAACCTCAGACAGGAATGGCTCCAACTCATGCGTATATTAATTTTTTTCGTTCTGGCTAGATAATTTATTCACTGAGATGAAAACTGAAAGAGCGATTCATTAAGTTCTTCTTATGTTGAAGTCTACAGTGCTTGCAAATGAAGCCCTCTTTCATTACTACAAGGCCATGTAGGTTCTAAGTTTTAAAAATAATGCAGCAATTGCATGTCACGTTTGGAAAATCACGCAATGTTGCGTGACGCTGCGACCGATGTTTTTAATTTACAGTATGCTCTGCCAGAGAAATATGGCTTGGCCGCAATCGAGGGAGTTTTTTTCGTGGAAAACTGAATTTTTAGGTTATTGTTCACATGAAGGACAAATCTATTCATCGGGCTCTTCATCTGTTTTTGCAGTCAAACCAGTGGCAGTAGCTCTCGCACTGAATTGTGTCGAAGTACCTTGACTGTTTTCAGTGATGGAACAAGAAAGAGTACAATGATTTTATAAAACTTGTTCTAAAATTAATGAAGGCTGTTCATCACATGACGCTGTATTGGAAAGAGTAAATCTCGTTTACTATTGTATCACACTACTGTTTTAGACAAGGTATTTATACCACTTTAATTTAAGAAAGAATATGTAGAACATAAACCACATTTTCTGTAAAGTACACGAGCCATCCTAACCTAATTTGCCAACTGCTTTCCAGGAATCATCTGTAAAAAACGTAGGTCCAGCCAAGCCTATATGGTCATTGACCCCCGCAATAGCCGCTAACAATAGCTTATAAATATAGGCATTCAGTCGTAACTTGTAAAACTCCCTGAAGAAGTTTTACAGTTGCTGTTCGCACAGCGCTGCTTACTAGCTTAGTTTTAATTTTTTTCCAATTTTTTTTTAGTTGTTTAAAAAATTATTAAAACGTTATTGAAAAAAAAATTATTAAACGTTTGAGTCGGAGCTATTCCTGTCAGCGATATTCCTTAACCTCTGCTTTTGTTGTTTCGGGACATCTTCGGTCATTTAACGCTTAGTAACGATTTTTTCGAATGCCTTCGAATGTTACACGGAATATTAACAGGTGATCGCACTGTTTTTCGGTGCTAACTTGATGTTTCTCTCATAGTGTACTACGATAAATATCATACAATCATTTCACAATGGCGCGTGAAAAAAGAAAGCTTTACCTTGCAGAAATGTCTTAAAAGAAGTGATCGGTGCATCAAGAAAACTTTTTTTTGTTTTTCTTTAAAGAGAGAGCATTTTACCGTTTGAGTCAGCTAATTATTTCCAGTAGATCCGAAGATTTAATTTTTCAGTTCCAACCGTGGCACCGCAACAGATGATAGTCATCTCAAAATAATTTCACAGTGGCGTCTCCGGCACTTAATTGAAAAAAAAAAAAGACTTTTTCCATGCAGAAATATCTGAATAGATTTGATCTGCACATCGTGAAAACTTTGAAGAAAAATTTCGTTTATTCGAAATTGATCATTTCAACCAGCGACAAATACTCAGAAGAGCCGCTAAATTTGCAAAGCGAGCAGGTCCAGAATACGTTGAGTTCAACAGGGTGACGCCATTCGATGGAATGGAGGAATGGTGGAATGGCGGAATATTCTACATCGGGATATATGGGATTGCCTTATTGTAAGAAACAAAAGTCTCACAAAAATGAATTGCAATGAAATGAGAAAATGATTTGTAATTAACAAGCAAATCAAAATTTAAAAAAGGCTAGTTTAATCATTATTGGAGCCTACGGACAGACCGACAGAGGAACAGTGAAGTTCTTGAGCTAGCACCTACAAATTATTATCACTATTAGTTTTGTTATCATCGTCATTATTATTTTTATCACTAATATGATTATTTGTTACCATTAAATTAGTAGGTGAGAGTCAATTTTTCAGCTATGCTCAATGGTTGTCTTCACGTGGCAGGGACTGGATCACAGGAAGGTTACAAAGTGATCTTGACTAGTTTCCCAGTGCTTTTGGCCTGATGGTCTTCAACCCAAAACACTCTTTACCTCATGTTATGCGGTGCGGCTCGTTAGTACTTTTGTAAGAGGACAATTTCATTTCGGCGTACACCACATATTTACCAATTCTAAGGAATGTACATTTGCTGACACTTTCGCTATGGTTGTCGGTGCATTTCCGCTCTTTAAATTGGCAAGTTTAGCCGTGAAACAAATTTCCAAACCGATAGCAAACAGTCTGAAGACCACAGCGAAACAGAGCGATTTCTTTAGGAAATATGTTTGTATCTGGCCTGGGCAAGGTGAGGGATATTGTGATGGCACGGATGTCGACCCTCGTTTGTTATCTCTCAAGATCCTTGCTCAGCTCAAGCTCAGCTCGTCTTTAGGTTCTTTCACACCGTTCAGTTTTCTTTGGTTCCCTAGCAGTATCCAGTTTAAAAATCTAGTTCCAGAGTTAAGTAAATGGTCGCAAAAACAAAACTTGAGAGTGCAAGCCTCTCGTCAATTTCTTGCTGAATCACAATAAATTTCTGTTGAGTTACATTGTATTCCCAAACAGAGCCAAATTGAAATTTGTCGATCATCAGTATTTTGCCATCGCACATGTAACTATCGCCTTTGGAGAGAAAAGTCATGACTTTTTGGCCCGTTCTAGACTCAACCAAGTTAGGAAATTTTTTTCATGTTTGCATTATCTCAAAGCAGTCATTTAGGGTTGAGAGAATTTGAGACAGTTATGCAAGTCGCAGGGTTTGCAGATCTTTTCAGAATTGAGAGTGTGAGAAGTATTTCATTGATTATATAAGGTTTGATCCATTGCCAGCACCAACTTACTGGACTGTCTTTTTGATGCCTCAAATCTGAAAAGTTGGGTTAGTTCAAGTCTAGTTTTCTTATGGGGTGGTGGCAAGGTAATGCATACGCACCGCGTATGATATGAAAGGAAGACTGCCTTAACCATAGCAACATATACGTCCTCTAATTCAGGGAAAAAATTTCCAATCAACTTTTTTTTTCTAGAAACTAAGTAGTATAATAGTTTATGTCGTTAAAAAGAAAGAAAAACAGGAACCAGCAGTGGACAATTATCCACATAAATCAAAACAAACTTTACAAGGAAATCAACTTCCCAATTGCAATGACAAGATTCAAAAGTTTTGTGCCCCCACCTTGATTTTGAATGTAAGTTTCCAAAAGATAAGCTGAATATTTTACCCTAGAAACAAACTATCTTGACAATGGCTATGTTTCATCCTATTTCCTCCTTTTTCATACTGTAAGAGGTGGCTGACACTAAGAAAAACTATCTGCAAAGGTATCAATCTATTTACACTAATCCTGAGTTAGCTAACAGCCCAGCACAAATAAATACAAAATCCTGATCATAAATTGATACTTCATCCTCAGGCTATCACTGGCTGGAGACAAAAGTCAAAATGAAGTTAATGGGACTTGCTGGTCCAGAAAAAGTACCACTGCTGAGTGAACAAAAAGCAGTAGATGTTGGTGCTGAGCTCTTGGGTGAATCACTGGTATTTGGTGTGGCAGCAGCTTTGCTCTTTCTAGAATATAGACGAGGGCAGAAGAAAGAAGAAGCTAAAGAGCAGAAACAAAATGAAAAGTTATTTGAACTTCATAGTCAGGTCAAAGAGCTTGAGCTTTTGGTAGAGACTAATGCAGCTCAAGTGCGTGAGTTAACAAGACTTGTCCATAGCAAAGACAGTTAACTAAAATAAAAAATATGACCTTGTAATTGATTGAATTCTTCTCTGCATTTTAGTTAAAATTTCATTTATTAATAAGTATCTTGCCACTTCTGTGTAAAATTTTGTTGTTGAGATGCAAATTTGTGCTTATGTTGATGTGTATGATTTTATTTCTCACCAAAGGATTTGATTCTTTTTCAATTGTTGGAAAAAGTATACCCTAAACAGCCCAGAAATTTTAGTTTACTTGTATTTGTGAATTGGTGATATTAATTTTTACCCCAGATTAGATAATATCTAAAATGGCTACCCCAGAAATCTTTTAGAAATAATTTGAGGTATACTCTGTGTATCCTTGATGTGAAAAGGGTTACAGGGTGAAAATCTTTGTGTTCCTAACTTCCTTGTCTCCAAGTAATAAACTAATCAGTATTTCTAACATTCATAGATAACATGAGATTCAACAGCTATCATTTATTTACCTTCAAAGTTTGAATGTTATTTTATGAACTGTTTTCTATGGGAAGTCAGTAGTGGCATTCATACTGAACAATTTTTATAGGAAATATTGAAAAGACAATCTATTATGGAGACTTTCTTTTTAGCTACAGGTTTGATTCTACATGTAAACTGTGTAGTTTACTTATAAATATTTTGGGGAGTGTTTCAATCAAAATTGTTGTAGCTCAACTTTTTTGCAAGGTGTTGAGACAGAAGATGTTTTTCCTCCCTTTTGTAAGATTTTGGTGGACATGGAGTTGAATGCACCTTCTACCCTTCTCCACCACCCTCATGGCCAGATTTGCCTCTCAACTTTCCTCCATTCATTCTCTGGAAATCTGTGACTTTGAGGTAGTGATTTTGAGTCATATTGAACCTTTTCCCCAAAAATAATATTCTATGTGATTGCTTCATCTAAGTTCCACCCTCCTACTCAGAGTCACTTAAATGGGTGGAAAGAAATCCATTAATAGATAATGATATAACAATGGGTCATTTTAACAATAGTTATAACTACAATTAAAATAGTAGTAGTAATAATAATAATAATAATAATAATAATAATCATGATAATAATAATCATCATAATGATAACAATATATGAAATAATGACAAAAATTGTGATAATAACGATAAATTGCAAAACCATAATTATTGCAGAACCATAATTATTCAATTGATAACACACAATTGATTCTCCTAATTTAAGGATGAAAAAGGTGCCTGACTCTGCTGGCTACTGTTTACTGTAACACACTCTTGACTCATGAGAGTGAGCTTCTGAGTCTCCTAACCCTACTCCTGCCAAGCACAACAATTTCTTAATTGTTTTTATAAATTTAACATCTTTCTATGTAGAATTTTATTTATTTGATATAAATAAGAGCGGGAAAATATACTCATTGAGTACTGAAAAACCATGGTGGACTTATTACAGTGCATTTGCTGTGGCTATAGTGTTGCGTGACTTCAGTCACGTTAATCAAAGTTGTTGATTTTCAGGAGATGACCGACAGTGTGCGACTGTGATAATGACCCGGGAAACATTACTTTTCGTTTTCTTTTAACAATAATCGTGGATTCGTTTTCTCGATCTCAACTTTACGAAGAAGCTTAGGTTGCGCTCTAAGTTACAATGACGATTACGTCATTATTCAATTTCCGTAAAAGACTGGGGCCAGAAATCTAAGTAAATTCAGTACTCCATGACCGAAACAAAGGTTTCGTGCTGCACTCTTCCTCTTTGAGTAACAATGTGTTGATTATTTGTGTATTTTATGGAGAAGAGTTTAATTTCCGTGGAAGTATGTAGACTGATTGAGGAGGAACTTGGCATTGACCGATCGCGCATTCGACCATGTTTTGACCAAAGTAGAAGCCGTGTCAGCTGTCTAGTAAGTGAGACTACTCGTCTTATCTTGACGTACCATTAAATCACATTTCTTGCGATTTCTCCTCTGGAAGATTTTTGATATCATGTGGTTATAATTTTTTTTTTGGGGGGGGATTCTGGAAGCTTAGGTAAAGCTATAAAATGCGATGCAACACACGTGTAGGATTAATGCAAGCTTATTTAAGCTTTCATTAGAGTTATGGTGTGCTTGCTTTTTTTAATTCTCACAAGCTGAAACGATGTCGAACACGATGTTTCATTTTCTGATGGAAATCGTTAATTTCTTCATCACCTCATATATGCAGGATCCAATCTAAGTTGTGCTTTAAGTTTAAAAGACACGATAGGTATTTCCTGAAAAGTTGGATTCGGTGAAACGTCAAAGTCGTCGATGGTTTCTGTAGCAAAGAACAGTATGACTTTTATTCTGGTTAGCGCACATCTTTGTTTCCCATAAGTTAAACTGTTTCTTCTGAAGTGTAAAATATTAGTGTATCATAACCTGCAGCGAGACAAATATGACAGCTCTACTGACTGTGAACTCTTGTAAACACTGCACAGATTCTCACGAGAATCGGCCGACACAATTTACATGGTGGGCTCACTCACCTGTCCAAGCTGTAGACTAAACAATCGATGAATGATGATTATGTGATATTTAAAGCTACCAAGGCTATGCAATGGTATCATTCACAATTCATGAAAGTGACTTTGCTCGTGGAAGTATACACCCTCTTATCTCCTCTGGCTATATACCTACCATCCACAGAGTGCCTCATTCAGTCCAGGGCTCATGTATGTACTTATTGACTTACTGGTATTTGAAGGGCAAAATAATTGGCTTTAAAGCCATGATGTTTGGACAGATGGCAGTGAGGTGTATGCATCCTGACTGATAGCCGAGTATTTTTCTTTCCAGCTTGACCAAACTCGGTGAATAAAATAATATAAATTTTTTTCATCACCCAAACTGCAGTGTTATACAAGGATTTCAAGCCCTGAGAAAAGCTGTAACAACACTTGTCAAAAAATATGTAGTTTTCCATGTGTGTTTGATATTCCCAATCAGCTGCTGACACATCACTCTTCTTTCACATCACTCTGTCTTGCTGATGAATGAAAGGTAAAGCCTTCACCATTCTCAATCCAAGGTCGTTTGTCAAATTTTTTTCTGATTATGGCTGCTAAAACACTGAAAAATTTGTATTGCTTTGAGACACTGATGTTCAAAATTTCCTTGAAGGGGAAGAAAGCCATAATACAAAAAGAAAAACCCTAAGTTGCATTCTTAATGGCTTTGGTAATGGCATTTCTGGCAAGAACAAAAACTGACAATTTAAAGAATTGCCACAGTGTGATTTTGGTGGTGTTCCTGAAAATATTTCTTCTGATGGCAAGGAAAAACTCAACAACTGAGGAAGTTGAAAATTGAAAGTTATGCTCGTTGTTTGTTTATGTAAAGATTCAACATGTTTTTTATCCTGAGCCTTGTAGCCACTGCACTTGACTACTTTTTTGCTGGGATGGATCCAATTTCTTTCGTTCATTGTTAAAGTTAGACTTTTTTGCAGGGATGGATCCTATCTTTTTCATTCATTAATACAGCTGACTTTTCTTGTCTGTAAAGGGTGTTTATCACTTGTAAGCCATCAAGTGGAACACTCCAAGAGAAATTCCTTATCTACACATGCCCATGTATTATTCACTTTATAACATGACCACTTCTTGTAGATCTTAAAGATTTGTTTAATTATTTGTCAAACTTAAATACAATGTAGGATGCAGTTAAGTGTATAAGAAAAGTGTAAGTCCACATTCAGAATCCATGCTGTCAGAAAATGCAACAGAGCTGTGAGAATTGAGGGCGGGGTGGCTTTCTGTACCTCAACCTTTCCAGCGTTCATGGTTTTATATATGATTGCTTGAGCAGGAAGGTATTTTTTTTTTACTCACAATGTTAACTCCAACCTAATTTAGCTATATTTTAATGCAGACCCTCAGCTTTTAAGCACAATTAAGGATTTAGAGTGTTTTTTAGAAATGGAATACTTCCAAACTAAAACAGATGCACCATAGAAAAGATTATGATACACATGAAAAGGTTGACCAGACCTAGGGGTCAGATGAAAAGTTCTCAAGACCCATGCTTTTTCAAGGCACAATTTGGGGGCTCTTTTTTGAGGTTATGACATTGTGGAAATTGTAATCAATTAATTGCACCATTTATTGGTTGGATAGAGGATTTAATTAATTCTAGCCAACTTTTATTCAGTTCAGGTTTTTGGAAAGAATTCCTGGAGTATTTTGTACCCTTTGATACATTAAATACTATTGCATTTTTATTATACTCAAAAGATAAAGCTTAGAAAAAAATCCTCTTTTTTGTGGTAAGATCATGTGGTACACATGTTAAAATAGAAATTTAATCGAAATCTTTAAGTTAGTTTCATTAATTTCTGTTCTCCAACTTCTTTCTCTCACCAGGTTCATGATGGTTGGCTTCAGAGGTACATTTGTGGGCTCTCATCTTATGAGGAGTCAGGAAAGGTATCACCATGGAGCCCCTATGAACATCAGCTCATTTTACAGCCCTCCCACCCTGAGCCAGCTGTGCCATGGAATCGAATCAGCATTTATGTTATTAAGAAGCCAGTAAGGAGGGAACTGTTAAGAAAAAGGTTAATCTCTTTACTGTGCTATTTTAATCATGGTATTTTTAAGCATTAATCATTAATGGTTTACCTGACAGTGTAGTCACTTCAGAAGTGGACGACAATAGTCATCTTCAAGTAATGAAGTCAACTGGTCGTATGCCACCTTGTGGAGCACTATGCTCTACTGTTAGATTGGTTGAGTTTAAGACCTGTGATTGGCACATTACAGTTTATTACCTCAACTATTAAGAGGTGCAATATTTCAAATTAATTTATACCACATTGGTGAATAGTGCTTTTTGCCTGCTCATTGAAGAGTTTGGAAGTGATTGGCAAGTACCATTTACCTCTGAGCAGCTGAAAAGACAAATGGCATGTCAACAATTTAATTTTTGACAATTTTTTAGTCAACTGACAGGAATACACTTATTTTTTTGGTTTCTGTGTGGTATGTATTAAAGCAATTATTCACTTCAGTGGTGGATAGTGACCTAGTGGTTTCGCAGGTAGGTAAATAATCATCATTATTCACCTCCACTTCAGTGAATAATTGTTTATTACATGAGGTATGTTTAAAGTCATATAATTTTAAATTTTGATCACCATTCATGAGTGGATTACATGTATCAATCTGGCTCTCAATTTTCTCTTTAATTTTTGTTGTATCATTTGAATAAGTCAAACTTCCCTGATTGCCTGACCTGCAGAGGGATACCTAATACATACAAGGACTTGATATTGTAAACTGCTGTCTTTCTTTCACTCACAAGATCAAAACTTCAATTGTCTGCACTGTCTTTATACAATTCTCTTCATTTTTATTTCAGGAGTTTGGTGCTAAATCAAACAATATCCCTCAATATATATTTTGCTGTATTTTGATCCTTCTGCTGCCTGGAATTGTATTAATGATTTGAGGAAAAACTCCACTCTGGTCCCTCTTTTGAATTACTTGGTTGTATTCCCCTTGATTATTAAACTTTGTAGCAGTTTTTGGAGGGGGATTAAAAACAGAAAGGAGGGGGCTGAGGGCCTACAGCAGAATCACACACATTTTAAATATGCGGCAACACAATAACAATAACAACAACACAATATTAATCTACTGCCTTCTGATTAAGCTTCGAAACTTCACAAAATTTCAATCTTTTGAACAAATCTCAGACTTCTGAGCCTTCTATGCAATTGACATAGATTTTTTGAAAAATTTAACAGTTATTTCCCACAGTACATTTGAATATGGAATGTTACTTGAGATGATTGATAGCACTCTTAACCATTATGGTTTTTCAGCTTTCCTCAAGCTCTTGGAAGTGGAGTGGATAATGAAGGGAAATGCACTGTGTTGTCTTATGCTGAGCTGGTGCAGTGTGTGGGTGTACATAACTTGCGACACAGTTGGGAGAGTTCCCTGGATAGTTACCCTCTAGCTGCCCAGTGTGTTCAGCCCACTCAGGCAAAAAAGGAATCGGACAAGGTATTATGCCAGAGAAGCATTTCTTTGAGTGATTGTAATCCATATACCTCATTGCAATCCATGTCAATTGTCCCAATTGATGACTATTCACTTCTTTCTGAACTACTTGGAAGGTTTTTCTGTTATGATGTTTCTGACCTCTTAGTAACCATTGTTTTAAATTTCTAAAACTGGTTACTTACTGATTACTCCATTATCAAAGTGTCATTGAAATATGAATCTGAACATTCTCCATATGAAATTAAATAGAACCTTTATATTAAAACAGTTTACCAATCTTAGGAGGGTTAAGGGAGACAAACCAGGAAGTGGAGCAAGCAAGAGAAAAAACGTTGATGGACTAAAGAGACTGAATTACTTCACCTTATCTCCACCAATTTCTGCCTTTGCTGCTATTTTGCTTGTCTCTACTGACCAAGCACCCGACTCAGGCCATTTTCCTAGTTGCAGAGTCTGGCATGCATGAGAATAGAAGTTTCTTAGTAAATAGATGGTCATGTGTTCTCTTTCAGAATGTTGTTGATGAAATGCTCCTGCAAGCTTATGGTTTGTGTTCACGAAAACTATTCCCAGATACAGAGAGTGTGGAGCAAAGTAACTTCAGTTCCACCGCTGAACGTGATGCGTTTGATGATTTCAAGGAGGAATCAGAGGGCTCGTCATTATCCCTTACAATGAGACAGAATGTTGTTCCATTTATTTGTGCACTTGAGGGACAGTCTGCTTACTTCCTCATAGAACCATACTTCCAACACAGTCTCCACAACATGGTCACATTTAGTCCATCTGTGCTTTCAGGCTCAAACACGAGGCCTTTGTTTATGATTTACGAACTTCTCCATGCACTTCACTGGTACCACAGCCATGGCATAGCACATGGGGCATTAAACTTGCACGGGATTAAAGTCAATAAAGGGTTGTGGATTTATCTTGAATCACCAGACTTTTTTCATGGTTGTCAGCCAGATTTTGATGCGTCAGAAGTGGATGGGGTTGCGGGCGATAATGTTTCAACAGCTCGACAGTCAGATGTGAGCAGATCGATGATTTTGAATTACACAGCAGATGATTTACCTCGTCTTGTCGAGCTATGGGTACATGGCAAAATTAGCAACTATGACTACCTAATGGCGCTGAACTTCCTCGTGGGTCGTAGACTTGGCGATCCCAATTATCATCCAGTTTTTCCGTGGGTGACAGACTTCTCTGTCCGAGATGGCGGATACCGGGACTTGAAGAAGTCCAAGTTTCGTTTGAACAAAGGAGACAGACAGCTTGATGTGACGTACAAAGCAGCTTTGTTGGACAACAGCCAGGATGGTGCACCACCTCATCATGTGTCGGATGTACTGTCTGACATAACATATCATGTCTACCTCGCACGAAGGACTCCGAAATCGGTTCTTTGTGATCACGTGAGAACTAACTGGGTCCCAAATGAGTATCCACCCAGTATGGAAAGGCTCTACCACTGGACACCTGATGAGTGCATCCCACAGTTCTTTTCTGATGCAAACATCTTTGAATCTGTACACGAGGATCTGTCAGATCTGGAGCTGCCATCATGGACGAGTTCTGCAGAGGAGTTCATTTGCTGGCATCGATCTGTTTTAGAGAGCGACACTGTGTCTGCTAATTTGCATCACTGGATTGACCTGACATTCGGGTTCAAGCTTGCTGGCAGAGCGGCAGTGAAAGCTAAGAACGTTTACCTCCATCTGATTGATAAACACCAGACGCTAAGCAATCATGGTGTCGTGCAACTCTTTACAGAACCCCACCCGGAGAGAGCGCAACCCTGCTTCCCTCACACAAATACCCTTTTTCTTGGGCGAAGAGATCATGAAATCCTGGACGGAAGAATAATACGGAATTTTACACATTCAGACCTTGATATAATGGCAGACAAGTCTTCTGCACTTGAAGAATCTGTTATGTCTGTGGACAGCTCTACCGAGAGTGATTTTATTCTTGGCCATCAGCCGAGAGTATCGACTGAGGGGAAAGAACACAACAGCAAACTGGTTCTCACCCAAGTTAAAGAATCCATAAACGAAGATGACGTGCCTAAAGGTGCACAGTTTGAGCCAATACCCGTTCCAACCAACTACAACCCTCTTGAAATGTTGGAGAGATTTGAAGCTCTGGAGAATTTTAAAAACCAGTTTGGTCCTAGAGGTGAAACATCTCTTGGCAACCATGAAATAAAGGTAAGACGTGACAACGAAAAGAGATAACAAAATGTGACCTTGTTTTAGAGATCTAATCTTCAATAAGCGTAGGTATTCCTCCTCGTACCTAGCAATCGAAAGATTACTTGGTACAAGAGAAAGCCGGAATCGAGATTGCATGTTGTTTTATTTCTAATGGTGTGATTTCTGTCACTGATAACAGTCCGATGTGAGCGCTAATTTTTCCAAGCTGGTCCAAGCAGACATGGTAAGTCTTGGGTGTGCGATAGTGGAGATGCTTCTTCCTAGTAAAGTACAACTGGCTACCTGTGGACTCACTGGGAAACTGAGAAAAGAAGCCATCATACAGCTTTGTCAATCAAACGACAAACTCTTGCCAAGGTTTGTGAAGTCATAAATGCATTGAACCTTTTAAATTGTGGTTGTTTTTTGACAAAATCATATAAGGTGAACGTACAGCCTTTTAACAGAGTGCATTGCCGATCTACCTTTAACTTTGCACCAGATCAGACCTAGAATGTTAGGTTACCGTCTCATTTTTTAGCTTAGATTGCAATGGAAAGAATGATGTCACGTAAATTTCATTTTACTTTCCTAGCAGGGATTTTGCGTGACGCACGTCAGCGTCGAGGTTTGCTTAGGGAGAGAGTTCATTCTCTGTTGTGTGATGCAGCCTCTATTGTTTTGTTTTTATTTTTGTTTTTGTTTTTTTTCAGGTATGCTCGGGCTGCTGTCCATGCCCTTCTCACAGAGGGAGATAAAGATTCCCATGATGCTTTGCTGCCTCGTCTCGCAGCGGATCTATTGCTTCAGCCTCACCTTGGCTTGTTTCCGTTTCCCTCATATTTCAGTGCACTACACGATTTCTTGGCCGCATTCTATCACACAGGTAGAAAAATAGAACCAAGCACCTACAAATCCAAGTTACAGGATAGTTTAGTATTTTTGAGAGGGGAGGCTGGATATACTGTCGAACAAGTTGACATAGCAGCGTCTTTTCTTCCCGATTTGCTGTCCATTGTGGATGACGAAGGTATTAAACTGCTTCTGTACCACTTGGAGCCATTATTCACCTGTCTAGAGACTCGGCTTCATGCTTGTACTCAGCTCTTTGACATGTTAGCACAAGCTCTTGGGCCAAAGAACTCAATCAAATCGTTCCTGAAGTGCCTGGTGAGCCTTTTTGATTCCCACGCTTTAGATGTTTACGAAGTTATTGCAAAGCAGACGTTTTTGTCGCAGATCATTGTACGATTTGGATTAGACGGGTTTCTCAAACATGTCATCAGCTTTGTTGTGGACGCAGTTTCCTTCAATTCCAAAATGGAGTCGAAGGCTGATAAGATTGATAGGATCTCTGTCCACAGTTCAGAGGATGCAACCTCCGGCATCGTTTGTACAGAAATGGAGTACAGTGCGAAAGGTGTTCCCTTAGACATAGATGATCTGGATCTGCCTGGTGATTTCCTTCGAGAGGGCTCCGAGGATCAAGATGTTCCGATAGGGAGTTTTTCAATGGGTATTGAAGAATTTGAGACTGAGGGAAAGTTCGCAATTACCCACCAAAATCTTGGTCAAGCTCGTGGCGGCGAAGGGAAAGACGAGGTCGAACAAGTAACGTTGTTGCCAAGAGGCATTATTGACGATGAAGTAGATGCAAGATTATTTCAAGGACACATTTCAGATGATGAAGATAACGCTGGAGATGATGAGCCAACAAACAGGGGACATGTGAGCAAGATTGTGTCCATAGAAAGGATCTGTGATTTTAGTGATTGTACAGTTCTTGACAGTGGAGCTATGGAGGTGGAGGACAGGTCTTTGACAACTGCTACTGACGCTGACCAGGTCAGTGCTTGTGGTGATGACAACACTAAAGGCAGAGAGCTTGAGGGTGTGATTGCCAATGCTTGTGAAGCCTCTGAGAGGGAGAAAAATTTTAAACCGCTGGATAGTCTGAAAGTGGATGTGAAAAAGAATGTAGACGAAGCACAGGTTCAAAAGAGTGAAGCATCGAACACAAATTGTGTCGAAGTCCCTGAGGAGTTAACAGGGGAGTCTGGTATCGCAACAGGAACTGATAATAGAACTGTACCTTATATTACAACACAATTCAGTAGTAGTGACAAAGGAGATAACGTGACGGAGGAAAGGAATGAAGGATGTACTCTTGGCAGTCCTCTAGATGGTGTCACTGATGAGAAGAATAGAGAATTACAAGAAACGGAGAGAACTGATAATGGCAACAAGACTGCAGATGATATTCTTGAGAACCTTTCTTTTCCTGAAGGAGATCCAGCGTCTGAAGAGGAAGATGCAGCGTCTAGCGAAGATGATTCACGAGATAATGAAGTAGACCCAGAAGATAACGTTACCAATAAGAGCAAACAATCAACCTATGAAATAAATACATTCTACAACGACACCAACTACCCTTCTAAGCCTGTGCAATATGGGAAAAAGGTCCTGAAACAGCACGATGAATTGACTCCTGGGACTATATCGACTATTGCCGCTGAAAGCATCGTTTGGTTGGCCCCTCGTCTGGGACCCGTGCTAACCTCAAAGTACATTGCCAGTCAGCTGCTGACTATGTTACCACATTGCTATATTGGATACGTGGGTACGAACGATGACGACGACGATTTGAAGACAGTGAGCGACAGCAATGCGAAATGGGTACTTTTTTGTTTGAGTAATTTCTGTACACTTTACGGAGAGGCGTTTTTGCTGAATCAATACTTGCCTTACATTAATAAAACGGTGAGTTAAAACGTTAGAAAACCTGTTTTATTAGTGATCTTAAAGTGTGTAACTTATGAAAATTGATTTTTGAACTTTGGGTCATTTTTCTTCTTCATGCATAAGTATATTAAATTGTCCCTTCCAAGGAACTCTCCGGGGACTTCTTAGCGAACCCCTTAAATTTTGAAATAATGTCATTATCAATTTGATGCTGGGGGGGGGGAATGTCTAGCAAGCTAGCTGAGTTTCAAGGAACTCTCCGGGAACTCTTTAGCGAACCCCTCAAATTTTGAAATAATGGTACTTTTAATTTGATGCTGGAGGGAATGTCTAGCAAGTTAGCTGAGTTTCAAGGAACTCTCCGGGAACTTCTTAGCGAACCCCTCAAATTTTGAAATAATGTCATTATCAATTTGATGCTGGGGGGATATCTGGCGAGTTGGCTGAAAGCTTTCCCATGAGGCTCTTGGTACATGGGCAACGAGCGTATGATACGCTATCGAAGTTGTCATGCATTATGGAATGTTTTCAGTTTATCATAAAACAGTATTGCCCTTTTTTTTTTCACTTTTATTAGATCAGAGGAGTTCAAACCAAGGTAACCCAAAGAGGTGAAGCTGCATTGGCGGGGGTACTTTCACTTCTCAAGTACTGCATTCCATACTTATCCCGTGACACTCTGGCCTCAAACACTGAATCTCAGTTGATGACCGGCATCTTTCAGCCTGTCATTCGCATCCTGTCATCTTACACCTTGACATTTCCTGGCGGTTTTTCAGCGCGCCAGGCAATCTGTCGTAGCTACATCGATGTTTTAACGGTGGTTTGCTTGAAACTCGAAAGAGAATTTGCCCGAGATTACATGACTGCTCCTCTTCAGCAGTTTTTCTCATGTTTTGAGCTGGAGCGCATGAGGACCATAAAAATGAATGAAAAGAAAGAGGGTTCCTCTCCTTTGACGTATGAGATAAGTTTTAACGATGCCTTGGAATTAGAAAGAGCTCCCGAGGAAAAAGAGGAAAAACACATCTCAGGTTAGTATTTATAGATCGATAACAGACACTAAACCGTCGATCGTTAACTCCGTTAGCGCGCTTTCAGATCGGGTGCCGCAGTTATCCGTGCGGTTAATCAAAATAAAGGTTATCATAACGAGGCGCCAGTAGGAACTGAGAGTAAACACATCAAACCTGTCTCAAGCGCCATCAGTTTTAGTTTTACATCTGGTTGGCTGAAACGGTGGTGCAGTGTTCCCAGACCAATCCCTGAACGAAAAATAACAAAAGCGAAGCAATTCTGGACACTTTCAAACTTCCTACAGTAAAAGGTAACTCGTCACTCTACTTGCGAAATTACTTCATCTCCAAAGTTTAACAGGTAAAATGACAGAGAAATGAAGTTTCCAAACACTTAATATCTGTTTTTTAAAAATCAGAAGAAACTCTTAAATTAAGTTTGCCTTTGTATCTTAGCCGTGCTTGAGAATGTTGACGGTAAACCAACCGAAGGATACCTCTACAACTCGCCTGTTTATGAAGAGTTGTGTCAGACATTCAATCCTGCCATTGCTCACCACGCGTTTGTTCCGCTTTGCGGCATCATGGGAAGCAAATACATGGAGACCTCGCTGCACAATCATGACCTTATATGGAACTTGTGCTGCAGTTACGATGCTCAACTGTCTCACCCTACGTGCGAAGATAATAGGGCGTCCGAGGATGAAGAAGACGAAGAAGAAAATGAAAACCACAGGGTGAATATTGGAACATCTGAGTTGGATTCTGAGACTGTGGATGGATCTCGTGGGGTGGATAACTCACCAGAGGAGCAGTCTCAAGACAAGAAAGAGAGCAAGAAAAGGGAGAAAGTCAAGAAAATTCCTAAGCCCCCAATGTGGTTTATTGGAAAAAGACTTGCCAAGACAAAGGATGTACCTACCAGCCTGTAAGTCACAATTTCTATAATGCATTGAAAACTTTACTCTGTGGCAAGAGTTGCATTGTACTTCCTTGTTGTTCATTATTTCATGTCCGATGGCCGGCCGCCACTCTTTATTCAGGGTAGAAACTCGCCAGTAATGTATTTCTCTGATTTGTAATGATAATAGGACTGAGTGGAGTCCAATTCGGTTTGTAATCATACCAGTGATAACAAAATCCGACGACCGTGCATAAACACGTTTCAGTTAATGCCTTTTCCTTGCAGCGATTTGTTTATGACGAGTATAATAACAGACCGAATTGACGACATGAAGTCTTATACCAATTAATCATAAAAATTACAATTTCTGATGAAAGAAGAATAGCCAAGTTATGAAAGAGGGAAAATTTGCCTTAAGAAGCTGACAGAGAAGGCGGAAATTGTTAAAAGTTGCCCTGAAATTAACTGCAATCAAATGAATGTGATTGGTTGATTTAAACTACAAATTTGAGTGTGATTGGCTCATTGAACTGTCCGATAGCAAACTATCCGATAACAACTTGACAGGTGAATTATTGGAAAATATGAGTTTTTTAACCAGTCACAATCGAGAAAATTGTAATTCTTATGATTACACTGAAAAGACGATAGTAGCCTGTTTTGTGACTGAGAAATTAGTGCAAAATAAGAAGCAATCACAGAAGAGGGTAATGGTGAATTTTACAGTTGTATACCCTGTTGCCTAACCTTTGAACAGTATTAAGATCGCTTGCCACCTCCTTACGATAAAGGAGAGAAACATTTTGAGATCAGCAATAATTTTATTACAACAACGTGACCTTTACCTTGTAAACTGTGCCAACTGAGCACACAGCTTATAAAACAGACGATTTAGAGATTACTTTTTTTTATATAATTGCGTGATGTTATGAGGGATTAACGTGGAGGATCAAGAGAAGTGTCGAGAAAGGCATGATGTTTTTAACTTTAGGCGATAGTTAATCTTACCTCTAGGCCATTTCCACACTAGCTTTCATTTCGCCTTGTAAATGACACGGAATTCTCTTTGGTTCATTAGACCGTCCTCTTCATCGTCGGACCAATATCTACGCGGTAGCTGGCTAACGCAGTGGGAAAACCAACTCAGTAAGTGAACTTTATTTGATAACTTGAAAACGTGAGTATACGTTAACAGTAACGCTAACTATAAATTGTGTTGTTGTAGTTTGCGTGTCTGATCGTTGTCTCTTTTTGTAATTGGATTAAAAAGGTAGTTTCCTAGCATGTGTAGGTGTCGTTGTTGTTTTCCTTTCCTTCCTTCTTTCTTTTTTTTAGTTTTTTTAAAATTTATTCTTTGCCAAAATGATAGTTTAATTTGGTGACGTAATACCCTACAAATAACTGAAGCTATGGGATTTAGTCTGTAATTTAAACCTCCTAAGCAGGAGAGTTCTCAAGTTCTCTCTACAAGAAAGTAAAAAATTCCTATCTGTTGAGGTGTTTTTGTGTTTCTTGAATACTACTCTCGTTCCTTTAGGTTTGAAAGGAAAAGAAGGAAACAAATTCAATCTTCAACAAGTCAAACTACAAACCTTCACCGGTAAGGATTTTTTTTTTCACATAAATTCTAATTTCTCGAGTTCGGACAAGGACTAATGAAGAATAATTTCACAGTATTGCCTGTAGTTCCCTCATCAATGTTTTAAAAATCAGCGTTATATTGGGCAGAATGTAGGGCTCGAAGAACTGCGTGTTGTTACACACATTCTTGAATTCGCCCTTTAATTTCAAGAACTGTCCAATTTGAAACTTTTCTTCTCGATTTCATTACATTATCCATGGTAGCTACCATGTTATAGCACCATACTCTCTTGATTACTCTACTTAAGAGTGTGTAAAAGAGGGGAGAATTACTAACTCGATCGTACACATTTAAAAGTCATCCTGAAGAATGTCAGGCTGGGTTTTCTAGAATATTTCGAGACTTTTCAATCATGTGCTTTTCTCAGAATGTTTGGTAGCTGAATGCTCTTGTCTGGGAAAGCTTTTCACCGTTGGCAGCGGCCCCTGCCAGTGGACAGTTCTAATTTTTCCAGAACAAGATATGTACTAAGACAGCTTCGCTAAACTCCCTCTAACCTTTTTAATACCATAAATGGTTACTGGGCAGGTCACAATGGACCCGCCCGTTCAGTCTACGTTCAGGACAGCGAGCATTGTTTCTTGTCGGCCAGTAAAGATAAGACTGTTAAGCTCTGGTCGCTTAGCAACCACGGTGATGGCACCGCCCAATCGGCAAGCTCGTGGACGTATGCTCGGCACACACGACCTGTGTTCCACGTGAATATGGTGGAGTCCGTACGACAAGGCGTGTCTTGTGATGGCAGTCTTCACGTTAGTCATGATTTTTAATTTACTTTTCTTTTCCGCGCTTGAATAGTTTTGTTAATGTTGTTTAAAAATTAAGTGTATGTTTCTGCGAGTGCGTTGGTTGAATGTTTCGTTCGGTTTAGGGCACATGAATTGATTTGTTTCTGGTATGTTGTTTTTTTCGTATCTTCATTCGTTCGCCTTAGAGCATTTGAGTGCTTTTATCTGCTACTCGGTTGGTCGTTCGTTCTGTGTTTTCGTTAGTTGTCGCGTCGGTTGATTAGTTTACTCCTTTTAAGACGCTTACCTCTTGGTTCCCTGGGTCGTTGCCTTCGGTCTCTTGTGTTAGTGTAGCTTCGTTTTCTTTAATTAAACAGACCCAATATGTCACACCTGCAGTTCGAGAGCCTTTTTAGCTGACACTATGGTTCTCTACTTGTCGTTTGAACCATTTCGCCCTTTGTTGGTTATTGATCTTTGAATCCTAACAATTGCATCTGTGGAGCAACTATTTGGTATGTATTTATATATAGTGCATTCGGGCTCAGATGTTTTTTCTTCTGTTTAAGTTATGGGATGCGGTCTCCGATCGTTGTCTTTGGGTCTACGACTACCCCAGGAACAATCCTATCGTTGCCATAACAACACTTCCGGCTCCCAGCAAGTGTGTAGTGGCCGCCATGGCTGAAGGAACTGCAAGGTAAAGACAACAACGACAAGGGATTGATACGGTATAATCTAACTGACAGAAAAATACTACAATCCTACCTACTCAACTTCTTTACTAAACAACGAGTGATATTCTTAATAAGGAGCGACCCTTAAAGACAGTACAGTACTTGTCCTTGATAAACTTACTTAAGCCCACTGCATTCTATATCTTAGCTCACCACTGAGCCGAACTCTCAGTTTCTTCCAACGTTTCTTGAAATTAGCGATCTTTCACTGTAGCTCTCTCTCACGGTATAGCTTTCTAAACAGCAACAACAACAACTACTACCACATAACTGAGTCCTTAAATACATTCACAAAGTGTTCTGGAACATTCCACGAGCTTACAGAAGAACTATTAAGTCGTATTACGTAGTAACTGCGTGACTTGATAAAGTGGTCTAGAAAGTTCTATGGTACGCATGTCAGCATTACTTAGCAGTCTAGAGATTTCTAAAAGCTTATGTGTACAAAAAAAATTACTCATAACAGGATGGCTTCACTTGTCAAGACGAGCGGCTTATTAGGATTTTTGTTGGAGTCCAAGCCAGGTCATTGTGTCATAGTCCTGGGACATAACACAATGAGGCAGGTTACTCTCACAATGCTTCTCTGCACCAAATAGTGTTATGTGAAGCAACCAACTGCCAGGGAAATTGGAACTATTTCTGCTGGCTACCTGCGTTACACAACATCCCATCGATGATTAGTAGTGATATTATTAATTAATTAACGCTATGGAAACCGATACCAGTCTGAGTTTGGGCCATCTGTTTCCTTTGGTTTAATTTTTACTTTTCTCTTAACGGTACTATTGGGAAAAGTCGTCAATCAGTTTAACAGCAGAATCCAAAGTTAGCGCTCATAAAAAAATAATCAAATAAATCTATGTGTAGAGAATGTATCTCCTTATGCATTGTGATTATTTGATTCATAGAAATGTCAACGTAGGAAAAGATTAAAATTATATGTTGTTCTCATTGCGGTTTAAGATGTATGGAATATGTTTAGTGTACAGGGCACTTTGAGTACACAGCCAGTTTATCTCAATGAAAATCACCGTTAATATTTCTATAATTTCTTCTTGGCCTAGTTATTATTATTACACATACACTGGGGCAATAATGATAAAGCACGCAGAAACAAGGAAGGTTGGGGAGAGAGAAAATTTACCGTGATTACAAATGACAAACTTAAAAACCTCTGGCTTTATCTTTTTTTCTGTAGAACCTTGACGCAGTTTGTTGCAACAACTTATTCCTCAACATGTGGTTTGTTTTGTCAGGTTTCTTGACGTTCGTCAGCATAAATTCGTCACAGAGTGGAAAATAACAACCAGTAGTGTACCAGGTATTCGATCGGCTACTTTCAGTACGGGTGGACACGACCCAGGCATACTGGGTCTACCGTATTCGCACGTGTATAGGCCGCACTTTTCCTCCAAATATATTTTGTGCAAAATGGGGGTGCGGCCTGTACACGGTATAACTGAAATCAGTTTCCCTCTTTCATCAAGAGGCAAGGCCGCTAAGCTATGTTTGCTCGTGTCCCCAATCACGTACGCAACTTCACGCGATCATTACTGAGGAAATAAAACAAAATGTTAGTGTACTTAGAATATAAATCTAGCAAAAATTATCCAGGTATCTTTTTTTTTACCTTTTTTTAAACTTTAAGACCGTTTTGAAGATGTGACTAACCATTGTGTTTGCATTTGCAATGTTTGTTCGATCGATGGCATACTATGTTATATTATTTATCGTGATGAATTTTGTGATATAAACAAATATATCTTGGTGGTATGCGGCACTCGCCAGGCCTTTTGCTCTTTCGAGAAAACGTGAAATTATTTCTTTTCAAGAAAATATGGTCAGAAGTCGGGGTGCGGCTTATACACGAGTGCGGCCTATACACGTGCGAATACGGTACTTGACGTCGAGGCTTACTGGTAAAATTTCAGAGACAAGAACTTGAAAAAAATTTCTTCTTAACTTTTGTTTTTCAGTAGGGTTCATGACACAGTTGAAGAGCATTCACGGGCAAGAAATTTATAGCACGATGAAAAAAGGGAAACGAAACAATTCTGACTGCTTGAGAAATCTCCCATTTGCTTTCTCACATGCAAGTTGTCTTTGAAATTATCACCATAAGCCGTGACTTGATGTGTTCGACCTAGTTTTGCTAGGTCAGCTCTCATTTTCGTTCAACAGAGTGTTGTTTCCCCTTTCTCTACACATGCATGAATATATTTTAAATTTCATTTGATCGTGATATGAAAGAATTACTTTTAGAAAATGACTGCTGTTCGAATTTAACCCGGGATGTGATGGCCACTCTCTTTAGTACTTTACCGAGCTTTCAGCTGCTAAATTGTCCATTCTTAAAGAAAACACAAATATGTAATGTAAACCTAACTCTGACGTAGAAGCTAACCTCAGGAAACTGCGCCAGTTATATGCTAAATACAACCAAACTCTAACATTGAGAGCTTTGGTTTACGGCACCGAACAACGTACTTTGTACGATACCATTGAGGAATTGAGTATCCTTCTACTGGATGGAATTGAGTGATCACTGTTTCCTTAGCCCGAGTCCAAGCATAGCAAAGGTTGACTATTCAGTAGCTCAGTCGTGGTTTACCTTTATTTTCCAAAGTCACCAAGTTTATACTATTTAGGGCCTGTTAGTGTTCCCGCGGATTAATGATGATGATTATTTTCTCTGGTTTGTTGTCTTTAGGTACTGTTCGTGATGTTTGCTGCAGCCCTGATGGGCGATGGATCGCTTTTGGCTTCTCAACTGGGCTGGCATCTGTGCTGGACATCAGAGGTGGGCTGCTTCGTAGTCAGAGGCGCGCTCACACTGGCGACATCTTTCAGGTACAAATCATTTATATACCATGTGTTGATGTGATGAAATGGTCGTGTTTTATAGAGTTGTATGTCCTGTTTTGTTTGTTTGTTTCATTGAAAAAATATCCTTCTGTGTATTATTGACAGTGTTATTCACAGTCACAAGGAATTTCCTCCCTCAATTCTTTTACCCCTCGCTACTACAAAAGGATGAATGTATGTTAGTCCCTCCCCAGGTACTCAAAATATCTTCTGGTAATGCTTCATTTTTAGTAATGATGTGGTAAGATAAATGCTCAAACCTGGGAATACTTCATTTTCCATGTTTTATGGTATAAAAAAAGAAAATGCGATAGAAAAAAAAATGTTCTCTAAATTTTACCAACGGTTTCGTAGGTCAAAGCCTTTTCGAGCTCGTCTTTTATAACATCATCAGTGGACTCTGGTTTATCTTTGTGGAAGGATGACGGTTTTCGCCTGAAAACACTAAAAGGTAACGCATTTGCCAATGCTCTTAGTAATATGAAGTGTTAGTTGCCTAAGGCCGCCTGATAACAGACACAACCCCTCTAAGTCTTCTGTGGATCGTTCCCATCTTCCACGAGAACCCAAAAATAACAAATCATGAGCCATGCATTTTTCTTACATGGACATCTCATGCGACGTCTCCTCCGTTCTCCGACAAACAATCCAAGCAAGACTAGCGATGTTACTTTCACCAAAGCGATGGGCAGTGAAGCCGCGAGAGGCTTGGGACGGAGAGTTTCTTTCTCACTCGCGGCCTTACTGCTCATCGCCCAACGCATACAGAACCGTTAGTGAACACAAAACTGCCAGCCACGCATGTAACATTTTTCGTAGTAGACCAGGTGTTTTTATCAAGTTGAAATTATTTTCCTAGCTTGAACCTCTCCTGGTAGAGCCATTTTTTGGGATTTCTTTGGCTTTGCTTTGCTTCGCTTTAAGATTGGTCTATAAAACGTGTGCCTCTGTTTCAACCAACAAAATGTATTTTAATACTAATCCTGGTCATGGTTACTCGTGTTTTCCCGCGCTTCAAGCAGTTTGCTTGTTTTTACTCTGAGTTCTCATGCGTTCGTGGTGACATCTTTCATGAACACTGTTGTGATTACTTTGCCTTTGGTTTTACATCGCTCAATCAAAAAAAGATAATTTCTTTTCAGAATACGTGATGAAAAGGGGTAGCCTGTGAAAACTTGATATCTTCTTACTCAGCTCAATTTAAGTCGATAACTTCATGCTTGTTTTCTCTTTTGTTTGTCGGCTTTCCTTCTTTTTTCGTTTCACTTGTTGTGAAAGGTAGATTCACAACCTCAGTCTTTCCGAAATCATGCAGCTTAAAATGGAATTGATTAACGTTCGTAGAGAGTAATTATTACTTTTTATCTGACAGGTCCTAGCGATCCTCTCCCCTCTCTACTAGTGTGGGGAGATCAATTGATTTCAGCCACTGTTGGCGGTAGAATTGGTGTACACAGCTTACAGGAGGATCATTCTGAGGTAACGTTTCTTTTTTACTTTTTCATTATCGCCTGATCTTTTTATCGCTTCTCAGTTTGGTCTCGATCAGCTCAGTCGTAGTCTTCATTTCATGAAGAAGATTGAAAGAGATTGTACTTTGGTTCTGATGCTCTTTTATGTCACCAGAGGAATGTCTTAATTGGTGGCTCAGTATGCCTTGACCATTTGCCTTCATTTCTTTTCACTTACTTCCTCTTTTCCAAACCAATGAAATTCTATACCTTAGTAGATTCTGTCAGTTTAGAATTTAAGGCTGCAAGGCCAACGTTCATTCAAAGTCGCTATTTTGCAACCTAAAAACAGAAAGGCTTGGCTTATTACTATGTGAAACATACGTCATGGCCTCGAGACTAAGATCTTGCTGTCGGGCCCTCATCCACTCGGTTATTAGGTACATGATATTTTACTGATATACTAACTTTGTTCTTTGTTACACCCTATTTACCTTAGTTAAAGCCCAATGAGCCAGAATTTCACTCAACTATAACGTTAGCTGGTAGTCACTTATGTGATAATTGCAATCTCGCCCCTAGGGCATTCTCGGTCATTTTTCAATGTGTGAAAGGCCTGTGGGCATGAGATTACGATTATTTTACCGAGCTTGTCTTTATGTCATCGTTTTGTCTTTATGTTCTTATCACAGGACCCTTACATCAGTTATAAGCTGAGCAGCGATGTGTTCCGTGGCAATATCACGTGTCTTGGTTACCTGCCACTCAATAGGCTGCTTCTGATTGGTAACGACACAGGCAACATTGTGCTCTGTTCCTAAAGCAACAGTTCTTTTAGAAAAACCCTAAAACCAAATTATACATATTGGATCCTTTTATGAGTAGAATGTAAAACGATGATGCTCGGGAGTAAATGTCGGAATAAAGTATATTTCATTTCAAATTTTCTGTAATCTGTAAATGTTAAGAACTTTTTTGTTGCCACATAATCTGAGTCAATCACAGAAATCAGTCATCAGAAAGGATTGGAGAGCATAAACAGGATTAAATGTATAATTCATGGACTGTTATATGATACTTACCAAAACCTTTTAGAGTTAATCAGCTGATTTTGTTACATCTGTCAAGTCGTTGCATGTCTTACTGTTACCTTACAGAATTGAATTATTCGTGTTTGTGTTGCAAAAGCAATTATCGTTTTAGGCAAATATATTACGTTTAAATACTGTCATTTGTGAAATGTCAATTACTATTTTATAGAAATGAATCTAATAGTCAAAGAGAAAAAAAATTATTACAAATTTATCAAATTGAAGTTATGTAACATTGTAAAAAAGCTTGCTATTGGAAAAAATATCAAATCAAAGGGCGCCTGTAGCTAACTCGTGGATAAAGTATTAAAGAGATATATACTTGTAAAGTTGCTATCAGTAAACTTAAGTGTTAAAAAAAAGGTAGAAAGTAGAACCATTGCAAGTATAGATATTGTAGTACTTAGGTATGTGATGAAACCCCCCACGGGGGGGGGTACATGGGTCATTTTTTGCTGGGTATGTGCAGCTGACTTCTCAGAACCTCTGCCGCACTTTAACCTATATTGAGGCCAATTATAGACCCCATCTTTGTCTGCTTTTAAGCAAGATCGGAATGGAATGGGAACCGTTTATTAAATATTATAAAATAATTCAAATAGTGCGTGCGCTCTGATTGGCCATAAAACCATTTTACATGAGCGTATGTTAACACGGTTTTCATACTGAATCTCCTCGCGGAGTTCTCCCTGCTATTTACTTAGCAGTAACTCAGTTTCTTTAAGTTTGTTTTGAGTACAGTAATGGTAAAAGAAGATTTTCCTAATTTTTCTTTGGAGTTTAATTTTCCCAGTATTCAAGAAACGGCCGAAAAGCCAAATGAACAACAACAACAAGCACGTCGCTTTCCTTCGTTGCAAGAAGAGGCTCTTTCATTAGTTATTTTGTAAAAGAAATGTAAAATGGTTTCCGTGTTTACATAGCCTGTTGTAAACACGCGGGAGGTTGGGAGAACATGAGATAAGCGTAGGAAACCACGACGCGAAGCGGAGTGGTTTCCAGCTTATCGAGTAATACGGTAACAACTTTTTTACCATGAATCTTCCTGTTATGAATCCTTACTTGCCATAATTTTCTTACGCCTAAAATCTCAAAAATGTGTAACCCCATTCTAGTAACTCTATTGAAAATAGCTGAAAATGCAACGCCATGAAAGTCAATGCAGTCGTGAAAATGCGACCCTATTCAGGGGCACATGCGAAGATTGCAAACGGTCGGTTTATATATATTTATATATATATACATATATATATACATATATATATATATATACACATATATATATATATATATATATATATATATACATATTTGTTTTAATTTTATGAACAAATTGATGTCATTGTTGTAAGAAGAAAGTTTTAAATCAGTCAACCATGGATAAACTATTCCCAAACGCCAGAGCGTCAGGTTTTCTACTTCTGATAGTGACCTGTTAGAGCACCATAGAGAGATAGGTGAGGACAGCTTACGAGCCAAGTGCTCAATTACATCGTACTGGCTTGCGCTTGACCTGGTCTCTGGGGCACGAAGCGACCCGGAGCACTAGTACTCTCTTGGATGGATGCCAAACCATCCCTTCTCTTTCTCATCTTGCTGTGTAAATACCGTGTACTTTCGTTCTTCGAAGACAGACGGTTACCTGAAGGTTGGTTACAAAAGAACTGAAGAAACAAACCTGATGGAGCTTTTCATGTTATTAAACAATCGCAAATTCAGGGAAGGAAATCTTGAATGCTTCATCAGAACTAGATTTCGAATTTGCGTCAACATCTTTCCACCTATGGAAAATTGAAGCAACTCGAAACCTAAAATGCTTCAGTTCTTCCTTCATATGATGGTACATTTTTTTCATATTTTTCATAATCACAGTTGTTTAAAAATTGAAGCCGTAATGATAATTTGAGTTAGAGATTGCGCTTGTCAAAGTGCTAAATAGGAAATGATATAAAAAAAATTATAAAAAGATGAGAAATGCCAGTCAAGATAATTCACTTCCTGCTCAGTACCAGAGAAAAAATTTAAACGATATGATCTGACCAAGATTTCACAGCGTGTGGGCCAAGGTAAACCAGCCGAGTTTCCTTTCGCCTATTGCACGTGATTCAGTCATAATAATCATACGATTCGTGAGTATAGCGTAATAGCTAACATGATCACTAGATGTCACAGATCACAGTATTCCACTTTTCCAAGATTGTTTGCATGACATAGTCTAGCAGCATGACATCTTGTGGAGTGCCCTTGTAATTTCTAGCTAGATACGCTTGAAAGATTTGAAAAGATCTGAAATAATAACAAACAACATCGCTCCACGAACAGCTCCACTTTACATAAGAACGAATATTTCGTGTGCATGGTGAGATTAATTCAACATTTGTGCACGTTTTCTTGATGACTAGGGATTTGTTGACCAGAAATGTCTAGATCACAAATTCCAAGAAATGAACATCATTCGCACTGTTATAGATTGTTATTTCCGAGAGATAAAAATTCCTTTCGAGGTAAGGCTTTCCCAAATATTAAAGCTCGAATACAACCATGGGAAATCTGGCCGGTCCATTAGTATGGGAAAGCCACTTTGAGACTGGCACACTTGAAATATATTGGGTACATTCAAGGTAGAGTCAGTCACGAACTTAACTTAATTGCGTCATAGGTGTTTATCGCCTCTCACGGTTTTGACGTCATACGAACAGACGTCAGTGGTGAAACGAAAGAAGTTGTGGACTAAAGAAACTAATTTTTTTTTTAATTTTTTTGTATTTCTAATTCCTTCTTAGTGACCCTATTTGGGTAGGATATCACGGATAAGTAAATACAGCGTTCTCTTATTAATAAAGTCTCATACCTAGGTAAAGACCGTAACACAACATTTTCGATTTTGAACTGGCAAGCCGAGTAAATGAAAATTTTTCTAATTATTGTTTACAATCAACATCAAACTTTTTTTTCCTGTCATAACTATTTTTAACTGGAAAAACATTCAGGCAGCTTAAGTTTACCCGACATATTTACGAGTACTCGAATTAATAACACAACTTCTATTCAGCTTTGCAAACGTTGAACTTCCCACGTAGTTGACCCGTGGACACGATCATTGACATTTGGGAGTAAACTTTCCCGTTCCGTGATGCGAAAGTGCCGAAAATATCCAAGATTGCTGTAATAATATTAGTCGCGTGAACAAAAAGTTCCTCCGGGGTAGGGATGGGAGGAGGTGGGTAAGTCCAGCGGCATCATGGGTTTGTAGGAAGCAGATAGGGAAGTTTACTGGAGGAGAGAGGACGTGATCGGCGCATAGCAATTTTTAAAAATCTTCTTATAATAGGTTGTATACCGAGGTTGTGTTTCCTTTTTCCGCCGAATGAATTGTTGAGCTGATACAGTGTACGAGTGGTAAAAGCCATTTTCGTCAGAGTAGTGGAAAGTGTTGACCTTGTGGTCAACTCCTTCGATATCCGTTTGGCTGTGCAAAGGAAAAGGAAAACACAAGCTGTGAGATATCTAGGTGATTAATTGTCTGATTTTATACGAACACGTTTCGCAGAATTCTCCCCATTTCTTGTTCGAATTTTGGCAAAGGTGGGTTTTGTGCTTAACATGTGATATGTTAGTGAAGTGATTAGAAGAAAGGGAATAGCAAGAATTGTCATCATTGTACGTTTCTCGATCTTAAAATCAAATCGTGAAGTGAAGCGCACTTCCTGATATGTGGATATCTAGAACCAGCTGCCAACAGTCAGAATCCAAAGGGTTTGTTCAGGAAACAGATGCCCGCTAAATGGGTTGGAATGAGTGGAAATATCTTTTGGTTCACAACTCATTCTTGGAGTCGTCTACGCTAACTTGTACAGAGTACTTCGATTACGTTCACTACACATACGTAAACGTCGAAATATACGAATACATTCAAAATGTCTTTTTCTTTCGAACTTTGAGAAATCCAGGAAAACCAAAATTTGGGCCCTATTTCGGTTTCCGACACACTAAACTTTATTTGAAGCTTCCATCTTGAAGGAGGCCTAATATTTTGTAAATTGTTTTCGGTGCGAACTAAAACTCTCTTTTGGTAGATATTGAACTCAGTAAATGTTAAGTTGCCCAACCTTTTGAGATATTTTGATGTCTGCACAATATTTACACGTATCCGTACGTGTTATTCCGAGAATGAGCCTTTGGCGATTATATATAATTGCGAAACAGATGGCAGGCTTGTGAAAATTTTAGTGTCACAGTCTCAAGGTAACGCGCAAGTAAGTTGTGTGCAACTGTCGTGTTTTAAGAGAACAATTTACTTGCTTTTTGTGAGTAGGTTGAAGGAAATCCCGTCTATTTTAAGCCTTGACTGTCTTTTCTCTTGAATGGTTTTTAGAGACCTAGATTTAAACATTTTTGGAACCATTCTATTTTAGTTGTCAGTTGATTGTCTTGGGAGCTGTGTTGAAAGCTTAGGAAATTGACTACACCTTTATTCCATTACCATTAGGATTTCTTTCACGAAAGTCTAAATTCAGCAGTGTAGATGAGACAGTAGTGTCAGTATTATCTTTAAATCCCTTGTCAAGAGTGCTTTTACATCTTGTGTTCTACATGTGACATTCAGGATTAATTTGCTGAATAAATAGCCTTCATGTGCAATAAGTCAGTCAGTTGTAAATTATGTCCCATTTTTTTCCTTTTTAATTCTTCACTAAGTAAAGTTTGTCTCGTACAATGAGGGAATTTTAAACCAGGTGATGTGTTTGATTATTATTTAATTGAAATGTACTGGAAAAAAGTAAATTAGTTTGTTTTCAAAGTTTTCTGTTATTCAATTTAAATCCAGACCATGTGTGAGTATAAATTTTCAGATATGGAAAAGCAAATTTAAGTGTAGAAACTCAATTGAATTTTTCTCATTTTATGCCAGTCTTTCAGGAAATAATTCTCTCTTTCAAATTCTCAAGTTGCAATTTGATTTAAATGTATTTGTAATGGACTAAATGAAAGGAAGAGCTACAGAAGTAAATAGTAGCTGCCATGAGTTACAGCATACAAAAAATCAGCAATGTCCTGACATTTCTCTTCACTAGATCTTTGTGTTTGTGGGAGAGATCAATATTACATTGTGTTTTGATCTTCAATATCAGCTTTGTGGCATGTCACAAAGTAGGGGGTTTGATTCCTTTTGGGATAGTTTAATTTAAAGAAAGGGGGTAAGTTTCTAAAGAATTTGTGGTGCCATGTCTGTGGGGGGAATACCAAGATAATTTTGTTTTATCAACTGAGTTGATAATGTAAATTGGCCACCATAAGGAGTTTTTGAAGCTGATGTTTTGAGGTTCTAGCCCTTGATTAGAGAAAATCAAGAGGCTGCTAAGAGATGCATTTATAAGACTGCATTTTGTAGGAGAATCTCGTGGTCAAAAAACACCTTAAGAAATACATTTTAAGAAAACTGTGTTTTTTAGAATATTTGCTAAGCAACTCACTAATCAATTTGGACTAATTTTTTTGAGAGCAGAAGTGCAAATCAGTGTTTAGTGTGTATTACAGTTGTAGCATGCTCTTGTTTTGAAAAATATCTTTAAAAAATTAAGGCATGACTGCACATTTAGATTTCTTTATGCAGAATACCTAGTTGGCAAGTGATGCTGTGATTCTCTTCAGTGAATAGAAATTTACGTCAACCAAAGTAAAGTGATTTATTTATTGATAATCAACCTTGAGTAAGCTTGGTAACATGCATGTGTGTATATCTATCTATCTATCTATATATATATATATATTTTTTTTTTATTTAAATCCTAAATCAATAAAAATGCAAAGTTTCTTAAAAGAGTACTTCCAATCTTTTCCAGTGATTAGTTACATGTAAATGTGGCTGAGGATTAGGTATGGTGGAGGAGATGAAGGTCCAATATCTCTTTCTTTTGGAAAGTATTTACATATACTAAATTCCCCTTATTTGTACATGTAGATACAAATGTGTAACTTCTTTTATGAACCCTTTTTTTTTTCAGAAAGCAATGGCAACAGGGGCTTTAGAACTTTCCCATATTAAGAGAGAAAATGTTACAGCCAAGAATCCAGATTTTCAAAGGCTGCATTCAGAAGAAAGTGCTGCTATTAGAAGACCACCTGGTATTAAGAAATCTATTTCATGGGGAAACCGATCTGATTACACCCGGTCATTGTCTCCGCAAGGTAAGTCATATGCTGTATAATGACTTGCAACATCTTGATTGAAGCAGGGAAAATTTTATTAAATCCAGTTTGCCATTTTGGATTTGGACACATATAAGTTACTGAAGAAGATCTTCACAGGAGGACAAAAGTCACATCATTGGAAGATTTTAGGTTTGGATAAAGTTGATACCTTAAATAGTAAAATTTGCTTTTCTTTCAGCCTTAACTGTAGCTGTGTTTCTAGTGGAGAAGTCAGGCCGTCTGTTGAACCTGGAGGAGGGAAGAAACACTGAGGCAGGGACAATTAATACCATCATGTCAGAAAATCTTTCTCTTCCCCCTATTGCCTCTCAGGTGTTTTGTGTGTGGCTTATATCTCCTCTTTTACGTAAGTAAATCATTACTCTGTCCATTTAGTATAATTAGGTGATAGGATTAGGTGATATGATTAGGTGATAATGATGAGGTTTGGATGCAGGCATGCTCTCTCCTGAATTTTTATCTTCTGGCTCCCTCTATTATGGACCAAACAAATGCTTTTCAAGAAGAGTAAATTTGCAGAGTTATCATCTTCACTTTGGCTAGAGGAATTCACATTTGGAGAAGAGCACTGGTTTTTGCGAAGGGTTTTTTCTACTCTGTTACTGACTCAAGCCTAGAATCAATCAAGCCCTGGAATTTCAAATAACAATGAGGTTGATTATACATTGTCTAAATTGAATGTGTTATCCATTGACGCGAATCACTATTTCACGGCTGATGTCTCTGTGCATGGGGCTATCTCAAGGCACCACAAGATCAAGTGGCACAAAAGTCCTTGTATTTATTACCCAAACACTGTTGCAACTTTCAATGTGGAACTAATTGGTGATCTAACATTCAAGCTCAATCCCAGCCCATCAGTGGATGGAAAAATTCCAGTTATTATCTTTGCGTGAACTCACTGCAGTTGTACAACAAGGCCTTCCATTGTTTCATGTAATGCCTATGGTATAACTCTTGGATCAAATACAAAGGGTATAAATGTACAAAACCTCTCTTATGTCAAATGCATGGAAGAGTTCAAAACACACTGGTGGCGTTGTTCTGATTGATTTCTACCTATTGAATACCAGATCTACCAATAACAAAGTACTGAGTATTAAGGACTATGTTGGCAATAGTGATCTTGATATACTTGCAATGACTGAGATATAGCTTGGAGGAAAGGCTCATGAGCTGGTGGAGTTGGTCTTCTTATGAAAAAGCACATTCAAGTTAAAAACCAATCTCAATATAAGTTCGAGTTGTTTGAGGACATTGATATTTCCAAATGCTCTGGTGGATGTATGAGGATAGTTACTATCTGTAGGCCCCCACCATCTAACGCAAACCGACTGAGCAGTGCTTTATTCTTTGAAGAGTTTTCAACTCTGGCTGAACAGCTCACCATTGCCCCTGGTAACCTATTGATTGTTAGTGATTTTAATTTTCGCATAGATAACCCTGGGAACACTGCTGCAATAAAATTCACCAGCATTTTGGAATTATTCAACCTTAAATGACATGTCTGAGGCCACACTCAAAAGAAGGGGCACATCCTTGACTTATTGATAACAAGGGCTGATGATTATCTAGTTACTAGTATTGAAGTTAGAGACCCTATGCTATCTGACCATCTAGCAGTTCATTGTAAGCTTGGCCTACAGAAAACACCTCCTGTACAAGCTTCTATCCAGTGTAAAAAATATGCTCTATTGATATGGATAGTTTCAACGATGACCTCAAAAAGTCTACACTCCTGTCATATGACCATGATGAGTTACCATCTCTATTAGATGAATAAGAAAACACCTTACAAAATATATTGGACAAACATGCACCAATGGAACAACACATAATCACACTTTGCCCTTCAGCATCCTGGTACACAGATGAAATCCGTGAAGAGAAGAAGAAACACAGAAGACTAGAGGGATGCTGGCAATCATCTTGGTTGTGTATTAACTGGCAAATTTATGCTGAACAGTGCAAGCTTGTCAACAATATGCTTAAATGTGCAAAATCCTCCTACTATTCCTCCATCATCTTCAATAATACATCCAATCAGAAGATACTTTTCAATGCAGTTGACAAGCTATTACACTGGAGACCTGAGAAACGTTACCCCACAGCATCCTCGACTGTGAAGCTGGCTAACAATTTTGCTGAATTCTTCCATAATAAGATAGTCACTATCTAAGACATGTTATCTAGTGAGTCATCATTACCCAATAATCAAATCTGTCTGGTAGAAAATCAGTCATCATGCAAGCTTGCAGTCTTCCAAAGAGTGTCTGTAAAGGTAGCTGAGCATCTCCTTGAGGTGACAGGCCTTAAGTCTTGTGATCTTGACCCAGTACCAGCATGTATCTTGAAAGGCTGTAAGTCGACTCTCTTACTGACGCTGACTAGCATCGTCAATCTGTCATTCCAGTCTGCGTGTATACCTGGAATAGCATACAAACACCTACACAGCACTGAGACAGCTTTAGTGAAAGTACAGAACGATATCCTTTGTGCAATTGATGATAACAAGGGTGCTGCACTCCTTCTGTGGGACATGTACAGAGCATTTGACACTGTTGGTTACAAACTTCCCTTGGATAGAATGTGCAATCACTTTGGTTTGAGAGGACAGGTCTTGAAATGGTTTGAATCCTACCTTTACAACAGAAAAAACAGTTTGTGATGATTGATGGTGTAAAATCTGATGTCAAAGACCTTCAATTTGGTGTTCCACAGGGATTGGTCCTTGGGCCAATCCTGTACTCATTGTACATTTCCCCTTGGGCAATATTGTGAGACATCATGTTCTCAAGTTTCACCTGTACGCCAACAACACCCAACTTTACTTTGCTTTTAGGCCCACTACAGCCAAGCAACAGTCATCTTTAGCAGGTATAGAAGCATGTGTGAGTCAGTTGATTCCTGGTTGGTCTAAAACAAACTGAAGCTAAACACTGGAAAAACCAAGCCACATATGTTGAGTGCCAGCCATCACCCATGCCCGCCCATCAAGGCCATCCAACTATGGCTTCCTGTGCCATATCAAATACAGATAATTCTGTTTAACCTTTAAAGCCTTGCATAGGTTAGCACCATCCTATTTAACAGAAATGTTGCAACCCTAAAAACCATCAAGAAGCTTAAGATCTTCTAAGGGCCTCTTTACATGGAGGTGGGGGACCCCAGGTGGGTGAGGTAACCCACCTATCCATGGTCGAAAAATAAAACATGTTAACATATAATCTTACAACCCCGGGGTGCTGGGGTGAGGTTTCTTGAGGTTGTTATTGCACTTGCAATTAAGGAGTTTGAGCAGAGGCGTCCCAAATTCACATCTCAAGAAAGACTAAAGATTAATTCTTGGACACATATGAATTAATTCATGAAAGTGTCATGCGTGTTATGCAGTGTTGGGTTGCACGAGGAACCATTGACACAATACATTATACAGAATAGTTTGGGAAAAGAAATATGGTCAATTTACAATGCTAAATATTCCGAATTGTGAACATTTTACACTACTTGTGTGTCTGTTGCAGTTTCTGGTGATTTCTACCATCAGATAGTTAGGAAATGTACAAAGTTTTAAAACATAGATGTTTCATTTTTGAGCTTTTTGCCATGAACGTGACCTCAGCTAGGTAGGTTACCCCACCTTGAGACATTCACATGGCAAATTGTCACCCCGGCTGACAGGGTTACCCTACCTGGCAGACCGGGCAACCTGCCTGGGTGGGTCACCCCACCTTTCATGTAAACATGATCAAGATAAAATAAAAAATTATTTGGACAGGCAGCTTACCCCACCTAGGCGGGTTACCTCACCTAGGCGGGTTACCTCACCTATCTGGGGTCCCCCACCTCCATGTATACAGGCTCTAAGAGGCTCTTGACAATACCATCAGCAAAACTGAAGGAATATGGCTGTACATCATTCTCATTTGCAGCACCTACAATTTGGAACTCACTGCCAGACCCATTTGTAATCATGATGATATTTCAAAATTTGAAACTTCTGTAAAAAACTTTCTTATTCAAAGAACACTTTTATTAAAGTTCTGTTAGAAATATTGCAATAAGAATTTTAATTTTTACTTTTACTTTTAACCTCAATTTTTAGATACAAATTTCTTACTAGTACTTTTATATATTTTTGTTTTATTATGGATGTAATTTTTAATCTACAAAATTTTTGGTCTTGAATATTCAGTTATGGTGCTTTAGAAATCATTATTATTATTATTATTAGTAGTAGTAGTGGTGGTGGTGGTATTATACTTTGTAACAATTCTTCCCTTTGTGATAACTAGAGAGATGCAGGGTATGAATCAAGAAATTTGTCTTGTTTTACCTGGCTGGTAAACATTAAGATGACAGTGAAACACATACAGTATGTGACATTTCCTCAGCTGTTAAAGAGCCTATCATCTATTTTGGAAATATTTTTGGAGAGCTTAAACTTTTTCGTCTTGTAATTAATTTTTATTACACTAGTGCTAGGAATGGTGGTAAACATTATGACTTCAACACAGACAAAGTGTGTAATTCATTAAGAATTCCAGTTTAATTGACACATGCGCAATGAGGCGCTAGAATTGCTGAGAGATACTGGACACCACTTAGTATCCTAGCAACCGATTGCTCAAGTTTGCAGATCAATAGCCTTTGGCTTTGTAATTTAGATTCTGAGTGATTTTTTTAATCTTTCAAAGAAAGAAATAAATAAAACATAGAGTTAGAATTAGAAGAAATGAAACTGCTATAACAATTATCTGAGAGTAATCTTGAGCATAGTTACCTTTTGCAAATAATTTATTAGCAATGTTCTATTCCCAACAAAGAAAAAAATTATTTATTTTATATGTGCTGTACTATTATTTTACTACTGAGCAGGTCCATGTGCATAGCTACATGTTTAATGTATGTCCCTTTTATGAAGTTCATGGCATAATACTGTATGATTATGAGTGACAAATTCTGTGGAAATGTTTTTTGCTTCTTACAATTCTTAGCATGGATGTGTTATACTCAAACTTAAAATTTTCAATTCCTAGAGCTTCAGTTAAAATCTCATCACAGGCCATTCCGGCTACGTCAGGTATGGCCAGAATTACTCAGGAAGTTTACAAACACGCCTGATGAAGTTTGCGAGAAAGGTACAAATATACATTATTATCATTGTTTTTATTATTATTATTACAATTGAAATAATTTTCTCAGGTCTAAGTTTCTGGGTTTTTACAATGCAATTATTTGTATTTTTTCTTCAGATGAACCAATCCTGTGTTATCAGAGGAGTTCTTTTTTTCCTCTAGCAGAGGAACGGAGAGTAAGTGTCACAGAGACTGTTAATGAAGCATTTGAAAATGATACGCAGCTTAAGCTTGGACTTAAAATGGGGTTCACCATGCTACTAATCCTTTTATATTGTGCATTTAGATTTTGCATGTTTGCTTCTATAAAGTTTCTACCAGGGCATGTTGTTCTTACTAATTTAAAAGTTCTTTTTGGCTATCTTTTAATTGTATCAGGTGAAAAAATTGAATTTATGGATTTATGAACAAGAAGTATACATAGCAGTTACAAGTAATTGATATGATGATTTACAGTTTACATTCAGTGGAGCTTTATTTTGAAAGTTTCTTTTTGTTACAGATTAAAGATGATAGAGTTGTTAGAAGGTTATTTGAAGAGGTGATTAAGATATTCATTCTTTTTTATTTTCATAATTCACATGTCTATTACAGTTTTCAGTCACATATCAAAGTGCATTGTGAATAAAGTACATGTTTACATCTTTTACATACACAAGGGATGTGTGTAATTTATTTAGGTGCCAAACAAAAAAAGCCCACGTAACTTTGTTGTTGTACTGTTGTGGAGGACCTGTTTTGATTTAGTGCATGCACAGAATCAAGGTGAAACCCACATACTATTGTTCTTACTGTCTATTCAATCATTCTCTTTGGTTTTAATTTAGGCCAAACACAATGTTCTTTGTGGCAATTATCCTATCAGCTCCAAAGATGCTCTCACATTGGGAGGAATTCTTGCTTATATAGACAATGGCAAATATGATAAAGAAGAACATGCTCCTGGCTGTTTCAAGTAAGATTTATCTAGATCATTCTCACTAATCACATGTGCAGACATGTGTACTCAAAATGATTCATTTAGCATCCACTCCACATGTAGTCCTCATCAAAATTTCTTGAAACACTCTACTCCCTTCTCAATGTCCAATTTCTTCTTTTGGTGTGATTTTTGCATCACCAACATAATGTGTAGAGAGAAGGAGGACATCTGTCAAGAAAAATTGGTAACATTTTGTTTGAAGATTTGACTTGATGTGGCTATTACAATGCTTTTGTAGAAAAGTGACCATTTGGCTTGTACTGTGTAAATGTATGAGATTGAGGCTGGCTATTAAACTTTCCTACATTTAGTTACTTTTTGAGTCCTGACTGTTTTTACCTTGAGAAATTTAGTTAAAAGGTTCAATAATCTTTGATCGTAACAAACAATTGTGATGAGGGTTACAGTATATGTATGTATGTATGTATGACTGAAGACTGAAAATTTTAGTTTTATGAACTGTTAAGTTCACTACAATTTATCATTACTAAATGTAAACATAGGTTTCTACTTTATGGTGGTCTTAAACATATTTTCTGTTGCAGGAACAAGCTGACAGATTATTTACCAGCATGGGTTTGTAAATCCAATTGGCCATTCCTTGGTCGATCACCAAATTCTGCTATTGAACACAAACTCCTGCAGGAATATGAAAATGTCTCTCAGCAAGTTAGTGATGTCAAAGCTTGCCATAAAATGTTCTTGGAGTACTGCTGGAATTTTTCATTTTATGGGTATGTTTTGTTGTGTCATTAGTTATAATTCAGAGTTGGCAAATTATCAGGGTTGCCTTAATTGTTAAGTAGTGACAGAAATAATAGGTCAGTTGTCATAAAAAGACAAAGAAAAGAAAACCTGGATGGAAATTTTTTTTTGTGAGTTTTACTCAACCTCTTAAGACCTGCACAATCACAGAAAAAGAGGCAAATTTTGGGAAAGAAAACAACAGAGCATTAAAAATATTTCATGCAATGATTTGTATCACTTAACATCAGAGCACAAAGACTGTGTGAGAAAATAATTTTACAGCATACTACATGATAGACATACACCAGTTCCCAAATTTACAACCTGAGCTACAAATTTAGTGGCCAAAATATTTTACATATTCAATTTGGCAACAGAAACAGTCTCAACTTGGACTGCCAACTTTAAATCTGCCCTTCATCTGGTAAATTATTTTCTGCACTGAAACTTTTTTTTAATGTTAATTGGTCAATGTATATAATTGATTCTTTCAGGAGTGTTTTTTTCCGGGGCCAAATCGAGCGACCCACATCCTCTCTGCTGTCAAACATTCTAGGGAATTCTGACCTACCTGTTAGAGTTGCCATCAACAGGGAAGGTGTCCATGTGATTGATGACAATAAAAATGTAAGTATGTAATTACTAATAACTAATTACAGTGAACTGTCTTTAATTTTCTGTAGCAAGATATTTGTTTAGCTTTTATTTTTAAGCACTGAATATTTTTTGTGTTCATTATTGTCAGTTATGCTGTAGGCAGAATTATGATCTTATTTTAAAATTTTCATCCATTTACAGCCTATTCCACAATTTAGATAACTATTTATAAATTTAAATAAATCAAACAAAAGCAGACCAAAGCAACTGTTGCCACCATCCACACTGCTCCTTTAACAACTTGATATGTAGAGGTTACTAGAAGTGTGTATTTTTCATGAGATTTCAACAATTGACAGCTTCCTGTGTATTTCACAGGATATACTTCTGAGCTTAGCATTTGAGGAATTATCTTGGGACTACACACCTGCCCCTGCACATGAGCCTGGGTGTTTGGATACCTTTTGGTTGGAGTTTGATGCCCCTGATAGAAGCAGTGATCCAGAAGAAGCAGTGCAAAGGTTACAGATTTTCTCCAAACAGGTGCTGATGGACAGCATTTTCAATTGAACTGAAAACATGAAACTCTTTACATTTAGAACTGTAATTTTCCTTGTGAAGGACTGATTAAGATGTACTGGAAGATCCACATCTTCATGGGGTAGACTAAGAAAAAAATTTTATTTCTGGAGGGGAAAATGTGCTGGTAGGAAATGGGTGTTGCATTGGAACATGGCTTGCAAGACTGACCAGTTTGTGTCGATAGTCTTATTAACAGTAGTCTAAGATTTTAATTTTTTTTCATGATTTAATTCATAGGCTGAAATGATGGATGCCATGGTAGAGTCATGTGTTCTTTGTGATGAATCTGGGTAAGCCACATACAATTTGATAACAAATAAGTTATAAATAATGTAGAAATTTAGTGAGGGCTCATCCACAGACTGGTTCTTTGTAGACTCAGTCAGAGTGAAATAGTGATTTAGACAGTTCCTGCTTTTACATCTTAAACTTTGTGAGATGTTACACATGTGTTGTGACCCATTAACCAATTGTTTTCAGTCAAAGGACTATTTTTGATCTGTCTTAGAAAGAGCTTAGTTGTTCAACTTCTTACAGTATTGTTAACCAACACAATCATTGTTTTCTTTTTTTTTCAATTTGCAGACCACATGGAACACTGGGTGAGTTATGTTTAAGAATATTTTGAAGTTATATGTTGTACATGTATCAACTTTAAAATCTTAAAGGAAATGCCATTGGGAGGAAGTAAAAGCATCTGCATTGAACTGTACTGGGCTGGTTTTGGGAATATTTGTGCTGTTAAAAAGGATTTTGTCAATGGTGCCCCCTGCTTTTAACTAGTGCTCCTGTTAACCATGAAAAATACTATCCATTTTTTTTACAGTTTAAATCATATGTGGAGAAAAAAAAACCAGAACAATGATTTATGTATTTTATGACGAGTTAAGGAGTCACTGGAAAGGCTAAGAGGAGTTTCATGTCTGCTGGGTCATCAATGGCACTTAGTTAATCATTGACTGATGATCCATCTGATGATTACACTTGATCAATTTAAACTGTTTTCTGATCACTCAACAGGTAAAGTGAGATGTAGAGTGGACCGTCTCAGTCTCTCAACTCTTGAAGGTTTGTGTGTCTGTTTTCTTTTTGCTTCTTAAATTCAGCATATTTATGACAGCAGTGAGAAGTGTTATTGTAGTATGTGTGGTTTGGATGATACATATAAAACCCAAATATGTGTTGGACAAAGTCCTGGAGCAGGGTGAATCATCTACAATGTCACTCATCCCTGGTTTTTGTTTCACACATTGTACAGAGAATGGGAAGGAGGCTGTATATGAACTCCACCTGAATATGATGCTGGTCCATCCCTCTCATTCCCCTCTCCCAGAATTTGTCAGAAACTCTTTGACAACTCTCTGCTACCCTTGAATCTTTAAGGGTGGAGAGAAGTACTGTGAGATTGAAGTATCTTGTCTGCAATGACTAGGCCAGAGTTTGTACTTAGCATGTTAATCACCACGCTATTATTTTTCCAATTCTGGTCAGCAAATGTGAAAAAACAATGATGAGCCTGAAATCTGGGTAGTTGAAGTGAATTCCTGCACCTGGAAGTTGCTTATGAATGTTTTTTGTAAATTACTGTAGGAACCTTGGACAGAAAGAAGGGGTCAAACAGGTCTTTCACTATGTCCAATCCTTTCAGGAAAAGGCATTCAACAGGTCATTAAGCAGACTGAGTGTAAATCTTATTCATGATTATCATCCCTTCAGTTGATAAAATAAATGTTGTGGAGGCTTTCTTCAAGACCAAAGGATGTAAGGAGATAAAAGTTTTGTGAAGAAGTCTACAATTATATTAAGTTTGAGTAAAATGTGTAAATAGTTTCTACTGTACGAATGCTATAAGACCTAGATCCAATGTTTTACTGTCTCGCTATGGTGACCATAAGATTTAGTTACTGGATGTATAAAGTATGAGCTAGATAACCCTCAATATGAACACAGATCATCCGCACTCTTGTTTTGAGAAGTTGATCTTGCATCTAAATATCGTCAGCTCAAGGTGCAACTATTTTGTTTTGCCTTACTCATCAGTTGCCGCTAACATTTGCGACTCGTATGGGAAGACAGCGGTTTCTGTTATTCAAGGCCGACTTTTAGCGACTCTCACTTTCGATCAATTTTGCCATGTTCACTCGGCAGATTTCTCATAATGTATGTCCATGATAATTTTTGTGAGACTGACATTGATTTGAAACTCCTGGCAATTGGAAGTTAAATGAATAAAGAGAGTAAGTTTCTAAAGAAACTGTGGTGCTGCGTCGGAGGGAGAGTATAACAGAATAATGTAGTATCATGAACCGAGTTGAAAACGTAAATTAGTTTAAAAGCTGACGTTCCTAGCGATAGCCCTTCGTCAGAGCGATTAACAAAGGGCTAACGCTCAAAAAGTCAGGTTTTAAACTCTTTATGGTGGCCAATTTACAGTTGGAAGTCAACGTGTTTTAGCTCTTAGATAACAGTTGTCCTGTCCATCTTTACTAAAAATTTGTAGGAGGAAGCGCTTTAATCCAGGTAGTTAAGGTCGCTTGTACGTTAGGTCCGCTTGAAATACTCAAGAACCAAGAAGCGTTTTCAGTTAGTCTTGTAACTTTGTTTTACTATACAGATTACTAGTGAATGAGATGTGCATGTAGTGTCCTTAAAGCCTATTTAAGAGATCTTTTTTTAAATCAAACGTCGATAAAGGTTTAAAATTGGTTGTAGCGTAGTGAAGTTAGTTTAAGAAACGTTTTAAACTAAGGTAAAGACCAAAACAAAGTGGTGAAAAGTAAAGACAAAAAATACAGTAATGTGGAAAACTTGCCTATGACAGGAAATGATTTAGCATGCCACTTCGAATAATTTTTGTAGCTTACTGCCTAAAGAGGCGTAACCTACTACGCTGTCCTTCTGAGTGAGTGAGTGTAACAATATAATCCTAGCCCACAACGAACTCTGCCGATTTTTATCCGATATTCCCCGATCTTAACTCCTTTTGTATCTACGGACTTCTGTGACGTCGTAGATACTATGCTATCCAGAGTGCAAGTCCTTCAGTATGTCCATATCAATACAAACCTGCGGATAATGCTCGGAATTCAGTTCGGTCTCCGATATCGTTCTTTTGTATCTACGGAATTTTGAGATGTCGTAGATACTATGCTATCCAGAGTGTAAGTCCTTCAGTATGCCCATAACAATAGAAACCTGCGGATAATGCTCGGAATTCAGTTCGCTCTCCGATATCGTTCGATTTTCGTATCTCGTGTCGGCGGTCGTGATCGCAGTTTTTTGTCTCCTACACGTTTTGTGTCGCATTGCTGCTATTATCTGCTCCGCCAAGGGAATATTTTCCCACCCCAAAGCAGTTTATCTGTCGCATTGCTGCGATTATTTGTTCCGTGATTGATTTTTTACTCAAAAATCGAGATAAAAGATAAAAATCGCTAAATATTTTCGCATGTGTGCAAATAGGCATGCGGATCAAATTTCAAAGTGAATTATGTGAATTATGCAAATTTGTCCGTGTGTGAGGAAATCTCAAGTTTCAAGGTATCTATTAACAGGAAGCAAGAGGAAAATGACCAAAAGAAATTTCGGGACGACAGTTTTATTCAAAGCAATTCTTGATTTGATGTTATAAGCGAAAAACGTACGAATTTCTTACGTTCACAAAGTCCACGCCGTAAAACTCATCATGCTTAGATCGTTGTTTAGTTGACTTCACGGCAAGAAATTGCGTAGCGTTATGATGAAAATTCTGAAAGTACTACGATTTGACGCAAAATCTTCCACTAAACAATACTTTTTGAACACATTGTTAGTCAAACGTAATATTTACCGGGTAATGGAGTCATCAATTTGTCGCTGGGTCCTGCTTGAAGTCCGAAAGTTCGGTTTTCGGTTTATCAGCTTGCATTTTTGGTTGCACTTCGTTTCAGGGCGGTTAAATACGGTATTCTAAGAAATATCTTAAAATCCTAATTCCTACATGCTCCAAAGGTCAGAATTCGCATCGCTTTGGAGAATCGTAGTATCGTTGACTCGAGAGTTTATTCTGTCACCTAAACGGGGATCTTTCTTAGGATTCTTAGCGGTATTCCTTCAGCGACATATACTCTCTTGGAAATGAATGGAAGATTACTGACTGGACGGAAATTTTTATAGACCAAATCAAGTCCCGGTTTTTTCAGTAAAGGAAAGACAACGGCGGTTCTCCAATTTTCTGGAACGTGACTACTGAGAAGAGAGAGATTTACTATCTCAGCAATAGGGGGCGCTAATAAATCAAGACAGGACTTCGATAGCCATGTAGGAACAGGATCCAGCCGACAAGAGGCATTGGAGGATTCTCGAACAATCTAGGACACTTCTTCGATGGATAGCGCGGAAAAACTCTCCAGATTCTCCATAGGAGTACTAACTGAACTTGAAACTTGTCAAGATTTTCCATTATGATTTCAATTTTTTTCAGGAAGAAGGTGCCAAATTCGTTTGCTAGCTTTGTGGGGTTAGTGTGCTCTGGAAGAGCCGTCTCAAGTGGTTCCCTACACAAAGAATTAACCACACGAAGTAACTTGCGAGAGTCACCCGCACACTGATCAATTAGGTTTGAATAATAATTCACACGTGCAGATTTAAGAAATGCAGAGCACTGATTACGAACTTTATGGTAATTATTCCAGTCACCGGGGAGGTCAGTTTTCACGGCTCTCTTTTCAAGACGATGACGTTGACTCTTGAGTTGTTTAATGTCATCATTAAACCATGGGACCTTTGGACGATTAATCATAGTCCTTGTTTTCAGCGGGCCAAACTTATCCAGTATGTCAGTAAGGGTCTTGTTAAAGCAGTCGGAGAGTGCATCAATGTTGTCCCAGTGTACGCTTGCACAAAGCATAGAAGAGGCAATATCAGCTGAGAACGCAGCAATATCAATATTTTTGTCAGTTTTTGCATGGCAAAGCTGGTCGTGAGAAACCAATAGGACACTGAATAATTAAATGATCGGAGATGGGAAAAGTAGTTTTAGGGGAAGCAAGAACAATTTCATCTCAGGAACGAGTAATAATTAAATCTAAGGTATGACCCGATAAATGGGTCGGGCCCGAAACGTGTTGCGAAAGACTGAACGTTTCCAGTAAATCCATAAATTTCTTGGTGTCATTGTCACGGAGGTCATCTAAATGAAGGTTGAAGTCTCCAGAAATAACAAGGGCCTCGGGACACAAAACAACATTCTCTAAAACTGAGAGAATTCATCGAAAAAGACACAGGATTAAGGTTAGGATTATTTAAGAAGAAAACCAAAGAAATAGATTTGAAACGAAACCCAATTGGTACCGGTAGCGAAGCTCAGGTTAATTCGGCGTTTTTGCTTAAAAGTCTTAAATGTAGTTTAAACTTCTTTTAAACTTATCAAGCTGTAAAACTGTGTGTCGACAATGAGTGAATCCTATAGGAAGGCGGTAACGCTGCTAACGATCATGCGCACCGAGGAGATCGCGAGAAAAACTGGAAATATTTGTATCGCGGAGCTGAGGTGAGGATTAGATTTAATGTTGGGTATACCAATGGCGGAGATCCTGCGCGCGAATCATGCAACCATTTTCCGTCAGTTGAATTTCAATTCGCGTACACGTCGAGATGCCGTTCAAAAAAATTAACTCAACAACAAAAGAGTAGTGAAATGTATGGAGCTTTACTCAAGCCTTGGCTCGATTTATTCACTCAACTGAATAAAGGGGGTAAGTTTCTAAAGAAACTGTAGTGCTGCGTCGGTGGGAGAGTATAGCAGGTAATTTAGTGTTAACAACTCAGTTGAAAACGTAAATTTTCCACCGTAAAGGGTAAAAAAGCTGACGTTTCAAGCGTTAGCCCTTCGTTAGAGCGATTGGAGGAATTGTGGGTTGTGTGTGGGTTTATATGCAGAAAGTGGAGCTACGCTATTGCTGGGAATATGGTGACGAGAACACAGGAATAAATTAGTTGAATGAAAAGCGCTCGTTGATTCCGTGGGGATTAAGGGTGCCGATTTGGAAGATAAATTTTTGTTTAGTGTCTTGCGGCTTTCCGAACTGCCTAGATGTAGGGAAACGCCGCAAACTGCCATATGTTGTTTTGAATGATTAGGGAGATTAAAGTGTCTAGCGACTGGTTTGGATGCGTCCTTGTCATTTCTTTCCACCTCGCGAAGGTGTTCTCGGAATCAGTCACTTAGTCGCCTTCCTGTTTCGCCAATGTATAACTTATTTCAATAAGTGCAAGTTATGCAGTAAATAACATTGACGGAGGTACACTTAAAGTGATCAGTGATCTTAATGGATCTCTTGGGTCCCGATATTTTCTCTACGTTATGAATGAAAGGACAAGTTTTACATCGTGAGCGAGCGCATTTGAAAGTTTGACCAATCAGGAACTGCAATAACAGTTTGCGGTTTTTCCTTACATCTAGGCAGTTCGGAAAGCTGCAAAACACTAGAACAAAAATTTATCTTCCAAATCGGCACCCTTAATCCCCACGGAACCAAAAATTGAGGGAGCAAAGAGAGGTTCGTACAATAACGACCGAATTTGCTGGCTTGCTCAAACAAAAATACACGGCTTATGGCCATTTCTGTGGACACACGTTGCGTTGGATACTTGCTTCTGAGACGTCAACCTGTCAAACAAGGTTTCAAACGTTTCAAATTTGTGCGTAGATCGTACACATTTAAAAGAGGGTCTTGACAGTACTGCAACTACAATAAGACGTGACCACTATCAATGAAAAATGTTCGAATAATGTGACAAACACTTTTCCTTTCGCCGAATGACAAGCTGTCATAGACATGGCTGAGCTCGAAGCATGTAACAAAAGTGCTGTAACAGAACTTCAAAACTACATATAATATTTATCATCAGACTCAAACAACGTGGCGACAACGCTTTGCAGGAATCCCAGTAAACCAAGAACGATGGTAAAGGCCATTTTCTTTTCTCCTTTGATACAATTTCTACGCAAGCGAAGCCGACCTGTCTAACAGGTTTTTTAAGTAAAAGATAGCCAACTGTATATCGCAGGATATTAGTACTCGACTCGCGCAGTTATATAATAGATAGATAATAGATAATAAATAATTAAGCAAAACTGACTTACTTATTTTTTTATTATGTATTTACTTTAAAAACTAACCCCTTTAAAAATTTTTTTGGGTAAACACAATCAAATGCCTCTGCATTTTCACTTTTACATTTGCATGAGCCATGAGTGTTAACACAATTGTGTATGGAACTCATTTATGCAGTTCAACAACTCAAAGTCAAAGTACCTTGACGTTAAGAGGTGAGTTTGCATGGGAAACACGTTCAGTAGTTAAGTGAAAACTAGTTTACATGGTCATTTGCCTGAATCTCTTTATTTTTACACACTTATTCCACCAACTTGACGTGGGTGAAATTTGGTTTATTACCTTCACATAGCTTTCTTTAGTTTAAAACCTCTTCTCACACTTCCTTGAGTATTTGTTCAAAACTGACTGTAACGATTGACTCTTTCAGCCGGATCACATTTATAGATATCTACAGAAAATAAAAGTAGGCTACAGAAGGTGCTTCTGAATTATATGTGTAAATTTGTTGTTTAACATTTTGCTTTTAGTTGATATGTGCTTCAAATGGCGTTAGTGTAAGTGATGTTCACTGAGCCAACTAAATGCTCTCGCTTAAAGAGTACAATACGAACGTTAAATCACCAACTTCCGAAAAATTAATTGACAAAATATATTACGTTTGCGTATACATTTCTTTCCATCACTTCCTAACTCGAAACTAATGCGGTCTTCAGATATGGTGGCGACTACAAGTTCGTCTTTTTTGATATGAGTTAGCCTCTATGGCATACTAGTAGAGTAAAATATCTGCGACGCTCGTTAACTGAGCAGGCCCATGCATTGTATTCAAATCAAGCGCCAAAGGACCCAACAGAAATAAAGAGACCTTCTATGGTAAATTATGAACGACTGTAAGGAAAATAAAGATTTTCTCCTTCTGAGGTTTCAATTGAGATCAAACAAATCCTATTCTACAACGTGATCAAATCGCTGGGGAGGACTTTTTGAGAAGGGGAGGTTAGCTATGAATTATGTCACTAATCTGACTTGTGTAGAATTTGATCAATTACCTTCACATTGGAATATGTATCAAGGCTCAAAACAAGCACCAAACAAAAGTCCGTTTGTTATCGGTAGTGCTGAGGGACTTTTGCCTAGGCGAGGCCGAAAAGTATGTAAGTGAGCGAGAAAATAATTGGAATGACAATTTCGCAGAATTGGGGGAGTGGGTAGTGTAAATATGCGTTGGTAAGATCGATCTTCATTGATGTAATCTGGGGATGAGCGAATCGAGCTAGAGGTTTGCAAGTTCCAAAGTAACGTAGTGACTCATTTAAACCAGCTCTCTTTACGTGCAAGTCAAGTCGCTTGGTAAAAAGTCAACGCGCGAAAATATTTCTTTAATTTACTATCAGTGTCAAATGCAGTCGGAAGTGACGATTTTCCGCACAGAGCCTCGAAGCGATTGAGGATCTTGTTTCTGGTGTACAACTGTTTTTGAGCAAGGCGCTCATTTGCTAGAACCAACATGGAACCAAGGCACTCTCGACGTACCATAATCTAAGATTTCTTCAGGAAGAGAGACTTTCCAAATTGCTGGTGCAAGTGACTGGAAATCACTTCCTACAGAACTTGGGAAGACAACTAGAATAGGCTCTTTTAAATCTAACCTTTTTAAACAACTGAGAAACAGCTACATTACCAATCATAAATGTATGGCGTGACTAGTTGGATTTTTGTAAAATGTTTTTAATAGTTTGTGGTGGTTCTTAATATGTCAAACTAGTTTTTAGTAGTTCTTAAATTGACGGCTTTTAGTGGTCTTATCTCAGCAGCTTTTAGCGTCTTTGAAATATGTAATGTAGAATGATACTATTATAAATTTTATTAACCGGACATCTCATGAAGACCAACGTTGTATAATGCTGATAGATATCTCTAGTCTAAATAGAGCTTTTATTATTATTATTATTATTATTATTATAACATGTCCATCTATGATGAGCATTCCTTCTACACAAAAGTCCCAGATTCTAGCAATTATCTTGAAGATATACTGATCAACGCAATTATTTCCAGTTCTAGTTCTAGTTCAGCTCACAAACGACTCAAAAACGACTCATCAAACTACTCAGGTCGGCGCCAACGTATCCACTCAAGTAAGAGTGTTGTCTCATTTGTGTCCCACATGGATCAGTCTTAGGACCTTTACTGTTCTTGTTGCACATAAATGATATCTGTACCTCATCTGAGAAACTAAGCTTTTTCTTCTTTGCTGATGAACTTACTCTGAACTGATCAAACTTGCTTTATTGTGATAAGAGTTTGAGATCCCTTGAATTAATTCAAACGCCGGGCAAGACAAGGTGTGATGTTTTTACTCGCAAGTCTCCCAGTGAGTCTTTTTTTTTTTATCGTCTCCTTCCCATAAAAAAAAAAAAAAAAAAAAGAAAACAAGTCTTGCTTGAAAGCAAGTTTTCTGTCCTAAACTATCATAGTTATACAGGGCGTTATATATGATTTTGCCGTTTTTCGCTGAGCACGCGGCGCATAAAAGAGATGGTGCGATTTCTTTTTTATCTTAAAATTAAACAGGTCTTCCTGGTAAGTAAAATTCTGATAAACACCGTATATGCAAAATGAATAAATAAATAAAAAGACATATTTCATCTTCGCAAAAAGCGGGCGTTATGACTTCTATGTTTGTTTTCAGGAGTTGTGATTATTTTTGCGTGTCAAGTTTTTGCTGTGTTTCAGTTACAACAAAATCAACAAAAACAACAAAATCTATTTATTTTAACAATTGAAATACATATCCAACAACCCCTACCTGCAAAATACGGAAGCTAATCAAGGCGGGAGGGAAACAATCATTAAATACATTCTTCAATAACAAGTTTGACTGAACAGAGGAATTGACTAGGACAACATACATATTCACGAACGATGAAAAACTTTACGATAAGCTATAGATAAGCCATTCAGGTATTACATATTACAACTGAATAAAATTACACGCGAAAAGAAAAAACAACAAAAACAACAAATGAAACTAAAAAGATTATAATTTTCTAAATTTATCAGTTTAAGTACAGACTTTAACATCAGTATCCTCACATCAAAATGATTAGTAGCTGTCTAAGCAATAGTCCTATAAAATTATACTTTGGTAGAGAACGAAGACAGATGGGAACAGTATTCTAGATTATTGCATCCAGTCTTTCATATGTTCTGTTCTCTGAGATTGCCAGCCACTGAGGACCTTGTATAATAGTGGTGTTTTTCTGAAGAATAACTAAATAATTCTGAAATGTTAGGAGGCGTAAGATAGTTGACGAAATCATGCATAAAAGAAGAGATTGTTTTGAATTACATAAGATGAAGAGGAAGAATGTTTGACATGTTGAACAAAGGTACAGCATGAAATCCAAAGGGTTTAAAAAATATTATGCGGAGAGCACGTTTTTGTAAAAATCAACACCTTTTCCAAATTTGACCGGGCACTTTGGCCTCAGACTGCAACTCAATAAGACAAGTAAGGTTGAACAAGAGATTGATATATGATTAGCAATACGGTTTGTGGGATAAAATGTCCCAAGCTTGATAAAATCCCTGAAGACTTTCTAATTTTAGATGAAATAAATGCAATGCGTTGAGTCCAAGATAACTTTGAATCGATAAGGACACAACTGAAGGTATTTCATATATTCTTTCCTTTCCAGAAAGACAAAGGAATTGGTGCTATAGTCAAAGATATTTATGTTCACTTCATAACCAACAGGTTTTTGATACGGTCTGAATACAGGTTAGATTTTTTGACGTTAAAAGATAACTTATTTACCATCAGCCAACTGCTCACATTCCTTAACTCCTCGTTAATTGTTAATTTAAGGGATCTCAAACTCTTATCACCATAAAGCAAGTTTACACATTGTACACATTGTAAGATATCAAGGAAGCCATCGAAGATTGCCCTCAAGTCCAAATTTTCGAGTATGTTCTGCGCGTCTTTAACGAAATCAAGATTTAAAATGTACATCAGAATCATGGTGGCTCCTGCAACTTCTAGTTGCCTGCAATCAAATGTGATTCGGTAGGTAATTTTTTATATCATTACTTTAAATATGTTATATCATTTAAATACCATCGTTTAAATACCATCAAGTCTTGTCCATTTTATTTGGGATGGCCCTTCACTTTCTACTTCATAAAACTTGAATGGAACGCCTATGCTTTTAATTAAAAACCCTTTACAATCAAACGCTCATAAGTTCTTGGAGTATTTGTACAAATTCGACTGCAATTAATTTTTCGGTTGGATCACATTCGACGATATCTGCCGAAATAAAAGTAAAAAAAAGGAATCATTTGGCTGCAGATGGTGCTTATAAATTGTGTTTAGTATTTAAAATAAAATTTTGTTTTCAGTTAATATTAGCTGCCAAACATTTCTTTCCATCCAGCTCGTAATTAGAAAAGGAAACACAAGTTGCTCCACCGCTGTTTACCTTGAAGCAAATATAAACGCAGCCGTGAACAGAAGAACAAAGGTTTGTAGCTATGAAGGAATGGGATCAGTGTTATTATCGTAGTGTGGTGGAAAATGCCTAATAATAAATTACTTGACGCCCTCAGAAGAGAATCGCTCACCTACACACTTCTTACAATCACTGGCGTCAGTTTTGAAAAACTCCTCACACGAACAGTTGTAACTGTTAATACATTTTACAAACAGCGAGTATCCGTCACTTTTATTCGTCTTTTCCTCGACTCGAGCTTTGTACGTTTTACCTCAAAACGCTTGACTGGGCTATTTTTCTGGCCATTAAACCAGTTTGTTTCGCCAAATCCTCGTTGCCGACTCCCTTTTGGTTTGCCTAAGGTTGTTATGGTCTTTTTTTCGTCTTCTTTGCCACCGTCCTCGTACTCAGTCTCTTCTTCCTCAGTACTAGTCTCGTCCTGGATTTCTTTAGCGGCTCGCCTCGACTCTGCTGCAGCACACATGAGTTGGAATTCCAGTTTACGAGATCGTAATGCTCTGTCCAATGCGCCGTCTATATTACCTAGTAACCTGTTCATATCCATATACTAGCCGCCATGTCAAGATTAATCTGGAAAAAACTCAAGAAGCTGTTTCAAGCAGGGGCTTTCAGGTCCTCCAATGGACGGGGTGGGGGAGGGAAAGCACTTGATCCTTTATCATTATCTAGCTCCTCAAGTTCTTAATTGTTCGTTGGTTGTTCAAAGACAGGCGAATGAGCCAACCAGGTGTTTGATTCGCTACCGGTAATAGGCCACATGACTTCGCTCTCAATATTATCATATGAGGGATTGTCGTCTGTAAAGGATGGCTGTATGATAGTTATCCTCACTGAGGATGATTTTCGTCAGTGCAGCCAGTCGTAACAGACGAGAATTGGAATGGCACGACCAATGACTGTGCAGTCCACGTTTCTTTGACTTCCCTCGCCGGGTTGTGTAGTCACCTCGTTCCCCAACAGCTGTACCGATGTCACCGCTGGATTGTGGCAAAGCAACGGAGAGTTTATCATTTAACCTTTTAGAGGTAATGAATACTCCGAACCTCGGAAGTCTTGTAGTTTGATTTTTTATTTCAAAGTCAACGCCTTTATTTTTTATTTTAAGTTTATTTTTATTTTCTCTGAATATTGTGGTTATTATCATCGTGCGATACGAGTACATTTTCATCTGAAGGATATTTCGGTTGCTATGATATCTTAGATACTTAGTCTCTTCATTTTTAGACACATCGTGTCTAGACTCATTGTCTCTGATCAAAAGGATCTTCGTCGTTCTCTTAAGGGCATAGTTTGTCAAAAGATTCTTGATTCCTTTGGAAGCCGTCTTTGGTAGCCGTCTTGGGACATCTGAACTTCCTTGTTATTAATAACTCTTCCCGCAACGCCGTTATAACTGATCATGTTTATAAACTACTTTAATAAAGCGAATTTTCAAATTCAGATGTAGGCGTCGGTCCAGGCATTTTTATTCACTGACGATCTACGATGAACTTGGTCAGCGGCGTAAAGGTCTAAATGCAGAGAACAGTAAAATGTTTTGTGTTAAAAAAACTGATTAACTGAAGACAATGAAGCAAGAAAAGGAAATCATTGATCTGCCGAAGTTGTTCGTTACATTTTCTTCTGGTCATTTCAACCAGGCGCAATAATGTTAATAGTTTTCATCGAAAGGTTGGTTTTATACGAAATATTTATCACTAATCCTTTCTCTTCAAAGAGTGAAAATTGAGGAAATTATCATTACAATGGCATAACTTTTGCAAGGAGAAAGGCGAGGAAGAGAAATGAAGAAAACATATTGTTTGAACTGACCCTGAAATCATGACAAATGTACAACAGACACTTTAAGGAATTGAAATTCAGATCTTACGCGTGAAAGGATGAAGTAATGGGCAGGAATCGGTGAGGCTGCCAAATTTTCGAAGAAGCAACCGGAAAGAGAAGCACTGGAGGTATCGGCTACAAGGCTCACAGAAAGCTATGTTGTCCTTTTCCTCTATGCGTAGTTCATCTGTTCCGTCGTGTTCCTTTGATTGCACGTCATGTCCTGTTCTCGCGGCAAAAATCTGTTGCAACAGACGCCAATTTCTCTTGAAAAGACTTGCCTGGCCTTGTCATAATCTCGTTCAAACTGAAAAATAAAATAAGATAAACGTGAAGGTTTTTTTTTACAACTGAGCAATTTAAAACAATTTGACTAGAACTGATTCCACCAAAGAATAATTTTCCGGCTAATGTAAGAGAACGCTTGGCCCAGTAATTTCAAGCTAGTTCACCCACAAGAGTTTGTTGCCCTAGTCCGGGAAGATGTTTCCCTGTGCGCTCACTGCTCTAAAGCAAGTAATCACGACGTACTCACTCGGCACCGTGAATATCATGTTTTCCATTTGATTTGTGACCCCAGAGGTCACTGGTGAACACCAGATTTACCTACACCTCTTGGAATTGAAAACTGAAAAGTTTCCTCACTTACTGGCTTAGTGGCGGTCTCGTTTTTTTCCAGACTGTAAGAGTATTAAATTTGTACGATAATTAAATACTATTAGATGTTTTGGGGTGTAGTATCGCTACGAGTCACGCAGTTGTTTGATGAGCCCGCGGGGTGAGTCAAAATACAAACGACAAATAAAAACACTAACTCTACCAAACCGAGCATGAGGCCCGTGCTGGCGACGATTGGCTCGAGGTCGTAGTACGAGGCCCTATTAGGGTTGTCGGGATAGAGGATATTTCGGCGAAATATTATTGGGATACCGGACACTACTACTACAAACCAAGAGAATATGGTTGATTTTCTCTTTCACACACCGGATCCTCCTTAGCAAAGCAAGCACAAGTTGTTTCACCTCAATCTGCATAATCGCAACCGTGACCAGAAGAGCAAGGGTTTGTAGCTGTAAAGGAAAGGGATCGGTAGTAATATTAGTAAATATAGGCTGGTTCATGGTGGCGTTCCGATGTGGCGGAAAAAATTTATTGTGTTTTGTTCATAAGTAAAGCTTCTGGTGCATATCTCTTCCCACAGATCTATCATTTAGCCCGATTACTCGTTCGTTCAAGATGCCGCAGTCAGCAAAAGATAAGAGTTTTATTCAGTCAGCAAAAGATAAGAGTTTTATTGTGAAAAATGCCTAATAATGAATTACTTGATGCCCTCAGCAATAAATCATTCACTTACACACATCTTCCAATCATTAGGATCAGTTTTGAAAAACTCCTCACATGTACCGTTGTACGTTGCCAGGTCCATGCCTGCTTGCACGAGATTACGCTATTACCGTGGGTATATTTCAGCTAACCGAGCAGGCCCATTGCCCATAATAAAATCACCCCCCATCGGCCCCCAAACTAATAAAAGAGGTCGTGTAATAAATAGACGAAGAAGGCGAAATAGTCAAACTTTTCGCCCGCTGAAATTTAAATGGATGGATGGATGACACTAATCCTAAACTGTGATTAATACGGGGGAAGACTCGTTGGGACTAAGTCTCGCAACAACGTAGGTCACGGGGGAGGTGAACTATGGACTTTCCTTCAAACGGCAACGGGCAGAAGTCAACTTGTCACTATCATCTTTCAGTCGTTTTTGGGCCGTTTGTAATTGTAATTTTGAGACTTTCTTTTGAGTAAAATTACAGTTCACTTTTACCCTTTATTGGTTCCGTTGGCATTATTTCCTATGACACTTACAACTGAAATAAGTACAAAAAGGGTCGCTATCAATTTGCATTTCATAGCTTAGAGCCACGTCTGCCTTAATTCCAATTCCCCAATCTGGCGATGAAGTTACAGAAATTAAATAACAGGAGTCTTACCATGACACCTGCGCCTGTCATCTTTCAGCGAGCATCCATCACTTCTGTCCGCGTTCTTCATGACCGTAGTACGTTTTACCACACATTCTCAGTTCAATGAGGCATCAATATAGGAGAACTTGTTTTACTGAACACTTACTGCCAGCAAATTCTTGGGATGGGCGGGGGAGGGGAAGGCGAGGACAGGGTGTCATCTATATCATTGTATTCTTCGTAACTCTCGTCACTTTCGTCACTGTCCTCGGTCTCAGTCTCCTCTTCTTCAATAACAGTTTCTTCCTGAATTTCACGAGCAGCTCGCCTTGACTCTGCAGCAGCACGCATGCGTTTAAATCCCAGTTTACGAGATCGTGCTGCTCTGTCCAATGCGCGGTCCACATTACTTAGTAACCTATTCATTTCCATGTTGTTAGCCGCCATGTCTAGACGAATCTTAAGAAACTCAAGTAGCTGAAAATGGCTGTTTTGAGCATAGCCTTCCTGGTCCCCTGATGGACAGGGCGCAGGAGGGGAGGCTCTTGCTTCTTCATCATTACTTAGTTCTTCAAGTTCTTCATTGCCCGTCGATTGTTCAACGACAGGCGAATGTGATAACAAGACGTTTGATTCGCTACTGGTGATGGGTTTCCTGACTTCTATCTCAATACTATCGTTGGAAGGATTCTCGTCAGTTGTGAATGTCTTCACGACAATTATCTTGGTATTGGACTCGGTCGTTTCAATCTCGGGACTCGATTGCTTCGCTAGAACTGGAATAGCGTGGCCAGTGACTGTTAAGTTCACGTTTCCTTGATTTCCCTCGGTTGTGGACTCACTTTGTTCCCCAGTATCGCCATCATTGATGGATTGTACTGAGGTAATTGAAAGGCTATTCTTTCGCCTTAAGGATGGAGAATTCACCGAAGAATTCTTGTTGCCGCAACTCTTTCTCTTTCCTGTTCGCTTTCCTTTTCTTTTTCCTTTAGCATTCTTTTCTCTCCCAGACGAGGAAGAACTACCTTCATTTTGAGTGCACTCCGAGAAACAGTTTCCCATCTTGACCCGCGGCACCTAACAACTCTTGAAGTAAAGAAGTCTGGTCAGTATGCAGACTTTCTTACATCACAAATAAAGTCAATTTGACGTCGATATTACAATGCACCAATGCGCGTGCCTAGTAGAAAGAAATTTTTAAGCATCTCAGCGGATGAGTCTTAAATCCTCGAATCTGATTGGTTAATCATGCGGTAGTAGCCAATGAGCTTTTTACTGTGCTGAAAACGGTCGGAAATTTTTTTCGCGTCACTAGCAGAAAAAAATTTTAAAAACTTTTCACCGGAGAGGAGGTCCAAATGGGAAATAATTGTGCCCTTATGAATAAAGTCTGGTCCACACGTGTGATGCAAATGCAAACGCTAGCGCCGATAAAATGCAAACGCAAGGAGATACTCGTGTGGACCACCTTAACGCCGATGCAAATGCAAACGGAATCGTCAACGCAAGGAATGTAAAATTGCCATTTTCTTGAGCTAACGTTCGCTACTTACACGTGTGATCTGAGACAACTCAAACGCAAATGCTAAGAGAGGTTCCATCGGTCCCACCACAGCACAGTTCAAAATAAGACGGCGTCAACGTCTTCCGCCATGTCAGAAGAAAGACTTGCAGAAAGTGAGAGGAAATCTCCCGTTCCGTACGACAAAAGCGGTTATGACGCTGCTCCAAAATCTCAGAAACCGATGTTTAAAATATAAAAAAAATCAAGGAAAAATAAACTGTCTGGTGCGGGGACAAAGAATGTGGAGGAAGCCATAGCAACTACATCATTATGCGCGACTGATCTTGGTTATATTTGATGCCCTTTTCCATCCCTTTTACTGCATCGATCACAATAATAATTATGTGTTATTGACCAATCGTGAACTCAAGATGGCCAGATATTGCCCAAGCTCTGTTTTTTGCATTCTTATGGACTGAGACAAAGTCGGGGCTCACAAAAAAAGAAAAAGAAGAAGGAGACTACTATCCAGCAATCTTGACCGAACAAGCTTGGTCAATAAGGGATTTAATATGTCATGAACAAAATTTTTGCGCATTTTTCAGAATCAAGAGTGCCTTGTTTATTTCAAGAGCCAGATAAGAAAGCCAACTGTGTTTGCAGCAAATAAACTCACGACAGACGATTGTGTTTTCTTTGTTTTGACTGTGTTCTTCCGCTCTTTGCATCTTAATCGCCGACATTTTTCAAATATTGCAAAGTTTGCCTTTACTCGTTTTTGTTCTTGGAGACGTTTTTTACGTCTTCTCAGACTGTCAGAGCTCGACAAGTGATTTTAAATTTGCCTTTTTCACAACAGGCAGAATTTTTGAGACACATGTTCTTCATCTGCACACATTCTCTCATAAAGTGCGACTCAAACGGCTCACGTGAAATGAAAATTTAAGTACGGCTTTGTTGGCATCCAAGCACTACCCTGAAGTCCGGGACGAGTCTGCGTGGTTACCAAGCAAGTCAGCGAAACATGGCGGATCAGTCCGATGGTAAGGAAGTGACTTTTGGTGTTTTTTTCCGTTTTGAGTGCATTTACAAACGGTATATGGATTGTGCATAGTGTACTGAATAACATAACTTTACGTATCAATCAATATCATGAATTATTTCACTGTCTTTAGGTGTTTTATTGGATCTTAATTGAAAAGATATTTATTATCACAGGTGAAACTGGTCGATATCATCTGTCACTTGGTTATGTCCTGAGCCAGTCTCACAGTCGGTGTTTTGTTTTTCATGTATATGACAATTTAATTATCCTATGCACGAATTAATGTAAGTTTCAAACATACACCCCGCTAAATCAGGATTTTTAAATTTAGAGTTACTATCGATTCTCAGTGTCTCAATCAAATCGTTTATCCCTTGGCTGAAAGTGCGATCTTGTCTTGAATTATAAGAGAGAATGTTGTTGAAATTTGGTTTCTTATTTTGGAATTTCTGGAAATGATAAAATTTTTTATCAAGAATTATTCGATGGAGACTTCCATATCAGGAAACTGGCATTAAGATAAGAAATTTATGCACTCAAACGATATATGATAGTAATATAAGGTTAGAAGTCAATTTCTACTTTGGCCAACAAATTACAGCACTCGATTCAAGATCATCAACGAATTACTCACTCTCTCACATACTCTTTTTGCCTGTTGTGGTCCCTTGTATTGTATGAAGCATGCAAACAACAAAGGAAGTATCTTAGCTTTGAAGTTGAATTAAGTATCTATGGTAGTTTTAAAGAGAATCTATGGCTCCATAAATGCAATGGAGCATGTGAACAACCAAGGATTTAAAGAATCTAAAAGAGAATGTACACGAAGAAAAGAGAAATGGAATAATAACCACATAATTGATAAAACAATTGTCAAAGGAGAGATTTGTGTTGTCAATAGATTTGATATTGTTCCTGTTTTGACCACGGAAACTCCTCTATGATCACTTTGTTTTGAGAATATTAGGATTTGAAAGTCAAAAAAAATATTATTGAGTAAATTGCAACAGTCTAAGTAACCCAACTGTAATTCAGAGAAGTTGTTTTGACTGAGACTGTTAATTCTCTGCCTCAGATTTTCAAACAGATATCTTACCATTTTGTTACTCAAGGTTTAAGTATTTATCACCTCTTCCCATTACATTATCACTTTTAATTGACAATACTTTTGGTATTTTAATTTAAGGTCACATTATAATTTTTTTTCTAGCAAATATTCTGCAATACAACCCTCTAGTGTCAATGTACAACCTCAATTTCTGTTCAATGCTATAAGAATTACACTGCCTATCATTCTATTATTTGCTCTTTTAGTTGCAGCTAATTATGATGAAGCCATTATGGCCCAAGTTGACAACATTCAAAAAGAGGTATTACTGGTTTTAACTTCAATAAAGGTCAAAACTTGTTCGACCAAGATCAGGCCTTGAACTCTAATAATTTCAAGACATCCTACCTTAATTTCTGGGAGATGCTTTCCTATTCTCCCCTCACACCAGCCCATGCTTTTCATCTGTGAGTTAAGTTTAGGGTGTGAGGCCAGAATGTATTGATGGGAGAGAGGGTGGAGATGACATTACCATGATAAAAATAATTTAGCTTTAAAGTCAAAGAGATGTTTCATTATTGATAATGAATGTCTCAACTGTCCACAAGTCAATATGTACATATTGCTGAATGAATTTTTTCATAGAAGGCTATATTTCTATATATAACTGTACCATGGCATCTGGACAATGAACAAATACTTCATTTGACTCAAATACCCTGGTCAGGGTTTAAGCCTCCTCTAAGGGGTTTGAGGGATTCCCTGGTATTCAGAACTATACTTGCTCAAAAATGAATGACATCCATTTTTTTTAAACAATCTATCCTATTTCCTTGTCTAGATAGCACAAATTCAACCACTTGTCGGTGATAAACTGGATATCAACTTTTTACAAAAGGAATATGCTATAGATGACTTTGTATACCAAACAAAAATAAAGGTAATCAAGAGTATACTAGCAAGTTATCAAGTACTTAAAAGACTTGAAAGTTATGTTATTTGAGCCTGGGGTGAATCTCTAGGTTCTTCAATTGTGCCCTCTGCATGTAGATGAATTGCTAGTCTTTTAAACCTTTAAGGTAATTGATAATGTAAAAAATTTCTGGATTTCTTATGTATAATTTTATAGGCCTTGAATTTGAGTGTGGGATGTGGAAAATCAAAAAAAAAAAATGAGTGAAATTATATGATAATTTTTTCAAAAATATCATATCATTAAAAAATTTAAAAAACACACTATTATTACATGGTTCCTGAAACCAACTTCACAATGGATGGTCACAGAAAAATTCAAAATCATCCAGGAAACAGTCAAAGAAAGTGATAAAGTTTAATATTTTGAAAGAGTACAAAGTCATTGTTATGCTATGAGTCCTTCAGGCAGCCCTTTAGTTAGCCCTTTAGTCAGCCCTTCAGTCAACCCCTCAGTCAGCCCATAAGTCAGCCCTTCAGTCAGCCCCTTAGTCAGCTCCTCAGTCAGCCCTTCGGTCAGCCCCTTAGTCAGTCCTTCAGCCAGCCATTCAGTCAGTCCCTCAATCAGCTCCTCAGTCAGCCCCTCGGTCAGCCTCCTCTCCTCAAATGGTGGAGGGAGTAGCTGCCACACATGCTACAATGCGATCTAAATTGAGATGAATCAGACCAAATCTTTGCTTGTTATAATAATGAACAGGGCAGACAGTGTGATTATGTTTTTAGTTGTTAGTCCTTGAAAAAGGCATGGATCAGTGAGGAATATTTTCCTTGATGAGATGACAGGTAAACTTCCTTCTTTAGGATCTAAGCTTGAATTACTCACATGTGCGGAAGACTAGAGGTGACGGTAATTGCTTCTATAGAGCCTTTGGATTTGCCTACTTTGAGGAACTGATTGGCAATCAACTAGAATTTGACAGGTAATCAATGGGAAATAAATTCAAAGGACATCATAATTTCAAGATGATAAACTCTGCTTGGAGGAAAAGGATCTTTTCATATCTTGCTGTTGAGTGTATTTCTATTTATTTCACCACCATTGTAGTCATATTTCCCCTATATTTAACAGTTCATTTATGATTTTAGTTCATACTTTTTAAAATAGCCATTAATTGAAACCAATTTATTTTTAAGCTATTAGATGTGTACCCTGGTAAGTGGTCACTATTCTACAGCTGCTACTGCTGCTATTTTAGTTAACTAAAATAACAAACTGTGGGAGAAGTAACTCTTTGATAGGAGCAATTTAGAAAGGCTCTAAATTCCATTCTGGCTTAGGGGCCCATTTCTGCCAAAGTTTGTGCTTTTTTTACAAAGCATGATGCTACAAAGAGTTTCGTAGCTACTCCTCCTAGCTGAACACTTGTCTGCACTGTGCTCTTCCCCTTCTGATTTATCGTCAAGTTTCCCTTACAATTTGTCAACAGCCTTTTACACATCTGGGCGGTACCACACTATTGTGAGGGAAATATCTTAATTGACCTTGAGCTTAACTCATTCCCATGCAAGGACTTGACCTCAGACCTTTCCCTATCCTCCTGTGACTAAATGTGTCAATGAAAATCCAGATAACTTAGTTGTAATTTGATATCATTTGTGAGTTTTTTCCTTCATCCAACCATCATGTATTGAAGTTCCAAGGCTGTTGTGGGCAATATTCATTAATGTTATGTTCTTTACTGTTCCATTGAAAACAGATTTAAAACATTAGCTTCACAAAGTAAAGATGAACTTGTTTCAATGGGATTCCCATCATTTACAATAGAGGACTTTCATCAAATTGTAAGTTTCTACACTTTTCATGTGTTATGATTCAATATGTGTGCTCATGAGTCACGACTCTGAAATGCAAGTGGATGAGACTGTATCCTCAGGTAAGAATGGAGCAGGAATGGCACTTTAGTTAGGGCACTAACCTTCCTCCTCTTTGACACTGGTTTGATTTGGGTAGTAAGTTGGTATTACATGTAGATATACTTTGTTATCATTTCTTGTCTACACTGTTTTCTCTGGAAACATGGCTCTAGCCCTTAGATGTAGCACTCCCTAGAACCTATTATTTTCATAGTTTCTTGTTTTTTTCCTGCAATTTTACTATCTGAAAATTTTAAACTGGGTTCTTTGGCTCCAATTTAGTTCATGGAAACAATTGAAGCTGTTGGAAAAAGTCAGTCTGTGGAAGAATTATTACAGGTAAAAATTCTCATTGTGTATCTTAAATGATTACATGTATCAAGCCTGTTCAAAGTTTTTAAGTGATATGCTAAAGTTATACTTAAAAAAAGAAGAAAAACACATGTTGCTTCCTCTAAGGGTGAGAGATTGTGTAAGATTGGCAGGAATGCACTCCAAAAAAAATTGTACAATGCAAAATCTCTGAGGTGGGGAGTGTTAATTTCTACTGAATGTGTTAGTTTCTGTCTATACAACCAGTTATTTTCCATGGTAGATCATTAATGTTGATATGTAAGTTTTTTGTGGATGAATACCTTTCTAGAGTTATAATGCCTGATGATCATAGAATTTTTGAAATATAACTTTATGCACTGTAACTTTAATACTATTGTTCTACTCCTAATACTTTGTAAATGTGCCAATGTATGTATTTCTTTTAAATCAATGGTGTTTTGTGTATTAATGCCTTTTCAGACATTTCAAGATGAAGGACTTTCAAACTATATTGTTGTGTATTTACGACTCCTAACATCTGCACAACTTCAAAAGAAATCTGATTTTTTTGAGAACTTTATTGAGGGAGGAAGGACAGTACAAGAATTCCGCAGCCAGGTAATAAACATATATTAGTATATTTATTATTGATGTTTTATCTTGACACCCCTTCTCCTCTCAATCCTTTGACCTCCAACATCTCAATGAAATTCTCCTTATACATCCCCTATAAAGTTTCTTGTGAGAATTAGGTGTTGGATCAAATGATAATATTATTATTCTTATCATATGGCTGCTTGACATTGTAATGATATTGTAAGGAGAAATTATATCTCGGTCACTCATGGTGAAATGATTAGATACACAAAGAATGATACAGATATTAATGGTAAGCAAACAAGTACTGCACATGTTGCATTCCGAGTTCAAGGGTGGATAATTCAACCTAACTTAGGTGAAGTTTTAGAAAAGAAATTTGTTTGTAAGAGAGTTGGGCAAAGAAACTAAATATATTTTGTGGTGGTAGTTGTAAGCCCTCTTGATGCCAGCATAAAACTGAACATTTGGATAACACATTTGCCTCAACTGAGAATAGTTTAGAATGTGCTTTTGGAACACAGTAGCCATTTTAGTTATGGTATCTTTCTTAAACAGGGCTAAAAATTGGCAGTTGCATAGTTGTCAGTGGTGAGTTAAAACTGACCAGGGCCACCAAAAGTTAAGGTTTGAACACCCAATGTGTGACTATGCTACAGAATTTTGAAAATTTGCAATGTAAATTATGCAAGGTACAAAATTAAAAATAAAACTCAATATGTAGTTTAATTGAACTACCTTTCTCTTTGTTTCTTTGCCATGAAAAGCCATGAGGCATTTATTCAAGTTTTTCATTTTAAACTGATGGAAATTAAGGGCTACTTCATTTTGGGATGGGCCACTAAGAATTCAAGGAAACTGGCCCAGCTGGCCACCAAGCACTGGAGTTAATTTTTAGCCCTGCTTAAACCAGCAGCCTGTTTCTCAAAGGTCCCAGTGCCTTTAAGGGTGCAGAGTTATATGTTTAAATATTGTGGGTATAGCTCAAAACCAGCTCATTCTGTTTTGTCTCATGATATTTACCAATTACTGGAAGAGCTTAAGCATGATATCATGAATTATCAAACCTGAGGTCTGGGGCAGATAACACATGTGAAAAGACATGCAGTATATAAAATCCATCCAGGGGACCACAATTCTACCTAATGACCACGAACCATCTAGAGACTTACAAATAATCCTTGTTTTTACTAATCTTCAGGAAGTCGAGCCTATGGCCAAAGAAAGTGATCAGATTCATATCATAGCTTTGACTGATGCACTTGGTGTTTGTGTGCGTGTTGTCTATATGGACAGGGGTGGGAACTCGTCTGTCAATCATCATGACTTTCCAGAAGATGGGTCCCAGCCTTTGGTTAATTTACTATACAGGCCTGGTCACTACGATATTTTGTATCAAAAACTATAACATTTCTTTAAAAGAAACTATTTTTTATTTACCCTCAAATTCAGTTACTTGTAGAATATTTATTAAGAATATCTTAATGCAGTTTGTACAGATTTATGAATAAAATTGTTATGTTTGAACTCCAGTTGTATATCTTAATCTAAGTGCACAGGGTGCAACTTCTACCAAATCATTTGAAAAGTTTAAACAGTACGTTATGAAATCCTAGTTGTTCATGTTTTTCCCCATGTAAGTGTAAACTGTTGCAAGGTTTTTACAGGACTTGAAAAACCATGGTCATGCACTACTACAATATCATTATTCATGCCTGGAGAATTGGGAAATTTTAAATACTCTATTCCTTTAAATAAGCGCCAGGGCAATTATTTAGAATTTGCTTTGAAAGGAGGGTGCTTATCTGAGGTGGCTCTTCTTATTTTCCATCGCTGATTCCACTGTAGATAAAACTGGAAAGTTATAAATGAAGCCTGTGGCAATAGAAACAGGTTTCCTTATATATCTCCACTATTTATTAAGACAGGAAGGGACCGGAGAGGAGCACTTGTTTGACATTATTGCCAAGGGGGTGGGTGCTTATTCTGGAAAATACAGTATTCCCTAAAGGTTGAAAGCTGCCAGTTTGAAAATTATGCCAGTTTCTTTCCTTATTGTGCAATGGTTTGTTTAAACTGGTTGTTACACAACTGCGATACCCAACCCAAACCAATGTTTAACAATTGGTTCATACATCAGTGAGTGTTCATCAAGATATGAAGCATGCAGGAAGTTTAGAGAGCATGAAAGATGCGTAAGAGTTGCTCAAGGCGTAGCTGAGAGCAACTCTAGCTTCTTGAGCTAGCTCACAACTTTCCATGTTTAGCTTAAATTGCTGCCAAAGTCTTGACCAGTTTTTTAATAGTAAAATTCCAAAGTACAAAATCACAATGAAAATGTTTTTTCTCAAGGGATTTGTTTGCTGATGTCATGAGTGTGCACAATAGGAATTTGAAGCACGCTCACATAATTGAATTTAATTGGACAAATTTACTAGCTATGTTATAAAGATATTTGTATCATGCAAAGTGTACTTTCACAATGAAGATCAGGAAAGTTCAGTTTGAATTACCAGAAGACAAAGACACATGCCAAAGAAAACCTTAGAGGATTCCAGCAAAGTTAACTATGGTAGCATACTTTCACAAACAGCATACATCATCACAGTACAATACACTTACACCTGTAACTAGGTGGAACCTCTCTTCAGATTCCTCTTTTTAGAGAACACCTTGTCTCAGTTTGTTAAGTTTGTGGAAGTGCAAACTTAAGTAGCAACTGAAAAATATTGCAGTTATCTTTGTATCTGTCAACCCATCACTGAAGGGATGTTAATTTGGAACAGTTTTTGTAGTAACAAAGGGTGTTCCCCCTCCTAGAGTTTCCACTGAATGCATTTCAAGTTCTCAAAAACATTTTTTTAAGTTTCTTTTTTCCACTTCAAAATAAAGATAACTACCGGTACATCTTTTATCAATTAAATATAACCCATTAACTGCCACTATCTCAAAGAAAATTCTCCTTTCTGTCTGCCATATATTTCTTACAAAGTTTGTACTGAGAATTATGGGTTGGATCAGTGATAATTCCCTAGTCACTTGCCTGCTTGATATTGTATCAATACTGTGAGGATAAATAATGTCTTGGTCCCTCATGGGGGTGAAAGACTCAGCAAACTCAGTGAACAAGTTGATACTTTCTTGTTTTGTAGGTGACAGTCAATTGGGTGAATATAAAGTGTTGGAATCTATTACTTCAGTTTTTCTCCATCACCACTAATTGCGTAGGTTAAACCAGTTTTGGTGCATGCGGAATTGAGTGTGTATAAATGTAAGTTCCAAATTATGTGAGGGGCATGATGTAATACCTATTTGAGTGACTGGCAATAAAGGTCTATGGAAAAAAAAGTTTTTCCTTATTTTTTAAAGTTTTCTGCATAAAGATAAATCTCTGCTGATTCCCTTCTGCTTGCTTGAGGTTTACATTTCCGAACTTGATGGAAATTTTTTTCCAGTGTATTGATAAAATCTGAAAAATTAAACCCCAACTTAGACATAAACATTTCTTAATATATTTGTTTTTTTACAATACCCTGTGTTCCGATGGTTTTCACAGATAGTTACTTAAGGTAGTAGTGATGATTTTTATTTTCTGCCAATTCAGATGTCTCAAGACACTGAGCAGTTTTTATGTTTTGGTCAAAGTGATAAAGCTAAACTGAATGACAGAATACCTGAGATGGTTAAGTAAACTGTGATACCATTAGCTTGCTCTTGAAGATAATGATATGATAATGATACCACTGGTACTTGGAATTCACCTACTTCACTTACTAAATGTCTACATGTGTGTGTGTGTGTGTGTGTGTGTGTGTGTCACAACTGTCACAAAAGAAAGATTGCCTGAATACCATTAGCAACAAAAATTTCAGATAAATAAGTTTGAGGTAAGAGATCCTCTATTTTTTCACTGAGCTCTCTATTACGTGAAGTTGTTATAAGCACTATAAAATCAGTAAGTTAGTAACCCTCAGTTGTCATATTGGTCATTTGTGCAATCAACTACAGTTACCAAAAAAACTTCTCAATTACCTTTTGTACCATATCCATCCCATAGTTTACAAAGAAAAATCCCACAGGGCTTCAAAACTGATTTGCTAAAATCCAAGGCTGACTCACACAGACCCTAAAGACAACAAAATTTGGTGAAACATTTGTAATCATCAATATTGGCTTTCACAATGATATAGCTTGCTGATAATTCAAACTATTTTAGGTTTCCTTAAATTCTAAAGTAGACTTATTTTGCTGACAAGTAACCCATGGTGGGTTTCATGCAAAGCTGCCATTACATGTATATCCTTACTAAAATTCTCACAGAACAGTTTTTAACTGTCTTATGATATTTTTGAATCACTAGAGCCAAAATTTTAACATGTGTTGAGGGTGAAAAAGTATCTGAATATTTTTTTGTGGAAAAGGAAGTTAAGGCTTGTTGATATAGCCACATCTCCCATTTTGGGAAAATGTTTTTGCTCTCATTAATGGAGAATATTTCATTCAAGTGGGAAATTGTAGACTGAATTTTTCTGGCAAATAACTGAAAATTGTTTCAGTGATAACAGAGAGAAACACAGGGTTTAGCCAAAAAAGTTACAAAATTAATGCTAATTTAAATTTAAAATAATCTTAAGTTGCTTAAATATCTTGTAATGACTCCTCTCAAACTTCAATTATTCCCAGGTCTTTGTGGAAAGCCTTACTTTGGGGAATAAACAAAAGTGTCCCCACCATATAAGCAACCAACAAGGTTCTACAGCTTACACCAGTCTTCATAGTGTGAAGCTCCTAAGAATACTGCTACTCCCCCCCTGGATGGGATGCTAGTCCAGCACAGGTTACCACTACACATTTGATCAGGCTTCCTGACTCTTTGCCTGTACCCTTTTATACTACTGGGTGGCGAGAGGCACTGTGAGAATGGAGTGTGTTGCCTTGGAACACAGTACAATGACATTGCCAGATCTTAAACCTGAAGTCCAGCAGCCTAAGTGTTAGGACATCTTGTGCACAACATTTACAATTGTACATTTCATCAACTGGTGTTCAGCAGACACCCATCGACAGGCAGACACTAGGGAGTGTCCGACTGATGTCTGCCTGTTAGTGATTATGCTCAAAAAATGATTTGACATTTTCTAAATAATCAAATAATTACCAGGATAGCTTCATGATTCACTGTGTGGTTTCCACTTGCATTTGGAGCCATATCACTGAAAAATAAATTCAGACAAAGTGGCCCTATTTATCCTTACTTTGAATGCCTTGCCAAGGTGTACAACAATTCTACTTCATTTCCTTTCAAGGAGGTGGTTATATAGAGATAGATTTAGAGGTAGATTTTTTTTTTTTTCACATTGAGAACTAATTTTCAACATTTGACAAATTTTCCCTCTTGATAAAACCTGAAATTGAGGGGACATATCACAAATAGAAAGGAGAAGATGTTAACTGTAGCATAAATACTCTACTCTTGAGAATTTTTCTTCTTTTTTTAACATTCCATAATGGTTTTGATGTACCTCATAATAACATCAGCACCAGATGAAGGCAATACTGTAAGAATTCTCTTTTGTGTACTTGTGCTCGTAAAATCACATCTTGAAAATATAGTTGCTCCGTCTATGTCTTCAATGTCTTTATTATATCAAATAAGCAATAAAAATGGAAGAGGAAGTCACATTATATGACCGAACAGACCAATATATTAATGGTTTATTAACAATACACAGAGGCATAGAAAACTGATTTACATTATTGGTTGTCTAAGACATACAGCAAGTGAACATTTTTAATATGTTTAAAACAGCAAAATCCCAATATAGCAATTGTTGGATGAGGTTGGGCATAATATCAAGAATTATCTTATACTAGACTTCCTATGAAAACTCTGATTGGTCCAGAGCACTCACTCACAATACAGTAGTGTGTGAAATTAATTGACATGATAACCCAATTTAAGCAGCAAATAATGGGTTATCAGGTTAAGTTCAAAGTCTACATAGTTTCCAAGGCCCTTCTTTGATGGGCTTCCTGGAAAAACAGGATCAAGGATCGCTGGATCAAGGATCAAGGGTCAGTTCAAAATGATTCAAATAAATGAAATAACTTAATGGGCATGATTGATTGATCCCTCATGTGACTTAATCAAGATCTCTTGTATGCTCAAGCGAAAATGAGAGAGAACAAACTAAATCAGCACAAATAAAATATAATATATTAAAATACTGAAAAAGCCATACCACTTTCTGAAAGTGCTAGTTTTTGCCTACCGACTATTAGGACAGCTATTGAAGACTGACAGCTACAGAGCCGGTTCACCTCTGCATATGCTATTTTCACATGAAATTTCCAAATCATTTTGAATGTCATTATGTCATTGCATATCTGACTTCCAGTGTAATTTCAAAACACAAAGCCGTTTCTGGCAACTGCCGGAGTACATAGCAAATTTTTGGCTGCTTTAACTTCATCTCTTCAATTTTTTTACTGACCACATATCCTTTAAGGAAAAGCAGATGGAATGCATCTGAAGAACCACTAGCTTAGAAGAAGACGGTTTAGTTGTTTATATGATAGGATTTGACAAGAGACGTTACTTGACCATTGATTTGGAAAGTGATAAAGTTTCATCGGTCCACTGAGTTGTTGTTGTGAGTCCTCTGGAGTATAAACGGAAGCAACAAGTAAAAAATCTCAAGACCACACACTGGAGAATTGAATCAGTTCTCAGTCTTGCACAAGAAAGAAAAAAGAAAGTTAAAGAAAGTAACTGAAGACTAATGAGGAAGAATTGTTTTTTCTTATTTTGCCACCGATAAGCACAGCAGGCAGAAAGTTTACTCCCACACTTTTGATCACTTCCGATAAAATTAAGGACTTTGACAATTGCCGATTCTCTGTTTCTCCTCAGTTTCAACAGGGGAACTGCACTAACAGTTGAGCATGGTTTGCAAAAGCAGCAATGCTTACATAAACTGGGATGATTTCAGTGACGACATTCCCCTTGTAGTATACACATAAATCATGTTTTCTGCAAGCCCCAATGATTTTTGGTGATTGATAGAGCATAACACAAGATAACACTGCTGTTGACAGACAGGCTTCGTTTTTTTGCCCTTCCCCCATCTGCCGACTTTCATGCTACCCTCAAGAACGCTTGATCACAAGTGAGATACGAAGATATAGCAAACTGTCTATTCTTGATTCCAGTGCAGTTTTTGGGGACTTTCATTTTAAAGACAATCCAAACTTTTGTAATTTTATTCTTTCACTAGAGAAATGAAAAGAGAATTTTTTTTTTGTCATTCATGCAAACCTTTTTCTGCACCAAAACATTTGTAAACACAGCCATGGGAAAACAAAATCGTCATTATTTTCCAATTCTTTGCATTTCCACTCAAGCATTAGTCGATCTAACAAATAATTCCCAGGTTTTCTCTTAGACATTGAGCTGGATATTCCATCTGCTTGTGAAAAAGTAGTTAAACGAAAAAGTCACATTTATGAGTTAACTGACACCAAACAGACAACTGGCTGCGAGTCATTCACACATCAGAGTGAAAATCTGTGATGTCATTTGTTCGCAGTGCTGAGGTTCGAAACAACTCCTGTGGCTATTATCTTTCTAATTCGAGTATTGTGTTTACTGAAAATACTGTCAATATGGATTCGTTGTCATCTCCTCCTTAATTAATCCTTGATCTGGTAATCCAGTAATCCGGTGATCTGGTGATCAGGTGATCTTGATCCAGTTTTTCTAGGAAACCCTCTTTCATGTAGTGTTCGTGAACTCTTGCAAACTCAGACAGAACTATCTTCTTTTGCAGATTGTTTGAAAAATGTATGATAAGACAATTATTGAATCTGGTTTTTGTATGACATCATGAATCATGAAACCTAGTGTCTAGGTTATCTGCCTCAGCCTTCAGCCTTGGCATGTAACTCAGACCTCTGCATTCATTTGACAATTAATAATATCATGCTCAACCTCATCCAATAACTGCTTAATAGCATTTTTCATTATCAGTTTCACAAAATGATAGATTCCATGTTGCCGTGCGTCTATTCATTAATAGATTACACATGACATTAAAATGTGGTAAGAACAAAATATGGCACACAAGCCACAGTTTACAGAGAGTGTAACTGATATTCTTACCACATTTTGATGCCTCTGTGATCTATTCCTGAACAGACCCACTGCAACATGGAATCTGTTTGTTTTACACAGTAAAGAAGCAAAAATTGTCAATGGTGACATTGTCAATCTGTCTGTGCTCCAATAGGTCATAAGTAACAACCAATTACAATGTGTGCATGATGCAGCTTATTATATAGATTGAACCCTGCAGTATCTTCTTCAGGAACTTGATATTTGGTTTATGGTTCTATACCTTGTAAATCCACAGATATTACAGCTCCATGTTGGTAACCTGTCAAAAAGTAAATAAGCATTTATAATAATAAACAATAATAAGGGGTATTCCTGAGAGTGTCATTGTAAAATATCAGCCCCATTTTAGAGCTTCCCACCAAATTACCACACTGTTTAAATCCTTTTATTCAAATGACACCCTATCATTTTGTATGCTATTTTGTATGAGACCTCTAAATTCTGTCATGCATTGCTATGGCACTTGCTCTTATTAAGAGATTTTATTATTTCCATACATTAAAGCAACTAAGAAGACTTGGAGTACCAACCAGATTTCTGTGATAACACTCTGTCAACAGCCACTTGAGTCCAAGAACCTAACCACAAAGTTAAGATCAATCACTCATCTAAAAATTATCGTAACATGCTCCAGAATAACAAAACTGTTAATTCTATACCTGGGCTTGCACCACAGTCAATCACAACTTTTCCTGGTTGAAGGAAGTGGAACTTGTCATTGAGCTCAATCAATTTGTAAGCACTTCGACAGCGATAGTTGTCCTTATGGGCCCTTTTTACATACAAATCCTGTGTAAAGAAAGGATAAATTAAAATGTGCTTGCTTATTTGCACAACATTGTACTTAATCCAACATTTGATGAAGTAGTCTGATTGTCCAGGTAAAGGTTGTCCTCAAAAGCTCTTTTGTCTCTAAAAATGACTTAACCTAATTCATAAAATGACCCAAATTTAAAATCTGATTCATTAACTAGGAGCAGTCTTTTAAAACACACGTAAAGAACCACCTGCATCATATAATGACTTATTCACAACATCAACATAACCAAAAATCAAAACTGACCCATCACCTCTACAATATCTTAGATGAGTATTGAACACAAATGAAAACATCATGGCAAGTATCTAACCAAATATCACATGAATTTTTAACTTTACTCAGATGACCTCTTTGACTCAAGCTGCTGAACTGTTCCTCAGTCACCAATAATAGTCCTTTTTTCAGGAGGACCCTTGGCCAGACAATCAGATAGGGAATGGGCTACATGAGTAACTCCATTTTTAAGTACTTTATTCAGATAGGGCTATGGTTTTATAGGAGAGTAAAAATTAAAAAATCACCACTTCAGCCCAACCACATGAACCACCACACTTCTGTTACATTATTGCAATGCATGAAGACAAAATATAAAACACTTATGATGGAAATAAATTGCTCGCTTACGGTTTGCTGTCTCTTGAGCCATCTTGATTGATTGCTTCCCTTGACTGCAGACCTCACCAATGTTCTGCAAAGTTCAAAAATCATATATTGCAGAGCTGTTCAAAGGGATCCACACATTCAAGGAATACACAGAGTTGGAAAATAGGACAGCACTACCTAAAGACTAATATCAGGATGGATAAGCAAAAGTCTGTACTAGAATGGATGTGGAGTTTTGTAACATAGCTAGCAAATTCAGATACCCAAATTCAATAATGTGAACATGCTTCCTAATCCTATTGGGCACACTAACGATGTCAGCAAACAAATGCCCCAAGACTGAGACTGAATGTAAACTTCCTGACCGGTTAGGGTGTGAGTTTTGAAACTTTCAAGATGATTTTCTGATTCATAACGATTGAGACTTTTAGAAGCTTTAAATGAAAAGAAATGAAAATTAAATCTACAAAAGGATACTTGATTTGGAAAGTAATGGTCTTTTGAACCTTAAAGGTGACAGAAAGAGCTTTTCAGTGAACCATATCGCAATTCCCAAAGATGATCCAAACTATGGCTGAAAAATGAAAACTGAATTTCCTAACAAAAGTGGAGCCTTGCCAATTTTTCACCATTTTCTCATCTGCAAATTATTAATTTTGAGTTTAGATATGCCTTCAAGTATTGTGCAACAGAAGATCTTGTTTCAAATCTGACAACTATCCAAATTTTCAACACAACTCTGGGCAATATTCTGGCCATGGAGTCAAGCAAATGAGAATTCAAGTATTGTGAAACTATTGCCCAGGTTACATATGACTGAACCTGACTTTTTGTGCTTCTAGATAGCATATTTGGTATTCATTTAAATAAAGCTTTAGTCTTGAAATATTTCAAAGTCATTTTTGCCTTTAAGTACCAGGTTAATTGGTAAACCTGAAAAAAGTGCAAATCAACTTTGAAATCTGATTGCCAAGTATACACTGCAATTTTTGCCTAAAATTCTGATTTCTGAGAATATTTTGACTAAAACTCAAATTAACTTCTTTAGTTTGGGAATAAGTTTTTTAAACTATTTTAATTTCATTAGATCTTGTTTTGGTAAAAAATAATTGCTCTTTAGTTGGTGAAAGCAGTTAAAATCGTAATATCTTAAAAATATTGCAAGATATGACTTAAAGAATGCTTTGGGGGAGTTGTAGTGAGGAGCGAAAGGGGTCAAAATTGGAAAGGGCTCCAGCAGAGTGTTGAAGTTTTTAACAGGCTTTTGTCGGGCATCTTGATTTGCATTTTTTTTAAAACATTGCATCTTGCACCACACAAAAAAAGAAGAGAATTTCTTGCGCATTTCACACAACACTAAGAAATAAAAGTTTTCAAAGTTAAGTTTTTCTTCTTCCCTCGCTTGCTTTTCCTACTTTTCCTTCAGTTTTTCCCATACATTTTGGATTTAGTTTGATCCCCAGAAAATTTGTTTTCCTCATTTTGCTACAAGACCTTTCTGGCAAATTTCAAAGGAGTTCTTTGTCAGGCGGGTTCAATGGTGCATTTCATTTGTTGGCGGCATGAGAGCATTTAAACCCCCTTAAATGAGGTGTAAAAATCTGGAAATTTCTTTGAAGGCCAAAAACTCAAGGTTTGTTTTTTTTGTGGGTTATCTATACTTAAATTAATTAATAGAGTATTTAGAGTTGTTGGATTTTCATAAATATTGGCCAGAATATTTTTCGGATATAAAAAGCACCAAACTATGTGAGGCATTTATAAAATTTAGAATATTTCTCTTCTGATGTCCTGGGGTGTGACAACCACCAAAATATTTTCTATTATCCAAATTCAAAAAAATTTTCTCAGGAACCAATTGGAGTATTAAAAAAGCCTCCCATATTTTGTTAGCCTCTTATTTGCTGAGTGATACAATACAGTTTGTTTGGAGGTCCACAGTAACATGTAGGCTACAAATTTAGTAACACAACACTGTCAGTTTTGTGATTAAAGGCTTGAGCACTCATCAAAACAAAAACTGTGAAAATTTTTTTCCTTACTCTATACTAAATAAGCTTTACAGTAATAGCAGAGCTCACAGAGCATAGCCCCATAATTATAAAAAATAGTAGTAACCCATCAAGCTGAAAAAATTTGGATGTACCACCGTATGACCATACAAGGTGCTTCTTTTAACATGTGTGGTCAACTGTTCTGTGGGCATGCCAACGCCATGGTTTTGTTCAGTAGCCCAGTGGTCAGTGCACTGGGCTCCAACTCAGACGAACCGGGTTCTAGTCCTGGCAGGGGCAAGGTGTTGTGCCCTTGAGACGTGCAGGAAAAAAAAAAGCAAGCTCCACTTTTAGGCATGCTAAATCTATATATTAGCTAGTTTTCTATGGTTCCTTTAAAAGACAAAATATGACAAATTTTCCATAAGGCACCCTATTTTGTTGATATTAACCTTAAATTTTAAGAAAACAACATCCAAATTACTGTTTTGATAATGTCATATAACATTCGGTTCATATATCAGCTGCACATTCATGAAGATCAAGAAGCTAGAGTTGCTCTCTGCTGCACCTTAAGCAACTTCAACACCTCTCTCCAAACCTCCCACAAACATCCATGACTCGATATACCCACGGTAAGCCTGAACCAATTCTTTATTGAAAAAGAATTCAGCTGTAATGACATTTTCATGGGTGCTAGGGTCCACGAGAAGGCACTGAGCTTACCATGTCAAGTAACACAAGTATAAAGTATTATGTGTCCTGTGTTAAATTAATTATGGTGGGTGAGGGCAAGAAGTCAGATGTTTCATTTAATTATAAAAAACCACTGAGGTATGTTAGAAAATAGAAACAGTAAAAAATTTCACCCTGACCCTAATAGTAAAACTACATACATAGTTTCTCGTGATAGCCTATAATTAATTTAATTCCTTGGTATTGTTTGGAATCAAACGATGAAAATAAAAGCAAAGTGATAAACCTACTTGAACACATCCTTCTGATGATCTACCGTTTATCTTTCTTAAAATATGTTTTCTTTCCTTTATTTCTCGAAAGAAATTAGAGAATCAAATTTAAACACATGTTTAATTTTTACGTAATTTCTTGTTTTGACAAGTTGTACATTACATGAAATCAAGTTGAACTCAGGTGAAATTACAAAGGTAACCGATAATGTCAGCTAGAAAAGGACCAGAAAGATTATTTACACGTTCAGAGAAATAAAAAACTAAAGGAGATGAAGCAAAAGTACCTTGCAATTCCTCCTATGTTTAGAAAAGGTTGAAGTTGGCTGCCTTGTCGAAGCATTGAAAATAGTATGTTATTAATGAAAGCCGCTGACCGAGATCACGCAATCTCCACCAAATATGGCTTGCTAAAACAGGCAAGAATGTCAATCATTGCCTTTTCATCCAATCAAATGTGATATTTACAATAAAAGCCGGCCCATTAGACCCGCAAAACTCAAATGTGCTTAAGAGAGCCTCAAAAATTTTTCAGTGATTTTCACGGCGAAATCTCGCTACAGTAAAGAAATATATCCATTTCTAAACTTAGGATCTTGCTGAGTACTAAAGGTAGTTTAGTCTGGCGAATTTTTGTGAAATTCAACCCAGTATATTTGGAATAAATGGCCTCCGAAATGGGCATCTCAGCTCTCGTGGACTAGATGGTATTGGAGGAAGTCTATTGAAACATCACGGCATTGTAGGGTCCCTACGAGCACACGAGCTGGGTAAGCAGCGTGGAATTCTCTCGTTTGCTCCTAATATTTTGGCTCTTTCTTCAAGCCATTACAGCTTGGCTCGGGGTCTTCTTAAGATAATTCATCCAAGGTCTTGGATCTCTACTCACAAGAAGTCGTGGCCAGTTTACGCGCGCGTTGGGAGAGTTTCGCGATCGACCACCGTACTCTTTAGTTTGGCAGCTCCATGCCTCTGCTAAACAGAAAACCGTTTTCACCAACAAAACTACCTTCAGATCTGAAACCTGACGAGGAAGTCTTTGTTTGTCGCTATACAAATGAAATTTTTCGGGATTATAGGTAAATTGTGATCCTTCTTGTAGTATTTCTATATCCGGTGTACTCGCATTTATTTTGACGTTCACGGTTTCATGTACTGTTGAAAGACACCGCCATTTTTCCGTTTCAGGTCATTTTTCGAGCGGACAATTTTGTGCAGCAGCCTACTTTGGAGCTGTAAATATACTGGCAAGAGTGGATTAACCTACCAAGAGGCGCTTGAGTCGGAAAGGTCGATTAGAAAACAAGCCCATAGCCTCCCAGAGCCCATCCAGCGAGCGGCGCTGACTCTGGTCCACCACACTCAACGTGGTCGTTTAGCTAATTTATGCGATGAAGTGTTTTCCTATCTGAAAGATCGCTACCAGGAAGGCGAAGAAGTTGATATACACTACCTCTCGAGCAAGTAAGTATGTTTATTTCTTTTTGAAGGGTGCTTTTTAGAAAATGGGATCACATTTAGGGGGTGTGGGGCAGAATTTTGCATGGCATTGCTTATGGTGATCGCACCAAACCGTCGTAAGGTACGAAGCGTCACATGCCATCCAGCGGGCGTCTTCGTCATAGACAATACTGATCTAACTATAATATCACCTTTCTTTCAACAGTTCTCTTCTTTTTCCTCATCAGATAATTCTGGGTCTCTTAAACTGTGCAGGGGTGGGGTTTGGGGGGGTTATTTTTTTCCAGTTCTTGTCTCAAGGAAATTTAGAGAAATTTTTACTTAACTTAAGGAAGGCAGCCATTTTGTTTTAGTAGTCAGGCCCTGAAGTACCTTGGTTTTTGTTTATGCTGAATTTTAGCTTATTGAGTTTTTCGACATTTGGAGATGGTGATTAACTTTTTTGAGTGACAGCTGTCATAAAGTATCTTTTATTTTGTAACTTTTACACTTTTTCAACTTTTAATAGAATTTTGCAACATTGTCAACTCAAATATTTAGATGTTATTTGGCAATTAGTTGAGCTTAGTTATTATGCATGAAGGAGTAAATTTTTTCAATAATATAATTGGGGCTGCCATAGGTGTTCTGATATTTCTTGTAGTATAGATTAATAATAAAAAAGTTAAATATTTATTTTATTAATAAATTATTATTATCCATAACTTAAATGGGTTAACATAATTATTTTTATAAATTTAGCTACTAGTAATGTGTTTAATGATAATATTATATTTTAATGATACTTTCAACACTAAAGAAATTTATGTATGTTCTTTAAGTGACGATTACCAATGAGACTTAAGATGTTAGGAAAAGATTCAAATTTATCATGGCATTTTGATTTTTTTAACCTAGAGGATTGTTCACTGAATATTTCCTTGCCTCTCTAGATACTGAAATCCTTTTTATTTTTTTTGAAATGCAGGTAAAAGAAACAGATTAAAGAAAAGCAATAAAATTATGACCTAATTAAATCTTTTATGTTTTGAAATGACCATTCTCTAATTGTGTTTTTGGCCTTTTGAATTATTTTTTGTGTCATGAAAACTGAAGAAAATTTTGTGTGTCTCCATTGTTGATTTGTTCGATGTGGGTATTTTTTGTTTGTTTAAGCTGTCCTCTGTTTTTAAATGAGACCTTGTCCTTATGGCTTTCTGGTTATATTTTTCAATCACACTGCTCTGTTTTTTGGAACACTGTTTGAAATTGTTTTCTTTGTGGAAGTTGCTTAAATTGATGTTTGTTGACTTCAAATTAAGCATAATACAAACAGAAGTCAATGATTACTTGATCTCTTTATAAGATTTGGTCTTTCAGTTTTCTGTTGCTCATTTTTATTCACTTAAAGCTGGTTAACTCCCAGGATTCATTAGAAATCCTCCTTACTGTCTGCCATACAGTTCTTGTGATGTTAGTTTTGAGAATTTGGTGTTGGATTGACTAATAATTCTCTACCTGATATTTTTTCTTAATTCTCATGACTTTTCTGCTTGATATGGTATTGATATCATAAGGAGAAATTCTTAGTCACTTATGGGAGTTAAAGGGTTAACAAAATATGTTTTGGTGCTGAGAATGGAAAATTTCTGCAAACAGGTTGCCATGAAAAAATGGCAATATCTAATTATGTTGATTATCTTTAATTTTCAGTTGTTTTGAGATTTTTAATTATGGTATTTCCTGAAATAAATGCCTCGGCCCTTTTTTAAAATTTAGGCAGGAGGGAGGGGCGCTTATCAGAAGGAGGATCCTTAGAGATTAAAAACCTCATGGACTTGATCAGCCTGGTATCAAAAGTATTTTGTGGCTGATCAGCAATTGTATGAACAGTGCTCTACTTTACTTTGGTTACTGCCCTTAAATGTACACATATTAGTGTATAAGTATGTAACAGTCTGAGAGTTGAGTTCTTAATGATCTCACCCTCTTGAGATCTAATCACACTTCCCTGTCTTGAGTACCAATTATATGCACTTCCTTGTATGTTATTGCTGAGATTTTACTGCTGGCTGGAAACACTATCCTCTAGATGTCAAGTCTGTTTGTCCTGTCTGTTAATTAACTTGACTGTTTGTGGGTGCTTTTAGGAGAGGTTACTGTAAGAACCCACAGATAAGCTGCACCTTTTTTCCAAAAATCATTGCTAGAAATTGGGGGTGTGGCTTATCTGCGGGAACATTTCCATTTTTGCATCCGATCTAATGCCTGGTTACCAAGCTTTGAATGTTCCGCTCACATTCTTGTTGTAATGCAAAAATCTATGGAAAAACTGTGTTGAATGAAGAAATTCATGTCAATATATACCAGAAAAAGATTGATTGTATGTCAAAGTTGCTAGAAACAATATTCTTTATATTAAAGTGCTAAAATTGTGGGTGAGACTGAAGTATTTTCCATTGCAATGTTAATAGTGAGTTTATGTTCGATGAACAGTGGATGAAGAAGACTTCTCAAGACTTGACTTTGGATTTCTTTTGATTTCTTTCAAAAAACTTTTTTCCAAAATTTGAGCTGTAAATTCAGTGTGTGGCTTATTTGTGGGTTTTTACAGTATATGTTGATCACTGTCTTCTAAAGGTGAAGGGGTTAATCTCTGCTTACTTGCTGAAATAGGAACTCAAATTGATTGGTTAACCCTCTAAGCCCTAAGAGTGACTACCATCTAATTCCTCTTTACAATATGACCACTCAATCAAAAAAATAAAGGTCATGAGAATAAAGGAAATAATCACCAACTAAGGAAACTCTTGATTGTTAGAAAAATTCTCCTTGTCAGCACCATGGTAAATGTACAGAGAACAGTATAGAGAATATGAATACTGATGTTAGGGTGTAAAGGGTTAAGATGGACATCTTTGTTTTGTATTTTCTTTATTAGGAAGAGAGGCATTATAACCAGGGTTATTTCCCCTTATGAGCAAACAAGCCAGGCAACTAAATATCAAAGCTCTCCAAGTCATGGATCAAAGCCAGGGAAACTTCTCTCTCCAAAATCAAGAAAGCAAAGCCAATCTGGAGGAGCTTCACAGTCTCCTACATCTAAGCATCGTAACAGCAGTTCTGATCGAACACCTTCTAAAGAAAGGAAAAGTAGTTCTAGTAGTTCAGACAGCCAGCCTTTATCTACCCAATCTAAAAAGTACAATTCAGAGGGCAAGTCTACTAAATCTCCAACTGTGAAATCACCAAGGAGGAGCATTGATGAGGAATCTCCATCAAAACATAAATCACAGAAACTTAGTGAAGAAAGTTCAGGTCAAAAGACTCCTAGCAAATCTAGAAAGCTTTCATCTGAGGGTAAAAGCATGTCATCTGGCAAAGCTATAAGTGATAAGGCTACAAAAAAGGCATCTACACCCTCCTCAAAGAAAGGCAGGGAGGAGAAGCTCACTTCTCCAAGGAGCAAGCAATCTTTTGAGGGAACTGCAACAGAGTCACCAAAACCCAAAACACCAAATACTGGTAAAACAAAAAGTTTTGAGGGTGAAATTGTCATTATTGATGATGACAACAATAAAGGAGATAAAAAGACTTCTCAAGGAACTTCCCCAAAGTTATCATCTCCCAAAGAGAAGCCAGTGTATAACTGGCCTTCTGCAGCTCTTTACAACTATGAAATCAGAATTCAGTCAGATAAAAGGGACAAGGGATCAAAGAAAAAGGATGGTCATGTTGAGATTATCATTGTTCAATCATCCATGGTCAGGTAATGAACTGATAATGGTTAATTTCATTTGTGTGACATTCAGTAATGTTTGAATTAATATGTTTCCTTTAACAAGTGCCCCAGGTATTTACCAAAAATTTGTTTGGTTTTTTTTCCATGTAAGGAGAGGTGAGGGTATAGGGAAGTTGTAGCTTGCAGGTTTTATGTTTGGTTATATCATTTACAAAGCATTTACAATTCACTCTTAAGCCTTGTTTATGAATGTAAAATGGGATGTGTCAGGAAAATACATTCTATCTTCAGCCCTTAGACATCAGAGGTCTGAGAAGAGTTTTCTCAAATCTTGCCCAAACAAACTTCAAACATTTCAAGAGTGGATTCAGAAGACCAAGGGTAGAACTATGCTTCCACCTTATGGGTTATTGAGAACTATTTTCTGTGGATCCCAGTTTGTTTCATTGTCTACTTTGAATAACTGACTGCTTACTCAGTGCTGTTTCTTGGTCAGTCCATAATTGAATTGAATCATGTGACAAAAAAAATTAAGCTCATACCACAGTCAACTTGGCATGAAATCAAAGCAATCTAAACTGCAAATACACACTAGGATTTGTTGCCTGGACAAGCCTGTGCTCTTGGGTTTGGAGTCCTCTATTCTCAGTGGAAAGTGCCAAAACTACATTTGCCCACAAATGAAGCATCACATATTGTCCTATTAGTGCAGTTATTTATTGAAAATGTACACATGCATATACACCTCAGTGGCACCTGATTAGTACATGCTTTTCTATCACATTTTTGTACAAGATGAAAACATCACCAATTCTTTGTTAGTGATCTTGACTTCTGAGGTTTTCCAAACATCAGTCACCATCAGTGACCACATTCCTTTTCAGCACCAATTTAAGTAAGACATTCAGACTCTTAAAAAGGACTCACATGACTTCACATTAAAACATCTCGTTTTTTTAACAAAAATGTTTATCACTGCTCAGTGTGAAATTTTTTCCTATGTTTCCATTTATTATTTTATCACCTGATTTTTTTTCTCAGTCGTAGAAAGGGTGTGTTCACAAGAGACAAAGTGAAAATGTTCCTTAAGATTAGCTGTGAGAGGAGTACTCCCCATTCTGAAGATGGCATCTATATTGTTCAGGTGAGATATCTTACATGAGGGTGCATAAAAATTGCACAAAACAATTTTGGCTGTTTCCTCTTATTTGTCACATTTTACACTTTACCTGCATGCCTTCCACTTGTGTTTTTAGAGAACATTTCGGCAGAAGTTTGATTTGGGTGAACCAGACATTCCGCTGAAGCTTGCCTCTCCTCCAAAGGACAAGAAACAAAAGAAAAGAAATATCTCTCGCACTGTGCAAGATGGAGAGGGTGAGCCAGCTAAAAAAAAAAGGAAAAGAAAGAAGGAAGAAGAAAGAAAGAATGAAGGAGGAGTTTCTTCCAAAAAGAAAGGAAAGGTAAGATCATCATTTAGGAAATTGAGTGAAATTGAGAGAAACTGAAAGAACTTATCTCCATGACACATGATAGTTTTCCTATGTTTATTTTAAATTTGGGCCATGGTGGGAAGTTATTCTTATTACAAGCTTCCATGAAAATGGGGTCAACAATCTCAATATCATGTGTTGTTGCAGTTTGCAGCATTCAAATTTTAAATTAGTTTTTCAAAACTGTAACCTATCATTCTCAGAACTAATTTTGAAATATTTGACCCACCATTTGCATACTTAACTTTACTGATCTATTGGCACACCTGTCTGAATCAACAAAAAATCTTGCCTAACTTGCGTTACACTTGTCTCTGCAAATGGCATTGGCTTATGTACACAAATTCATGTACCAAACTTTCCATCAATTCATTAAAGTAATAAGCCATAAGGCTGACTAAATTTAGCAAGAGGTTAGTCAATTCACTTTGTGAAATTTCAAACTTAGAAATTAATTGGTTTTGACAATGAGATCAAACCAGCTCTTTTCATGGGCTTGAAGTTTTTTAATTATATTGCAAAATCACTTTTGCTGGTATATAAATGGATGTTTCAGATTGATTCAACTTGTCCTTCATGCTATATTCAAAACACTATTCAAACACTAACCTTAATAAATTTGTCAGCATACAGATACATGAATCAATAAGAAATTGCACCTAACTGTAGCTCAAACTAGGTCACTATTAGTTAGTTTGTATTGATGACATCGTCATCAAGATGTTGTCATGATGAACACAATTGGCAGGTGGCAAAACAACAAAAATCAAATTTCATCTCAGTATTAGTAACAAATCAGGTGTTGTTCTTAAAATTGCTGCAAAGCACAAACAGGCACTAAAATTGAATTTAAAAAATTATCATTGGAATGGGGGTGTGTTTGGGGGATAAGTTCTCAGATTATAATCTCTTGTAAACAGCCGTTTCCATCCAGGGATCTTTCATTGAATGAAACTTCCACCTTTCATAGTTTTGGCCCCTATACCTATAATATATAGATTTAGCCAAGCCTAAAAGTGGAGCTAGCATTTTTTTTCCCCGTATGTCTCAAGGGTACTGCTCGCGGTACAGTTGACCACACATGTTGAAAGTAGCACCTTGTACGGTCGTACAGTCATACATCCAAATCTTTTCAGCTTGATGGGTTACTACTATTTTATATAATTATGGGGCTACACTCTGCGAGCTCCGCTACCAGTACCAATGGGTGTGGCGCTATCTTAATATTACTGCATAGTGGGACATGGCAAAGGTGGTGCATCTGTTGGAACTTGCAATGTCCAGGACACCAAAATATCTATTAATTTGCCATGTTAGTAATCCACTATTTTAGAACTATTTCAGGAATTTTGTAAGTGGAAATGAATTTTGATATCTCAATAAATTTCAGAAGGAGAAGGATAACAAAGACAAGGGGGACAAGATGAAGCTGCCACCTGAGGAGTGGCGCAAAATCATGGAACAAGAAAAAGAAAAGAGAAAAAAACAGTTGGAAGAAGAAAAAGAAAAAAAGAGACTGGAAAGAGAAAGGGAAAAAGCTGAGAACAAAGCCAAGAGAGAGGAGGAAAGGGCGGTGAAGAAGATTGAAAGAGACAAAGTGAGGGCAACAATGTTTCATGTACATTTTAACTAGATTGCCTCTTTACTTATGTAATTATGTCCTGTTACCTGCAGGTTTGTGTGATTTTTGGTGCTACACTGTACATGTATTCAAGAGATACACAAGTTATTTGTTATTGGGTAGAGATGTAGATATCTGCCTTTCAAGTTTGGTAAATTGATTTAGATGACCTTAGTTGGCAACACAAAGAATTGTTTGTTAGCTTTAGTTTCCCAAGGCATCATCATGAAATGTTATTGATCTTACATGCAAATTATTTCAAAAGGAAGATACATTAGATTACATTAGATTGGCAATTTTATGGAATTTTTTCATACTATGGACTAGAATTCCTAAACATTTTGAACCAGACCTTGATTTTTCCTTTTCGTTTGGATATAACACTCTCCAGGGAATAACTGCTTGTAAATTTAGTGTGCTCTTCAGGGAATAGAGATCATGTCATCCATCTTTCCAGTGTATTATGGCCAGGCTGAAACCTTTTACTCTTAGAGGTGATTCACTGGTACATATAACTTTTCCCTATGATACGAGGTTATTATTTGGGAAGCAGGGAAGAATAGATGCATTAATCACCTACAGTAGCAGGTGTTATGTTGATGTTATATGAAATTCTCTTTTAAATGGTAGTATATCACAGGTAAATAAGAGTTGATAATCAGATGTTTTGGGGTACACAGGAATATTTTCCTTTATCTGTTTTGTATTTTTTTTGTTGTGATTTACAGGAGCGTGAAAGACAAAAGGAAGAAAAGAGATTGGAGGCTATACGACTGAAGGAATGGAACAGACCAAGAGAAGATCTAGAGTTGGATGATTTGAAGGTTTGTGTTTCCTATTCTCTTGGAATTGTAGATTAAATGACCCTATGGGGTCTTAACCCTTTTACTCCCAAGATTTCTTCTGTAATTCTCTTATCTGTCTGCTATACAATTCTTATGAGGTCAGTTCAGAGAATTTGGTATTGGATCAATTAACATTCTTTAATTGATATTTTTCTTTATTCTCATATATATATATATATATATATATATATATATATATATATATATATATATATATATATATATATATATATATATATATATATATAGGAAGTCTGCAAGTCGATTTTCGCATGGAACAGTGCTCAATACGTTGAAGCAGAGCAGAATAAATATTATGGGAGGAAAAAAGGACACAACTACATTTCCCGACAAGCCTGTTTCGTGAATCGCTTCACTCTTCAGGGGTTTAATGAAACCCCTGAAGAGTGAAGCGATTCACGAAACAGGCTTGTTGGGAAATGTAGTTGCGTCCTTTTTTCCTCTCATAATATTTATATATATATATATATATATATATATATATATATATATATATATATATATATATAATTATATATATATATATTTATATCAGTATTACGTGCTCAATACATTGAAGTTGACATGAATTGAGTTAGGGAAAAAAAGGAAACTATGCCTCATCCCAACATGTGTTTTTGTGATTAAATCACTCTCCAGGAGATTTTAATGGCAAGAACATTTGTAACCATTGTTGAAATACTATAAAATTTGCATCATAAATGTGGCGGTAAATTTAGATGCTTTGTTCAGCTGTTACAAAGCAACACTTTGTTTCTGTGATGGTGTGCATATTATAATCTGTTCATTGATCTTTTTATTTATGCTTATCCTTTGAAATTGTATTCATTTGATATTCTTAGTAGAGAACACTTCATCCCGACAAGTCCTTTTTTGTGATTAAATACACTCCAGGGGATTTTAATGGCAAGAACATTTGTAACCATTGTTGAGATACTATAAAATTTGCATTATAAATGTGGCGGTAAATTTAGATGCTTTGTTCAGCTGTTACAAAGCAATGCTTTGTTTCTGTGATGGCATGCATATTATGATCTGTTCATTGATCTTTTTCTTTATTCTTATCCTTTGAAATTGTATTAATTTGATATTCTTAGTAGAAATTTTCTCTTGGTCACTCATGGTAGTTAACCTTTTGACCCCTAAGAGTGACCAGCATCTAATTTCTCCTAACAATATCACCCCTGAATCACACATTTATTTTACAAGAAGAAAGGAAATGATCATCAACAAAAGAAGCTGTCAGCTGTCAGCTGTCATGCTAAATAAGAATATGTATGCTGATGTTAGGGTGTCAAGGGTTTAGGCTTGCATTGGTTGTCATGCATTCACCTTGTCAGTGTCATATAATGCTCAAAAGCTTTCTGTCTCTCATAGTGCAGTCTTTCTCGTTCCCATGTAATTTGATTAAAAAGAATTAAAAACAGAAGTGATCTGTTGGATTTTATTCTATTGAATGGATGGTAAGGTCGATAATTGGCTTTGAAATATAAATTTTAAGTTTCTTACTCTCGCAGATGTTAAAACATTTTCCATAAAAGACAAAAAAAAACTTTTGATATTTTTATCTGACTTTTGCGATTTCCTTAGTAACAAGGACATCAGGAACTGTCCTTGAATAAACAAAAAAAAAAACTATCTATGAGTTGATTATTCAACAGATTTAATTTATCATATTTGATCTACAGGATCTGCCTAAAACTATTCCAGTCTCCATCAAACTTTCATCCAACTTGTTTGGAGATATGATGATGGTCTTGGAATTTCTCACTGTCTTTGGAAACCTGTTTGACATCAGAGATGAATTTCCTAACGGTCTTACATTTGGTGAGAAGACACATTTTATAGTGTTGTCAAGTACTTCCTAGATCAGCCTTACTTGCTTGCAATCTATATGGAGGATTAATTTTAAAAAAATTTATCTCGCTTTTAATTAAAGCAATTGGGGAAATTTTCTGCACAGAGAGTGCTAAAGAAATTGATTAGAGGTAATTTTGTACAAGTTGCCCCCCAAATATTATTGTTTATGATTAAGATGAAAAACAATGATTGTCCTATCCTATGTTACATCCCTTTACCAACTAAAAGGAACAAGTAGTTAAAAGTGGCAAGTTGATGTTGATAAATTGCCTTAACATTTCCCAAACTTCTTAATGACATTCTTCACTAGCCTTTGAGCCTCTGAGTTTATTTATTCATGCATTTGCTTTCTTCTTACTTGTATGATCAAAGCTATGTTAGAAGAGGCTCTGACTGAACACGATGCAGAGGGTGTTTACTATGATTTGCTGTTGTTCTTGTTGGGAGCAATACTTCGTACTCACTTAGAGGAAGAGGAGGAAGAAGGCTTGGATGGCACTCATGAGCATGAACCTGTTATGGATCTTGAAGATGATGGAAATGAGAAATCTCAGGCAACAGTGTCAGCTTCAGCCACAATGGCAGCTGCTTGGCCAATGCAGCACCAAGGAAAACCTCTCCATGAATTAATAATGGACCCCTTCACAAGTTCTGAGCTGCTGAGATTGCATTTGTTATCATCTGGTGCCAGAATAGGTATGCAAACTGACTTGATGATTTTGAAAGTTAAATTCTTCAATGGAAATTATGTGATTTTGTAGCATTTGCATCATCATAGGTGAAGCTTGTTTGTATAGGTTACAGTGATTGCATGGGGCCAAGTGAAATTAAGGAATAATAATATGCAAGTTTTCAGAAGTTTCTGTAGAAACATGCAATTAGATTTTAATAAAATGAAGTGTAAAAGTTTTCTTTTAATAACCCTTTAACTCCCGTGAGCGACCAAGACAGAATGTGTCCTTATAATGTCAGTACAATCTCAAGCAGGCAAGTGATGAGAAGAAAGGAAAGTGTGAATTGGGGAATGTTTAACCACATTCTCAGAACTAACATCATAAGAAATATATGGCAGACAGTAAGGAGAATTACTGGTGGTGAAAGGGTTAAGGGTCAAGAAGGTCAAAAACACATGCTGTTGTCCAATTTCTTAGGAAGCCATTTCAGTGTTCAGTTAGGGTCAGTGAACTGTAAAACACACAATAAAATGTTATTTTAGTACAGTAACACCAAAGTAATTAAACCAGGTCTGTTAAAAAACCATCTGCCATTAATGAACTTGTAATACTTTTAGGCAAAGTTAAGCCTTTTTCAGTGTTTTCAATTTCAAGTTATATTCCCTGGGGAAATTACCAAAGTTAAAAAAAATGCCCTCTGTCTTAGTCAGTCAGCCAGAGGAACACTAAAAAGATTGTGACTGATTATTTACATCCATCGGTAATATCTCTCATTACGTTAAATTTCCACAAGTGTGCACCACTGAATAGGCATTGCCTGAAACAGTTGCATGAGTATTCAGAACTTTGTAATATTTCATTCAATTTAGAAAAGATAGTTTGTTTTTATGATAAAAAATTATTTTACTGACCGTAAAATCTGAAATTTTAAAGCCTTTGGCATATAATGACTCATTTAAGAGGCACAGAGCATTACTTGTTGTGTGCTTATTTGACAAACAAAGTTACACTTCCATATCAGTAGTTCTCATAGCTTGAAAACAGTGATCTCAAAGGGGCAACAGTACAGTACAGTACGATGTAAGTAAAGCTTCTAAATGTATGTGTGATTGCTTAGAACAGCTGCGCAATTGTTCTCTTGTTGGAGCTCAAATGTACCAAAACAGTCTGTTACTGATAACAATCTATGATTGGAGTCTTATTTGCCTACATTGCACATGTATGTTGACATTAAGACTTCCTTCCTTCATCCGTAAGGTTGTGGCGAGTCATCTTATCGCTGGCAGCGTCGCGGTGGATTTACATACAGTGATGACGCTGGAGTAGAATTTCGCCATGCTGAACCTCAGTTATTAAAATCCTTGGTAACAGGGAATATATATGATATGGCTGCTGAAGACAAACTCAAAGTCCTTGTTTCCCTGTGTACTCAGTTGATAACATACGCAACAGCTAGAGACTATATGGAAGAAGGATTTGATCAGTGAGTGGATTAGGGTTCTAAATGATTTAATGTTTTAAAAACAGTTTTTCAGTCCAGTACACAGTTGAATGATGCTATCGTGACCTAACTTTACCTTTACTTGTACTCGTTGTGCTTCAGGTGCCGTAAGGTTCGTCGGGAGTGGCAGGAGGACCAGTGGGCAGATCAGCGGAAGGAGAAAGAGGAAGCTGCTGCAAGGTATCGGCGGAAGCAAGAGGAAAGACAGCGGCAGAAAGAGGAGCTGGAAAAACGGAAGAAAGAGAAGGATCAGGAGAAGATTGATGCTGCAAAAGGAGACTCCAGGTAAAATCAACTTTGAATATGAATTAGAAACCTAAAGATATGATTGTAACCGTGATGGTGAGTGCACTTTACTTCATGATCGGAACTCGTAAGGAAAGTGAGGTTTCATTTTCTCCTTAAAAGCATGATAATGAATTTCCTTTTCTCAACCATTTTGAGTATAACTTACCTTGTGTAGAATGCATGTAAATGTATTTACAAAGCTCCACAGAGGAATTCCTAACGCAGATTAAGATAATAATCCTCGGGAGCTCGTAAGTATAACCTTGATGATATCATTACTGGTCCAAAATAATACGGGAGAAGTTGCTACAAGACTAAGAATGCATTGTAAAAACATTGGCATTGATCGCATTGCAGGTGATGACCTTTAATGAACTGTGTAGTCAATGTGTAAGAAGATGGACAGTACCTTCACCAAATCTTTTGTATGTGAAAAATTTTTTGTTTTATTTTTCAGTCCAAAAGTTGAAGATGGAATTAAGAAAGTCTCAAAACAGGAGGAAGGAGGTCAAGAAAAGAAAGGAGGAAAGAAACCTCCCAAAAAGAAGGACGAAAATGAGAACACTTCTCAAGCAAGTGAAATAAAAGAACCAACGACCACAGATAGCACAGTTGACGGAAGCAAAGGTACGGCAGACAAAGAAGGCAACACAAATAAGACTCCTGTTTTAACTAAAGAGGAAGAAGAGGAGTTGGCGCAGCAGAGACGTGAAGAACGCAAGAGGAAGGATCAGGAATTTATGAATCAATTGGCTAAAGCAGTATCTAGAAGCGCAATCCAGCCACTTGGACGAGACAGGGTCTACCGGCGATACTGGGCATTCAAATCATTACGAGGACTGTTTGTGGAGGATGATGACCCAGATCAACATTTGCTTTTGGAGCCAGTGTCTGAGTCCGAATCTGAGGTAAGTGCTGATGGATGTCCTCTGGGGAGATAATGTTAGTGACACGTTAGGCTTTGACCTGGAAGGTAGGCTGTTACTGGGTAGTTTTGCCTGGAGCGCCGTCAAATTCTAAAATTTTTTCCTGGCCTTACTTTCTACAGTTTCTGTAATTGTAGTGTACCCCGTTAGGTCCACAGTAAGGATGAATATGTCATTTATCATCCAAAGGTCAAATAAGATATATTTTACTCATTTTGGGAGGAAAACAAGTAATTTTTGTTCTTTTTAGAATAACGAGGAAGTAAGTGATGAAGAAGGGGAAGAGGAAAAAGAAGAAGAAGAAGAAAAAGAGAATGGAAACTCGTCATTAGACTCGAACAATTTAGTTAAAACGAAGAAGCAACAGAAAAGTTTAGTTAACGGTGATACAACACTGAAGAATGAGTACTTCGAGCGAAAAGCTATGAACATGTTTAAAGTTTATGATTTAGCTAGAGAAGCATCTGAAGATGAAAACTGGAGCGAACTTTACAGGAAACGATCTGTGGCAAAGTGGTCTTACTTCGCTTCTAGAGAAGACATAGACGGTTTGTTAGAAGCTTTGAATCCACGCGGATTCCGCGAGAGACTTTTGAAAGATGCAGTTCAACAAGAATACAAACAGCTTACACTTTCTGTGGACAAGTGTCCGTTGAAAGCCGATCTTCAGGGTCAGAAAAAGGAGTTCAAGCCCAAAGGAAGGCGAGGAGGTCGAAACCAGCCTACTGTGGATAAGTCGCGTTATAAGACAATGGAGGAGTTCATTGAAGCGAATTTACGTGATCAGATACTTGACCTAGAGGACAGAATATGGCAGGGTGGACTTGGTGTTATTAAGAATACAGACCGTGAGGCGTGGAGAGCTAAAGTGGAGAATGGTATTTATGATGATATTAACAAGACTCAGACCAAACATGCCAGCGATGAGTGTAAGGTGAATGGAGTCAGTGATGTCAAAGAAAATGGCGATGCACAGTTTATGGAGCTTGGTGAAAGTGTCAGAGAGATTAGTGAGCTTAATGAGGACAACAAAGGGGAAACATTGAGCGTGAAGGAAGAAAAGCCAATGGTTTATGATGATGAGGAATTGCCAGTTGTCAATGGAGTTAAGGATGAGATTAAACAAGAACACAGCACAGGTAACTTGATCTTTTTTAGTATTGTTGTGTTTTGTTGTTAGACAGGACACTTAACTCCTATGGTCCCCTCTCCCCTTTGCTGGAGGAGAAATTGGTACCGTCTGACTCTAAAGGTAGCCGGACCCACAGTCTAGCGTTGGGAGTAACTTACAATTGACCATTTCCCATTCAGGTAGAGTTGTAATTGTTTCCGTCGCTCGAGACCGGAATGAACTCCCACTCCTATTTGTTTTACAAGTTTTACATTCCAATGAACTTGATATCCTGTTGTTGAAATTCGGGCTTTTTCGTCTTTCGGTCTTATTTTGCTTTACAGTAATCTAGGTAAGGTATCATGCTTTGGCTCTTACGCGATAAAGGTCCACGTGTAACCTAAATTAAAGAATAAGTGAACATGCGTTCTTTGGAATTTTTTACTTCTCATTCACAGCATTCCTCGCAAGCATTCACTTAGTTGAAAAATGGACCTTGTCTTTGTTGAGGTGTCAAGAGGCAAACGTGGAAGTCTTATAAGTTTTACTTGTTATAGAATATTTCGCTTTCGCCCCCGTTTCAGTTCCCGAAACTTTCACGACTGTTCTTTTCTTTTAATTATAGAATCCGCGGATGGCGTTAAAGTGGAAGTCAAGCCAGATGAACGTTCATTTACAGCTGTTCCATTTCATCTTCAGCTCAGTAGCCGCGCCTCATCCCCAGCGGCAGACACTCGGTGCAGTACACCCACTCTTAGCTTAGTTGTTGGACCTGTGGCAGTCAACCCCGCTGTCAAAGAACTTGCGCGGGAACTGCTCAAAGTAAGAGGAATTTTGTAAGAGATAAGGCCGGTCTTAGCAATGATGTGTCGGTCAAACTAGGCTAATTTTTAATATTGCCGGAATACGAGGATGAATGGCTTTTCCTGACTGCGTAATGGGATTATTCATAAAATATTTCGCCACCTTCATTGCAAATGAGATTCAAGACTTAGTTAAGGGCGACGTAGTTACTCACATTCTCTCGCACTTTGGGCAGTTTATTAGCCCTTACATAGTGTGCGAATTGACTTCTTGTGATATTTACTATTTATCTGACTGGTCATTGTGTGTACCATGGGATCGCCTAGAGTAGCCCTTGGCAACGCACGCACAGTTAACGATGTTTTAGTCCGCACTCCTCATCAACCCTGAGTAATAGAAGTTAGTGGCCTCTTGCGGTTTAACTTTTACCGACTCGCGTTTCATATTGCTGTGGTCGACTAGTTAGAACAAGTTGTTTTTGACGAGCGTACAATTTCAATTTCGTCCGTTCAGCAACAGAGGAATAGAGATTGAATATATTTCCTACGTGTCTGTTAGACTCTATTTGGCGCTCTTAATTTGCCCTTTCTGATTAAGCTAATTAATGTCTTAAACTTAACAGGTGGAGCAAGGCATAGAGAAAAAGTATCTGAACCCACCTCTTGGTGAGGACGAGGAGACCAAGCGACAGAGACAGAAAGAGGCGGCTGCCGCGGCTGTCAGCGAGTTCAACGAGATGATGAAGGCTGCAGAGACTAAGGAGAAGCAGAAGAAAGACAAGAAAAAGAAGCAGAATGGTGGAAGTGGAGAAGATGCCAAGAACAACGAGGAGAAGAAAGGCGAGGATGAAGGAGAAGAGGGAAGAGAAGACGACAGGAGCTGTAGTTCGTCGGAGGTAGAGGAGGAGGAGGAAGCCGTAAAACAGAAGACATGTCTGGAGAGGTGGGAGGAGTCCCTCCTTGTGTGTACAAATTTGTCGCAGGTGTTTGTGCATTTGAACACGTTGGACCAGTCCATTGCCTGGAGCAAGTCTGTGTTAAACGCTCGGTGTCGACTCTGTAGGAGGAAAGGAGATGCGGAACACATGCTGCTGTGTGATGCCTGTGATAGGGGTCATCATATGTACTGCCTCAAACCACCTATCAAGGAGGTATGCAACAGAAAAGTGTGCACCATCATGCTGATGCTGAACGCTCAGCGCGTCGTTTTGTTTTTATTAACATGTTTGTCTATCAGATTACATTTTTCTATAATAACTTTGGATGCTTTGCATAGTAGAAGCTTTCTCCTTTCTAATGAATGAGTCAAACTTAAAATTCACTCTCTTACTTGGTGTTTTTCAAGTCTAATTTAAGATTTTCAGGCATAATGTCTCAACGAATCTCATAGTTTTCCTTTTACAGCTCAACTGTTGTTACAGGGTTACGAAATTGAAAGTGACCAATCCACTTGCGGATGACGAGCGATCTGTTCCAGCTACTATTGGCTTTGTACCTATACAACATTTGACACGGTTGACAGTTTTTTATCTTTGTACGTTACTGTCAACAAAGTAGGGTGCCTCACGAAAAATTGGTTTTAGGCGCGCTACTTTTGTAGAACTATGGAAAACCATATATCACTGTAAAGCTTACAAAGGTGTTTTAGTAGGCGCGCTCAAGCCTTTAAACACAACACTGACGGTGTTTGCTTTACTGAATTACCAGCTTCCGTGTTACTGCGGACCTCGAAACAAACTGGACAGTATCACTTAGCAGATGATAGGCGACCAAAGGACAGGAGGCTTTTTCGATATTCCTATTACGAGAATGTGTTTTGAGGTTGGACAATAGAAATAATTTCGGTTGTTGTCACGCTCAGGGACGTTACGAGAGAAATAATTTGAATTTCGTTAAAGCCTCCAACACTTCTGTGTGTTAATACCTGACGAAGATTCTGGCCGATTTTCATGAAAAGCCAACAAATCCACAAACCCTATTAATTCGTTTAAGCAAAGGTTTAAGCGCGTGTCAATGCGGTCACTCCGGGACATCGATCCCCCGACAAGTCTTGCAACAAGGAACTTAAATTCGCGGGGAAGGTCATTTCGCGAAACAGGGAACACGAATCAAACTAAATCCAAAATTCAAGAAGAACTTAATTTCGATTTCTTTGGCTCGGGCTCTCTTGCGACTTTTCTCGTTTTGGTCGTTGATGAAAACTATTATTTCTTAACGTTTTGCGAAATGTGCAGTGCAAGACGCGATGTAAACAAAATATGCAAATCGAGATCCTGGACGAAACCCTGCGGCAAACTTCAACACTCTTCTGAAGGCTTTTCCAATTATGACACCTTTCATTCTTCCAGCCGTATCTCGCATACTTTTTTAAGACAATTTTTGGCGCAAATTAAACTTACGACTTTCTCCAACTGAAGAGCAGAAAACGAAATTTTGAAAATTTTGGAAAGATTTTGGTGACAGTAACCTTGATTTTGATAAATCGAACCATTTTCGGTCAAGAATGATAAATGACATCCTTTGGCAGCCTGCTAGTGTTCCTTTTAATGTTACCAATGTACAAAATCTTTGTATAGTTCGTTGTTGAAGTAATATCATTCTTTGCCCAGGTTCCTGAAGGACAGTGGTTTTGTGGTGACTGTCGCCCCAAGGAAACAAGGCGCAGCGAGAGAAAGAAGAAACCCACGGCTAGTGATAAAGATGAAGAGGAAGAAAATGAACATTCAAACGAAAAAAAGGAAGAAAGCGAGGAAATTAGTGACGAGGATGAAGCCGACAGTAAATCAAACAGTTATCAGGATGAGTCTGAACAAAGTAAGTTTTACAGGGTTATACTTTTTTCGTTCAATTTGACATGGTTATTGTCAATCACATCACGGTGTATGAATACATCGACCATTTTCTATTTCGTTGTTTCGCGAATCTTTGGAGATTGAAGATTGTACTCTGTTGACCCTCTGTTATACCGGTGTCCTAGCGGATTTGGACCCTCAACAAAACTGAGTGAAAACATCATCCTTGACGTTCTAGTAGAATTAATTTATGTTCCAGTGCGTACTAAAGTATGTTTTCGATTCAAAACATGCAACTGGCGGCTGGAAATGACTCTCCGCGATAATCGAACACCGCTAGATTCAATAGGAGACAAACTTTTGACACCAATTTATTTTGTTATTGTTCAATGCTTGAGTGTTGGGACGACATGGTACAGTGCGAGTTGTGCAAGGAATGGTTGTACATGAGCTGCGAGGGATATAAGACTGCCTTGGAGGGCGAGTGGTTCTGCATTGTCTGCAGACCGCCCGGCTCTAGACGTCTTCGTAATTTTTAAGGTGTTATTTCGGATCCCTCAACGGTTAATATCCGTTGAAATTAGAAAATAAGATTGAGTTCGATGTAATAGTCACCAGTTTTGTTAGGACGTAGACATTAATGTTTATTTACCTTTGAAAATAAGCTGAGAGTTCCAATATAAACTTATAATAATAAGCTTTAGAATAGAAACATTTTTACTTGCCATAGGCTTTACGAACGACTTTTAATAGGAGTTGGGACTTCGTTCTTGTTCAGAAACTGTTTAATGTTATTTAATTGGAAAATCAGACTGAGTTATTTTTGTGACTGGATGCAACAGTCTCCACTAGTGTTATGACGTTTCGTATTAATGTTGATTCGCATCAGAAGAAGCAAAGATTTACTGGAACAGTTTCAAAAGTTCGAATGCAGTAGTTTGTTCGCATTTAATTCTTGCGTATACTGTACGACTCGCTATAATAAATGTGGCAGAATTGGAACGAAATGGTTGTTTTTCTTTACCTTTACTGAGGAATGTTCTGTTGTGATAGAAGAGAACATCGGCAAAAAGCTTCCAAATAGAATTAGTGACCAAGTATGATACAAACGATGCTTAAAAGGAACGTTTGGTAGGGGGGGGTCCAAATCTGCGAATAGGGGTCCATATCCGCTAGTGGATTTGGACCGGGGGTTTATATCCGCGGGGGGTCCAAATCCGCTGTGACACCGGCAATCTTTGGGTCAATCTTTAGATTTCGTGGAAGTCTTTTTCGGTTACTCTTGGCTAAGTTAAGCTAAGGAGTCTTGCGAAGGTGCTTTCGCCCTATGCCCTCGCACCGCTCACGCTTCTCTCGCTTGATTGGGGGAAATTAAAAGGGCCTCTGCGAAGGCCACCTACCATTAGTATTAAAATCACACTAAAAATTTAGCGTTATCTCTAGACCGTGTCATTTTTTGTCTTTCAATCTTCTCCATCCATGATCCCTCTTAGTTTCTCTTTGCCTCTTTTTCTCAACATCCAACTAGGCAGTAATATGTTGCAGCCTCCTTAAAAATGAAGTTAGTTTTCACGATTCAAAGGAACTGTCCAGAACATAATAACAATAACGTACATCCACTAACTGTCTTTGTTTTCAATGGTAGGTGACACCAGTGAGACTTCTGAACATGGCGATCAATGTGCAGTTTGTACTGAGGGAGGAGAGCTACTGTGCTGTGACACATGTCCACTTGCCTATCATATTAGTTGTGTTTATCCGCCCTTACGACGAATTCCGCGCGGAAACTGGGCTTGTCAAGTGTGCACGGGGGCCGACGATGAACGACCACGGAGCTGCCGCGTAAAGAAAGCCACTATTGAAGGTAAAACTCAGAGAATAGTTTTTTGTTTCAGGCAAAGTTATGTCCTCCTATTCAGATGAGTCGGTTTTCCGAGAGTCAGTGCGGTTTCCTTTTATCCCGTCCATTGCATATGGTATCAGATAACTAACCCCGGTAACTCTTTCACTCCCAAGATCTCATTAGTAATTCTCTTTACTATCTGTCATGCAATTCTTATGATGTTGGTTCGGAGAATTTGATATTGGATCAATTACAAATGCCCTATTTGATCTTTTTTTTTATTCTTATCACTTGCCTGGTTGATACTGTATTGATATTTTAAGAAGAAATTCTGTCTTGGTCACTCATGGGAATTTAACGGTTAAGCATGAAACTGAGGTAGTGCTTATTCTCTCACCCCCAAAGCATTTCTTATCTTATCAGAGTTGTCGGTAGAGGAGTCAAGGCTACCGACTGATCAAACATTGTTGGAGGAGAGGGGAAAAATATAAAAATAAAAGAAAATAGGATAAATAGTTATCATTATGATGAGATAATGAAGTAAACGCGAAAGTCCAACATCCATTTTTCACACGAAAGTATCTCGTGGACTTTGGCGAGGAATAAAGAAGACATGGAACGAAGACGTTGATGTGAATTGTGTAGATTGATGCTTCGAGTTTTACGGTATAGCACCTTCTTAAGTGCCATTGAATGCTTATCTCTTTACTCTGCAACTTCCAGCTGCCCAAAGAAGTCTTCAGCAGAGCATCAAGGTCGGGAAAAGGAAAGCTACCCGCAGCAATTCCCGTCAGAGCAGCAGGCAAGCAAAGAACACCAACAGTCAGAGTCGGAAAAGACAACCATCGTCTTCTCCATCACCTCCACCGCATTTAAGAGTTGGCACCAAAATTGACAAGTCCACTAAGCGGCGGCGACTCTCTTCTTCGTCACCTTCAGAATCATCTCGTTCTCCGTCGCCTGCGTCGAAATCCAGTCAGAGACGCACTGTTAAGATAGCGTCGCGTGGCCGTGGTCGAAGTTCTCTCGATTCTTCTCGGTCCTCGTCTCCAATGCCTCGATCTGAGCCGAGTAAAAAGGCTTCTGGGAGGAAAGATCCTAGGCTAGGAACAAAGTTTGTTTTGTGCCAAAAGTTGCTAAACGAGATGATTAAACACGAGGACGCCTGGCCCTTCATTGAACCTGTGGATGTCGATGAGGTAACCCATTAACTGTGGCCAAAAAATTGATCTAGGATCTAATTTAGGATAAGCTTCGATCCCTAGGAAGTAGACCATTCTCCTTCACAAATCTTGTAACTAACAAATAACTTTGCGCTTTTAAGACAAGTTGAGCTACGTATCAACATTTTTTATTAAGGGGATAAGTTTTAAAAAAAACCTGTGCTGCTGCGTGGGTAGGAGAGTATAACAGGGTAATTTTACTGTCGATACTTTCGTTATTTCTTCCTTAAAAACTCAACGCAAATAACTAGCTCGGAACTTAGCTCTACACTCCGAAGGAAAGTGTTGGTCACCAGCTTATGAAGGTGACGGTCACCAGGCTGTCAATCTTTGACCATCGTCATTATTTTTCACTTATTTAGCGAATTATGTTAAGTTACGTGAAACAGATCCCGCATGTTGACTCTTTCCAAAACGACTTTCTACCTAAAATTTCACAATATTGCGGTGAGGGTCGGCCAAACAAAAACAAGAATGGTAATACAAAAATTACAGAGAACCCATCGACGAAATAAGAATTACACTATTACACTTAAAAAGATATTTAAATAGAAAATAGCCTTTGAAGATAATTACATAACAACAGAATAAACAGATAATTCGAAGAAGAAAGGGCGTACCCAAGTTACCGCCCCCAAGAGTACTACCTGCTGTTCATATAAGTTAACTGATTAGAGATTTAGTGAGGAGGGTGAAAAGTACAAGTTGTTTACACCTTTAGTTTCTATCAAGAAAGAGGTCACCTACTATACTTTTAAAGTAAGACCGCCAAAGAAATAGGACTGAATTATCAACTAGTTTTTACTATTTTTTGCTGAAAAGTTTGTGCTTATGTGCTATGTGCATTCATTTTCCAACACTGAAATAAGTCTAAAAAAAACACATAAACAGAAACTTCTTGCTTGATGCCAATTTTGCCTTTTTACATAAGTATTATTAACTGAGTTGATAACGGAAATAGGCCACCGTATAGAGTTTTAAAACTGACGTTTCGAGTGTCAGCCATTCGTCATCGCTCTGACGAAGGGTTAACGCTCTAAGATTGTTTTGTAAGAAAAAGGAAAATAAAGTGTGTGTGTAAAGTGTGTAACGCTCGAAACGTCAGCTTTGAAACTCTTTGCGGTGGCCAATTTACGATATCAATTCAGTTGACAATACTAAATTACCCCAACATTTTTTATTGTCTTCTTTGGGAACGAGGCCTGGTCACTGTAAATTCCCAGTAATTGTATTGAAACCCTGGTTGAAACCCTTGATAATAGTTTCCGGAGAGAGCAGTAATAAAAAGAACAAGCTGCAATAAGCCTGGAGGGAACAGGGTTCGGTAACAAGTCGCAAACTCGGGAAAATTTAGCCAAATTCTTCAAGATTTACAAATGGGTACGAAAATTATTTTGGTAGACTATGCATTATAATTATATTAGGATAACTTCCTTCACTTCCTTTTATTTTTAATTTTTTGTCCTAGAACCCTGATTATTTGGAGATCATAGAAAGGCCTATGGACTTAGGAACCATCAAGCAAAATTTAGCTGCCAAGGCATACGATTATGTGGAGGATTTCGCCGCCGACGTTCGCCAAGTGTTCATCAACTGTTCGGAATATTGTCGGCCACGAGGCAAAGAAGCCCGAGCTGGGATTCGGTTGTCGGCCTTTTTTGAGACGCAGTATTCCGACATGGGTCTAGATGCGACAGAGACTCGTACGACTCGAAGTAGACGAATATGAATCCGCAAAGAAGTGTGAAGATTTAACCAAGAACCTGAGAGAAAAACAAAACTGAAGAACGGTAGTCTTTCTCCTCTCCGTTTTCTATTTTATGGGGAATAAGCTTAAAGGAGAGGATAATGTCTTCTCTCTCGCGTAGTTAGTACTTCCTGTAACATTGCTTAAGACACGGAGACAAAGCAAACTTTAACTACTTGACAAAAAAAATCTCGCCCACGATATTATGCTAGATCATTCGCTTTAAGTAGTCAAATCAGTGTATTTTGTACTTTGTTCAAGGCTCACTCGTCAGTCAAGCAATATCTCGCCGAATATCGCAAAAAAATAGCAGCGTTTATTACTGTGGAAAGCGAATCTGCTTTGCCTTGAATTAGTTTGAAGTAAAACTAAAAAAAAAAAGAATAAGCATCAAATGTAATTATTTATTGCTTGTGGGGCGGCTGAAGTCGCTTCGATTCGCACTAAGTTGTAAGTGTTACACTTGAAAATAGAATTCAGGTATAGCGATATTACGAAAGACATTAAGTGCAATGAAGATTGTGGAGTACTTGTCCATTACAACTTTACTACTCCAAAATTATTAAAGCGTAGGACCAGCATGTATATAGTCTCGAAGAAATAAAGTGAGTAACTTTTTATCATAAATGTGAGAAGTTTGAAATAAGTTCAGTGAAGCAAAAAGATTTTTCACTTTTATGTAGCAGTCATTGCCGAATTTACAATGCTTTTTTCCGACGCGTAGATGGGGACTAGTACACCCCTTCCCCTTTCGTCCATCGACATTTTAGTGGGGACCCCCGAAAGGTGTAAGGATACAGAAAGGAAAATGAACCCCATTGTAGAGATATCAGTCTTTGGAAATTTAGAGACTAAGTTAACTGTTCGGGAGACCGGTATTTTTTTCTTTAAACCCAGGAGATCTTAGGAGGAGTACCGCAAAGAGTAAGGAAAGGCCCTCTCCGCCTGCCCTTAATTGCTACGATTCTTTCCCCATATTCCATCGGTAGCCGTGAGGCAATGCAAGAGGCGGCTGGTACCCTTTCCTATGTTTTGAAAAACGCGGAAACTATAAAACTCGTAGAGCTCTGTTAACCCTCTAACTCCTAGCAGTGAGGAGCATCAAATATCTCCTTACAATGTCACCCCTGAGTCACAAAGAGGTCACGAAAGTAAATGAAATGATTGCCTACTGAGGAGGCTCTTGATTGTTAAACAAATTCTCGTTGTCGGGTACCTCAGAAACTGTGTAGCGTACTTTATGGAGAATATGCATACTGATCTAAGGGTGTAAAGGGTAAAGTAGTCTAACGGGAACTCCTGAAGGGGACAGCCATTAGTCTCCATCGTGCAACGAGTCGTCATATTTATCATCGTGTTGTTGGCAGATACTTTATATACCGATTTTGTAAATAATATGGCGGCTAAACGGAAAGGAAGAAAATTGATGCTTTAGCACTAACGATTGAGATTCATCACAAGCGATTGATAATTTTGGCACAAATGGCTCCCCCTAGCAAAGTTATTCATTGCTTGTTTACGGTGATGCGACTTCCTGGGACGACCGCAAGAAGGACGAACCGTAAAAGCACTGGATCATACTCCCATAAAGCACTTCGGTCGTACAAGAGGTGGCATTATAAAAATTTCCTTCGCTACTACTCAGTTCGAACCGCCAACTTGAGAATTGAAGTCGAGAAAATGGACAACAGATTAGACCCAAATGACGATAACAGATACAGAACAAGTGCCCCAGTCCAGGTAAGTCGGAGCTGCCATCCGAAATTTTTCTGGAATAGGATGAATAAGTTGAGAAATTAAGCTTAATTAACTAAATGTACGTAGACTGGACGTTTCAAGGGGAAAGTCTTGTTTATTATTAATCCGTGCTGATTCGTACCTGTGTCGGCGGCGGTTTTATTCCCATGGAGTAATTTCTTTGGTTGTTACCTGTGAATGAGCTTGAATTATTCTTCCCTTTTTTGTCACTATGCATATGACAAGGACTAAGGTCTTGTGATTGCTTTCGCTCCCACAAAATTGTCTCCCTATATAATGTAAATAACATTAAACAGTACATGTTTAAACTAAGTAGAGTTACTGTGAACCAGCAAATTGCCTGAAGAACAACTCTGGAATATTCAGTATTGACAAGCTTCTTGTCTTGTACGCTACGTTATGATACTCGGTCGTATGTTGGTAAACGATAAAGCAAGCGATAAACATCTCCTTCTTATGGTACCTTGCATGAAACGTTATGCATGCTCAAGGTTTTTACGTGAATAGGTTAAAAGGGGGTCTGAAGCTTTAAACTGTCACTTCATTTGCATTCATTGCTAGTTAGCTTTAGAGGAGTTGGTTTGGTATTTATTTTACGCCACTTCTTGTTATTTGCAAAAAATTCGATTTGAAGTTGCCTTTTTGCGGCCGTGAAACAGTCGGCTAAAACGATTAGCACGTCAAGGCACAAATTAATGCAAATGAAAACACGTTAACATCGCAGAGGCTATTTGCCTTTACTATCAGTGTTTCATTTTGCTTTGATTTACATGACAAATCGTTAGCAACGTAAGTAAAAAAACCCTGCTACACTTTTTTAGTTGATTTTTGTAATACTTTTTGTAAATGTACAGTTGTGCTAATAAAGCCAGTTGTGTTACTGTTGTAATTCATTTATCCCCTCACAGCACTTAACTTGCTATCAGCAACCCCTTGTATATTTCAAATTGCACTCAAAAGTGTGTGATTACTTGCTCAAAGGTAATTCCTTAGTATTTGATTGTGCATCCCTTCTGTGGACATTTACATGTATTAGGTGCACTTGTCTTAACAAAGTTGTGGTTTTTATTATGGCTGCAGGCTTAATTATAAGGGTGATGGTGATTTTATTTAAGAGAATTGAACACATTTGTAAACATTATACCAGAGTAATGAGCCGGGTGATCCTCCTTTCACTTAAATGGTATCATCTTGTTGATATGTTGTACAACCATTTAATTTAATCCTAACTTTCTATCACAGTCCCATGGAGGTCTCTTGTCAGCTGGGTCTTCAGGTTTACAGACAACGACATCTTTGCCTGGGGGCCTGAGTACCTATCCACCCACACCCAGTCCAATGCCACCACTAACACCTATGACTCCTATGACAGCAGAACAAGCTGGGATTGTACCTCAACTACAGTGAGTGTATAATTGGTTACTCTACTATTTAAATTCCTTGTACTATTCAGGCTTGTACTTGCTAAATGTTTATTCAGTGGAACAGCTAGAAAGAGATACACTTGTTAATGTCTCAAATGCATTGTCAAATTATTTTGCCTTCTGAGCATAAAGAATATCTTAGTACTTGTAATAATCATATGCACAGGTGTATATAATGATACTTGGGTTACATCTTTTTCCTCCATGGTTTTGCATGTTGTCTTTCATGTGCAAAGTCTTACACACTATACATACACCTGTACAATTTCTTTTGTGCCAATAATGACAAGTTAAAAATTTGGATTCTGTTAGTAATGGTAATGATAATAATGATAATCACCAGCCAATCAGCAGGTGCAAAAACCTCTATTCACTTGCGTGGTATATACTAATAATAATTACAATGATGAGGATACTTGTGTAATTTTAAATTTACTGTATTTCTTCACTTATAAGCCAATCTTGGATATAAGCCGAGACCCTAAAAGTTAGAGACCTTCCAGCAGACTCGTGTTGTCCAAGAAAAAAGCAAAACCATCAGCTATAAGCCGAGAGTGATATTCTTGATTGTAAACAGCCATTTGAGTGAGCGAACCTAACAGAAAACATTGGGAAATGGTTCACTGAACACAAAAGCTAATGAATTATAATAAACACAAAAGAAAAAAATGAATCAGTGAATCAACTGCAGAAACACAACACCCTCAGTTACTGTAACCTGACAAGCATTTCAACTGAGTATTTCTTTCGTCACTGTTATTTTTCTCATCATGCCAAAAGTACATCGCTCTTCGTGTATTGTGGCTTTCAGTGACGGTAAATGTTATTGCGGAAGCTGAAGCTGTTGCAAACAACTCGGAAATCGCTCGAGATTATGGACTTAGCAAGTCCATGGTGTGACACTGGAGAAGAGATCAGTAGAACTAGTAGAGCAAGTGATGGAGTGGTTTTCACAGCAGTGAGACCAATAGAAATGAGAAGAGCTTTGCAGAGTTGAGTGAGATCATCTTTCAATGCATGGGAAGCAAAGAATCTGATTGGTGGTTAGAAATAGGTTGTTGTCATAACATTTTTAAAACATGTCACATAAAGAGCGCTGCAGTCGCAGAATTTATGGTCATTTCACATTAACTTTAAATTTGCAATTGTACTTGTTTTTGATCCATTGGAGTGTGGACTAAGTGCTTAATTAGTAGTCGTACTTTTTTTAATTCTTACTTAAAATTTTTGTAAAGGAAATCTTTCAATAGTATATATAGTCGATCTCTAGCTGTCAATATTTTGTTTTGATAGAAATATTGTGTCCACTGTAAATCTTGGCTGTAAGTTAGACTTGAAGAAGATTGCTCTTCATGCAAGGAATGCAGAATACAATCCAAAGGTAAGTTGTACATGTAGCACTTTTATTAGTAACATGTTTTAAGTTTATACAGAAGCTTTTGAACTATTTGTAACAGAAGTGTTTGTTTTCTAGAGCTCTGCACACTGAATTATTTTTGTCAATTTTCAGCGATTTGCAGCTGTAATCATGAGAATACGAGAGCCAAGGACAACTGCATTGATATTCAGTTCTGGAAAAATGGTTTGCACCGGAGCAAAAAGGTATTTGCAACTCAGAGAACATAATTTTTTAAAATTGAGATCATAAACTGACTGGTGTCTTATTCAATTGCAACAAGTTTTAGCTCTTATTATCATTGGTTGCTTTAAAATTTCAAATTCTTACCAATTCAAATGAAAGCTACCATGGGTAAATGAAAGGATATATGGAGGCTTAGGTTAGGTTTTGGTTCATTTTAAACTTATCCATTTAAAACTCTCTGTAAACTTAATTTGACTCTTTCATATTATTCTTAAGATGATTGCACTTTTGAAGGCTGTGAAAAAGACTTCTGAAGTGTTATTTTATGTTTTCCTTAGTGAAGACCAATCAAGACTAGCTGCAAGGAAATATGCCAGAGTGGTACAGAAGCTTGGGTTTCCAGTGAGTAAAATGCTTGTTTGTATGCTTGCAATCTTAATTAAAAGAGATTTTAATCAAACTTTTTTCAGTCACCAATAAGATGAATATATCTTGCTTTCCTGTTTTATTATTTGAGAACTTTCATTGGTATTGGTACTCTGGATAGTGTTAAGGCAGCTTTTTTCATTTCCTTTCAATAAATCTGGTTTCAACTTTAGGAACAGAAAGAGACTGCATGGCAGCCATCTTTTTGGAAAATTAATGTATAATACATATAGTATTATGATTACCTTAGCTAATCATAACACTGGTATCCTTAAAATCACTGGTTAATGAACAAATTAATTTGTGGAGGAAAATTTGAGAGCATTTCCTTTAAAAACTCCCCAAACAGTAAGGTATTTTGACTCCAAAGTGTTGAAGGCACTTGCAGCAAGTTGTTAAATTGATCCAAAACCTATTCCAGTAAACATGGAGCATCTGAACCATTTTAAACTGGATTGTGTATTTTGTCAGAGAGAATTGAGAAAGTGAAATAGCAAAACTTTAAGGACTACAAGTGATAAGTTTTTGTGGTTTGTAATTACATGTTGTGATCTTGTTCTTTTTTTAATTGGCTTTTAACACAACGAAAATGCCAAAAAACATTTGATTTAGTTGGTTTTTCTTCTGTTACAGTAAATAATTCTCAAGAAATGTGTTAATCGCTTTTTTATTGATTTTTAGCTATCTCCTTGGATAGACCTACATTTTTTTAATTATTCAATACCATCACTGTTGGCCAGACTGCTTGCAAAATTGATTTTTTGTATGGGGTGTGTAGCTGTTAACTACGAGTTTCAAAATGCATCCTGTGTGTAAGCAAACAGAGATATGACCTAAAATTTTAATGTCTTTTGTTTAGGCAAAGTTTACAGAATTCAAAATTCAGAACATGGTTGGTAGCTGTGATGTGAGATTCCCAATTCGACTTGAAGGCTTGGTGTTAGCCCATGGACAGTTTTCCAGGTCACAAATTCAGAAAATTGATTAATAGTGATGCATATGAATATCTCTCTTCTCTTTTTGTGTTATATTTTCCATTGTGGATGTACTGTTCCTTTATGGTCTGTAGGAAAAAAAATTTGTCCTGATATGATAGCCTCAACAAACTATTTAATTCTGGAATGTAGAATGTACCCATTTTTGAAAGTGTGGTTGATCTACCTTTTTCATGTATATTGTTTATATTATATAGGCCTTTATTAAACCATAATGGTAAAAGGAATTAGAATTTAGTTAGATTTAAGCTTTAAATTGCATAAGGATAGAATGCACTGCATGCATAAACTGTGGACACCATCATCCTCCACATAAAAAAGAACTGCAAACAGTAATGAAATGGCCAAATTCAAGCTCACTGGGAGGGTGGAATATGGTGGCCAATTTCCATATGTCTTAGAAAAGAGTTTAATTTGCTATGGATTAAATAAATGACAGATATGGGATTAATGGTGAGATTTTTAAGACAAACAAATTTTCTCCTTTGATTAGCATAATTCTTCACATTTTTTCACCCTTGTGTTCATCAAGTACTCCATTACTCTCAATGTTTTATTTAAGACGTTTAGATAATGCTTATGAAATAAATTATTATTTTGTGTATTGATTAATTTTGCAGTTATGAACCAGAGCTGTTTCCTGGTCTGATTTATCGAATGGTTAAGCCAAGAATTGTGTTATTAATTTTTGTGTCAGGGAAGGTGGTTTTGACAGGTAAGAAATCATATTTATGTTGATCAATGATCTTCAAGGGTGAGCTGCGATTTACCATGTACATTTACTATGCTACTAGTACAGTGCTACCACTAACTGAGCTACAAAGCCACTTGTTATGAGCAAGGTACATTTTTGAGAATCCTTCTTTCCCTTATAGGAATGTGATACAATTGGTAATGAGGATGTATTAACTTGTCTCTAAATGGTTCATTTACAAATTGTTATTTACAACAGATGTCCAATAGTAGCTCACTGTTACATTTGATACATTTGCAACTTACAGTGCTGGCTGCAACTTCCTTTTGGTAGCTATCACCCACACCAAACCATTTAATTCAGAACTCTAGAAGCTTTAGGTTTCTATTCATACTGAGACTGACTGGCATTCATGTGTAGCTGTCATAGGATTGTTTGGGGCTCATTTTTTTTCTTGGTAACTTAAAGTGAATTCAAAGCATGAAGTAGGTGTTTTGGTACTCTCCCCTCCTCCCCCTTTGGATGTGATCCTTGTCCATCGCAAGTTACACCAGCATTTCCTCAGGTTTCCCTGACTGTTACCTGGTACCCATTTGTAGTCTGGAGTAGAGAAAATTGCCGTGAGAATTAACCCTTTGACATGTTTATTTGTCCTATAGGTGCCAAAGTGCGTTCAGAAATCTATGAAGCCTTCGAAAACATCTATCCTATCCTCAAGTCATTTAGAAAGACATAACATTACGATTAAGATGTCGCAAAGGATCATAGGACGAAAAGTATTCCTGGATGAACCACCACATCATGTATGCAAAGTCAAGAATTATAGAGAGACCTGGATGGAAAAATAGCCAAGTGAACTTTTCCAGCCACGTGGCCGGAAAGGAACCCAATTTCTTCAGGCATTACTAAAGAAACATAATTTTGGAAAGGCTATGAGCAGCTTCTGTTATGATACAATTTTGCTTGTAATTTAGAGAATCGCATTTAGAGGGCTGTTTCAAACGTTCTCGGCAATTGCTTGAAAGTGGAGGGTCACCCACGCGGATAATGTTTAGGTGGTTATTATTCCCTGACTCTAAGGATTTATTTTTGAGTTGTTGTTGAGTTAGTTTTGAAAACAAACATAAATATTAAAGTAAAGTCTTGGTTGTTGAAGTGGTATGTTGCTCGCACCAATTAGATTCAGGCTTTAGGCTTTGCCGCCCGTACCGTTCCTCTGCACAAGCACAAAACAACCACTACCGTGATTGGAAGGCAAGCTTTTTTGTTGTGTATGCTGAGACGAGTGTCTTTTGTTTGGATGTCAGTTCTATCACAATATCCGTGGGAACATTGCGTGTTGTCACGCATTACACGTAATTTATCGTACTTTGCAGTTGTTCTTTTGGGGAAGGTCGACAAGATGGAGAGGTTATGGTTTTTTTCCTGTTTTTACTACCGTGTTGAATATCCGTTTCTTTGCTTGAGGAAGCTCCCCGCGATTACTTTCTGTTTGTGGTGCTGTCGTCATTTGTCATTTTTCACCATACTTTGACATAGGGATACTCCGAGGGAAAAAACTCGGAGTGCTGCCAATACTGGAACCTTCGACATTCCGATTAGTACTACGGACACTACCACTGAACCATAGTAAACTCGTGGCAAGCTCGGCCGTTTACCTGGGTTCATGATGACAAAATGCCTGCATACTGCGATGGTAGGAATGTCGATACGTGATGCTCATGTGCAATGATGATGTAAATGGGGAAGGTAGAATTTGGGGCAAACCTTCCTGAGAGTTTCCAGCGAGACTCGAACTTACAACCTGACTAGTGTTTCGGCTGCTCTACCACCATTGGTGAGTATTGCTAAGCTGGGCCATTTAGCCAGGTCCATGGTGACAATCTTCCAGCATATTGCGAGGATAGGAATGTTAACATGTAATGCTTATCTGCAATGATGTAAATGAGGATTGTAATTTTTAAGCGTGGTGATTCAGGTGAACGAGTGTGTTATTCAGAGAATGACACAGGCATACTCGGATAAAAAAAAACCTCCGAATGCTCTCACAACCTTCCGATTAAAACTTCGGACGCTCTACCACTGAGCTATGGAGGCTAGTGGTGACTTAAGTGGTTTGACTAGGTCCGATAGTGACAAACTTAGCGTACTACAACCATTGGAATGTCAACAAGATGTTATCAATGAACTTATTTAAGATGGTGTGAATGAAGATGGTAAATTTTAAGCTCGGTGATTAAAACGAAGGGAGATATCAAAATGCTCTTGAATTCTCCTTCAAACCATCACAACGAGAAACACAGTGCTTCACTGTAAATTTTCGAAGTTTGGTGTGAAAATGGTATGTTTCAACAGCGTGATGGTACCATGATGGTACAACCACCGGCTTGAGTTGAAGAGTTTTTTTTCCTCCACAATGGTTACAGTGCAACCTTGTTGTAGTTGTTGCAATTCTACTGATTCTGGGTGGAAACCTATGAAAATGGAAAAATACAATGTGGATCCGTATCGGATTTTCGATTCTTAACTTATTGGGCTCAAATTAATCAAGGATACAGGATTTGCAAATTGTCAACATGTACCTTGCTACCGTCCATCTTCATGACTTCCTCAGTGATAAAGAATGAAAATTGGTTTTGAGTCCAAGATCAACTTTACCAGTCGAGTAACGTTTTGATTTGTAGAATGAGTAATCAAAAAGACCATTTGGTTTTCAAGCAACGAAATTATTTTGTAGTAAAAAAAAACAAAAAAAAAAACATTGTCTTAATCAAATGAATTACGAAGTCTAGCGATGACAAAAACAAAGTGGGACATAGTAGAATAGTGGAGGGGTTGAGAGTAAGGCTATCAGTAATGACATTGCGTGATCTACTATTCCAAAATGGTGCGATCTCACTACGTATGTGTCTTCTATTCTATCGCAAATTTTCCACGGGTTATTGATGTTCAAATAAGTCCTGTTGTCTTGAAGTGGCGAATATATGGCGGTCAATGTATTTTAAATAGAATGCAAATTCTGAGTAAATTTTGTGTATTTCTTGTCATATGCTCAATTTCAATAATATACTCCTAAACATTCTAATTACTTGCCTTCGTTTTGTGGTATTTTGCATGTCTTTCTATGATCTAAATGCAGAAACAGAAAATCATCACTGATGATTATTTTTAGGAAGAACGATAAAAATTCAACAGAGGTGCCTGCCTAAAGACACTTTAACTTTGATCGTTAATCATTATCCAACTGGTACTAAAATTAAGAATAATAATAATTAAACAACAGTTGTGTCTGCTATCTACTCCATTTTCCCAGAACTCACTTGTGAAGCCTTCTCCACAGAGACATTTAAAGGTACCATATTTGTAATTCGTCACACACATAGCTTGGTTTTGACATGGTGAGGAAGAACAAGGAGACTGCAAAAATAAATAAATGAATAACTAATAAATCGATATAGATGTGTAAAGTAAAGTTGTTAGTCACGAACTCATCAGCATAGTTGTGTTTCTATCAACAACAAAGGACGCATCTTTGAGCAACTTTCTGTGCATCATTCATTGAAGTGTATAGTATATGCTCAGACAGGACGAGGAAATCACGCTTGAGAGAAGCATTTCGAGAAAGGAGCTATGATCAAGACACTTAAGGATACCTACCGCAGTGGAGAAGCGATGCGAACTCATATTTCCACCATATTGTGTGGCGGTTCTGTATTTATCAGTGGAAAGTACCTTGCACAAAAATTTTCCTTTAGCTCTTCTGAAGGTGGCCAAGTTAAAGGAAAAACACAAAGGACTGCTGAGACATTCAAAGGCGCAGTCCATGGCGTCATACACCGTGGATTTCCCAACGAGAGACACATTCAGATAGTGGAAGTCGTCTTTCATGAATACACTTTGTCAATCAGTTTGGGATATGGTGGGGATGTCCTCTCCAAGAATGTGCAATAAGACAACGCAACGATTATGTTAAACGCGGCTATGTTAAAGGTTATGGTTAGCTTATGAAACATTATTGCCCGAGAAATGAAAAGGGTCTAATTTCTTAGTATGCGTACTTAGCAGAGCTTTGGTGACAATAAGTTTTCTTTATGTTGTTTCTACGAAGCCATTTCAAATGCTGACCGCTCTACAGCGATTTCCCATTATGATGTACATTTGGACAAGAATCTTATAATTGAAATCTCAAACAATGGAAGGCCATACCTCTGTTAAAGATGATAAAAGGTTTTAATCGTAAATCAGTTGATTAATTTACGTTTAAAATCCAAAAGAAAAAATATTGCTTCAAAAAGAGATGCTCTTCATTCATCTGATACCAATTGAAATATTACAATGTTGATGCCAAAATGCAGCATGGATGTCTTCAGTTAGCAAACATCTTAATTCGAAAAATCATTTAGCATTAAAGTATTTTACAACCTCCTCGGAGATTTTTAAGTTTAAATTTTTTTAGATTTACCTTGCTCCTATCTATTAGTAAAATATAGAGATAATTTTGCCAGTGTTCTTGATATATTCTTATGGTCTCTTACCTTTCAAACAAAAAAAAGTAAATTTCACCTCAGTTGTACTTGCAACCAACACAGATAAAATTTATATTCATAAGGGTAAACATTATGCAAAGTACCGTTACCAATTTTATCAGTTGACGTCATTATTCTAAAGGTGGACACTTTGCATTCATTTTTGTTTCGTTTTTTCATCCTTTAGTCTGACTAAATCTTAAAGAGCGGCGACACGAACAACGAGAGACAAACAATAACTTTGAGATGGGGGCTGCAAGATATTCACTTCAAACAGTGGGACACGCAAGTCACACCTTATTCTTGCAGCAGCTAGTTTTCCCTCGAGAAAATTCGGATATTAAATGAATGAAAGTTCCATCGTTTAGTTTAACTGTAACCAAATACCTCACGTTTCAACTTTCTGGGTACTTTTTGTGAACGATTAAAATTAATTGCAGACGGTTTTTAGGTCGCTTGTCAACCACCGTGATGACACTATTGTTTATACAAATTCATTCTGAAACAAATATTTTTCTGTCAACCAAAGTGATTTGATATAGAGAAAAGAGAGGATTCATAAGTTATTTATCGGCTTGAGGTAGTGACCGACGTGTTTGCTTAAAAATACTGCCCAGCCGGAAAACGAGGTATATTTATGAAAAATGACAACGAAAGTTGGGATGTACTCGGCGACTCACGAAAGCGTTACCGTGGCCCGTGGGCAGAGATAGGAAAATACTGACCGGGTAAAGAACCAATCAGATTGCAAGATTCGTTACCGTGCCCTCTAAAAAAACAATAAAGTTTATTATGATTATTTTTAGTATAGGTAATGACATGTTACGAGTGGTATCTGTTTACGGAATCACATTATTTCGAGTGTAATTAGTTCAGGTAATTACATGATTTCGAGTGCAATTTGGGATAAATAAGGACGAGATAAGTTTTCAAAGGCTAAACTCTTGCGACTTTACATATTTCGTGGAATCTAATGTTGCTCTGCGCAATGCTCATCCAACACTCCTCAAGAAGATCAAGGACGTTGAAACTGATAGATGTCTTCCAGGAAACATTGTAAGGGATATCGTTATCTTCACTGGAATCGCCCAGCAAGAACTGCTTGTTCTTGATGATGAATGTGGAAAATGCTCCGCTTAATATCGACAACAGAGTCTCCAATTTTATCCGTACGAGAATTGCTGAGATTCCTTCCCGAGAGCTCTAAGTTTTTCCTTTTTAACATTAAGAACCCTTTACACTAATGTCGTCCGCCATTTGTTCATTCTTTTCCTCTGATTGGTCGGTCTTACTCTCTTCACCCCGTCATGCTTTTTGGGCGGTTTCTCTGTTCCCATAGAGATCCGCCATGTTGAGTTTCTGCGAGTAAGGAAAGAGAATACAGACACATTGATATTTATTTACTGAAACCTTATTAGAAATGGTACGTACTGTCTTGATAAAAAACTTCTGTTTGAAAAGTAGTCTATAAAAGATTCGTCTCTGTTTTGTCTTAGTCGAAGGGAACAACAATCAAGGATGCCTTGGCAAAATGGGTAAGCTGTTGTATTAGTTAATTAGATATCAATAGTAATACACCCTAAACACCGATGGTGAACGTGAAATAGAAGGATTTGCAGAAGTGTTAGAGCTGTTTTCTTCATACATACTTTGGGTATTTAGTTTTGAAAACAGCATAGTTTATTGTTGTGTTTAGTTGTTAGGGTTGGTATTAGTGACAAGATTGAAATCTGAATTTCACTTACAGTAAGTTTACTTTGCACTTGCAATTTACGTCTTTTATGGTACGTGTTAGTGCTTAGTACTTAGTACGTGCTGGAGAACGATTCCACTCACGACCATATACAGTTCTCTTAATACATAAAAATGAAAAGTTCTTATCACAGTTACAGGGATTTTTTTTTTGAGTACCGGTATTTCAAGTTCATAGCACAGCAAGTTAGTGCCATGGTACTCTGGCTGGGTAGAAAGTTCTGTTCATTGCCCAAGTATTTCCTAGAGAAAATTGAGTAAGCTTAAAGCAATGATAGTATCAGTTTAAATAACTTTTAAGTTATTATAGTCATTTCAAATCAAAAATATGTTTGGAAAGTAGATGTGAAGTCTCAATGGTAGTTTGGCATAAACTCAGTTACCCAAGCATTTAATTTTGTACTGCATTTGTGATAAACAGGAACAGAAACATGAGAAAAAAGCATCAGAATCAGATGAAGTCAAGCTATATGCACAGTATCCTCCAATAGAAAAGATGGATGCTTCCTTATCTACTCTTACAAACTGTGTGTAAGTATGCTTGTATTCTAAAATTAGTTTTAAACTTCATATGGAAGATTTATTAAGTTTTATAAGAAAGTTTGGATGCAACGTGTGCTGTCATTGGTTGAAAGAGTGTGCTCTATCAGAGTGAAAAGCATAGAGCTGAGCTAAAGCTGTCAGGCCATCTTCCAAATTGTACTATGTCCAACCTTTTCTGGGACCTCTCTCTAGTTTTTTTTGTTTATTGAAAGTGAAATTTTGGAACAAGTGATCCAGTAATTAGCAACAGAAGAAGCAAACAAAGTTTTGTAAACATGCAAAGGGCGGTAATTCACATTATTATGATGTGAGCAGAGACGAAAATCCTCAAAGAGAAAACAAAATAGACAGTTCAAGTTTTGGAGGTTTTCACACTCAGTTAGACTGGAAGCTTAGTACAGTAATTAAAATCAAACACAGCTAACACTTGCATAGTATATATAGTTTCGTGTTCAAAAACAATACAGATCAAAATAGGAATGATGAAAAATATATCCAAACTGGCACAACTCTTAAAATTCATACTAATGAATAACCAATCACATTATTTGAACCATTCTAACAAGGCTTCAGATTGGCTTATTGTAGCATGCTTTGTTAGAGTATGGAGCATGCTGATGACACTGTTGTTCACTTTGAAAAGAAAGTTTGTTTTGAAAATTGAAAGTGATACAAGGAGAATTTAAAGGATTCTTTACCATAAAACAAATAAAGAAGCCTTGACTGTGCTCTGTTCTGTTGTAAAGCATGCAGGAAGCAGCTAGAGCACTCAAGAAATGGAAAGAAACATTTGACTACTTTAGAACAGAACAGAGAACAGTTAAGGCTTCTCTATTTATTAAATTTATCAGACAAAGGAACTACCGTAATTTCCGGTTGTTTACCCATGGGTAATCTGTTGATTTTGCATTAAATGCATGCCACTGCGGGTAATAGGGAGATGCGGGTTATGTGACAATTTTAAAATCTACTGGTAGTTGAATTGAAAAAAATTCTCACCTACATGCATTTCCACCTCTCAAATGAATTTTACTGTAGTAAGAGTGTCACAAAGCAGCACAAAAACATGATGCCGACTCAAGTTAATTTCATGCAAAATTGGTTGCGCGACGAACAAATTGTTATCGGCACGCGTGAAAACAAAACCTTGATGGTGAAAAAAATAATCCAAAGATATCTTGCGCATCAATAACAAATCTCCATTTAACACTAGCTAGAGCTGAAGAGAATTTTCCCGTTTTAAGGGACTTGTTAGGCCCAATAGAACTGGAGACATCTATTTTTTTCAGAAATCGCAGACAGTGCTTTATAATTCAAGTAACTCACCCAGGTTCTTTCAACAAATCAACATGGCGCTGAACGATCGCTCGTACAAAATGTGGCCACAAATTTGCATTCTGTCAAGTATGAAACATTGAGATTTGCACATGGGCCGCTAGTGTTTTTACTGTATAATTTCATGAATAAAGTACATGCTAATATTGACACAGAATTGTGCACTTGTCTGAATTTCTTTGACCTTTAAACTCGACAAAGAAGCTTTCAAGTTTTCGAAAGTTAGATCAGACAACTTTTAAAAGACTGAAATGTATCACTTTAATGTCAAGTTTTTGCCACCAAAAAGTTTAATAACATAACGTGTGGGTTATCCATCAGTGCAGGTAATCTGTTGACTTTTTTTTTTGTCGTATGCAATAATCGGCCGGTGTGGGTAATCACCTGTGCAGGTAAACGGCTGGAAATTATGGTAACATAGGATAACATTCAAGCCTATGTTAAGCAGTCACCCACAAGGAATAGCAGAGTGACCACAGAATAGGGGTATTTTTGAAAACATAAAAAAAAAATAGCCAGTTTTTGCTATGTACAAAAACTCTCTTGGAAGATAAAAAATGGATTAAGTTTTACTTGAAAGATTAGTTTTATATGTGTGGTTTCACATTGAGTAACCATCCAGTACAGGTAGAGGACAATTCAAAAAGGTGTTGGGACTCAGTAAAAGGTGGCCACAACACCTCAATAGAGGTGACTGCTTATTATAGACTGATGTGAAAATTACAGTTACAAAATTAAGGGGTAACAATATTGGGTCTTTGACAACAGACTGCTTAATAAATGGTGACCACTTAATACAGTGCTGCTCAATGCAGGTTTGACTGTGCTTGGGCAAAGGACGATTCACTTTAAATTACATGTACATATACATTGCCTATTGTGTTGGTAATTTGAGACCATGCAGTATGCCCTTTGCTTGGTCCTAATTTGCTCAGCTTTTGGTGCTCTTGTACAGGTTTGATTTTCAGCGCAATCATTTCACTTAAAATAGCTATGTGTATTTAAGTGTTACACACAAATGTAGAAACATTATCTTATTCCATCATTAGCTGAAGGCTTTTAATTTAATTTTTAACTACTGGTTCGCAATTACTTTAGTATATGTAAGCTGTCACTGTCATATGCAAATAATACATCAACTCCAATTCTAATCACAGTGAACATTTGATCACCTCACAGGAAACTGTCCTTATCCACAAACTGCATTGAAAAAATTGCCAACCTTAATGGTTTACGTAAGTTTATAGGCAAATGTTTTGCTTTCCTATCCCATAATGTTCATGTTGATCATTGTTTTAAATGTTAAATTGTTGTATTTTGATGCAGCTTTTATACATTTAAGTAATTACAGTTCTTTGATATTGGCCATATATTGAGAAATGAAAGAGTTATTCTGCAGCAGAGTGTCTGATAGGACGCAGGAAAAATTTTGAAAACTATGTACGAAAAAAAATCTCTTGTAACTTCCAAGAAAAGTTTCATGTTATATACTATTTATCATATGTTCATGCTTGGTAATTGGAAGTATCAAGGGATATGTTGGCCAAGCTCAGATCTAACCTTCTTTCATCTGTTTGTGGTATTTGTTCACTTTGTTCTGTGGTCATACAAACTATACAATATTCTGAGGGAGCTTTCTAGACACTGTATTTTGAAAACCTTCAGAAATACAGTGAATACTCTGAACTTATTAAGTCATGCATGAAAATGACTAGACACCAAATGAACTCAACTTATTTTGAATGTTAGGATTGCTGTAGTGTTGATATCAACATTGATTAATTAACCTTGAGAAACACTCAATTGTTTTAGTCAATTTTTTTCTCTCTATTCATCTATCTTACTAATAAAGATTAGGTAAATTTTAGACAAACTGACTCTAATAAGGAGCAAATTACCCTAACTTTTTCATGGAATGATCTGATCTTGGACTGCAGATACCCTTGATTATTTTTCGAGGTGGAATTTTTTGTGTCCTTTCCTCTGTGTGCAAAGCTTTGTCTTTAACATGTATGTGCCAAAAATGCACTTTTATGTCAAAAGACAGGCTGTTTGTCTGGTTTATAATTGAATGATTATACATGTTTTATGTAACATTGAGAAAAGTTAAGAGATTTACCAGCTCTGCTTTACAGTGCCAAAGCTGAATAACTATTAAGCTTGTGTGGGTTTGTATAAAAGATATGGGAGGTTGCACCAAGGCATAGTAGCTGAATTTTTGTTGATGACTGCAAGCTAGATGTTTCCTCTTAAACTAATTATGAAATAATCAAATATCAGTTTACCTCATTTATTTCTTTATAGGGAATCTGAAAATTCTGTCACTGGGAAGAAATAACATAAAAAATCTTAATGGCTTGGTAAGTGAACTGAAGCAACACCCTTTTTTTTTGGGCCGATTGAGTAGTACTTGTTATGTTTTTCCTCTATAAACTTTGTCAAGTATTTTATGATGTGTGAGTTTCCTTGTCTTTATTTGTGTTTTTTCATCTGACTTTGCCTTTCTTACTCATCTAACCCATAAGCAGCTTAAGCTTACTTCCCACTTTGGCTGGTGTCTTTCTGGAAGAAATTTGTACATGTGCCAGATTCACTAAAATCCTAGCAAACTATATATCAGAAGAAAGCTTAAAAAATGCAGTTTACAATAAAAATATAATTTAAGCAACTTTTCCTTTAAGGAAGTGTCAGGAGCTGGTAAGACGTGAAATGACCAAAGATTCTTAATTGGATTTATTGGGTATCAGATGCTGCAGCATAAGCAAAATGGATGCACAGTCTTATTCAAAAGGCATCAATCAACAAAAGTGTGTCAGGCTTTTTTGATGGTCTGATTGGTTGTGTAGATATCGCCATCTAAAGTTGGAGTAGCTAAAAATATGCAAGTCATGTTGCGCAAATGGACCCCGTGGGACAAATATTTCAAATATCAAAATTTCCCAACACACTTTCATTTGTCCTAATTCCTAGGATATTTTGGCAAACTTTTACAAAAATCTCTCAAATCTATAAATTATACTCTGTTAATTCGCTCAAAGTAGTTGTATTCCTCCCAAAATCAAATGCAAGATTTGAGCTCATGAAGCTTGTGCCATGCCAGGAGACTATCTCACCTCCTGAAACCTCAAACCAATAAGACAATGGGACCTCCTGGTGTCAATGATGATGGATCAAGATTTCTCAGGAAAAGTAATCCATTGCAGTTATGTTTTCTTTTTATCATGATGGCTTAGTGGAGTATTGAGGAGAATGGCACAATGATGACCATCATGTATGGCAAATCCTTGAAACATTGAGCAAATTGAAAGAAACCATTTTACTATAATTGTTTTCTTGTGATTTTCCATGAGTTCCCAGGTGTAAGAGATGTACTCTTTGGGGTTTGAAATCCTAGGGCTTGCTACAGTACATGTACAGTTGTACTCTAACTCAAACTCCAAGTTAGTGGGGAGTATGAGTTAACAAAGTTCAAGTTAGCTGAGTTCTACAACTGTAGTTATTTGTGGTTATTGTTTTCATAGGAAGCTGTAGCAGAGACTCTTGAAGAACTCTGGATATCCTACAATAACATTGAGAAGTTAAAGGGCATTGGTGTACTTAAAAAACTGAAGGTAATGATATCATTTACACTAACTTACTTGTGTTTCTGCATGATTAACCAAGACTGAGGTCAAGATGGTATTTTCTTGGCTTGAGATGAATTAATGAGGGCCATAAATGTGGCTGAAATTCAGCCATCTTGATCTTAAACTTGGTTCATAACAGACTTGTCATTATTATGCTAAAATAAAGTAACTTCCTGGAAGAACTAAGTAGGGGAGTAAGGCTCAAATACCCAATCAGAATGCAGGATTTGTTTCATCATGCTCTCTTGCTGTGGTATTTATATTTAGATAATTAAGTTACATGTGCATGTATGCGTACCACAATGTTGAGATTTAGTCACAAGCTTAATGGAAATTAAGTTGCCTGCTTTTGAAGAAAGTTTAGCATATTCAGACAGTAGAACTTCCCAATTATCATGACTGTGATTTTACAGTAACTGAAGATTTTGCACCTTACCCTAAATAGCCAGTAATCTTTTTAAAGAAAATGCACTGAAGGAAAGTGGAGGATGGAAAGTCTTCTTGTTCAGGGATCAACTGTTGATCCACTGTTTTTGCCTCCAATATGAGGCCACATGTGTTGTCAGGATCAGTGAGTGAGTGAGTGTATGATGGCAAAAATAGAATTCAGATCTCATTCTCATTGCTACTTATTGTTTGTTTTAGTTCTGCAAAAGACCAATAAACATTTCACAATAATTTCAGGATGGCACGTGAAAAAACAAAGCTTTTGCCTACAAGAATGTTGTAAATGTTGTGATCGGTGCATCATGAAAACTTAGAGGAAAAATTTTTCTTTGTAGAGAGAGCATTTTATCATTTGAATCAGCAAATTATGCTAAGTAGATACTTTGCATATTTGCTAATTTGCTTTGATACGTAGTGTTTTCAGTTCATGCCATGACACTACAAAAAATGTTAAACATCTCAAAATAATTTCTCAGGGGTGTCTCTGACATGTAACTGAAAAGAAGACTTTTCCTTACAGAAATATCTTAATAGGTTTGATCTGCACATGGAAGAAAAGAGAGAGTATTTTATCCTTTCAATCAGCAATTAATGCCCAAAAGAGCTGCTTGATTTGCAAAGCAAGCAAAGTCAAAAATATGATAACCTGAGCTCTATCCGACAAAAGATGGAATGGTGGAAAGGGAAAATAGCCAAATGTTCTATAATGCAGAATGCCTTGTTGTATAAAAAATAATTGATGATTAGCAAGCAGAATTAAGAGAAGCATAATTTAATTATCATTGAAGCCTGGAGCAGAGATCAACAGAGGAACAGTGAGGTTCTTGAACTAGCCCAATAAATTCCCATTACCACTACCACTGTTATCATTTTTATCATCATCATCATCATCATTATTATTATTATTATTAATATCATTATCATTATTATATGAATATATTTTACCATATAATTACATATGTTCAGGAATAATATTGGTTGAGTGTCAGTCACTATAATCTTGAATCATCTTTCTCTTGTAGAACAGGGCACTTAAAAATATGTGGGATGCAGCAACATTACCTTGCATTATTATACAACCTCTATTTCATTTCAATGCTATAAAGATTGTGCTTTATCAGTAGCCACATACAGTATCAGATTGCCTATTTTTGATATTTATGTGGAGCTTTATTTGTCTTTTTTCTATGGTCAAGGTTCTGTACATGTCAAACAACCAAGTTAAGACATGGGATGAATTTCAGAAACTGGTAAGCTTTCAGAATTTTTACAGAATTTTTCCTCTCCCAAGATCTTATTAATAATTCTCCTTACAACAGCTGTTGCTTTTGACCAGCTGTTATGCAAACATCTATGAAAAAAATTGTGAATGTTCTTCAGTAAGAGATATATAAAACAATGAAATTATTCTTTAACTTTACCTTCTACTAAACAGACTTGTTCATTTTACACAATTTCAGTTCTTTTTGTCTTATTTTATTTCATTTGTTGAATTGGAAGAGATTTTCCTCCATTCTGTGATTTGCTTGCTTTTACTTTCTGTTTTTTTATTATGAGTAAGTAGCCTTGTGACTCTTTGGAAAGATCAGTCAGTAAATTTTCCCGTAATTTGTTATATAAACAATAGCCTCTATTTGGTGTAAGAAATGCCCATGCATATTTGTCTTTGGATATTATCTGTTCCAAGATGCAAAAGTTTTCAAAGAGCAAAGCTAAAGAAAATTGAGGCACAGATGACAACCAATGACAAATGTGCGATTATATTTTTCTGCAAAATAGAGGGTGTTGTGTTTATTATCTTTCAAATAGAAACATTGTTTACCAATAACTTACTGTTTGCTGCAGTGGGTGTTTTCTTGTGAGTGTTCTCTGGTGTAATTTTTTGAACAAACAAGTACTTCCCCTCTTCTGTAACAACCATAAAAACTTCTCTTCTTCTGCAACAACCATGAAAAGCTTCTCATCGTAAATGAAATTATAAAAAAAGACTTACCATAGGCGACATAACATATGAAAGTTGTGGAATATTACTTGAGTGTATACTTGGATATGCCTCAGCTTTAGCTGGGGAATGTTAGCACAAGCTAGTAAATGTTGATTGCAAGCAAAAATATTTGATGACAAATAATGGCCGTTAGTCCTGTAACCAAAATAAAGCCATGTGATATTTACAATCATGTAATCTAGCGATAAGATATTCTCTTGATATACCCTGTAACATTTCAATTCTAAGGACTGTATCTGTGGTTTTGCAGCTACATGTAATTGCTTTTGTGACAATTAATTTCTGGATCTTTGACTGAAAGGGATAATAGATTTCAAATGGCATGAACATCTTTTCTTCTTTTTTTTAGGTTGATCTTCCACTGTTAGAAGATTTGTTGTTTGTTGGTAAGGGTTTATTCTTTGAATACTAGTTACTGTGTGCAAATTCCTAAATTCTTGAAAATATTATAAGAATTTTACCAATAACTTCCTACATGTAGATTTGTTCGTTCATCATAGGTAATCCTCTGGAAGAGAAACATTCCAATGATGGGGATTGGAGGGACCTTGCTACTAAGAGATTGTCAAAGCTGAAAAAGTTGGATGGTGAGAAGTTTTTTTCTCCATATTTGTCATCTGTGACACTATTTAGCAGTCATTAGTGGGCGTGGTTGAATAAACATGAATGAGTTGATGCTTTCACCCCAAGATCTCAATAATAATTCTCCTTACTGTCTTCCATACAATTCTTATTGCAATAGTTTAGAGAATTTGGTATTGGATCAACTAATATTCTCCTAATTGTAATGTTATTATAAGAAGATATGTTGATTTTTAACTCGTGGATACGCGATAGCGTAGCAACGAGTTGTTGTGGGCACTTTGAGATATGCAAATTGGCGTGGACCCTTCGTAATTGGTCGTAATTGGTAGGCTCCGAAGTCGAGATCAATCTTTCCGAAGAAGTTTGAAGTCCTGATGCCATTGTGATTGGATCGGTCGTTGCGATGTTTGTTGTCTTTAAACGGCTGTTTCGACATTTACTAAATTGAAATGGACTTCGAATGTTTCAGATTAGTGGTATGATCAACTTAGAGACCAAATTTGAAGGGTCTTCGAATCGTTCATGTGCTAAACATTACGAGGACCAGTGAGAATCACGAAGAGTTTGTGAGTGACAGAGTAAGCTGTTGACATGGATATTCCCACGGAAACATGTACCCATGACAAAAAAAAATTGTTAAAGTAGGGCATTATTTCTTTCGTATCAGGGTTTTTTTTGGGACGTTTTGGCAGGTACACCAATTTCGGTCTTTTCGTTATGGTCGTTTCGTTTTGTTGTTTTGCTATGCAAACGTGACTTTTCTGGTGGTAAAAATGAAGTATGATCGGTTTCTACAAGTCGTCGCCGAGCACGTGACCATAATCTGGCCGGTGTTGTTTTGATCACTTGACGATCTTTTTCGCTCAAAACACACGACGATTTCTATTTCGAGGAATGCTTTTCCAATTAATCGCTATCGCATCCGTGTAAAAAATTACAAGCATATGCGTGTACTGAAAAACAAAAGGGAAATTCAAAACTACGAGAAATTGCAAATAATCGGCCTCTTCTGATACACGCGGGTTTTTTGGTGTAACATGCGTGTGTTTCCCATAAGTTACAAGCACTTTACGCGCCTGGGAATGCTGCAATCACGGTATTTGCAGTGCAAGGTAGAATGGTTATTGTCAACCTGGAGTGATTATGTGCGATATTTTGCTTCATCACTCTTTGCCATTTCTACTTCCTAAATATTAATTTAGAGAAGAGGGTGGGGGGGTGAGGGTTAAAATTCCTAGAGATAGGTTATCAATGTGCCCCTGGGTATGGTCGCATTTTCACGACTACATTGACTTTTATGGCGTTGTATTTTCACTGTATATTATAACTCATTTTTGTTGCTGTTTAGGAGTTCCTGTGGTCAGACAAGAAGAGGAAGAAGAAGAAGAACCAGCCTAAAAGTCGTGAATAATTTGCAACAGAACGCTGCGTGATAAACTCAGAGTTATTTGTAACTAAATATATCATATGGTTATACACATGTCAATATGTTCAGCATGTTGTACAGAATACAGTACATGTATTTCTTTAATTCATTCGTATTTTTAATTATTTTTTTCTGCCGTTATAATATCTAAGTCATTAAGACCTCTGTTGAAACACTATTTTGTGTTTTTAGTCAATATAATACATAGTTGCAATACCTATTGAATTTAACGAAAGCCCCCCTTTTTAAAACCATTGCATTATTTTCCCGTTGCATTTTTTATGTCAAATCCTTGGGTTTTGAAAAGTAGAAACTAGCCATAAGTCTAAATCCGCCATCACCTGCGGTAGAAACTCATCAATGCCATCCTTGATATGTGCACATCAAGGGCGAGATTATCCAGAAAAAGACACGGAGCAAACAAATGAACTTGTAAGGAGAAAGCTAAACGAAACAACTCAAAATACAAAGAGAACTCTGGTTTTCCTACTCTTGAATTTGTTTTAATCTAGATGGAGGTGTCCAACGGCCCCATTCTAATCTCCTTGGGAAAGTATTAAAGACTCCTATATTTTTGGAGCTTTTCAAAAAGCTCGGTTTACTTTCAATCGACGCAAATCTCGATTTATTGTTTAACCCAGTAGTTATACTTTGTACGGAGGAGGAAAAGCTGAAATTGTGGAAAGCTATCCTTTGACACTCCACATTGTTTTGTAATGTCACGTTCCCCTTCCTATGAAGGCAAAAAACTAACTTTTGCGATTTTGCAGACTTAACTTTTAACATAGAAAACCCTATTACTTACACAGCTTAAAGCACTGCTTTTACATATTTAAAGCCTATTTCAGATTTCCCTTTTTCATAGGAAACGAAGAGGCCGTCTAATTTTGTGCCTTATAATAGCAGCATGTCCGCTTATGCTGCGAATTACGAACTCAGTCAATGGTAGGAATGTATCTTTTATTGCCACGAGACTAGACTAAATGATGTCTGTCTCGCATGATTGAAAAAGAGATTCTTTGCGTATCTTTAGTTGTTGATTTCATTTGGAAGAATATGTCATCTATTAATCTCGCATTCCGTGAATGATAGTGGTTCAAATTTTTGGGAAGCTCAAAATTGAAGAGGGTCATGATCTAAGGTTTGATATTACGTAAGAATAGAATGTGATCATTTTCCTGTGAACAGGTGACTGTGATGAGGTTTAAATGGAAGGCCACCTAGGGCCGTGTCATGCACCGATGGAGAAGTTTGTTATTACATAATAGAATGTAATCATTTTCCTGTTCATTGCAATGAATGACTCGAAGATTAGACACGAAATGTCTTTTAAACTATCTTACGCTTCTTGAATTGTGTGAGGTTTAAAATATTTTACAGAGACTATAACTTAAAAACAGGTGAGAACTTTAAAATAATTTCGTGTCACTCAATTAACTCCATCTTCTTTCCGACAAAGGTCTCTAGATAAGTCACAGAGGCTTAAACTGTGTTGCAAGTTGTCACAGATATTAGCGGCTACCGAAACAACTGGGCTTATCTTGACTGGGCGAGAAATCTTATCAACAATCTCACTATTGCATTCGCAACGGTATTGCTTTGCCTATGGCAGCTATAAGGTGTTTAAAATAAACATGTACTGAGTCCTTCGTTACTTCTTTTGACCTCCTCTGTCGTTGGAGAGGGTAAAGTGCAATGAAATGTTTGGACCCTTGATGCTGTCTTTCGTGAAAAAGAAGGCACTTGCGAGCAAGAAACTAACTGCATTCAAATTCACCGACAAGATGCGATATGCTACAGATGGTTACATTCCTTCTCCTAAGACTGAGAAAAGTTCGATGTTACGTAACAATAGAATGTGTTTATTTTCTTGTTAATGTGATGAAAAGACCTCAAGTTTTAACTCGAAATGGCTTTTAAACTACCTTGTACCTGTGGAATTGCGTTCAGTATACACGATTTTACAGAAACTTCCTATAATCTAGGAACAGGTGAGTGCTTTTAAATAATTTCGCGTCATTCAATTAGCTTCATCCTTTTTTCCCACAAAGGTCACCAGAAGAAGGCGATGAAATTTGTACTGTGTTGCAAGTTATCACAAATATTAACAACGACCCAAACAACTTGGCTTATCTTGATTGGGAGAGAAATCTTATCAACGATGTTATTATTGCACTCATAACAGTATTGCTATGCCTGAAGCTGGTAACAGGTAAGTGTCTAATTCGTTAAAGAAAAACATCTTCTGAGTCCATGGTCTCTCCTTGCTTAAAGGGTAAAGTGGAATGTAATTTTGGGACGCTTTATGTTGTTTTTCCTTACTAATGAATGCATTCCTAACTAAGAAGCTTTATTCAAATTCACTGACAAGGTGCAATCACGCAGCACAGAGTTATGAATTCCTTTTTTCTTTTATCGTATAAGCCTTTGAGTAACTCTATTGGATTTGGAAAAGTTTCAATCTGATTTGCCATCAGGCTGAGCATTCGCGTGCTAAAATGTGCGAGCCAGGTGTAGCTTGAGAGTCTGCAGCTTGTAACGAAATTTTAGAAATTTTTACACATTTTAGCTTTTTTTTTCTTTTCAAGAGATCACTTTTCAAGTACAAGAAAAAAATTTAGTTTTATGTCTTGCCATTTTGGGACGCTTTGAAGCTAGATTGACCATGAATCATGTAAGCGTGGCTAAATCATAGCGATCAGCTCTTTACTTATTGTGAAACGAAACGAAAATTTCGCACAGAAAACGTTACCTGTTCGTTTCATTACAGAGATCGGCATGCTACGTGGACCTGAATTACTTCCACGAGATATTCCCAAGGACCAACCGTAAACGTTTTTCGGAGTGCATGAACCCCAAAAAATTTGTTCTGTTCGGCGTTCTTAAAATTGTAACAATTTGTCTTTTTTTTCGTTTTTTGCATGCACGACATGCAGCATTTTCATGCTCGACATTCTTACAACGTTCGTTCTAAGGGCTTGGGTGTTTTCACCTACCTAACTGATTTAAAATTTTTTTAGAAGAGCGTCGCGACTTTTTCGTTGAAGCCTTACTTTACCTCAGTCCATACAACCTCAGTGGCCAGAGTCATGCAATAACATTCTTGAAAAGTTCAATATTCAAAGGGCCAGGGTGCTGTCATGTTGATGGACGTCAATCGCAGTGTGTTTAGATAAAGACTCGTATTACCTCTTCTGATCCAACTCGTGTGGCCAGAGTCATGAAATAACATTCTCGGAAAGTTCAACGTTAAAAGGCCAGCGTGCTGCCTTGAGTTTTTATAATTTCCGCTCGAAATTTCTATCATGATATCGAGTTACTGGTATGTTATCCTTGATTTCAAGGAAAATAAGTCCGCAAAGCAGAAAAAGAGAAGTAGACATCACCAAACACCAATTTTTGACGAACCTTAATTTGTCTTTGAAATGCAGCGGACGGTTTAGGTACAGTTATGTCACGTGATGAAATTTGTGGGTTACTCAACTCTTTCTTTGTACCTTTTCGCGCTCAGTATAATACAGATAACACGACTTTACTACGAACTGTTTTTAAATCGTTTTGTAATTAAACACGGTGCGTTCTTCTATCTGAATTACCACAGATTTATTGTCACTCAGTTTAAAAGTGATCAGGAATCTTACCATTCGGACCACTTGACGAGAGGGTATTATCCTGTGCTGGTCTAGTATACCTTCCTGTAAGAGTAGCCATAGTAGCCATTCAAGAAACAAAAAGTGGTAAAAGCGCTGACAATGGGGGCCACGAGGCTCGAGTGAAGACTCTCTCAATCTCTATTAAAATGGGTACTTGCAAAACAAAATAGCTTTTCTATACAGATTTTAAAGATGAAGGTAGGAAGTAGTGAGCAAGTGATTTCTGTTTGTTTAGGAACCGCCAAGTCTCGTGTTTATACTCCTGAATTACCGCTTTTTTCCGATAACAGGAGGGGGCATGGGGCAGAGGCAGAGGTCACATTTTAGGACGAGCCCGCTTAGTTTCTCTCCTTCCTAGCATTATGGTGATCCCTAAAAGGATGGTTTGAGCGCGCATAAATTGTCTTGTCTTTGATTCTGTAACCAAGTGAACCGCTTGCCGATCGCATTGAATTTTACAGTTAACTCCTTCCCTGTTCTTCGTCCTGATTCGCTTGCTCCACTAAATTTGCTGCCTTTCCCGGTCCTATTTTCCCTTGGAAGGCTATTAAGGGAGGCATATGGATAATTTCTGAACTCAAATCCCTTTTGCTGAATTTTGTTCATTTTTCAAGAACATTGATGAGACATCATTGATGACAAAGGGACATTCTTAACATTTTAAAAAATACAGAGAATAATTCCCCACTGGTATTTGACCCTTTCCCAGATCACAAGATCCCATTAATCGGACTGAAAGGCAAGTAAAAGTAACACCAATGATTCAATATTTTGAATGACGATTCTATAAAAGTGTGAATTGAATGGGGGGGGGGGGTGGTTTATAAGGAAAACGTGGACCCTTTCTATCAATGAAAGTGACTGATCTTATATAACACACACTGAAACTTCCTTAAAGCTATTGCAATTCAGTCCGGCTTCCCTTATTCTCTTCTTTATATGTGCGATTTAGCAACGCCTTTAAAAAATTGCGAGACAAATGTATGGCTCTGATGACCGAAAAATCTGGAACTATGTTGCATATAACCTAAAAAAGTCCTCCGAGAGACAAAATTCCACAAAACGACACTTTCTTGCCTATAAAGTTCCAGACCTCTGAAAACTCCGAGAAACACGTTCGCGCAAATGCAAGCACTCGGTTTTGTAAAAATTACGAGATTCCAATACGGAGCTTAGATTATCACTGGTGCGTTATGTTATTCCTCACACAGAGTTAAAAGAAACATGCAATACACTTTGTGTGTACGGTTTGTTGTCTTTATTTTTGTTAGTTTCTCCACTACTCCTGTTTCTAAAACCAGAATTCCAATGGAGATCTATTTTCTCCATAATTTTCTCTTCCTCATATTCACAATTGATTGCAAACTTCAAGTTCAACGCTAAAACTTTTTAAAATACATAGAAAGCTTCGAAAAAAGTTATAAAATTGTTCATAAAATATTTTGACGAAACATTTGTCAAAATGTTCTATGTATTTCAATAACGTTCTAGCGTTGAACTTTCCAATGAAATGATTCCCCAGATCTCGTCTTAAACATATTCAGAAACATTTTTCAAAATATTGTATGTATTTTAATAAAATTCTTAAGTTGAACTTTCCAATCAAATGTTTCTCCAATTTTCTTCTTATACATATTCACAATTTATCTATGTAATTATTTTACACTATTCGACCCAAGGTCCAAACTTGCATTTTTATATGGAACCGCTCATTTACCACGCTTTTTTTTATTGAGCTAGGTTGAATAAGATGGACATGGGCGTCTCCATTATAGAGCTACGTTATGCGAACCACGTTCAAATATCATCGCACTTTTTCATAAAACAAATTTCACTTAATGACTGATACGTAAAGAATATCACTGCTTAGACTACACTGATAAAGCGGCCCATCTGAACAGTCAGAAGAGGCTTGATGTTCAGTATACCAGGTTGTCACCACGCCATAAAAACCGACACATTTTACAATGTTTTCCTATTAGTGCTATCTACGATTTTATTCTCCCTCAAGTTATTTCCTCTAGAGCCCACGTTCTTAAAATACATGAGTTTCTTCTTTCCAGCTAAGTCGTTACTCACTGTATGCCACGTAACCGTTGTATGAGTCAACAGTTGAAAATAGTCGGACAATCTTGGGTCGGGGCGATAAAGTTTTAATTTTAAAATCCGGGGACTGTAAGTAGTTTTTATTTATGCTGCGACGTGCACTCGTTGCTCGGGCGTGATCTATGCATGTCTCATCATCATTCTCAATTTGAATATAAACCTTTTATAGCGCTGATGAGGAAAAGAAAAATTAGCAATTTTAATTACAATTCTTAACAGACTAAACACCTTAACATCTCCACATTTTCCCATAAAGCCCCACGGTACGTATATGGTTACGTGGAATGGATTCACTCAGAAACATCACAATTTTTTTGCAATCTAGGGAAACGTTTTTGGGCTTTACTTTGAATTCCTGTTCCTTTAACAAAACCTTCACAAGTGAGTGCGGTACCAGTGTATTGCTTTGCTGTTGTTGTTGTTGTTGCTGTTGTTTTGTTTTGTTTTTCCTTTTCGAAAAACGCATAGAAACTTCATAAGACGTCAGGCACCGAATCGGTTATTTTGTGGAATCTTCGTTAGCGGTATAAACATGGATAGCCTTAAGTATAAGACCTGGATCCTCCCCTGATTTCACAGATTTTCATTTTCTCTCCCATTTCTCTTAGGGGCTTATCATTACTCACCTCCACAAACTTTCTCCTTTGTAATAGCCACGATCCTTTTCAAAGTCTTGAATGACCGGGTGGTTATGACATCCCAGCGAGAACTCGCAATGCTCAGGAGCTCGCTTCTTTTCCGCATGAAACCGACTCCTACCACAACAATATGAACACCCTTTTTCTTTAACTCGGTGGCTTCCTTAGCTGTCATTGTCGGATTTCTTGAAATACCATCTGTCATCACTACAAGGAACTTTGGAATATCTGCACGGGCGGTACCCCCATTTTCTTTTTCAAGAAAAAGTTGTTCTCTCGCCAATTTCAGGGCCCGGTTAGTGTAGGTTGATCCTTTGGACCATTCCATGGCGTCGATAGCTGCATTAAGGTCATTCATTGAATAGTGCTCTTCGAAGTTGAAAATTATCTTGGCTCGGGTGGAGAAGCGAATCAAACCCACGTGAACGTTAGCCTGGGACACTTTGAATCGCTGAAGCACTGCTTTGATGAATTCTTTGGAACTTCTGAAGCCACTTAACTTCACACTCTTAGATGCATCCACTATAAAAGCAATGTCAGCTCGCTGACTGCAAACTAAAACAAGAGAAAAATCTATAAAGATTGAGTCACCAAAATGAAGGTTATGCAAAAACTCTTAATAAATTAGGCCAATCAAGCGGTGACTATGATCCATCAAAAACATCCCGCTGCGCCTAGATTTTGCCTTACTGGAAGAAGAGATACTTAGTACCCTTGTCTCACCTCTGATCTTGCAAATAAAAGGCAGATGATGTAAACAGTATTCATCCCTCCATCTTCCCCAATATGGATCAGCAGTAATTACAGCACAATCTTCTTCCCTGCCCCTATGGCGCCCTGAGGGTTCCCTTGGAACCCAGTGTTGAATCGCGAAGGGCTTGCCATCAGTCCAATTGAACTGTCCTTCATTTTCTAGGTCCGAGGCTCCGATCCACCACTTGGAGTAACCATAGTAGTACCTAAGCATGCGCAGTTTCCTCTCGATGTATTTGTTCTCTTTTAAAGTACGAATACTGGCCAAGTGGCCCCCTTCTACCTCACGACAGTATATTTCGGCTTCTGGCCACGTAAGCATCTCGTACTGAATGAAAAAGAACTTGTATATGAAAGTCCCTTGATCGAATTCTGAAATCAAGAAAGATCACATTACATTGGGAGAGGTCGAAGATGATCTCAATTGTCAAATGATTGTGACCAATACTTTCCGGTGATGATTTGAAATATTACATTCAACGTGATAATATTGATATGTCTGTATTCGAGAATACTTTCTCTGAGGCAATTTGTATATTTACTACGCTAATTTGCTTTAAAAACTCACCATAACCAAATCTTTTATGCTCCAAGAGTCTCTTAGGGATACCTGCGTAGTAAACAGAAAGACGCAACCACATTAGCGTTGATTACAAAGTGGTTGGGGGGCATGTTACGCAAAGATATTTCCGAAACCATAATTTTCAGAAGATGAAAAGATCTATCAAAAAATCTATCAAAGGAGCCCACGGAGATTTTTCTGACCAAGAGGGGCGGAGGAAATTGCACTCACCTTTATAGAACCCCCTATCAAATTTGACCTTAGAACTCACCTTCAATTTTGCAGATGTAACCTTTAGGCTTATAGCAGTCATCTTCCCTCCAATCTCCTAAATCACCAGTGGACTTCATTGCAATGCAGATTTCATATTCATTATAGGGTTCCGTGTTGGCTTCGCCGGGTGCCCAGAACGCTGCGTCATATCTTTATAGAATAAAGAGTGCAATGGAACACAGTAAAAATGATGAAATAACAGAAGGCGGATGTATTGCCTTTCGTTCATTTTGCCTCATTTAGCTAAGTTTTTGAGGATTGTCAATGACAATCACTTTTAATTCTCCATGTTTAACAACCTTCTTCCATCTGGAATATTTTCGGATTATTCCTGTGTTTTTCTATAATTTCGACTAATTTTATGCATCCTACTTGAGGTTGAAAGTAGGTTTGTTTGTCACAAACTGAGAGGGCCCAAAAATATTATACTTTCCTTCAAAACTGTGCTTCGGATCATTTGAACAGTACGCTTGCCAACTTAGGTTTATTCTAAATGATGTTAATGCACAACAAAGCTTCATCCTGAATGTAATTTGTGTGAACATATGCCTTCCTCTCCACTTCCATACTAGGCGAAGATCAGTGGGTTCGATTTTCTTGGAATCCAGAACTTAAAAAATTGTAAATCGCCCATATTTCCGAGGTAGTTGTTGGGTGCAATTAATTTTTGAGTAAGCGTCGCACTTTTATGCAATGCTAAAATCCAGGATAATTCGACCAGCCTTTTTGAAAACGTCTGTAAAGAGGGAACTCTCAGAATTTAATTTATTGCACCCTACTTACTGGAAAGTTTTTCCATCTACCCATTTGTAAGCATGTCCATCTTCATCTATTCCACCAAGCCAAAGTTGTTCTGGCTCCCGGGGGGAACTGCTCAGTAGTTGAATCTTTTCATTTAAATATTGGTTTTCTGCCTCATTGGAAATGCTCGCCAAATGCCCGCCTTCGTACTCTCGACATATTTCTTCGGCTTCGTACCACGTTCGGCTGTCATCGCTGGGTAGCACAATCTTGTAGGTGTAGTCACCGTTTTCGAACACTATGGAATAAAAAAAGCTCGTCTCAACAATTATCTCTATATAATTATGCAAACGATTAACTATATATCCAGATATATTTTAAATTTAAACAGAATATTCCCATCTCTTGGCCTTTTTCCCACCAAGCATATAAACTGAAGTCATATCTCTATTGAACATTAAGAATGATTGTTCATCTGGCCATTCTAGAATGAACGTATCGTCGAACTCTCTCCTCGAAAAATGGCTTTAAATATGAATTTCTTTCAATGGATTTCTAGTTCTTTCGGGTGGAGTGTTGTTAGATATTTATACAGCAACCTCTGCACGATTTTCATTGTTATCACCGTCCTTATTTTCCTAGCCCATGTTGAATACATATTGAATCAAGAAATGAAGGAATCTCTTTGTTTAAAGGGGGTAAGTTTCTAAAAAAAACTGTGGTGCTGCCGTGGTGGGTGAGTTTAGAAGCTGACATTTTGAGCGTAAGCCCTTCGTTTGAGAGAATGGCGAAGGGCTGACGCTCGAAACGAGGGGCTAACGCTCGAAACGTCAGCTTTTAAACCTTTCATGGTGGCCAATTGACATTATCAACACAGTTGATAATACTAAATTAATCTTTTTGTTTTATTTGTTGTTTGTGTCTCTTTTTCGTGTCACAATGTCACATTGCCCATACTTTTAACTCATAGCGGCAGTCGCGAAACTCATCGGACGCGGTAGTTTACAAATCAATTCTTTATGAACAAAATATGCATGTGTAGACGGTACTGCCCAGAAAAAAGATCCATAAAACTAAAGGGAGGACTCAAAATCGTTCTTTCTTTCTTCTCTAATTTGTTTTGGACGTAGGTTTGATTCAATGTCTTGGACACATCGTGTAGTAACAGATGTTGCTTGTTCCAGACTGTACCCATTACTAAGCTCAGCTCAGCTGTTTAGCTCATGTTAGGAAGATCTGTACGGAGAAGAGGTTCACAAAACTATGCATGCCTTTTGACTGAGCAGAAACCATACAAATGATTTTAATATTGACAGTCATACTGATTTCGTTACGTTCACTTAGGGGGTATTGAGAATATATGTGTTTTTAGTTATCACAGTACCATGCCTCGTCTAGGCGGATAGATAAAATAATTTTGCTATAAATGCTAGCGGGGACTTTGATCCTTATTCAAGAGTTTCTAGAGGTGTTTCATAGGGGATATCTATTTTTAGCCAGAAGACTGGCTTTCTCATTTATTTTCTTTATATTGCTTTCTCTTTAATTGTATAGGTATTTGTTATGATACATGATTTGATTTATTGGTGCTCTAACTCCTGGTGGGAGCTTTTACCCTCTACGATCATTACCCTATTTTTAAAAATTGTCAGAGGCTTATGTTGAAAATGTTCCTGACCTTAACATGTTTCAAATTGTCAAGACGTTTCATTGCGTCAAGGTGTTGGAAAATTATACCCACAAAGAAATCTTTGCTATCGGCAGCTAGGAATGTAACAAATAACCAGTATGATTTAGCTAAACCAGTTACGTAAGGATTGCACACGAATTTAAGCGTGCCTCAAATAAAGTCCACACACTCTGGCTACAAAAGGCTACGAGAACCTAACAAACGGAGACCAGAGATCGTTAGTCTGTTTAACCTCCGTCTCATCACTATTCCGAAAAAGAAAAATAACATTTGGAAAGTCTTCCTACCCCGGAAGTAGCAAGATGTGCGAAAGGAATATGGCACATGCCTTCAACCGCCAAATATTTATCACAAGGACGAAATACTTTTCATTATAATGCGAAGAGTTTTTTGCTTTGGTCAGCAAAAACTATTGCGTAACGGATTTTTAATTTCAGCATTTTTTAAACTATTAACATTTTTCGGCAGATTGATAAAAAATTAACTTATCTTGATCAAGGTATCCTACTCTTTAACCTTTTAAATGATTTTCCGGAAAAGCTTTGTTGCGCAACAGAGTTAAGAGAGAATTTTCCTAGGAGTCTCTTATTTAGGAAGCAGTCTTCTTCTCAGGATTTTTCAAAAGCCACTCGAGGTCCCAGTGAGTGTTTATTCTAATGGACATGTACTAAAATACGAACGTGTGGGTCTCTGAGTATGATGATCTGTAATTTAACAGTTAATTGATGAAATAAGATGAAATTCAGCAAATATCTTGTAAGTGATGGAGTTTTTTCACATTTTCCATGCACACCTTGAGACAAACACAGCAGGATTCCTATTGTGGCAAAGATTTTCTATACTTCGAATTTTTCTTCTTTTCAGGATATCGCCTTTATTCGAAGAATTACGTGAAAAATCAAACAGTATATTCGTCGTTTCTTCTTAAATCAGACTGCCTTAAGATAGATAGATAGAAAAATCTTCAGCTCGGTCGTCGAAAAAAGCGAATGTGAATCATTCCCCAATTTGTGTCAACACTTGAATTAAAGTTCAAAACGTTCCCACTCTCGCAGTCTCATATAGATTAACAAAAACACAACGATCACTTTCCCAGAAATTTGAGAAAACCCCTCTTCTTTCAATTGCAGGACTGCACTTTGTTTTACTTTGAATCCTCCATTACTCGTTCACACAGTTTTCACTTTCCCTCTTCCTAAAAATTCCTGCCATGACTGGTCATCATTTGTGTTTCTTTATATTTTTCCTTCGCATTGTCCAAGTTGTCGCCGTGGGAACTTTGTAGTCTGAAGCGCAGAAAACGATATCAAATCCTACATCGAGGCGTGGAAATCCATCTTGAAATACTATGCTCATAGCTACACGCAAACGGTTTTAATTAATCTAACTTCTAAGAAATTATAAATATGGGCAACATGAACAACTGCATCCAGCTAACTATACGTGGTAATTTTGGGCTTGAGAGCCATAAAGAATTGAAAGTTAAGTCAAGACGCTGATAACTCAACTTATTTAGACGTCCTCCTGTTTAATTAGATTTTCAAATGTTATTCAGCGACTTAAAGCGTCCTTTTTTACAGGATAAACAAATGAATAAATAAGTCCTACTTACGAAATCCTTTGCTTCCAGCCGAGACTGACGAACACAAACAAACCAAAAGGAGTGCAGGGGTAACCAAAATCAACGAGCTCATCCTCTTACTCAACCGACGGTCTGAAAAAGTAACTTTCTACTAACTCCGTGGCAAAGATTTAACTGAGTTCTATCGATCAATACCTGGCATTCAAATAGCTTTTTCACTGCCATCACCAGACGAAAGATGATCCTTTTTATGCCACGTGTCAATAAATTTGACAGGCACAGTTTTCGTCACCTTTATTGAGTTAATGTTAAGTGCCCACTTTGGAAGGTATTCTTAAGATGTTTACCGAAGCATGAAAATAAGAGATGACGTTATTTTTGGAACGCTCTTGAGCAAGTCCGCACTTTATTTATTACATGACAAGCGAGATCATATCTATACCGACCTCTCGGTGTCATCAGCAATTTAGTTCCTTTTAAAGCAAAGGCTGTTGTCAGGTTAAAGTTTATCTCGGGCTATTCAATCATAAACATTTGTTATACAATTTGATCTGTTTATCGTCATCGCATAACGTAAATCATATGCAGGGTTCGTTTGGGAACAACTATTTTTCGCGGGGTGAAATTCAAAATATCAAATTCGGTAATTTGCACCAGATAGACGTTCCACAACATCTGAGAAGGCAGGGTGGTTCGGATTGTCTTGTGCACGGGGTTATTTGATTTGAATTGACTTTTTCGAAATTTTGCGACGCTACGTCTGAAATGGCGGATGTCCCGTTGTGAGCCTTACATTTGAGTAAAGGTTGTTTTCTGACTGTTTTCTGTTTAGTTTGACTAAATTGGGAGGGTGTGAAAATATTTAAGACCTCTTGTGTACGTCGGTATGTTCTGCTTGCAGTAGCTGCAGATCCGGCGGGCAAAGGTTATTTTGATACTTCAATCAAAAAGCCTTTATTGCTGAAGTTTATGGAAAGAAAGACCTAACAACCAAATGCTGAATGTTACCCTGGCCTCTAGTAGAGGATCGCTCTGTTATCATGGCTAGGGTAGTTATATCTCAACAAATTTGGAGTCACATCCTTTTTTACAGGACCATGGGGTTATGTGATAACAAACTAGGAAAAGGCACGATCTAAACACTTTCCACTTTTTATTATTAGAAAGGAGTTATCTTCACGATGTAAACATGCTTTGTTTGATTGTCTTAGTTGGGCTGACGTCATTCTGGAAAACGAGACATTATACTCTGGGAAAAATGGTTATTATTAAGACCTTAGTTAATGGAAAGGAAGAAATAAAAAAAAAACCAGTTTAATTACAGGAACATAGACGACTCTGTCATCAATAAAAAGGAATCGAGTGCACTACACAGACCACCATGAAACTAACACGAGTGTCGGTGGTTCAATCCATAAAGAAGATACTTGAAGTCTATAGAGACGTACTTATTCCCGGTAATAGAAAAATCTTCAATCATCATACATTAACTTATTTCTAAATTCAATTAGTCAAAAAAGAGGGGAAATTTCTCGCTTCATCTAAAAGAACTCTGTTAGGAAGAAACGAGCTTTTCGAAAGAATAAAAAACAATTTTTTCAGGGTTGGTATTTGCAAACTTTCTCTCAAAGAATCTACTGTACGTCTAGCACCAGCTGTTGTATCACTGCTGCACCGGGCTCACTAGAAGGTGTATTTGGGTGAGCCTCCTTAAACTTAAACAGGAACTGGACATATTCTTAGAGCTTAATAACAATGAGCTATTTAGGTTAGCTGTCTTGTAAATTTGTAGCCCTTTTGATCCACTACTTCTCTACTAGAACGTGAGAATAATATTTTGGTGGAAGAAAGAATACTGTATTCCGCATGCGTTTTATCTCCAACTCGTCACAAGTTCTACTGAGATTGGATTTTGAGCATCTGTGAATGCCTAAAGTTATCTTCTCTCCAAGAGCTGAAAATTTTCAAATCGGATAACAGTTCTTTGTTCCCTAATTAAACTGCCCCAGAGGTATTCGGCCAAATTATTTATGGTAACTCCTTGCTATCGATACTGCGGGAAAATGTTTCTGTGTGGGTTGTTTACTTCTTTTTGATTGTTAAATTTGGAAATCAGGGGGCGAAAACGGAAACAATCATATCAAGATCACGTTTTAATTTTACACTGCGGGGCCGGCAACAACACATTCTACAAAGAAAAAGCCGGAGGATGGCTCAGTATCAAGTTTCTTTCCCTCTTTTCTGCTGTGTTAATGAGAGAAAGATGTTTTCAAGGCATGCGACACTTTGACGTACGTGGGCCATTTTGGTAAGTAATAAACAAGTTAATAAAGGAAACTCCTACATCATGAACTGATTTTTAAAACTGCCGAGCCATTCCTGTAGGCGGCTGTTTACTCTTTAGACAAAGAGCGGTTGTAATCATTTTTAGACGTAAAAGCAATTGCTGTAATCATCTTCAGACGTAAACACGATCAATTCGCAAAGACGATTGTCAGAACAATTTACTGAAACTAGAAAACTCAAAACTCCATCAAAACAAAAGATACAAAACAAAACGAGGTGAACGAGGTCCTGATATTTTTTAAAAACAAACGGGATGTAAGGGTGGAACGGAAATGATAACTCGCGAGAAAAAAAATAAATTCGAAACTGGAATGGAACACAAAAACCGATTGTAATTTAGCCATGATTTGTCGATCCCGTCCCAAATTCTTGCAGTTTATAGTAAAATCTCAGATCTAAAAGAAGCTTTCAATTACGAATTTCAAAACACTTTTTGACATATTCATATGGAATAATTTTAGTCAAAGGGAATAGTCTTCTTTCAAGTACTTCAGTCATTATCTAGGAATATGATTTCTTTGGTCGTAGGTTTTTCCTCCCCCCCTTGCCTTAAACTGGAGAAGCTGGCCATGGTAATTTCATCACTGAAAAAGAAAGCAACTATCTTTTAACTGAGAGTTAGTATGAATAGATAGTTGCAGAGAACTTTTTTCTGAAGCATATTTCGGCTGAAATTCAAAGGTATGTGATTCTGCCACGAAATAGTATGTCATTTTTGGAAAAGTAATGGACATATTTTGTAATTATGGAGCGGGGTTCCTTAGCATAAGAGCAAACGTAAACCATAATTTGATTGATTGATTAAAAAGTTGAATCAATCAACCGGCGTGCATGAGTTAAGCGCTAGGCTAACATGCATTATAACATGAAACAAACTGAACGCACCGGGCAACTTGCTACTCTTAACTCCCTCAAAGTTTGGCTTCTTATCTCCTTTTTTACAACATAATAACTGCTTAAAACAGGCGATGATGCTTTTATGATTACAGGTGTGTTTACAAAAAAGCTAAGCTAAAAACGTCGAAGACCTTAATTTTTCTCCTTGCTCTTTCAGTTAATTTCACCGAGTCCATGCCCTTTCATGAGGGTGGCAAAGGGTTTTTGCGTGACGCGTGATGGCCCCAAAATTTGCAGAGTGACGCGTGATTGATGCTAAATTATCCGCGTGACGAAGGACCGCACACGACAACGTGATGCATGATTTTCTATTTTATAAGCCCGTGACGCGTGATTTATGAGACTTACTAATTAGATTTCCGTGATAATGAACGCTCTTTGACCTAAGAGGAAACCAATCATTCAAAGTAAGTAGAGTCTTGCAAAGATCAGTAAGCCGTGGCAGTCGTGACACTATTTCTGGTCTTTTACGTCCTTTGCTGACCTTCGCTTGACCTTTGATGTCTTTGACCTTCCTGGTGGGTCCAAATAATCGTTACACAATAAGCATAAGTTAGTAAAGTCAACATTTGCACAAGGACTATGACCTTCAGCGCTATTTTTGTCGACTGCCTGGTCGTGATGGTGCGCCAGATCGTATCCAGAAAAACCAGAAAGTATCCGAATCCATCGAATGAAAGATCTGAAAGAATGTCGACCCAAACGACTGAAACGGTAAAAGACGTTAGAGTTTTGGTATCATTTTATGCCAACCGAGAGGATTGCAATGTAAGCAATAAGTACACGAGGAAAACATTTTTGACCTAGACGAAATCAAAAGCCACGTTATATCTTTTACTGACATAAAAACAGTTGCCGCACAGGAGGGAATTGGGTAAAATATTGACATAAATATTGCCTAAGTATCAAAAGAGAAAAGTTAAGGTGGCGCAGACGTCTACTAGTGGCCGCAAGTTGAAAGATAGCCAAATCAGTAAAGTTCATACTAGTTTTCGTGAGATAGCTGATGGGTCATATATGGGTTCAAACTACAAAAACATTGTCAAAACTATGATTTCTGACTTATTAAACAACAAACTATGACGACTATGATGCCCAGACGAACACCTCAGATGTTGAATTGAAAAAATAAAAAATCTTCGTGAACAGAACGTCGAAGGTGAGGCAAACAACAAGCTATTGGATGAAGAGGATACTCAACGAAGCAACTTGAACAGTAAATATCTAAGCTTAACTCTTGTGTTAAATGTCCTGATTCTTTGATTTGTTTTTATTGTGCTCCATACTTGTAAAGTACGATGTGATATTGCGATACGAAGCCCGAGTGAACGCTCTCGGAGCGTCAAGTTCCAACAACTAAGTCGTCTTTTTTTGTCTAACAAAAAGCAACATGACAAATAAAACGCTATTTATTCCAGGATAAAATATGTTGGATTCAATGCAATTTTCAATAATACATCCGATACTTACTCCTTTTACGTGATTGGTTAAAAAATTATCCGTGATGCGTGATTTAATAGAAAAATTCCGCGTGATGTGTGATTGGAACCCCCCCTTCGCCGCCCTCTTTCATATGTCATCCAGTGACATCTGCTTTTGTTCGTGAAGCTATTTTGGTCATTGAGAGCCGAAAACGAGTTTATTGTGAATCCGTTTCAACAGGTGAAAATTACTCTTCTTGTGCTAAACTTGAATTTGTGAAGGACTATTCATTTATTAAGATTTAACAGCGAAGTAATCGCAAAAGGGGTTTGTATTTTGGCGTTACAGTGGAAACAGTGTCTCAAGGCAACAGAAAACAAATCTCTGATCTTCGATCTACATGGGCATCGATGTCATAATCTTTATTTTGTTTTATTATATTTTTTGGTGATCAAAACCGTGGGACAGGAATGTCGGATCTGTTTAACTATCAATTTGATTGTGATTATTTTAGTGTTGGAAGTTTCTCGAAGACACAGAGACAGGAAATCCAATTTCCGAAAAAATAAACGGATTACAGATACCTTAAAAAAATTATTGAGATACGACACAATTCATTTCAGCTCATGACACAATTCCTTTTTGAAACTTATAAAACAATTTTAGCTGGTTTAGCCTGTTCACACCCTATATGTAAAATTGGCTTTCAAGAGGATGAGCTTTCTTGGTTTTAACTTTACCGATTGTCGCAATCTCGCTTAATTTTCAAAAGACGTAGTTACCTCGTTCTTTCTTTGAAAACTCTCTTCTTATACAAAATACTTTTTCAACAATATTCCTCATTAAGCATTTATCCCTTGATTTAGAGCATCTTTTTCTTTGCAGTATTTTGTTTGTATTAACTATCAACAAATACAAGACTTTGGAGACAGACTGGAAAGTCTGAGAATGATTGATCAAGGGCTTTTAAAGTTGCCAGGCCATTGGAACTTTGAAGATTGCGACACTACGGTCAATGAAAAAAAAATACAATTAGATGTTAATCCAGTTAAAACGAGAATTGAGTAAAAAGGTTCTAAATTTTAATCTTCATTCCTCTTTGATATCGTCATTTTATCTCTCGTTACACCTCCAAGCTGTTTTTACAGGAACCAGCAAAACTTCTGATACGTTATGTTCATGATCCTTTCTTTTGTATCGTATAAATCAACTAAGTTCAATAATTTTTTACTACGAAGAGAAGCAGCGTGGTTTGGTATTTGTCTTTGAAGAAAAGGTTTAGAAGCACTAAGTATTCGAGAGCTCACAATGAAGCAATGAATTTCTCCAACGTATGACAGAACTCAAGCAAAACTAAGAAAATTACTTAAGTGGGCTACGCTCATTAACTAATTTTCCAGTTCTTGTACTTTAGGGCATTTCTCAGATCTCCAACCATAAGCATTAAAAATAATTATGCCACCTCTTTCCTGCGTAAAGTCGAAATTGTAAACAAATTTCTTGATTATCATATTACGACTGATACTTAAAAGAAGAGTAGGGCGTTTCTCTTCAAAAACATTGTGAGGTATTTTTTTACTTTCAACTAACTACGCAAGTGATTGGTACATGTAGTTCACGGGACATTTTACTGTGTGACTTAGAAAAGGGATCTCTGATGCAAGGATAGTCACGGCTCGCTTTGACGCTTTAACGCTTTAACGCAAATTTGCACTCGAATTCTTGTTGTTATTGACAAACTTTTGGCAAATTAAGGTTTTCGTGTATTCGCTCATAAGGCCTTGCTAAAAAATATATATGAATAAGATTTATGATAAGCCAAACTTAGAACTCGTTCCAGGTGACTTGGCTCGAGCCACCCTAACAGGAACTCATTCACCATGGTTGTTATAATTTTCCATAGAAACCTGACTTTTAACAAATCAAGCTTGTTGTACCAAAATATTCCGCTTCTGAAATACGCTGAAGCCTTTGTTTCACCATTAGGTCATGGTCTGGTTGACGATTTATTCGCAAAGAGAACTTCAGTTTTGGCATAATTCCTAGTAAGCTAGCACACCGACCTCTTGTTCACACAAAAGTGAAACCCTGCCAAATTTTTGACCAATAGTAACGTGCCAGACACCTATGCTCGACCACAGTCATTAAAATAATACAGTTTGCCAGGGATTTTTACTTATTGGCGAGGCTAAGACGTCAAGTGACCACTTAGGTTTTCAACAGTCATTACTTTCACCACTGAGCTCGTTTTATAACAGAATAACGTACGGCTGAATAAGTGTAACCAAGGCTCAAGTCGAAGCAGCACGAAACCTGAACTCTGATCAACTTCTAATGCAGAGCTAACTGTTCGCTTTATCTACACACGGGAGCTTTTTCCCAAGTTTTCATCCATAAATCATGTAAAGCTCTCTTTGTGTTTGTGGAGTGTCCCAAAGGGTTTAAAAGTGACGCGTGATTAAGGCCAAATTAATGTGTGACGCGCAAATTTTAGGGAAAGGTGAGCGGGATCGGTAAATTGATGAAACAGTTTCAGGCGTGATTTGCTTTCTGATTTTTTTGTCTTTTTTTTGTGAAAACCTCAAGATTTCCCCGAAACCTTCGAGAAGAGGGGTTCAAAATTTTTCTGATTTGATTTGTCAAAAATACGTGCGTAGAACGGGATCAGGATTCCCCCTTTGCCATCTCCTTTGGGTTTGGTGCTGATCCTGGTACAGTGTCCTGCAGTTGGACCCGTTAATGAACCGTGTTTGCCTGTTGGAAATAAAAAAACCCAACGGCCATGCCAACCGCAAAAACAAGCTCACGTTTGGCACGATTAAAATACCCTCTTAAAATACTTCCTATTTCCTATCGTTCCAAAAATAAATAGCTCTTTACTCCGGTGTAGTCACGTCTCGCCTTGACCCTTAGAGGGTCCTGCGAGCTGAAGCTGAAAACCCATTCACCGGTAAAGAACGATGTAATTCGTCACTCATTATTCACAGGTCAAAATGTGATTTGATGCATAATTGTTTGTGATCAACTTCCTCCACGGGAAACAAGAGAGAGAACCCGGGGTTGCTTGCGGTTTCTAGCTCAGACGTGATAATGATTCCTCTCAAATTAAAGCGTTTTATTGTTGTCATGTGCAAGTCAATTTATGGGAGGAGACAAAAAATAACAGTTAGATGGGAAACACTAACGTGCTTATTAAAACTGCTGATTTCATACCAAGATCTTCAACGTATACATAAAAGTAGAAACATGAACCCTGACAATAGTTTTTTTTACATGGTTGCTCGATAGAATCCAAAAGAATTCTTATATGCTTTTAAATGTTGATTATGAATGGTTTCAGATAATGGCCTGTTTAATGTTTATCATAATGTAATTCCATCTAGGTTGTGTGTGTTCATGAACATTTGGTTGAAAATGACAGAGTGTAAAATGCTTAAATGTGGGAAAGCTCTGGATTGACACGGAGAAAAATAACGAATCCTATATTGTCAATGTGTAAGACAAATAAAAAGCAATTAGAATGTTGGACTAGTGAAAGACTTTGTTCTCTTTTTTCAGTGAAGTGCTTACTTTTAGCGTTAACCTGTATAGGTACTTGCTTACTATACGTTCAACTAATCCTAAAAATGTTGTTTTTTTCGTGGGATGTCCAAAGCAGCCCAATATAATCGATACATGACAAGATGACCTGGGCATAAGCTAAAAGAACCTAGCTTCCTAATTTACCCAATTTTTTTTTTATCTATTCAGCAGCTGGCTGCCAAAAATTTATTTCGACGGTTGTGACTAGAATCCATCTTCATCTTCTTCATGGCAGACCATGGATTCTTGGAGGATGAAATAGCAATATGAAACTTGAAGTAATATTTTGTAAGGGCTGAATAGATCTGGCCAAAATCGTCTGGTATGCTGTAAGCATTCATGTCACACTCAGTGAAAGGAGAATTTTGACACTTAAAATGTCTTGAAATCACAAAAAATAAACGCAATGTGGTGATCCACTCAGAAAGAATTTAGGCGAATCCAGATAACTTTGTCCTCTCAAAATAATTTTCTTCATATCTTTGCTGGATTATTCTGTAACCTTAAGCCTATCATCTACATGCTTTCCAAAGTCAGCTCCTGACTGTTTAAATTGCTTAAATTGTTTAAATTCGAGACCGAAATTTTCCGACAGAAAAAAAAATCCCCAAAATCTTTCTCCATGTAGTTACCACTCCGGATCTTAAAAATCTTTCTTAACGAAGTTAACTGCAGTTTTTATTTCCTATTCAAAGGAGACAAGTGCTTAAAACAAGACATATCACTAACTAATCTTTCCTGGGATCATTTCCACCAAAGCAGTTATGTAGCCTCACGTAAGCTCCTAATCTTTGAGCCCCCTTTAAAATTTCTTGATCAGTCAGCCTTTGTTGAGTATAATCACACGTGCGTGTCATTGATCTCGCCAAAACAAAGTGAAATTGGGAGAGAGAATTATCCAGAACACTTTGTCTATCAATAAAGGAAAACTATTTAAACAATTGCCTTTATTTTAAATCTTTTAACGCATTTGCACAAATACACTCCCAACAACTGCACACTGGACCGTAGACAGGAAAAGTAGGTTGCTTTTATCTTTCCTCAAACCTTCAGCCTCTGAAAGGGTTGTTGTTATTCACCTTTGATTTTCAAAATTTCTCGGTTTTTTAACGGGAGTAATAAGAAATACCAACGAATATAGCAACAACAAAAACGACCACGAAGACGAAGAAGATAAATTAACTTAAAATGTATGATATAAATTGCGAGACTGGAGTTTAAGTTGTAAGGGAACAAACTTTTAACCACCAGCTGTGTGTCCTGCCATGAAATGACCGATTTTTACGATTATGAATTGTTAAGATGACAAAATAGAAACGCCCCTGAACTCTGTTGCAATTACATTAGCTGACTGAAGAATGGGACTGTGACATGAGATCAGTAACAAGACAAGAAATCCTTAAGCTCGAATGTTATAAGAGTTAGGTAAAGATAATTCCAATTTTCTTTTGCTACGGAGAATTCCTATGGTATGGAAGGAAATCTTCAAATAACAAACCATTAAAAAAACCTAGTGAACTTATCTATCTAGAAGATTTAAACTAAACATTGGGATTCTGAAAATGAAGAAAATTTTAATATGCGAGTTGACGTGGCAACGCTTGAGACAAAAGTGATCATTTGCAATTCTTGCCCCGCCCTTTCAGCATTGCTATTATTATGTAATTTCGTCAAGTAAACTACTTGATTGCGTGCATTCAATAAAGTTTAGCGCTAAAATGACCGATTCGTTAAACCAAGGGATCTCTTGGTTAAACAGCTTAGAATTGTCTGATTTTTTGATGTACGGAAAGTTCTGGATCTAAGTAGATTTAGACAGAAAATTAATATTTGAATTAGAATACCACCGAAGCTCGTTAAACGCGTCCAGTTCCAGGAAGAATGGGTGATCTTCTACAACTTTACTTTCTTCTTAAAGATCTTAGAACCTATATTACGTTAACAATTCTGTCAAATATATAACTACAACTTGTAACAAGATTTTCTCTTATTCTAATGGTTCTTAAATTTTTCAGGTAACGTTTTTTCCGAGATTTTTTTGTATTTCTGTCATGTTTCTGTCATGGAAGGATGAGAATAATCTGACTTGTGTTCGATAAACTTGATATCTGTCTAAAACTAGGAACTTGAATCCAGGTTACAGGCCCCAAAGAGTTTTCCCTTATCTCTGGGTAATCCTTGTTAATCCTCTGCGTCCTTTATTTGTAAATGCATGTTTTGGCTTACAACTTTAAGTGTAAGGTGAGGTTTCGTTTTCGTTTTGATCTTTATTTTCGTGACAGCTCTATCTACTCAACGATCGAGTTTTAAGAATAACACCTCGATATACTCTTAACTTTCATGTTCCTTGTAAAGATTTCGGAAAAACCGCAAATTCTCAGATGTAAATGCCGTATGCTAATCCATTTAGCACAAGAATCTGACGACTTAAAATAACTCCCTCATCAGAGGATAATCTTTTCGGGCTTTTCATATCCATGATCATTTTGGAGCTTACATTAATCAACTGAAACTGTACCTTACTTTACTTTCGTCTCGTAATATCTAACTTTGAATTTATTCAACTATGTATACCATATTGGAGAGAAAATTTCGAAGGATTTTGATCGACTTTAACCATATTGCCTAAGAGGTCAAGACTAAAACGGAAGTTGATGAAATACCCTCTAGGAAAGATATTTCCTAAATCTAAACCAGATAACTCACCTTCTAACCTTCTTGACGGAAAGTATATTGAGATTTTGGATAACCCCTTTAAATGACAATACTCATATGATACTACGTGCAGTTTTAAAGTTTTAAAAACCTTTCGGCATGTCTCGCTGTCCAAATTCTTAACCTCTTTCAACTTATTAGATGGATTAAAACTTGCGCGTGAGCGTTGTCTAACATGAAAACGTTTGGGAAAAACAATTAGATTCGAGGAATGATGTTCATGACTAAGAGGAAAAAACTTCTTGAAGATTTTTATCTTAATTTGGCAACTTCCCTTTTACAAAGTATATACTTTACGCGCCACGGTGTTCATACGAAAGATGTGGCGATTGCGTGCCAGCTTGTAGGCAGTCTGCTTTGGCTGGAAACATCCTTAGATTTGTCACACAAAGGGCGTTTGAAACTAGCGCATGAGTTGATTTTATCGATCCCTTTTTCTACTTTCTAGAGTCAAAAAATTTGTCTGCTCTTTTAATTCGATTTTAACATTGAAAAAAGAAGCAAATGAACAACTTGATATTCTACACCCCTTTGGATGGCTTAGTGTAAGCTGAGCAAGTTTGTGTTTTTGCAGAGGATTTGTCTCAGTACGAGGGGAATTGACTTAGCCTATAGAGCGATTTTGTCGAAAGAAGTTCCGTTTTATAATTTTGGTTTCAACACCAACAGAGAAGGCTTTCACAAGTTTAGCACTGCATAATTTTTCTACTGAAGCCTACCAGTGAAAAATTTTAAATCATACTCCAAACGACCTTACACCAAAATGAAAGAAGTCTGAATTTTGACAGAAATATTTGTCTTTGGATAAACTGGGCCAAAGGTTGCACAATATCACGTGAAGGTAGCGTGAATTCATCAAAATATAAAAGAATGCTTTTAGCAACCGAAGTTTCCGGCGCTATTTTCGCAATTTCAATCGGGAAAAAAGGTAATGAAAAGGAGAATTACTTACGGAAACCGGGATGCTGCTGTTGTAAAGTTAAACGCAATAGTGAGAGGACGATCACTAAAGCTACTTGAGCGAATTTGTTGTTGATGTGAAAAGCCATTTTCTCAAGCGGTTGCCACTGTATCCTTCCTCCAACTGTCGAACGATATACCCACGGACTTCCTTAAATATAAATATATCTGTCCAATTCTGTCAACTTGGTCACGCACGTGTTTCAGTAACCGCGCCTTAGTGGTTAACCATGGAATTCGGTGTCGTGGGAGTTGGTTTACTTTTCAATAAACAGAGCTCCCACTGACGATATTTTTATCCAAACGGTAATTTCTTTCCTTGCCGAATGACAAGCGGAGAAAGGCGCAGGGTACCAAGTGGATGTTTAAAAAGTAAAGTGATCAATAAAGTGTCAACCATTCACACAGTTTCTTTTGTTTTTCAGGTTGTTTTGATAATCTTAAGGATTAAAAGATTTTTTCGATCTTTCATGATTGCAAGTTACGGTAATTATTCCTGCCAGAAAGCGCACGCGAATAACTCCACGCTTTCGTAAAAATTCCAGGCTGAAGAATGTAACGATTATGCTGTCCTAATGACCTTCTAAACGCCTCCGCCTTGAACGAAAACTTCTGTTGTGACGTTTATTGCAGTCTATGGGGTCTGTGTGGGTCCTATCTAATGATGTAAATCAATCCACAATAAAAGGGATTAACACAGTTATTTCACGAGTGCGGCTCGTGATTTTGTTACGATATTAGAATAAATAGAAGAACCTGAAATAGAGAGAAAATTCTGCTTCGGAAAACCTGGTAAATTGTTTTCCCCCTAATGTGCAAGGCCTCGGAGACGACGACAATTGTTTTAAAATTATGTTAAAATTCTTGATTTCTCTTTTCTCGTGCTGTATAAAGTTTGCATGTATTTTTTAGAGATCCTGTTCAAATGAAAACCTTGTCGCGTTATAATAACTGTACTTACTGTACATGGATCAGCTCAATTTGGTTGAAAAGCTTGATTTCCTCGTTCGTGTACTGGATTTTTTCACTCGTTACTCGCCATGTATATTAATATTAATAACACCGTAGACTGCCACGAAGAAAGCCAGAAAAACGTGGATACAACACAATAGATTTTTAACGGATATGTTTGCCTTTGCATTTGTCAGACTATTACTTTCTTTAATTGTTTTCATGTGTGAAGCATCACTTTCCTCGCGAGTAATGACCGCAAATAAGTCATAGGTAAATATTCATTTTCTTTTATTTTCATGAATAATAATAATTATTATTGTTATTGTTACTATCATATGGAAACACGTATCACATACTTAATTTCATATAATGCAATCAATTTAAGTAATGAAACTACGTTTTTTTCACAAAAAAAATAAAAAATAATCCAAAAAAAAAATCTTTGACCGCAAATAACTTGGCCCGTGGTGCAGTCTGAGCCGGAAGAACAACAGCACTCTTCTCCCAAAATGTTTATTACGTAATTAGGACATCAAAAACAATAGACTCAGCACAGGAAGGAATAAAAAAAGAGCCTCAATTAATCAGACGCGATGAGAGTTGTTTCTGTTTGCCATGGGAGTTATTATTGTATAATGTTGACGTAAAGACAGCCAGGTCAATTTGTTATAATATGCACGTCCGTAGCGTTCCTTGTCAAATAAAACTAAGACTCAGCCGTGGAGGAAAAAAAGCACCGAGTTCATCAGACACGATGGAAGTTGTTCCTATTTTAAACTGCCCCAAGGAAGCTGTGCATGTACAGAACGTGAGAGGGAGGAACATCCCACCATCTTCATATGCATGGTCCTTGTGTCCAATGTAAATAATCTAAATACCATCCACGGGATTGTAAAAGTGCTCGAGCAAGTTGGGTTACATCTGGAATAGCGCCAGCCTAGAGTCGTACACACATACTTTAGCCACGTGTGTTTTATTATCTATTTATCTCATGTTTTTAGGATATTTAAATTTAACTTCAAAACTAGCTTAAGCGCCCTTTTCATGAGGTGCTCATATCACTTGTTTGCAACATTGTAATTCATTCTAATAGCTGTTATTCTTCCTGTTGGATTTAATACTGTCATTCGGCTGCTCCTTGTTATAAGGTTGTTTAAGTTCTTCTGTCGCGTTCTTGTTAAGAGTTATAAACATCATGTTCTCTTTAGGTAAATATTTTTGTAGCACGTGAGAGGATCGATCATGACATATTCTGCTTACATAACAAAATTAAGGTCTTAATTTATTGCCTCTCACGAATAAAACATGGACTTATCAGGTAAATGTGTCCTGTAAAGTTCTCGTGCACTGTATTTAATCAAAACAAAGCTGAAAGGGCGATGAAAATATTGGGCCAGGAACATGGTAAGTTTCATTGTAAAAATCATGCATTTTCCTCGTCATGAGACCTGAACCAATTTTGCATACTTTGTAAAAGAAGTTTGAAGAAGCTACTTACAATTAAATAAGATTATTTCAAAGCCTGTTACAAGTCGAACGCTCGTCGTGATTTAAATGCCAATCTTACCGCGTGCACACGGATATCTGTGAGTAAGAAACTGAAACAATTCTGTGCAACGTGCAGGGCCGATTAAAGGACAGTTGATTAACAAAGAAACGTACAGGTTGGAAAGGTTGTCAAGAATTAGGGCACTACTATCGATAGAAAATGAAGTCAGTTTTGCTACTCTGCATCTCATCGAATATTTCAACGCGGAATTCGAATACGTGCCTTACCCACACTGGAACATCAGTGGCATGGAAATCCTCTGAACGTGCTTTTGCCTCAGCTAAACTCCCCTGATACCTGGCTTTTTTGTTAAAATCCGAATCCGCGCTGATAAATCAAAACTTGTCAGATATAATGTCACTGCAATCACTGTACGTTTGTTTGTACCATTTGATGTACTTGAAGATATGACATTTCTGAACTATGGATCCCACCTTCTTTAAGAAAAAAAAAACCCAATTCTGAGAGAAGATTTTAAGCTAATCTGAGATTTTCATTGCTTTTGAAATCCAGCTCAAATCCCTCAAGCTTTCAGCGCAAAACTCTACAATCTCTCCCTTTTTTCACCGGTAAATCATATTCAGTAACTAGAGGATTTTTGGTTGTTGAATTTGCTGTGCTTACGCCATTGAAAAACATAAAATTCAACTTGGAAACTGGAACTTTTGTTAAGATTGGCAAAGCGGAAATGCTACCAGTATTCAACCAGCCTTTAACAGTTGTTGTTTGATCATATCTGTAATTAGTATTAAACTGTAGTCGTTACCTGTCCCAGTCTTCTCTTTAGTTGTTGTCTACCCGCGTTGTTTTGAAAGTGACGGTTTTATTTTGTAAAAGGCGAAATTCCTTTCAGACCAGCTGTTGTCATTGGAAGGTATTAAATAATTCAAAGGATGACCTAATCCTTAAGATGATTCATAATCTTACTTAATCCTTTGTAGATCAGGCTTAACTTGAGATGTGTTGTTAAAGCTTTCATTGGTCACAACAAGCGTAGTGCTTAATCACAATAAGTGTAGTTCTTGGTCAGTATTTTGGATATTCTTGAATTTGGTGTGCCTGTTCAAGGTGAAGTTTACTGTGAAAGTCTTTTGTATCAACAATCGTCAGCAGCCGTGATAGATTCCGACATTCGCACTGCCAGCGAGTGTTCCCCAGGAAGAGCCTTTCTAGAGAGAGTTTTACTGAGTTTTCTTCCTTTCATCGAAATATTTGTGAGAGAAAGAAATCTGTTTTCACAATATCTTCCAATTTACATCGATGTCGGGGCCCATACTGATTGTGTTATTAGATGACTTAGCTGAAGTCCCAAGACATAAAGGTGACAATGTCTCCTCTGAGTATCTAGTTATTAGTTTGTCTAGAGCTAGCACTTGTTTTCAAAATATACAAACTGCAAAAAAGGACAATTTCTGCGAGCATTTCGACTGAACAATGCAACAGTGATATCAGTTACGTGATAGGTCATGAATGAATTTTTCGATGTCTCGCGAGCTGTGACAGTCGAAATTTCCCAGCGAACAGAGCGAGTCTGGTCAAATTCCGTCATAGGCTATGTTGATCAGCCTCAGCGTTTTTTGGATGCGGCAATGAAAAAGCATACCACGGAAGACTTCGTCTCTGTAAATACCTATGGTTAGAATCAGGCAATCACATGGCTGCATAATACTAGTGTATAAATGTATGTACAATTTCCGCAGTTGTGCCATGACCGATAAAATTAGAATGAATAATGTACATTTACTGATGCTTTTTCCTTAGCATCTATTTCATATACTGAAAATGCCTGCAAAAACACAGGAGATCGCATTTCCTGGGCCCTAAATTTAAATCTGTCTGGGGTAGCATACCCCCAAACCCCCTAATTTGGAGCGCCTTCGCCTCTCGATATTTTCTATTCGTCCGTGTAACTTAAAAATCTTATACTATGCCCCTGGTTTTAAAGAAGACTTCACCTTCTCGACGAAATCTAAATAATTAAACAATGTAATATGACATATTATTTTCGACCATAATACAACCACTATCACAATGAATCACAATGAAAACGAGATTTGTGAATATCATAATTCCCGCCATGGATACGCAATTAAGTGAAACTAGAAGCACGGATTAAGAAAGGAGTACTAAACTCTCTCAACGTTACGTTTGGCCGTTTCGGTTTCATTTCTAAATGGCATGATCCCATTATGTTAAAAGTTCCTAAACACAAATATACACACATTTGAAACTGCAATAGATATTAGATTGGACAATAGACTGAGACTTGTCTATAGTGAGATGTTAGAACGAATGGGCAAACTGTTATAACCAGGTCAGTGAAAACTGGCTTGTAATAATTTTTACCATGAGAAAATTACTTCCTTCCCCTGAAAAGAAAATGGTCAAAAATGATTCGTTTTACCACAGCTCGCCAAAAACCCAGGTTTCTGTTCCTTTTTCTGAACCTGAAGACAGGAGTAATTCAATGAAGGGCAGGAGTCGGGAGGGAGAGGGGCACAAAAGCACGGAAGGCGGAAGGATATGGTACGGGAGGCAGTGAACCCAATCACAAATTGTTAACGAACACTCGTCTTTGAAAGGTAAAAATAGATTAAATGAAACTGACTAAGTTCCTAGATGTTGTGGTTCCACTTCGTGAAATTGCTCTGAAATGGACAGACATACCATAGGGATAAAAAAAATATGACAGAAGTTAAAATATAATTTTTACAGCATGAGTTTACATGTCGGTTGATAACTGCCAGATTTGGTGCTGTTGAAAGGTGATCTAAACTTGTCTGTGATTTCAAAATTTCATTTCCATCCATTTGATAACACTAAATCCCCTTTGGTGGATACGCCTTTATCTTTTCGGAGAAACAATTATACTAAAAGTAACCACAATCGACTCTCCTCAACATTGTTTATTGATCTATTGACGTGTTTGTCTCTATTATATTTTTGGAAGAGCCCTTGAAGCTGTTTAAAGCGATCGCCAATTAAGCTGTAAAGAACTTTTAGACAAGAATAAGATAATAACTCGAAATTAAGAAAAACCGCGTACAGAAAATGTTCACATTCATAATATCAAGGACATGTCATGGTATTTGTTTAACCAACTAGTGACTAGATCTCTCAACTGAGGACTCCGAGGACCAAACAGCCTGAAAATAATCGATGTCATAACCTCACTACATGTTTTAATTGGATTATATTCCTTTGGGGAAGGTATATACTTTAAGTAGGTCGGGACGTAATGGTGGTTAATTTTGCTTTACATTTTTGGCAGTCACTCATTCCCCTAGTTTGGAGGAATTTTTTTCCAATAAGCCGTCATGAGATACAGAGAAAAGCCAGGGCAAAAACTATGACCCCTCAACTCTTCCCTAACCACCTCAGCACCCGCTTACTTTTACTTACTTTAAAGTTAGAAAAGAAAATTAGATTTTACGTCTTGACAGGTGAACTTGCAGCACATTCGCCCGTTCAACAACAACATTCATTCTTTACAAATTGATGTAGTGTTAGATATAGTAGGGTATCATCAAGAATTTACTTTACATGCCATTTTAGCTTATTCAAGTGTTGGGAAATTGTAAATGAAAATAAAATACTTCTTGGCCTTTCTCAAAACCATTAGCGCTTCGGATGATCTCGGCTATTGAGCTTAAAGATAGTCGTGACGGGCTAGGCCATGATGAAAACTTCCAACATACACCTATTGGAAGCACTCGTAAGTTTTTCTTTCTTCGAGTATGCCTGTGTCATTCCCTGAATACATCACCTTCCTCTTGCAATGGTCATGAATAATCATCTTTCAGACATAAATTTACCATCTTCGTTTACGTCATTATTGCGCAAAAGTAGCACTTGTACCTACTGCTGGCGTTGGAACGTCCGACATTCCCATGCTAGCAGTATACTGAAAGTTTGTTGCCATGGACCTGGATAAATGGCCAGTCCTGCCACGACTCTCCTATGGCTCAGTGCTAGTACATCCGAAACACTAATCGAAGGGTCGAAGGTTGAAGTTGTATTGGGAGCACCCGGAGTTCTTTATTACCGCAGAGTTTCAGGCTATGTCCTTCACTGAATATATTACTTTTCACTCAAATCACCAGGCTTAACATCTTTTACCTTACCTGCCACACGTCTCCAAAGGCTCATCCGAAGTATTAATCTGAAGGTCGTAGGTTCGCTTGCAACTAGAAAGACTTGGAGTTCTTTTTTTTTCTTTAAGTACGCCTCTGTCATTTACTGAATACGTCATCTTTCACCTAAATCACCAGGTTTTACATTTCCCATCCCCAGTCAAAGCTCATTGCGCAAAAGCATCACATTCGACTCTCCTATGCCTGTGTCACTCACTCCTCTTTCACTTATCGCCGCGCACTCGAACTATCTTTTTTCTCTGAGTTGCTTGTCTTCTTGAAAGAAAACATCGTCTTTCACATAAATCAAAAAGCTTAACATTTACCATTTAGCTTGCAACGAGTCCTCTATAACTTGGTACAGTGCCCTACTTGGTAGGGCATCCAAAGTAAGAATCGGAAGGTCGTCCCCTAATTTTGTCATTTACTGAATACATCATCTTTAACTTAAGACACCAAGATTAACATCTAACATCCAGCATGCCAGGAGTCTTTTGTGGCTCAGCGGCATAGTATCGGAAGTACTACTGAAATAGAAGGTCGTATATTCGAGTCCTATTGGGAGCACTCAGAGATCCTTTCTTTTTCGACTATGTCTCTCATTCATTGCAAACATTATCAATCGAGTAAATCACCCGTCTTAACATTTACCATTTAACATGCCCGGAGTCCCTTACGGCTCCGCGGTGGGGGATGGGAGTACTAAGTGGAAGGTCGTACGTTCGAGTCCTATTGACGGCACTCAAAGTGTTTTTTTTTTGCTCCGCATATACCTGTATCATTCACTGAAAAACAACCTTTTTTACCTACATCACAAGGCTTAACATTTACAGTCTAGACTTCCACGAATCTCTTATGATTCAGGGTCGAGTATCCGAAGTACTACTCGAAAAGTCGTACTCCGATTTTCTTTTTTTCTCCCAATTTTCCCTTGTTATTCACTGATTACTTTATCTTTCAGTTAAATGAGGAGGCTTAACATTTATCATGTAGCCTACCACGAGTCTCCTGTGACTCAGCAGTAGAACATCCGCAATACCACTTGGAAAATCGCATGGTTTGAGTCCTATCGGGAAAACTCGGAGTTGCAATTTGTTCTAAGTATACCTGTCTTATTAACTGAATACATCATCTATCCGACTTGTACCACAAGGCTAAACATTTACCATCTAGCCTAAGTGGAGTCTCCTCTGGCCTTGCGGTTGAGCATCCGAAGTTTTAATCGGAAGGTCTTTGGTGCAAGTCCTACTGGGAGTACTTGGGTTTTCCTTTTTTCACTGCGTTATTCACTAATTACTTCATCTTTCAGTTAAATTAGCAGGCTCAAGATGTATGATGTAGCTTCCCGCGAGTCTTCTGTGACTCAGCGGTAGAGCATCCGAAGTATAAAACGGAAAGTCGCAGGTTCGGGTGTTCTTGGGGAAACTCGGGGCTTCCTTTTTTCTCAGAGTATACCTGTTTTATTCCCTGACTACTTCATCCATCACTTAGATCACAAGGCTTAACATTAACCCGCTAACCTGCCACGAGTCTCAAAAGACTCAGCAGTAGAACCTCGGATGTACTCATTTGAAGGTCGTAAGTTCGAGTTCTATCAAGAGTACTCCGTTATCCTTTTTTCTCTGTCTATCCCTGTGTCATTCACTGAATACATAATCAGTTACTTATATCTCCAGGCTTAACATTAGCCATCTTCATTTAAATAGTAATTGCGCCTTCCACGAAACTCTTATAGCTGAGTGGTAAAGGATCCGAAATTAAAGACACTCGGAGTTCCAATTTTTCTCCAAGTATGCCTGCCTCATTCATTGAATACATCATCTATCGCTTAAATTACAAGGTTCAATAATCACAAGCCTTCATTGTCTAGCCTGTCACGAGTCTCCTTTGGCTCAGCGGTAGAGCATCCAAATTACTAATTAGAGGGTACAAGGTTCAAGTCCTATTGGGAGTACTCCGATTTCCAAACTTTTTCTGACTATCTCTGTGTCATTCACTGAATAAATCATCATTCTCTTAACATTTGCCATTTTGATTCACATAACCTTTGCGCCTCTTGATGCCTAATGACATCATCTTTCACTTATATAACAAGACTTAATTTTTACCATCTAACCTGCCACGAGTCTTCTATGACTCAGCGGTACAGCATCGGAAGTACTAATTAGAAGGTTGTAGGCTCGAGTCCCACCAGAAATACTCTGATTTCCTTTCTTTACTCCAGCTTCGCCTATGTCACTCACTGAGTACGTCAGATTTCTTTTATATCACAAGGCTTAACATATACCATCTTGGCTGGCACGATTCTTCTACAGCACAGCGGTTGAGCATACGGAGCACTGATGAATAGGCACAAATCCGTTTGGGAGCATTCGAAGTTCCTTTTTTTCACCGAGTAAGCCTTTGTCATTCATCGAATATATCTCCTTTCACAAGCTTAACACTTACCATCTCAATTAACATCGTTTGTATGCAAAAGCCCTAGATTCGATAGTCCCATCCTTGCAAGATGTTCTGACCTAACAGTCTCGTTTCCTGGTTAAAGATCAAATCCTCGAGGACAAGGCATTCTTTAGCAGTTTAACCATTATTTTATTCGAAAACAAGAATGTCTCGAACACTGTGCGAGCACATACCACAACCGCTAGAACCAAGAATTATCGGCATGCCTGATGCGCACGGGAGTAAAGCAACGCATGACAGAACACAATATGCTAGAACCATGGACCTGGTTAAACAGCCAAGCCTGTCTGCAGTCTCTTATGGCTCAGTGGTAAAGCATCTGAAATGTATGGTACCATTTTCCTTTACACCGTCATGGCAGCAATAAGCCGGAAATTTGTAAAATCTAGTTGAACGGCCAAGCCTGCCACGAGTCTCCTATAGTTCAGTAGTTCTCAGTTGTAGAAGTACTAACCGGAAGTACTAATAGGAAGATTTTAGGTTTGAGTCCTTAAGAGAACTCGGCGTTTTTTCTTTTCTTCAAGTATGCCTATGCCTCATCTTCAATAAAATCACCAGGCTTAACCTTTATCATTTTCATTTACATGATCATTGGCCAAAAGCTTGACATACGACAGTATGATTCATTTACACCTATAGGGTATATCCAGCTTTAGGTAGCCCTCGTTTATCCATCTATTCATTTATTCGTTTTGTCTTTTAAATATTTTTTTGTCACGGATGAGAAAACTTAAGGATCATTGGGTCAACTCCTAAGTGATTTGAAGTTGGTAATCCCGAAGCATCTCTCACCTTCTTTATGTAGAATCCAGTCGCCTTTTAAACGTGAGAGGCGTGCACTCATTAGTAACAACTACCTTACCACTTGTCATAGTTACATAGAGCATTAGCTATAACATTACTGATGGCATTTTCCACCACTCCTCCACAGTCCCCCCTCTCCATCCTCTTTGCGTAATGTGTCTGGTCGTGTGTGGCGCCTATGCGACTATTTGATATCTGGAACGCATCGATGATCTGAACGCCACTGTCCCTGATAACCTGGTCTGTCAGACTGTTTAGTTGCGCCACGCGCGTCGGGGATGGATTTTCTAGCCATTCTACCATCGCCTGATCTTCTCTCCAAGGTAGACTTACTGTGTTTAACCATATAAATCTCTTTTTCCCTTCACCTGTTCGGTTCATTACTCGAATTGCCTCAAGAAAGGCGTGAATTTTATCTCTTATGAATGTTTCCTTTGTGCTCTCTCGCAAAATCCAGTGCCCAAAGTTCATAAGAAACAGTTTACCGCTGAATACGGATGATGGTAGTCCTTTGGAGAACATAGACCGTCTTGTTCTTGGGTGGACGTAAACCTCGTGGGGCATTGAGATGTTTGGAAACGTAAGTGGCCATCGCGTTCCACGCGCATCAAATACCCATTCAATGCGTGGGATCTTGTCAAACACCATTTTTACGTGCGTTTTAATACAACCGTGACAGGAGCCATGCAGTCGTGTCACCCAATGATACGTTCTATAGCGCATGTGCGAGTCTCCGGTGAAAACGACCTCGGACCAACCTTGCTTTGCAAAACATTTTTTGATCTCATCGCTGCTGTAGTGATGCAACTGGCAAAAATATGGCAGCCAATGAAAACCGTGGATTTGATCGAAGTCGTAAGCGGGGTCAAGCTGCCACTGACCGCATCTCTCGATTCCTGAGATACTTCCGCATTCCACCCACCTTCCTTGGAAAGTTCCACTTTCCTCCCGAGTGCAATAACGAGTGTGATCCCGCGGAGGCGGACCCCGGGTAACAGTCAGATCAAAGGGACTGTTCAGCACATGCTGTAAAACAGCTTTCGCGTGATATCGATACTCAAGACTGTCGTTATTTACATAAGTCAAAATGACCAAGATTATATAATCATCCGCGAAAGTTAACAACAGAGTGGCGTTGTAAGTATCATTTGCAATGTGATGAACTTTTCCTGTAACCATTTCATGAGAACCAAAGGCTTGTATTCGAAAGTTGGAGGCACCATGCCCTGTGCCACAGATAGTGTTCCACGCATCAACATGGCATTTTTGCTTTGGCGTTGGACTTATAATGAATGATATAAGCTGCCACGCCTGGGTTCCCTGTGGAGGGTGTACTGTATACAGGCAGCCAAGGTCAAGAGCTGGTGGAGGAGGCTTCTTTGCAGGTTCGTTTCGCCTCCAAAGTTCTTTGAATAAAACAATCAGAGTAATGACGAGAAGAAGCAGTGAGAGAACACGGACTGGTCTGAAGCAGCCTTTGATGTACTCTCCTGCCGCACTCTTCCTCATTACAAGCCCCACTCAATTTGGGGACCTGGCACAATCTTTAAAAATAGAGAATAAAATGAAAAATAATGAAGCAAGAAAGTGTACTCAGATTAATCAAACATCACAACTAAAGAAGTAATAAATTAATGGGTACCAGAAAACGATACAGAATATCTGTACATTAGTTCACAAGGAAACATAAATTCAACAATGCTAGGCTTGCCTTTGATATAAATACTTAAGATCTCTCTGTCAATGACTGCTAAAATGGGGACAGTAAAATATGTTTTGAATCTTCGGTAAAATTTTCTAAATAGAAGGACAACAGAAAAGAATATTATTTCGGAAAGTAGTAAAAATGCTAGTATGCAGCTTTTAAGAAGGGGTCAAGGTAAGTAAGTTCAAACATTACAAAGACTAAACAAACACTATATCGTATTTGATCTCATAAGCCACATTCTTAACTTGTCGAAACTTGTAACTTGGAACTTCTTTTCACTTGTTACTTTCTCACTGACAAAAAGGTCTCGCGTGAAAGCGTCTTAATCTGTTTCCTTAGAACAATCCGTCGAAAGGGTAGGTCCTCGCGAGCGGGTGGACAAAGTTTTGTTGGAAAATTCCCCATCTGGTGGTTCGATATGAAGTAAATCATGGAAAGTAGTTCGATAGAATGATCTATAATACTAGGGTACATCTACAGGGCTGTTTATGACGAGCAGCATTATATTTACCTCGTCATAAAGCTAATTCATTGACTTCATCAAATTCACTATTCACTGACTTGCATTTGTTCTGAGGATATACTATGTATGGAGCATGTGATTCGACAGCGAAAATTCCGAATCTCATAAATCAATTTAAGGTTAAAAAAGTTCCCGAAAAACAGCTTCCTTAGAATCTTCAACACGTGCATTTCTTTTTAGACGAGTACTCTATTTACAATATCCTTCATAAACAAATCTAGTAGCTGACTTATTTTATAATACCCTTGTTCACGCCATTTGAACTAAGGATAATAAAATCTCATAACGTGAAGCATATAGCTTAATGAATGGCAAATATGCTATAGTCAGTTTGTTGGGATAATAGTGGCTCAAATGTCGTCGCTAAGATCATGGCCATCGAAATTACTCTAAACGATTACAAGGAATAAACTTACCAGTCGTAAGATTGACAGTGATTTCCTTCTCTGAGATCCCGTCGTTACCTGAACAACAATGGATCGACATTTATGTTAAATGTTGGTAGAAACAAAAATACGAAAAAAAAAAGAATGTAGGGTTGCGACGCAAATGATTAGAGAGTGCTTTTGATGCGATGTCTTATGTTTTACACGAGGTTTCTATTGTGCGCCCACAGTGCCGTTTCATTATTCATAATAGGTGGATAAGTTGAGTGCACAGCGGCGTATGGGGTATGACTGGTACCTGCTTCATGCCATAGTCCCAGTCCCAGCTGGGTGGGCTTCTCGTCAAATTGAAAAGTGTACTAAAGAAACCTGTTTTAGCAGCATCATATTGCAAGTTTGCTTAATCAATTAAAAAAAAAAAGACAAATTGCCTTGTGTTCATACTCCACAGCCATACACTTCGTAAAATTTTGCTGCCCAAGCACTTTACAAATGCAAGAGATTATAAATTCCAAAGCTTAACCCTCAGACGAAAGCTAAACAAAATCTTTGCAAAATTTTTTTTTTTCCTAACAAGGCAACGCAAGAGAATATCTTGGGAAACGCTATGTGAAATCATAAATTACTATGATGGATATTTAGCGCGCCCTTTACTTAATAAGTGAATCATCATCTACTCGGAGTTAAGATCAACGTTTAAGGACCTATTGGAGCATTCAAATGCTTTTCTTTATCGTTTTGTATTTTACATATAACACGACAGAAATATTACGTGGCATCAAGGGAAAATATTCAAACAATATTATTTTAACGTTAACGAAGACAACATGGGTAAAACAGGCAACCAAGGAAAGATCTTAGAATGAAATATACTTGAGTCAAGATACAATTCGCTCCGCAAGACTACAGTTCAGCCTTCATTAGGGCTTTTTAGGCGAGAGTATTCGAGAAACAGTGAAGGAGAGGATATCTTTTCCTTGCACTTTTCTGTCCACAAGGTACTCCTTCCCATTTGCTGCTGACTCCGTGTAAGTACCCTGTCAATATTCGGTGTCTCCAGCCCTACGATTTCTCCCGTGCCCCGGATGACAACCAAGCCAAAAGGTATATCCTCCTCATGTAACGGCGGGTGAAATTTGGAAGGAATTTTCCATCCTCAGTTTTCAGTCGACAAAGTGACATTAAAGAACTACTAAATGAAATTAAAGAGCTACTAAAAATGTGAATTCATTATCATCCTTTAATAAAACAGGGGAAAGTTCTAAGTCTTGGAAAGCTAAAGGTGGAATGTGACGCTTGGTGCAAGTCTTCTCCACACATTTCACTAAATATTCTAAAATAACTTATATGTCTTCCGAACCAACTGTCTATATCTTGACAACTGATTACAATTATGAGGTAAGTTTATGTATTCCAGATGGACGTTGCCACATTAATTTACAGGCAACTTTACAAACAAAATCAGAAGCTACGATCTGATAAAATCTTGTTACAATCAGATGCAATAAAACGTCGTGAAAATTAGAAACAAAACAAAGTTAACATTTTGCTGATTAAAGAATTAAAGGGTCACGGCAGCAGCTGTGCTTCATTTATTTCCTCTTTGCATTGACTACTTCGCCTTTGGATTTTCCAGGTTACAACTCCCTAACTGGGAATAAGGGAAAAGTAGATGAAAAAAATGTATATGTGATATGATAAAAGAAGAACTTGTTGCGTTAGACAAAACGTAATAAGTTCCTGTCTTCTCTTCAAAAGCCTTCGCAATGTTTACAACCTCGTCAGAGACACTGTAAAGAAGGTTTGCTGCTAACTCGGTCAAGCCATGGTAAAACAATGTTGGCTCTTCCAGTGGTTTCCCGTTCCAACCCTCCCACTGGTCGTAATTTAGTGATGTGTGCAAGTAGGCATTTACTCTAATGAACTGAACACGTAAAAGGTGACGAATGTACGGGTCCACAAATGATCCCGGGACCGCAAATGATCCCGGATCGCAAATGATCCCGGACCGGAAATGATCCCTGATGGGGACCGCAAATGATCCCGACTAAAAAATAAGGAATGGCATGGATGTGGGAATGGTGAGGATAGGAAATTGGGATGAATAGCAATTATATCTATTAAAACCATCTTGAATTATAGCTTACAACTGGCTTCTTTTTGTTACCTTTTTCATACTACGATGCTATGAATGGCACCTTCATAAACGGACTTAGTCTTTACTATATATCTTAAAATTATGACCGAGATTCTTTTCGACAACACAATAAACGCAACATTTTCTTCCTTCACTAGCTACACATTGGTGTGCCGGCGTGGTATACCGTTCTATCTTTAAATCAAATTGTATCAGTCCATTGACGTCACCCGGCTGGCAACAGCAGCAACAATGTCAGTAAAAACAACAACAACAACTTAGTGTTTTAGACTAATAAGTTTTCACCCAAAATGCAGCATTGCTTGTTTTTGTTGCACTTAATTCCAAACTAAAATTCATCCACAGATTAAGCAACTATTCCAAAAGACGCTGTCATCTGAATAGTACTGCAACGCTCCACCGCTCTCAAAAACACCTTGTGAGTAGCACTGGAATTTTCGTCCACATTTTGGAAAAATTTCTTCTGTGATTTTTTCCATGGCCATACTTTTGCCTCATTCTGTTGCACTTAGTGCACGAGATCCATAAGGAATCACCCTCAGCTGACCATCCTGCTTCCGGTAAAGTGCAGCCCCGAGGCTCTTCTGCATTTTTTACTCAGAGGAAGCAAGGGGGGGGGTTGCTGTCAGCAAACGTGTCGATCTGCATAAAATGGGGACCCAGGTCACTATGACGTCACGTAGCCTCTTGGATATTGTCATGGTATCAAACAAGGACATAGTAAAGCCCTGAGGTGATTTAGACCTCATTATTAGCGACCACTACCTAGTGTATATCGTCCTTGATATGAAAGTGCCAAAGCCTCCACCCATCTACATCACAACGCGGAGTTTCAAAAACTGTACTGCTGACAAGTTCTCCGTTGACATCACACGAGTACCATGGGAAACTGTGAAATTAATGGCCTCAGTGGATGACAGAGTGGATGCTTTTAACAACTTCTTTCTAACATGTCTTGATAATCATGCCACCATAAAAACTCTGAAACTAAAGCGCAAACCAAATCCATCCATCACTGCTGTGACCAGGGAACGGATAAATACAAGGAATAAGCTCCATAAGCGGGCGCGTAAGAGCGGAAGCCACGAGGAATGGAAAGCTAATAAATAAATATGTGTCCGACAGGTGAACTTGGGACGCCTCTGCTCAAACTCCTTAATTGCAAGCGCAATAACAACCTCAAGAAACCTCACCCCAGCACCCCGGGGTTGTAAGATTGCATGTAAACGCGTTTTATTTTTCGACCACGGTTAGGCGGGTTACCTCACTTACCTGGGGTCCCCCACCACCATGTAAACAGGCCCTAAATGTAAAGTGTTGACGTTTGCCGCGGGCTTTATGGTAAATATATACTGTATGCGGAATCACGGGTGGTAACGGAGCGGGAATATGGACTAAATATATGAGGGAGGGATGGAGAGCCGTTATTCTTAATTTTCTTTTTATAAGATTTAGCGATTGTAAGATTTTTAGAACATTTTTTAAACAATTGTGACAATTTACAAGGGTAGTAAGACACAGTATTTATTATTTTCCTCTTTTATTTTAATGCACCGCCCCGTAAGCTTATAGCTTTAATTATCAACGTGGATAAATAAATTTATTGTATTGTATTGTATTGTATTGTATTGCATTGCCTTGCATTGCATTGTACGAACTGGCAAATGACCAACATCAATGCATTTAGACCAACAATGCATTTAGACCAACATCAATGTATTTAGAACCTCTTGTTTATTGGAGATATTTGTAGGGGAAATAGAGAAAGTAGAACTTTCAAGTACAAAAATCCCAACTGGTTAAAGTTAACCTTTTCACTGCTGAGAAAATGCAGCACCTAAAGTAACTGAATCTTACTTGAAACAACCGAGAACAAATCTAGGTGACTTTTGAACATGGGTCCTCCAGATATCAAATCCAAAGCCCTGAACCACATGACCACACCACCTCCCAAAAGAATCAAGTCACATTTATTTAATATTCAGCGAAAGGAATTTTTCGCAAATTCTTCCGGCGAAGCATTGTAAACAAGTCCAAAAAGGTAATAAGAATATCTTCCTGGTTTGAGTGTCACTGATGTACTCTTTCTGTCTTCAGGTTGGATCAGAATGAGTTGCAAGTGGATGAAACAATTTATGCTCTTGCAGTACATTTCTTCGCATTAAAATGCGATGAAAGAAGTATCAGACTAAATGTTGGAAAGAAGTACTTCTAAGCACTGTGATGGAGTGTCTGTTGTTTTCGTTTCTTGGCATAGATTGAAGCAACAGTAGTTGATGGAGGGATTAGCAAATTACAATAGAAACAGCAACGAGTTTAGATGAGGACAATATATGGACCATATATGGACCATAGAATAAAACATAAATAAAGCACAAAAATTAAAAGAATGATCTATGGTGTCAAGGCCGGCTCTCAGGGGGAAGGGGACTCGAATAAAAAAAAAAAGGGATGTTCGTCGAGAATTTTGAAATTGACCCCTAAGGGAGACCAATTAACCCAACTAACCCTAAGCAATTACTACGTGGCTCGCGTATTTTTTTGACCCCCTATAAGAGACTAATCTGAGCGCGCAACCCTAAGCGAGACCCTGATGGCTAGAATATTGATAATTTTCCCTCAACACCCTAAGCGAAACTAAAATCTGAAATTTACCATCCTAAGCGAGACGACGAGCATCCTCACCTTTTTTATATTCAAGTCCCCCCCCCGCCCTTCGGGGGCCAGGCCACTGCTTTTTATGTCGGAACTTCATATAAAGTGTCGAAAAAGCGTGGATTACTGAAATTGGGAAGAGAACGAGGTGAATACCGAACCGTCCTCTCGACGAATATGATGTATTGTTCCTGAATTCCTCGCTCTTTTAAACAGGCTTTACCCTCAGAAAATAAAACTTTATTTCGCTAAATTTTCGCTAAATAAAGTAACCACAATATGTTCAAGGGCTATTTTTGCTTCTTTTGCTTCAAAAATTACTTGCATTCCTTTAGTTTGCCATGATTACATATCCACCGGTATATGCTTAGAAGTCCCTTACGCTTTTAATCCCCGTTTTACGAAGCTGCAGACAGTTGTATCTGACCTGAAAAGATAGAATTGCCAAAAACAAAATATTAAGTACTGACCATCAATCTGTTTTGACGACGTAATTCTCCTCTTAGGCGAGCAGGTTGTCGCGCTGGTGAGAGCGCTCGTCTCTCACCGATGGCTGGCCCGTTTTTGAGACGGCGTGCGCTTCTCGAAAGCGTTTAACCTTTACGGGACTATTTCCGGCGTTTGCCAAAATTCCTTGAATGAATATATTTACGACAAAATATGTTTCTAAGCGTGAAACATCGCAATAACGTTGTCCTTTCATATCTGGAAAGTATTTATAAAGACCAGCTTTTTAGAATGACCGAAACAACTTTTCAGCCTCGGAAATTATCTCTTGCGGAGATTTGAGAAACGGGCCCCCAGCTGCAGAGCCGATAGGGTCATATTTGGGTTGATGTTGTTGTTCCCTGTGGATTCAGTTTTCCCCTCTTCTCAAAAACCAATATTTCTCAATTCCAATTCCATCAGGAACGCAAAGACAAAGGGTGCTTTGCGGGTAAAACTATAATGATTTAAATATTTTACATAAACATGTTTTTGTTAATTGTAAATTTGCAACGTATTTTATGTCTACACTATACCGTACAGCTTATTATGTCGACATGAGAAGTATTCCGACCTGGTATGAAGAGAAATGGCCGAGAACCTATTTGATAGGTGACGATTCATTTCGAAGATCGACGCGGCGAAGCTTCTCTCCGTTACAGAAACCGCCCCGAAATCTGCAGCATTTTATGTGTGAACAAAAGCCCTATCCGATATGGTTTCGCACAAGTACATATACGCCTGGTGATATTTACGAGCAGCAAATCCACTTAAAAGTTCTCTAACGTGCTTCCTTAAAATCTTCAAAGATATTCAACTGAGGAATTAACAATTTTACCTGTCTCAAAACCAGTGTTTATTTCCTTAGCACTTCCCACACGTGAATTTGCAGTCCGTGTAAAATGCAGGATTGTTGCAATGGCCAAGCTGTTTGTTATAGTTGCACCAGCTGCAGCTCGCACGGTCCTTACAACCTAAAAACATAAAATCGTAGAGATGATGTGATTTACCCCTGATTCGACCGCTGTCTACTGATGCACCCACATTGTATTGGAGCTCCTACGCGCTCTGAAGGAGCGCACAAGCGGAGCCCCTAAGAAAATATTGTAATATGTTTTCTGGACCGTAAGCGTACCGCATGGTCACGGCACAGGCCCTAAGGTGTGATTGTTTGCGTTAATCTGTGAGGAGTTGGTACAGTTCGTCAAGGCAGTACCGAATCGGTCCGTGTTGCATAGTCAGTCGTGGAGCAAGTCAATTGATTGTTGTGGGATGTGATCCGTTCCTAACAGTTCGATAATGCTAGACATAACAATATGAAACAATAGCATTCTTTAGTATGGAGAAAGGAAAAAACTTGATGAGCAAATTAAGAGCTACTGAGTACAACCAGAGCAGTCAAACAGTTTGTGTATCACATGACTTCTCTGAGATCGATGATAGTTTTAAAATAACTTACCCGGGCAGCGACCACAAGTCATAAGGCACTTCTCAAATACGGATTCTAAATGACATTTATGTTTGCGGATGTCGCACCTTGCACATGTCTCTGTGTTCTTGCACTGCCATTGACGATT